AGTTATACTTAGCTAGCTAGGTAAGGACGGAAAATAGTAACTAATCGCTTACTATTCACGGAAACTATTACTAGTAGAACTTAATTATAATATATATAATAAAGAGTTACTAGTAATTATAGATATAGTACGCGAATAAAAAGTCTACCTTAAGAGCGCCGCCTACGAAGTACAGATCTTAATAGACTATAAGAATCTTATTTACTTTATAACTACTAAGGAACTAAACTGATAGTAAGTTTATTAGTATAAAACACTCTCTACTATTAAACTTCGAATTTCTTATATTAAAGGAACAGAAAACGCTAGAGCTGATACTTTAAGTAGGAAACTAGAATATCTTATAAATAAAACTCACGAATCCTATATTATACTATAGAAGGATAGTAATTCGCTAATAGTTAATCACTAATAGCTAGCTTTAATAAGCTAAGTCGCTGAGAAAATCTAGAGAGGCTATACTAACGACCCGGTTATAGCTGAATAGAAGAAGCAGCTAAGCGAAGGATTCTCCTTCACCCCGGATAGTATACTTCTATACTAAGGACAAATTTATGTACCTATTAAAGATAAGATTAAATTTATTACGCACTAGTATAAGCTACTCGCTTATAGACACCAGGGAGTAGCTAAGATACTATCTAAGCTATCTAGGGAATACTACTTCCCCGGGATAAGGAAAGTAGTTAAAGATATAGTAGTGTCATATGATATATATATCCGGAATAAGGCGTTATATTATACTCCGTATAAACTTATAAAGTTACTAATAATACTACCTCGCTTATAGAAATTAATCGCTTTAGATTTTATAGTTGAACTACTACTCTTGAAAGACTTAATTATAAGAATTATATATAACTTAATTTATATAATAACAGATAAGTTTATAAAGTACGAGTATATAGTACTAGTACTTAGAACATAGAATACGCTTATAATAGCGCAGGTATTCCTTAGAATAATCTTCATAAGCTATAGAATATTAAATAAGATTATCTTAGATAGAGATAAGCTCTTTACTTTAAAGTTCTAAAAAACCCTTATTATACTCTTAGGAATAAAATAAAAAATATTAACTATATTCTATCTTTAGACTAATATATAGATAGAACGAATTAACTAGATAATAGAGACTTATCTTTAGTATTATATGAACTATAAGCAGAATAACTAGGTATAACTGCTCTTACTTACCTAGTTTATATATAATAATACGGATTAAGAGACTATTAGAGTATCGCTATTCTACGCGAATTATAGGGATAATCCTATAGTATATAACCTACTAATAGCTAGTTAGGGTATCGCGTAAGAGGCTATACTATAAGTAGGCGAGCTTAAGTAGCTCTATAAAGAGTTATTAGCTGATATTCTCTTTATCACGTAGAGATCTGCGATCTATTATAATAGAAAGCGTAGTATAGGACTAATACTTAAGGAGAAGGATAAAGTCTACTTACTTAGGAAGAATATCGTAACTAAATAACTAAGTTATAAATTAGATTATAAGAAGCTAAGACTATTTAAGATTATTAAAGTTAAAGGACTAGTTAATTTCTAGCTAGCTCTACTATAGATAATAAATATCCACCCGGTATTCTATATATCCCTCCTCGAACTAGTACTACTAGAAGCACCGCCTACTTCTATTACTAAAATATAACTAATTAATCTGAACGCTGAATATAAAGTAGAGGCTATTCTTAACTATTAGTATTTCTATAGTAAACTAAAATATTTAATTAAATAGAAAAGGTACTTATAATTAGAAAATACTTAAGAACTTAAATCTAACTTCTATTACTTTAAGCTTCTACGGGAATTCTATTAAAGAAATCTAGGTTTACTTAGAAGAAAAGAGACTTAAGGTTAAGGACCGGGCCCTTAAAGAAGGACGCTAAGTAAGCGTTAAGTTTAAAAGCAGGGAACTAAGAAGTAGGATTATCTTTAATAAGCTTAAAAGGAGGCGTTAGAGAGCGAGTAAAGGTTATAGTTTTTCTTATCTTAAATCGATATATAAGTTATTTAAGAGTAAACCTCTTAATATACCCTAAGGTATTATAATTATAACACTTTAAGTAAATATACTTAAAGTATTATTTCGAAATAGATAAATCTAAGAAGTAGGTATAGGAAAAGCTATAGTAGAAGGAATAAGGCTTTATAAGTTATATAGCACGCTTAATACGAAGCGCGAGCTAGATACTCTGTTTTTTCTTTATCTAAGCGATACTTAATTTCTTTATAACACTAGATATAATAGATAAGAAAGATAGTTATTAGTAACTATTAATATTTCTTAAGGTTATACTTAAGCGTAAGGACTACACTAAGCTAAAAGGGGGATAGTGTTATAGACCCCTTAGTACTATAGTTCAGTTAGCACTTATAAGATAATAAAACTATTAGTAGTACTATAGGGGTATTAGTACTAATAAGGGAGTAGTACTATTAATAAGGTAGTACTAGCTAGGGAATAATATAAGATAGCGAGTAATACTACTATATACTTACGCTTTAGTAGTAATAGTTACCTAGATTATAGTAAATAATAGGTCACGTGATAGATCCCTAGACCCCTAGATCCCCTAATAGGAAAACAGATCTAAGGATCTAAGGATCTAGTATCTTAAGGGATCTAAGGCGAATAAAGATTCTATATAAGACTAGTATATCTACTATTAGATAAGAGCTTTATACTTAACTTTAAATAGTATTCTAATACTTAGTAATTATCTTCTATCTATATAATACACTTACCTCTCGATTATTAGAGATTAACTGCAGCCTTCTATATTTATAGCAAGTAAATACCGGACTGTTATATAAAAGTATAATACTTAATAGCTATATACACTAAGATCTACTTCTATTAATTATAAAGGATTATTATTAAAGGAGTTACAGAAAGGACTCAGATCAGGGGATACTTATAAGTTTGTATTTATCTTTATTCTTAGTATAATACTAGTATTTTAAGCTTATAGAACTCTAGAATTTATATAGTTTTAGATTACCTTTCTTCTAATAATTAACGTATTTATAGTACTATATATAAAACATAGCTGAGAGGGCACCGGGAGAGTAGGGAATTAGCACTAATTAGTATTAGTAAAGAGCTTTACTACTACGCTAGCTCTTAAAATAAGATATATTTACTCTTAAATTACTTAATTTATTTAATATCTTTTAAAGAAATCTTCAGGTTAAGAAGAATCTTTAAAGTAAATACTATCGATTCTAAACTTATAATTATTATTACTATTATTATTTAATAGAGGAAAGAAAAGGTTTTAAAGGGGAGGTTATCTTTATATAAATAGACATATATAATTCAGGCCTGATTTAGATATAATACGATATTATTTACTATTATCGCTTAGCTATTACTATTATTTTCTACTTCTGTATTATTAACTACTATTAGACGGAATATTAACTCTCTAACTCTTTAAAACCTTATATTAACTTAATAATAATATTATTTAATTCTCTACGAGTTTATATATATTCTCTATATTTTAAGACGTAGTTTAGTTATAGATTACGATTTGTTTATATCTTTATATAATAAAAGAGGTGCTTTTAGATAGTAACTAGAGATATTCTAGCTACTAATATATATAAGTTAAATGTTTATTACTTTGTTATATCTTTAGTTCCTATTATTATATCTATATTCTCTCTTTTATTTCCTTTATAGTTATTAGAAACCTTTTGTTTTTAAAAAGAAGTTTTACTAGTATTAGTCCGTAGACCTTTACTATAGAAATATAAGAGGAAATCAGGGAGTATAAGTAATTCTAGTTAAGGGGTAAACTTTTTTCAGATATAAACCGGGGGTTATTTAGGAGGTAGTATATATTCTGACTTATAAATACTCTTTATAATAGACACTTTTTAAATACCTTTAGACTAAACCTTGGATTTTAATATATATCGATATACACTTGTTATTTGTTTACTAGTACGATACTAATATATTTATTAGTTAAATCATCTCAAGAATATAATAATAATAGTAATAATAATAATAATAACTCTAATAATAATATAGAGAATATAAAAGATATAGAAGATAGTGATAATAACTTATTTTTAGCTTCTAATATTAATAAAGAAGAAGAAGAGGAGGAATATATATCTTATTTAAAAGATAAAATATCTAATCCTAAAATTAAGCCTTTAGACTTTTAGGAAATAAATAAAAATAATTATCCTATTTTATATATTTTAGTTAAAAGGTATTTAATAATACCAGCTACTTCAGCTTTTATTAAAAGAACTTTTAGTATAAGTAGTAATACTATTATTACTAAATCTAGAAATAATTTAGATCCTAAAGAATTAAAAAAAATTATCTTATTAAAAAGCTGGAAATTAAAAGATATATTAGAATTAAATGATTCTTTACAAGAAGAAAATATAGAATAATAACAAGCTATTATACTTATTATTTATTATAATATAATCTCTTCTATTTACTTAATAAAAAGTTAAAAAAAGATTTGTTTAGAAAAAGATTCTTATTTTACTTCCTTATAATATTACTAATAAAGTTAATCGTGTAATCTTTTATAAGCCTTAAGTTTTTATTATTAAAATCTGTTTAGTCTTTTATTTTTTATTTTTAGAATTAATTTTTTAATTAATTAATTTTAGTATAAAAATTTATTAATTAATTTTAATTAAGGGTAAAATTAAATTAATTAATTAAAATCACAACCCTGGGCTTACATCATCTGCGCAGATCCCACCATGGCATGGATTCTCCATCTTTTGTTTGAAAAATATTAATCAGCAAAGATCTGATCCCAACAGATCCCAGTACCGGACCCAATCCGAAACAGGTTCTGGGCTACTTCATGTGATATTCGCGATATGCTAGTGTACCAAGGTAGGTACCTACCTAGGTAATCTCGACGAGGCTGACTTCCAGCCTTCTTGTCTTTTCTCAGAACCTCGACACCACAACATAACACAACACAACACAAACAATGCCACTCTTCGCCCTCCCTCTCGCACCCTCCTCCACAACCCAACATGCTGAATCCAAGACCACTCGAGTGAAATTCTCGAATCTGCCACTCAGGAAACGCAAACGTCCACAAGCGACCGAGGAATCGAGCGGAGATGAGAATTCCTCCCTGGATGGCGATGCAGCAGGCCCAGCAGCTACCAATCCTCTTAGTCTTACGCCGGTAGAAATTGCGCAGTATCAATTAGCTGGGTTGGAGTTGGATGAGGAGCTGCCAGATGTGAAGGACTTTCCTCATAGGCCAGTGCCGCAGAGTTTTGAGTCGCGGCACAAGAAGGGAAGAAGGCGGGAAAGAAGTAATGCGAGGAATACGGATATTGACGAAGAGCAGATAATAGCGGAAGAGGAGCAGGAGGAAGGGAAGGTAGAGAGAATAAGTCGCGGGCCGTGGCTGCGAAATCAACATCTCAGTGTCCTGGTTACGATTCTGCATAAGTGTTTAGGAGAAGGGGATATACAGCGGGCGAGTCGGGCTTGGGCGCTGCTGTTGAGGACGCAAATTTCAGGAAGAGGGGTCGATATTAGGTCGAATGGGTACTGGGAGGTTGGCGCGGCGTTGTTAATGAGAAGCCGGGATCAGAAGAAGAAGTACTCGTACGATGATGAGGAGAGGGACGAGGAAGACGAGCATGTGGAAGAGGATATGGGAGTGGAGAGGAGATGGGGAAGTAAGGAGGGATTAGAGCTGGTAAAGAGCTACTACGAGCGACTGATCTTGGAGTTCCCTTACAACAGGCAGTTTCAACGAAGTGTAAGCGCTTTGGACTTTTGGCCTGCGATGGTAGGATGCGAAATCTATGGCGTGCAGATTGAGCAAAAAGAGGGGTTACGGAGAGTGGAGATTCAAGAAGAGAGAGACAACGAAAATGATGGAAGTGGCGAGGAGAGCTTAGACAGCGACGAGATTGAGGAAGAACACCCCGAGGAAGATAACTTCACATTCAACCAGAGAAGAAAGGAAAACTTGAGTCGAATACGAGCTGAAAGGCGATGGGAAGAGAGGGAAAACGTCCGCCAAATTGCGTTGGCCGCTTCGGAAAAGATCGCTGCAAAATTAGACGACATTATGACTACTCCTCCGTATTCAGACAGTCATAATATGCTTCGGTTACGAGGTATGTTGGCACTCTACATTGGTGATATCAGTATACCAGCTTTGCCACTTCAACAAGACGAAGGCAAGGACAGTGAAATATCGACGCGGAGAAGTCAAAGGCTGGGAGAGTTGGACAAAAATACGGAGCGCAGATTTCTGTACAGACAACGGGTTGCAGAGCATGAGCGAGGACAGAAGATCCAAGAAGCTGAGCGGGAACGGGCTGCCAAACTATTTGACAGAATAATCAGAGATGGAGGGGAAGATGAGGATATCAGAGACTCTTCTCCTGTAAAGAATAGGTCCGAGGAAGAAGAGATCAATGATGAAGAACAAGGCGTATGAAACGAGGGTCTAGAGAACGGCTTCGGACCTGGAAGTTGCTTAGAACTGCAGAGATGCGTGCAGGAAGCCAGACTCGCCTAGGGCGACTCGCTTGACTCCACCCCACTTTTGTTCAGCGAACGACAATCTAAGTCAAGTGAGGGCGTTCAAACGGACAGTACGTCTAAATTATCTTGCTTACCTCTTGTGTAGTGAGTATATATGTATGATACGAGTCAGTACGGTTTCTCCCGGTGAAAGAACTGTTGTCGCTGTTGAACTTCAAACCACAAACTTCTCTCCCTTCTCACAATGGACACACCGATTCTCTACGACCCAACAAAACACGTCCATCTGATCTCATCCCTCGCTTCCATTCACGTAGAATGCATAACCTCACCACCCTTCGTCATCGCCAGTTTTCTCCCTCCTCTCTCTCTACCACGAATTGAAGCTTGGTGGACAGCTCGAGCAGCAGAAGTCGCTACTGGCTCAAGACATATAATCATGCAACTGGCAACGAGCCCGGAAACCGGCAAGGAGGAACTCGCGGGCTATGTGATGTTGGCTATGCCGGTGAGTGAGACCGGTATGTTCAGAGGTGGTGTAGAAAAGCTGCTGGTTAGTCCAAGGTGGAGGGAGAAAGGGGCTGCGAGACGGGTTATGGGACTTTTGGAGGATATTGCGAAGAAGGAGGGGAGGGGACTTTTGGTGAGTCTTAGAGTTGAGGATCCTTTGTCAACTTGAATTCGCCTGTATTGAGCCCACCCCTGGGAAACGAGTTGATTCGTGCTTTGTAGACTTTGGGGGCAACGAAGGGAAGTCCAGCGGAGCTTATTTACCCCAAGCTGGGTTACATAAAAGTATAGTCCTTCAACCTCTCACTCCATCTTGTTGCTGACGCTCCGATTTGGCTGTGCGTTTTCAACTCTTAGACAGCTTGCTGATGGCATCGAATTTTTAGGTAGGAGAGATACCAGGCAATGAGATCTCACCTGTTGATAGATCTCTTCAGGATGAAGTCTTGTTTCACAAAGATCTGAGGTGACAGAATGTTATAAATTAGAAGACTGATGCAAAAGACTCGCGCGAGAAGCAGGGTGGGCGTTTGCAGTGCTGCTCGTCAAGTGTACACTGGCCGATAGCATTGTACCTTCAGTAATAACTTTGTGGCACAAATACTCACATCTCAAGTCTGAAATACAGTCTTACATAGTAGACATTTGGATCTCATTCCAATGATATCCTCTATATCTGGCTACTTTCATGTGCGATCTAGTTGTTTTGATTTTTGGCACCAGTGCTGCTGCGAGGAGATTAGACAAGTTCCACAGGTTCTTGTGAATAGAGATTGAGATGCTACTTTTTCTTAGATTTGAATCATACTTCGGCAAATTGACAGAATCCAAAAATCTAAGACCAGTTTCAGAAGCAGCCGGCCTCCTCATCGGTTTCCAGCCGCAGGTCAATTCTCGTCACAGATTTGCATTCACGTGATGACCAGCCCTCAGACGGGAAATCCGACGCTTCCCCCAGAATACAGTATTCACAATTGACATGGAACATATTTCTCGTCACGAAGACATCTTTTGAATGATAGAATTGTCAACTTCTCAATGCCGCATTCAGTTCGCGATCTTGGGAGAGGGCGTCTCTTGTTACCTACGAGTAGGTACTGTAGCGAGGGTTGGCAAGGTCAATGCTTACTGGAACCTGATACTCAATTTCATAGTTTTCATCAACTACGACATTTGGATACATAGACAAAGACGAGTGAATATCAGTGGGTGCCTGATTGACGATGAACATTTCAATGGAACTGGCTGACTTCCATTGCCAATGATCCAGTATCAAACCCTGAGGTGATGACGGGGCTGGCGCTACTCTACTTTTCACAACATCTACTAATATTAGCGAACATGCAAGCCAGAGAGGCTAAAGCTCTCCAGAAGTCTGATCTAAGGACCAGCCAAAGCGCACGAGATGCATCTACTACGCTGCGATGTCTTATTGCATGGTTGTTGTGCTGTGGCTGCATCGTCGGTTTCCCCATGGAGCAGTCATCACACCTCCCAGAAACACGCCACATCTTTCCTTGGATAACATGTCTAATGCGATCTTAAAGTCTCGATTCAGTCCAGAAACTACGGTTACTGTAACACATAAGCAGAAACAACGTTGGCTAGGTAATGTTCGTCATATTCAACACCCCAGTCACTCTGTTAGAAATATGAGGATTGTAGGCGTAGACTCAGTACTATAGGCCGTACTACTAAGTACGCTACCCCTTTATATAGGAGATTCTCTCTCTCTGTAGTAGCTCCTTATACAACTGTAATTATAATATAGTAGTAATTCCAATCGATCGAAAAAGACTTCAAAACTTCATTTTTATTAAGATCTCCACTTTATTAACTCTTAGTGTATCTGCTACTACGCTATAATATTATCCTAATTAAAAGCACTAATTCCCTACGTCGCCGGAGCCTTAAAAGGTAAAACTCTACTAGAGTTTAATAACTTCTTTAAATAGGAGCTTAAGACTAAATAAGAGCTAGCTAGGGCTAGTGTTCTTTATCACGTTCTTACTGAAGTTAGCGTGCTAAATAGTGTTAATTAGTAGAATACTCACGCTAAGGAAAAGAAGGAAGCTTTTAAAATAGTTATTAACTTAATCTCTAAGCTTCTCTTTCCTAAGTATAGAGATATTATTAAACTAAATAACGCTAAGCCTCTCTAAGAAGCTATTCACGTAGATAAAAGTAAAGTAGTTTAAGGGAGTCTTACTTTTACTAATATAAGAGACGATTTCTTTAAGATAAAGTTTATCCCGGGGGAGGAAATACTTCAGAACTATATTATAAGGCTCTTACTCTTTAAAGTAAAGCTTAGTAGCGATAGTAAACCTCTTACTAATAAGGATATACGTCTTAAGCTATTATAGTTGTTACTAGCGTCCGGAGCTTAGATTACTATAGCGCTTACCTTAGAATCGTAAGACCTAGATCTTAGAGATACTATACGAAAGCTTAATAAATATTAAATTTAATAGAGGGAATAGCTTCGACCTGTAGCTACTAGTAACGCTGTGAACTACACGAATAGAGGCTATAATAGAGGGAGAGGTAGCAGAGATAGTGGAAGCTAGAGGGGTAAAGGCTACTCACGTGGGAGAGGTAATATACGTGAGAATAGAAGAGGATAGGAAAGACAGAATAATAATAGCAGGAGTAGTAGCTAATAGAGACGTAGAGGGCGCGTGGAAAAGAGAGGAAATCGCCTTAAATTAGGCCGAAATCAGTATACCTAGTATAAAGGCTATAGCTACTAGTACGTAGACTACACAGAAGCTAAGAATACCTACGCGAGAGATAGTACTAATAAAGTAAAGGAAATTAAAGATAATAATACTTATCTTATATTCTCTTCAGAAGAGATTTACTACGCTAAAGACGTAGAATATACTTTATTAATAATCTCTATTACAGAATCTATCTAGAAAATCGACTTTAGCGCTATTTACTACTTTAGTAGAGTTCTAGCTGAGTTTAAGTAACTTAAGCGCTAGTATAACGCTAAATATATTAAAATAGCGACTAATTTATACTTAATAGCTAAAGGTTATAGAGATATTACTATTAATAGGTTAACCCTTAAAGATATATAGTATATACCTAACTTCGGAGTTATAAAGCTAGTATTAATATATTAACTCTCAGATAAAGGAATTAATACAGAACTAACTAAGATATTAGCAAATAGATACCGGAATAGTAAACTAGCTTTTATAGGTATAAGAAACAGAGGTTTATATATTCTAGATACAAATCCTTAATATTAAGTTACGTATAATATAATTCCGTTAGACTTAAAGCTACTAAAAGAACGAATAGAGAGTTAGCTTAGTATAAAGGAAATAAAGGCAGATCTGCTCTATAAGTGTTTAAGCTATATAAATTACGCCTATTTAAAGAAACTAGTTACTTATAGCGGTTACGGAATAAGACTGATTTCTGTTCCGGAGCTAAAGGGAGAGAGGTGTTATAAGGCTTACCTTATAGGCCGTATAAAAGAGTACTTTAATAAGAAGTCAGATAGTAGAACTAATATACCTATTCGTTAACTATATACTAATATTTCTAGTATCTTACTACGCTTAATTCGCGGCTATAAATACTTCCTTTTAGTAGTAGATAATACTACGAGGATATATTAGGTAGATCTCTTAGTTAATAAGTCTACGTTAACTATTTAACTAGTTATTCGGAAATTAAAGCTATAGCTTAAAACTTAAGGGCAAAGTAAATTCCGTATAATTATCTACTAGAGGACTAATAATAGTAAGGGAGAGTTCGGTCCTGAGTTTATTAACTAGCTATAAGAGAGTAGAATCGTTCCTGAACCCTCTCCTCTATATAAATACTCTCTGAATAGAGTTATAAAGTAATAGATATATAAACTAGCTAAGATTACACGCTTAATCCTCTATAACGCAAAGATACTTAAGAATATATAGTACTACGCTATTAAGTAAGCGGTAAAACTAAAGAACAGACGCCTAACTACTACTTTACTATATAAAACAGCTACTAGACTCACTCTAATCGAAGCGTACAGAGGATAGCCTACAAACCTCTCCAAAATAAGAGTATTTAGCTCTATAGCGTACCCTTTGTATCCACTAGGGCTATATCAGGGTAAAATAAAGTAAAGGACGATTCCGGGGTGTTTCGTATTAGTAAGTATAGCTAATACCTCAACCTATAGGCTCCTAAATATAGAAACCTTCAAGGAACTAGAAATAGCCGACTATAGCTTTAATAAGTATATAATATACTCTATATATACTAGTAGTAAGGAAACTATACTAAAAGGTAGTAATAAGGCAGTAGAAAGACCTTTACTACTAGCTACCGGTCTAGCACTTACTAAGAGGCTAGCTAGAGGTGCTAAAGGCTTAAAAAGACCTCTAAGAGAGAGGCTAGCTATAGAAGCTGAAAGACCTCTAGGAGAGAGACTAGCTATAGAAGCTAAAAATCCTTTAAAGGGAAGGTTAGCTACAGAAAATATAATAAGAGATACTAAGGGAGTATCTAATTAACGCCTCCCTAAATAGACTTAACTAGTAAACGTATCTAATAACACTCTACTATTAAGATATAGTAGGAAACAGCGTAGAAAATAATACTTCGAGTAAGCTACTCAGGTGATAACTACGAAGTTATACTCTTAGTAAATCCTTAATAAGGCACTAACTTATTAAATAGCGCTAATTACACTAGAGAGTAAACCTATACGACCTCTTGAGGTTATAACTATCGTAGAGGCTCTAAGGGATAATCTAGTAGAATAGAAGGCCGCTATTCTCAAGGAATTACAGGCTATATAAAGCGCTGGAACTTATAGAGTATACTTTAGTAAGCCTCCCTCCGGCTTAAAACTGATATCTTTAAGACTAGTTCTATGTAATAAAATCAACTCCGATAGCTTTATAATATAGCGAAAGGCTAAGCTCGTAGTAAGAGGTTTTAAGTAAAAACACAGCTTTAACTACTTCGATACCTTTACAAGTGTCGTACGCTATTCCACCTTATAAGCACTACTCGCTATTACAGCTAAAAGAGACCTAGAGATCAAGTATATTAATATTAATACTGCCTTCTTAAATATATACTTAAAAGAAGATATATATATAACGATTCTAAACAACGAGACGCTAGAGATATAGAATAAGCTTTACCTAGAGCTAAATAGAAGGAAAGATATATATCTAAAGCTTCTACGCTCTCTCTACAGCCTGAAATAAGCACCTAGGGAATAGTAGCTCCTTATTAAAGATAAGATAGAAAAGCTAGGTCTAGAAGTATTAGAGGCTAACCCTAATCTCTTTATCTTTAAGAATAGAGTATACGTATTAGTCTTCGTTGATAATATACTAATTATAAGTAACTCTGCTAACTATAAATATCTTAAGAAATAGCTCTTAAAGACTTAGAAAGGTAAAGACCTCGGAGCTATTAATATATTTATAAGCTTATAAGTTAAGAGGGACAGGAAGAATAAGACTCTACGGATTTATTAAATAGCTTATATATAAAAGCTACTAGAAAGGTTTGGAATAGCTGTAGCTAGAGGTAATACCTTACTTGTAGCCGCTAGAATAGTACTAAGGGAGTTAGCTAAAGATAAAGGTGTTATACTAGCTTCCCCTAAAGAGATCTTACTATTTCAGCAGATTATCAGCTCTCTAATATATCTCTCGAACTTTATACGACTTGATATTGCTTATATAATAGGCTAGCTAGCGCGGTATATATTAAATCCCCTTAAATCTCACCTCTAAGACACGAAACCTCTCCTCTGATATCTATAATATATAGAAGGTAACGGAATAATATTTAGAATCGGAATAAAATACGAGGGAAAGCTAGATAATAATATATTCGATATTTAGACTAACGCTACGTAGGGGACAGAATATAATAGGAAATCGTTCTAAGGATAAATAGTAAGGTTCTACAGGGGTCTAATCTCTTAGGCTACTAATAGGTAAAGGTCTATAGCTCTCTCTAGCTTAGATTCTAAGATAATAGCTGCTAGTGATAGCTCTAGAGAAGTAGCCTAGTTACTTAAGCTATAGAAAGACCTTAATATAAAGCTATCCTGAATTCCTATGCTATATCTTAATAACACTAGAGCTGAATCTCTCTTAAAAGAACGGAAATTCTATCTAAAGGTAAAGTATATTAATATCCGCTAGTTCTATATTCGAGATAATATAGTTTCATATAATAAGTTAGTAGTAAAACACGTTCTAAGTAATAATAATATAGTAGATACTCTTACGAAGGCTTTACCTTTAGAATCGTTTAAACGATATAAGATATATATAGGGTTACCTAGTAACAACTGATTCTCTAATAATAACTCTAAGATTAATAACAGTTAGCTAATTAACAGTAGACCTATATAAATCAAGGCTGTTTCTAGTAGTAGAACTTATAAAAAAATAGAATATTCTTCGCGGAAAATTAGTCCTTTAATAAATATCTTCCTTAACAATAATATATAACTATAAATTAAGTAAAACACGATATATAACTACTATACCTAATAGTTAAGACGAATCTTGTTCCGCGGTTAAAGGAAGAAGGAAAGGAAATAGAACTAGAAGAGGACGACTTTTATATACCTTAGAGGCTAGAGAGAAGGCTAGTAAGGAATATCTTAGTGACTATAAAAGGAAGGTACGAGGTGGCTATAAAGAAGAGTAAATAAAAGCGGTAGGAGTAGGAGATTATTAATAAGGGAGCGATTTAAGTGCACTCTTATACTATTTTATATGCCTTAATACTATAAAGTTACTAAACTCCTAGGAAAACAGGAGACGTAGGCACTATATATATACTAGTATATTACAGGAGTTAATAAGGTATAATCGAGGCTCCTTATATAATACAAGTTATTAGTAATACTTCGGCGATACTCTAGTGTCGCTTTAGGAATATTCAGCGCTATACTGCTTTAGAAGGCTCTATTTACTACAGATATAGAGAATAGGGGGGCTGTTAGAAATATAAGGATTATAGGCGTAGACTCAGTACTGTAGGCCGTACTACTAAGTACGCTACCCCTTTATATAGGAGATTCTCTCTCTCTGTAGTAGCTCCTTATGCAACTGTAATTATGACACACTCCAAGAGATTTCGACAGTTCTTCACCGCTACAGTGCAAAACACACTTCAATCTATGTATTTATTCTACTTTTGTACTGACGACACCGCCATTAGTTCGCCCAAGAGTCGGGCGATCCCGCGATATCTCGCCAGTTTGAGTGCGTCCGGGTTCTTTGGACTTGCCCAGAGAGCCAAACTGCATGACAAGCAGAGCCTCGTTGTGGAAATAGCAATCCATTGTCTCCTTGTCGATGTGGAAAGAGAAAACTGCTCCGTGTGCTAGAGTCCCTATTTGATAACCATTGTCTGTGCAATTTTGAGAGCCCACGAATATGGAAAGAACCACCCCCTCCGTTTGCAACACAATATAAGGCCCCTCAGAGACGGACCTACTTCACTTTACAAAGCGACGTATCTCCAAGGAACAGATTTCTTCCGACGGCAGAGAAAAGAATTGAGTTCAAGAAACGAAATACTGCCCTCCTGTTGCAGAAGAAGTCGCTCCGAGATGGGACCGCATACAGCATCTGGTGGCCATGACAGGGACGATTCCCACACCCAGGCTCTTTTGCCTCGCCACAATACCATCTCCCAAGCCATTCGAACAACCACTGGAATACAGCCTGCAGGTGAGAGTGGCAGAAAGGGCATTCATCTCAGCAAGTTCCTTAGAATCTGTTGGCGATCAACCAGCAGAGCCTCTCGAATATGCAACATTTTCTGGCCCGTAGTCCCCGCTGCGATCTTCGTGAAATACGCCCACCATGACCTCCACCTGGTCATCTTCATTCTCAACTACATAGCCATGGTTCCGTGTGCGAACTTGATCGGTACGCAGTTTCATCCCGTTTATTGAATTCGCACGCAACTTGCTGACCAAAGTCGGACCCTAGGCTTCGCTGGCCAGGAGCTGGGACGGAAGCTTCACAAAGTCCTCGGTGTCTTGCTGGAGACCACACTTGGCTCTGTTGTTGAGATTGTCATGTTCATTGTCCTGCTCAAGACAGATCAATTTGCCGTTATTCAAGCCGCAATACTTGGATCAGTCCTGGCTACACAGCTTTTGTGCCTCGGAATGTGTTTCGTGGTTGGTGGAATCCGTCACAACGAATTGAATTTCAGCGAAGTTGTCGGTGAGGTGGGAAGCGATTTGTTGTTGACTGCGTGAGTCCCAAGTCAGCTACACTATTTTGACTTTTGTAACACTGAAGTTCTACAGAGGATTTGGACTCATCGTGCCTGCTGCATTCTTCACTGCAGTGTCTGCTAACGGCCGGACCATGCCAGAGGTTGTCTCCGACAAAGTCCTTCACATCTCTCGGATCACTTCCATTCTCTTGATCATCGCCTATGCTATCTACACCTACTTCCAGATGCGAACCAACGAGAGCATTTACGATGGAATCTTCGAGGAAGACGAGCACCACGCTGAGCACGAAGGCGGCACCAAAGATAAATTGACGTTCACCGAATGTATCATCGCTCTTGTTATCGCAATCACTCTCGTCACCATCATCGCAATCAGCCTGGTTGAAGAGATAGAGTTCATCGTTGAGACTCGACATGTCTCGGACAGCTTCGTTGGTCTGATTCTTGTTCCTCTTGTTGAGAAATTTGCCGAGCACCTGACAGCGATTGATGAAGCTTGGGACAACCAGATGAATATGGCTCTTGCTCATGTTCTTGGTGCTACGATCCAAACTTCTTTGTTCAATGGCCCATTGGTAGTCCTTGTCGGCTGGGGGCTGCAAAAGAGAATGGACCTCAACTTCGATTTGTTCAACATCATCGTTCTGATCCTGGCCATCCTGGTCGTCGGAAACTTCCTACGAGACCAAAAGAGCAACTATTTGGAAGGCAGTCTGTGTGTAATTGTTTACGTCAACATTGCTGTGGCGGCATTCTACTATCCAAATCCCGTCAACGAAAGCGGTAGTGGAATTTTCGCAGTTGCAGAGCATGCCCAGAAATTCCTTGGCATGGGATGATTGCCTTCAACAGCGTGGCTGATGTGGTGACGATATGATAGCCGTTGTTGTCTTAATCTCTATGTGGGTTGTCGCAGAGTATGTCTCATGGTACTGGAGCTGTATGTGTGCATGGGCAGGTTGAGATTGACAGTGTTATTCGAATATACTTGTTGTGAAAAAAAAGGATGGCTGATGTCTGTATACATAGCAACTATGGTACATTATATCCAGACTTAGTTTCTTTAGCTGTTAGCAATCAACAGAAAATCCGATGTAGCCACCGTCAGTACGGTGTGAAGACCTCTGACAACTGACTTGAAAAACATTTGAGTTCCAGAATCTGTGGCTGTGTTTCCAAGAAATATGCTGCCAGGAGTTGGCTACATAAACACTTCCTCGCTTCTTGCTAAGGCTCTTCAAGGGTTCCGAAAAAAATCAGTAGTTGAAACAGTAGTGCTTTACTTGATCGGTTTATGTTTACAACTTCACATACTCTAGCAATTGTACGGAACTTTCCCATTCGCAGCTCAGATTTCATTTTCGTCAATTCTTGTGATCTTAATGGGATTTGGTGGAACATCTCCCATACTCGTGTTGTCTCTGCCATACGAACAGCTTGGTGATTTGGAAGTGTATTTCCCCGAGATGGAGCAGGGTATGAGTTCCCGATTTTGAATATCCTCTTGAGCGGAACTCACTGATTGAGTTCCACTACTAGACAGATAGGCATCAATAGACGACACAACCTACGCCACTATCTCACAGCTGGGTGCAGTTTCGAAGCACACAATTTTTTTGAATTGGTGTATAACAGTGGGATGAACTGGAGGGTGGGTTGATCTCCCCAGGGCAGAATGGTACTGCTTGTGCCCACTACTCTCGACAATTCACGCAGTGTCTTACAATGAATCTTTTTGCATGAATGCAGCTGAATAAAGGGTGTTTATAAATGCCCATCATGTTGTTTACCAGAACCGGTACGTCGCAAGGCCAAATCTCGAGCGAGACCTGATTGAGAAGTGGTCAGTACGAAGTCATTCTGGGGCGATCGATTACTTCTGATCAACTTCCGCCCCAAGGGTTCTTCCAATGTGGTCCGTATGGGTCTACACCATACGACACGATTACACCAAGCCCCAGCTGGTAGCTAATTCTTTGTAAAAGCTATGAAAAAATATGCAGCAGGCCATATGATGGATAAAAGCAGATATTCAGCTGACTGACCCTCTTGCCACGGCGAGCCCGACCTTTCAACTTGCAGAACTCAAGCAGCGAAATCATAGCTCTGTTGCTTCTGTGGACCATCTTTTTTTCGTTAAGCTTAAAGACTAGCTTTTGATCTCAACAAATCTCAACAGATGGTATAGATATAGCTTCCTCGGGACCCTCAATCAGAAAGACCGGAGATTGTTTCATCTCATTTGCGTCAACGGGACGGCACTTATTCTTGTTCCACAGGCACTTCCAAAGCCTGCCTTGAAATTAAAGGTGCTTTCATTATCACGGAAGAAATAATACACGGCAGCTTCTCTCGTAAAGAACGTAATATTGGCGGCCGCTGTAGCACATCGACCGGGGACTGCTGGACAGAAACAAATATTTGGACGGCGGCGAAGCGGATCACCGACAAGATCTGTTCCTCCGAAGTACCGACGGAGAATCTTTCGATGTGAATGTAGGTGTTCATGTCTTCCGGGCATTGTACTTTAAACATCACATTCTCCTTCAGATCGCCCTTTTGGTTCGAGAAGAGGTTGACACCCGCAATGATAGATTTTTGAACCGTCTCAGTGCTCAGAGAGCTTCTTCCGTCTACGCGATGGCGAGAAATCCTGAATTGAAGATACGTATCAATCGTAGTAAGAAGGAGAATAGTCTGATCGAAGGTTTGTCCTGGTGATTGCTGGTTTGGTACATAGAGTGTAGGTGTCGCTTCCGGAGGGACCACAGAGCCACTATTGACTGAAGGCAATAGACCAGTCGTGTTGTTGTTCGCTCCATACGGGACCATTATTTGATTAATAATAGGTTGCGATTGCCCAATCAGAAGATTCGATAGCTGAGGAGAGTCGCTACACCGGCCGGTGACTGTTTCAGGTATAGCATACTGGATTGCCCCATTGGAAACGAATCCAACAGAAAGACTCTGATCCGTCATCCCGCTTTGCCCCGGTGCAAGATATTCTAGAGAATTAGCTCTAAAATCCGCAGTTGAAATTTGACTAGGGCTCCGAGCGTGTTGACATCCTTCTCCTACCACTGAGGAGTTTATTGCATCGCTCCGACTAGTCTCCCATGCGTTCGATTATGTCCTGGTCGATTCAGCCGCCAGGGAGCGGAAGGGTGTATTCATTCTTCTGCCAGTTTCCATGTGGCTTGGCTGGATGAATTTCCATGCTGGTAGAGCGCATCCTCTGCACTACTGTCAGTTGCCTCAAGTAAATCAATACTCCTTCTACATGTGCTTTTCTGTGGCGCCTCTCACTTGTTGAATTTGATCCCTTTGCGCGCTCTACCGGAGACTGTTGTTTCTCTTGTGGTTACTCATGCAAAGAATAGCATCAGTGAAAAGCGCAAGAAATCTGCAAGAAATCTACTCTGTGAATTTCTTCCATGGAGAGTGTCGAATACAAAGCGCATGAGGGCTATCATTAATCCTCGGTGGCTCGAGCTTTGACGAGACGAGGCTATTCCCGTTCACGCCGCCAGACCTCTTTGTTGACAGTCGTCTTGGCAAGCCAGATCTGTTACTCAGTGGAGCCTTTTGCTCCAGCAGAATGGTTATCGTTTCGGTAGATTTTTCTACACAAGTTATATTACAAACACACTCAAAGATTTAACTCGCTCCACCATCGAAAGAGGTTGTGGACTGTTTCGACGTGGGCAAATAATCCTGCAATTCCCGCGTGTCATTTCTTGCATCCTTTGGCGTTTTCTGGAGTCCTTCACTCTTCCCTTACCCATGCCTGAAACCTGGAGGACTTACACACCATTATATCACTCTTGGTCAGCCATTGACCATGGCACTAGTCTAAAAGGTTCTCAAAGCCGTAGTCTCGACGTCGATGCTACGTTCTCGTGGGCAATATTGAGAGATCTATTTGATGAGCCACAAGCCAGCTCCAATTCTATCGCAAGCCGCGTCATGCCATATTTCTCAAGAGATACTCTCGTGAATGACCTGCGTCCTCTGAGACTCAGAGCCATCATCCGGAAAGAAGTCTGGCATTTGACCGATAAGCCCGACAACTTCTACGCAGAAATGCGGTCTCGCAATCGGAGAAACAATGGAGCTGATGTTTACCTGCAGAGGAATGAAACACGGCGAGGTGGCGCTCTTCATCCGACCATCCCATTTGAGACACCGCATGCCATTACACCTGTTCGAAGATGGCACCACAAGACACCATGAGGATTGGCATATTGAAACCAGGCAAGAGACTTACCACCAACCATTGAGACCTGGGGACTGGAGTCTCCAAAGTCTTGGTTTTAGGGGTAGCTGCGTATGGACCTCCTATCGTCATGGGACGAAATCTACCGCGAGACGCCCGTTGAGGAGGAAACAATGGTTTGGACTATTCATAGAACGCTCAGAAACATATCAACAAGGGTTCCAACGTCCACGTCAGACTTGTCGCACGTATTTGAAGAGTTCCATCCAATCCAAACAATCGTACGTTGTGTCTGTATCCATCTACGCTGTGGAGACCTCGGCTGCACAAAGTATAAAGCTGTTTTGCTCGGCAAACAGGGTTCTCAGGCGCCCAAAAATGGGTAGGAATGACTTCACAATCCATTCTGATGAGATATAATTATCTTTGTGGCCGATACACCCAAAGAGACTAGGTGTACTCCGGGTCTCTATGCAGGACACAACAAGCTGAAAACTCATTCATGCTTTCCCTCTTCCTTGATCCATTGTCAGTTCATTGTACCAAGGGTAATTGACGGAAGGTCCGACAGCATGCTCTCGCGTAAGTCCTCGCTTCAGGCTGTCAAGCCCTACCAAACCTTAATTGATACTAGGTTTCGCCTGTAACACGCGAGAAGCATTACATCGGGTTCGCAATGAACAAAACAGCTTGGCAACCACCTTTTGCGATGACTTCGCATGGGGGATTTGCTCTCTCGGTGTGCCTAGTCATATGATGTTTCTCGTTGACAGCTCTTGGCGAGCAGCTAAACTCGATTTAGGACGAGACATTTCATGCCGGATGCCAGTATGTAACCTTATAGATATAAGGTTTGGTATTGAAACTGGTAAGCCCATGGGCTGATCCTCGGGTAATTAACCAAATCCCTCAATATATCCATTCAGCCTCAGCCTCTTCCTTTAAAAGATACGTTTCCTTATCCGCAGGAATCATTGCTAGGGTGGACGTTAAGGCTATGGAACCCCACAAGGGAATTGAAAAAACAAGGAAACGCCTCGAGAAAATAGAGACCTTTCGCACTCCTGTGGGTACCTAAAGTGCCTGCCTGACCCTCTTGGCTTCCCTTGGCGATTTGCTTTACCAGCTCCACGCGAGCCGGAGTGAAGCCTTTAACTTTGGAATCTCGATTCTGAACTTGGGGTCGATTGAGAGACCTCGTTATGCCCTTAGGGTACCTTGCTCTTATGCAAATCGAGGATCTACAGTTGTCAATGGGCTTGCCGTTTAAACGGCATGTCTTTTCACTACTGTGGATCGTTTCAGCGATTTTCCGTGGCAATACAATTAGCCCTTTAGTAGAGCCCTGGCCACATACCCCTGAAGTGCCACACGCGCACCTCTCCGTGCTGTGCTACTTGATGCGAAGCGCCGATTGGCGAGAACCACAGGGGAACGAGCGCTCTAGGCATGCTGAAATTAATGAGCCTCGCTTGTTTAGCGACAATATGTAGTGACTGCTTCAGGGGTCTCCAGGCTGCGCGGCGAATCGCACTTAAAAGGGATACAAATTCGTCTCAAGTGAACCCTGGCGAAAGGTCTCGAATGTGATACTGTGCTACCTTGCTGAATTATCAGGCTACTTTACTAGCGACTAGAAAGCTAATTCTTGCCAGGTTTGCTAGGGTCGGTTACAACCGTTGCGGTAAATATAGTCTTTGTTTCTGAACAAGGACGATCGGGGTCGGTACAATGGCTTCGCATTTGTTCATCTTGGCGACCACATCGAGTGATAGCATCATGCCAAAAAAGACCATTAGAGAGCCGGACACCGAAATAATAAAAGTCCGCAACTGCGAGCTGAGTGACGTCGAATTCGGGTATAAGTAGAAGGTCGTCCATCGCAAAAGAGAAAATACTTCTTCACCAGCACAGTTCTTTTCTTTGCTTTCCTATCATTAACCTCATCTCGATCTTTTCTTTTACAACATCCTTCTCTTCTACTTGTCCTTTTCTTCAAGAAAACACTAGTTCAATATGTTCTCTAAGACTCTCATCACTGCTCTTACAGTTGGCCTAGTTGCCTTCAGCAACGCCAGTCCACTTGTGAAGGTAAGAATAATAGTCTTGACGTCTAGACTTCTACTAATAACCAATAGCGTGCTACTACAGTTTCTAGTGACACCGGCGATGCGTCTATCACACCTGCAATTACAACTGAGCCAGTATCGTGAGTGTGTACAGAATAATCGATGATTCCCTGACTAACATTATCATAGCTTCCCGGATGATGTTGGAGGAAAAGTCGATGCTGCTGGTGCCGTAGCAGATGTTGTTAACAAAGTCGTGCAACTTGTTCAAGGACTTGTCGACGATGATATTAAGGTAAGAATATTCGTTGAGCATAAAGTAAATATTTACTAATATGAGGATAGCGTCGTCAACGATTTACTCAGGAAACTGTCGCGTCCGTGATCAACCAGTTCCCAACAAAGAATGTTGTAATGAGCAACGTCGGTTACAGTATCTCCTGTACCCCAGATGTAGTTTCATCAACTAGCTATAAGGCTAAGGTTGGCTCCAACGTCAGGTATGATTTACACAGCTTCTCTAACGTGCTTTTGGGCATATACTCACCCGTGGTAGCTACGATGTCCTGGTCTTTGGTTCAGGCTGCACTTTCGAACTCCAGGGGGATGGAGGATTTGAGAACGTAGGCAGCTATAATTCCCGGATTTGCAACGCATTTACTGACAACTTTTAGTGGGCGTACATCCGACAGGCATCTTGCACAGGAACTGGCAAATCTTTCACCTGCTAAATTTATTTCTAGTCTCTAGCGGGGCTTGACATACATCACGCTGGAAGTGCAGGATAACAGATCACAGACAAGCTGGCATTGAAATGGGATGGAGTATGGAATTGTTAGGAATTTCTTTTCTTGTTTAACATAACGGTCGCTACAATCAGAAAAACATTTTGACTTGCGCTTGGAATCAAAACGATTGTGAGGAAGCAAAACTCTGGCTCATTATTGAACTGCCTAATGACATATCTCGCTACGCTGTTGTTACTGACGAAACATGTTCTAATGTGAGTTGTAGAAGCTGGTCCCAGTATCCAGTTTAGCCTACGTGGTTGGTAAAGGCAAGCCTGGCATCGTGTCAAAGAAACGCTCAATTCGATATGACAGTAATCGCTAACCTCTTTGTTTTCGGGGCTGAACACCTATTATGCATAGTCGACCCAGGCATCGGGAATTTCCTTCACATGGGTATAGGTCCAAATACACTTCATTGCCGCTCTGGATTGACCACGGATCTAAGCGCACTAAGTCAGAATCTGGATCTTGCAAACAGAAATTCTCAATGTTGAGAAATCTGCTTACCTGACTGAATTCGAGACGGACCAGCGTTCTGCCATTTCCCAGATACTGCTCCTCGCAATCTACCAGATCAAAAGTTAAATTGCACTCTAAGACACTTCTGATCTCATCCAACGAGATCTCCATCTTGGGGCCTTGGATCAACAGAGTCCTACTCTGTCGACACTCCTCAGCTGATGCAGGGCAGACTTTGTTCTTGTTCCACTTGAACATCAATGGATATCCATGTGCAGAAAGCATACCACGGACGCCGAATTGCATGAATTGAACAGCAGATTCTCTGTCGAAGAATGTGAAGTCTCCAGCAGCCATAGGAAACCTTGGTGGGAAAGGATCATGTCTGTTCAAGGCAGCAACCCTGATATGCTGAGCAACTGAGAGCATCTCCTGTTGTGATTCCCATGGAGAGAAGCCTTTGACATGAACAGAGCAATTAAGCGCTGATGGGCAACTGGCGTTTTGGACTGTACGATAATCAATCTCACCCTTGTATTTGGGGTTTAGGTTCAATTTGGGTTCGACCACGCTACGCAAGGTCTCTGAAGACGTGGCGGCATTGATTCCTTGGCGGCTGCGCGAAGGAATAAATGGAATAAGCGGCGCCACGGCGCTTGGAAGCTGGGGGTAAGTGACCATCTGCATCATGTTCACTCCATGGGTCGACTGTTCTGGAGTGAAGGATGATGAATGTTGCGGAAAGCTTGGACAGCTTGGCGTAAAGGTATCGGCGTGGGGAGAAAGAACCTGACCAAGCATGGTTGGCTTTAATTTTGATGTGTAGTCAGATTCAAGGAAATTCTGGTGGTCGTAAAGCCGGGCCATGTCGAGTTCATTGTGTGGATTCGCATCTTTGAAAGTGGTGGAGGCTGTGTTATCTTTGTTTTGGAAAGAAGGGGATGCAGTAATTTGAGAATAGCTGGATTATCTGTTACCATTCCTATGCATAGAACTTATCGCGGTAGCGGCAGTATCTGGGTTGATAAAGTTCCAAGCGCACTGCTCCAGGTCTGAGACGCTCAGATCTAGGAAAAATCCTCTGGGTAGATGTCCGAAAGAATGATCCCGTGGGTCAAATCCTTACCGGAAATCAGATCAGAATCTACAACTGGAAGAGATGGTGCTAACCTGGTCGGTTCTTCAATCTCTCCAAGAGTTCTCCTAATATGGAAGGACTTCGCGATACACCTGCTACACAGAAGTCAGCAGATGTAAGGCTTGAGACTGGATGGGATTCTTACCCTTGACTATCTTACCAAGGATGTCGGCATGGATGATTCTAAGATCCTTCACGGTCATGCGGAATGGTTGGTATGCAAATATAGCTATGATAATTGTTAACTTACTCAATATACTTTCGTGCCGGCTAAATCTTACTAAGTGTATTGCAGTCCTGGGGTGGAAATGCTTCAGCATAGTTCTTTTGTGATGCGGGTCTGATAACTTTGAAACTTATCAGCATCATGCCTAGATCAAAGTCACTAGCAACTGCTTACCATGCTTTTCCGGTGTTAAACCGCTCATCGTGCAGGGACTCGTCAACTGTTACTTTATGGTGTAGCACTACGATGGTTTTGTGATGTTGCGTGAAGGGTTGATTTCGTGCAACGGCACAAATCTATGCTAAGAGGTCACAAGCAAAGCTCAAACCAGGCTACGCTTTGAGAAGCTGAGTATCCAGAGGCTAGAAAGCCTTCGCAGAAGTAAAAGTTGGAGGGATCTAGGCCTCATTCAAGTCGCGAGTTGTGAGTTGCTGATTTTCGGAGGAAAGCGACGTTGGTCAGTCCCATGGATGAGGCAAAGGTTGGCTGTATATAAAGATCATCAAGATTAGCCAGAGTGTTGGTCAATATAAGGTTGTTCTGATGGTGTATGGAAGTCAGTGCGTGTCATGAGGTTGAAGAACTTCATTGTTTTGATTCGGACGAAATAGGTTGAGGTTGAGCGACGTTACTCACGTGAGCAGACTTGAAACCATCGATGTGGTGGACACCAGAACTCCAGAGTCGATGCCAGAGAACTCCCGGCGTGCAAAAATGAATACGTGTTACGATTTAATCTCTCTTTATACGTTACATGACTTGTTAGAAAAGCTTTGAGAACTTTCTTTGTAAGATTCAGTCATTACCAGGACCGCCACTTCAGTCTGTTTGGATGCTTGGCGGCGCGCGTCGACACCTCTACCGTGTTACCTGGTATAATATCTACCCGCACGAACTGCGAGCTCGAAATATGATCAAATGGATTCTTTCTTCACGAGGTGCTCTATTCTCCGTTTTAGACGCCCTCGCTAAGCGAGGTAGGTAATGTGTGGTGTTATTAATCCACGCTCACCCGTCGGCTGAGCGAAAGGTTCGATTTGCTCTTATCAAAGGGCATGATAGTTTAGTGAGCTTCGGTTATTCAACTAAGTAGCTCCCGAGTTAGATAAGATGGTAGCAAAGTACCCGACCCTGAATTTAGCACACCAGGCTTGGTCGCAAACAATGTAAACAAACATCGGCGCTAAGAAGAGCGAAGCGAAGGCACGTGATGTGTGCAAACGTCCCTTGGAGTTGTCTTGGCACGGAAGCCCCTCTTTATGACATTCAGATTAGCTTGCAGGACTACATGTAGGATGTTCCAGTTTGTATACTGGGTCTGGTAGCTGGTGGATCAGATGATTGAAAATGCTTTGAATGCGTACGCAGCATTCGGTCCGCAGATTGAGAGAATGAACAGTCTGTAACCTCCATTTGTTCCAGATGATTGTCGATTATCTGAATGATTGATGTGGCCTGAGACCATCTTAGAACCAGAACATGTTTCATATTGGTGCTGGTGTTGGTGTCTTTGGAAGAATTTGTTAATACTCGAACCCGGAGTACGACAAGCACGCGTCAAGAAATGAATCAAAGACTGCAGACCCGGAGGTTGGCCTTGATGCTTCGAAGTGTAGAACCCGCGTTTAGAAGTCAAAGCATTTGTTCAGAGTACCCTGGGGCTTCGCTGGCAGAACAATGCCGGAGAGGCCAACCTTGTGCGGAGAGGCCACCCTGGTTCCTAGCGCCAACTGAGGATTAGACACATGGGAGACAACTCGATGCAGGGAGGGTATGTTAGACGTCTCTTTTAAGCAACGTAGACACAAAACTCTAAATCTATATAGCCGCGTTATCAGGCTAAGACATCATCAAATCGCTAGTTAGGTGGGATGATATTATGACAGATGATTCCGGCTCCGGATTATCATTCCCATGGCTGGGAATTCAGAACAGTTTCACCACCAGATGTTCTTTGGAGTCAACAAACACTAAATTTGAAGGTGCAAAAGATTATGGCTATATTGAAAGAGTGAGAATCGATCTTTCGTGTGCTGCAGGTTGGCTGTAAACCATAGTCAGATATCGTACACAAAGTGAGTCTCCCCTCTAATTTTGCCTCGAGCCAAAACCTGCATATATCAAGGCAGAAAGCCATGTCCCAAGTGCGACTTGCTTGTAGATACCGGGGTTATATCAGCAATCGCAATGGTCAGGCGCCCATTCAACATCGGCCAGCTCCCCGCAGGTGATATCCTTCTGTATTACGTTTTTCACATATCTCGCTTGGCTGTCCACTCGACCGAACCCTAGTTCCACCACCACTTGTCCGTCGGGTAAATAGGACTGGAGCGCATGGCTGATTTGGTATGTGAAGTTTTGCATGTTTCCCAGAAACTTCAACCAGAAATCCAAAGTCATGAACGGAGCCTTACCCAGTATTCTAAGCACGCGGCTCTCTGGACTCCTGAATTCGATATGGCCATGCATATTCCACTTTCCTACGACGGATTTACCAAACTCATGCCTGCCGGCTGGTGTCTTCAGGTAGTCGAGTAGCTTCGCCGCCCCGACATGCTTCGTAAACACTAGCTTTGCCGCGCATCGTGGCTTGGTCAATGTCGGCAAGTTGATGTGTGCTGCATAAACCGCTCCAGTGCGGACCCTGCTTAACAGCCATTCCGTGTTTATCCCTGTCGGGAGGTTCTCCAACCATATGGCACAGTTGAGCTCGTCTCTGAGTCCTGGAATCTGTGTTGTAAAGTATCGTGTTCTTGTGTCACCGCGGTATCTTGTGTTGGTGTGGTGGGGCTGGATAAAAAGCGGCTTATTGTCTTCTGAAACGCTTGATCTGGTGGCCATTGCGGTAACACCATCGAGTGCGGAGCCTTGCACAGGTGGCTCAGCCAATGTTCGGCAGCTTGGTAATAATGCGCCTGATGGGGGTCTTCCGCCGGGGACAAACCTACTCCTGGTACTCTCAATTCTGGACCCTCTGTAAGTAACAGCAGGATCATTGGGGGACGTTTTCGTCAAGCTTGAAAATATGAGCTCCGGCTGTCTACAAGTTGGCCTTTAGTCTGTCAGTTTACAGTATTGCAAGGGTGCATCACACATACGAAACAACACGGTCGTACTGGGTATCTCTGCTCATTTCATAGTTCGGTCTAGCGTTCCAGCACTCTGCTAGACTCTTTTCCAGGCTGGAAATTGACATTGCTGATTCTTGTGTTTCATGGCTGCTTCTAGCAAAAGTGAGCGTGCTGGGAGACTCGACAACAGAGTTTGAGTCTGACATTCTGGTTGGACGTTGGGGTTTCCGGGCTCAAAATGGATAGGTCGAGGCTCAACACTGTACTATAATGAACCACCAATTGCTGATTTTGACGCGAGTCGCCTGGGTACTCATCCTGTGTGTCATAGACGGATGCGTCTCAATTTACGAGAAACGAGACGAATTCTTGGGTGTGATTCTGAGGAGGCTTGTGTCGTGCGGTTGCAACTTGCACGTTACTGTCAGAACGTACCAGCTCAGACTTCGTCGTTTCCAGATGCAGGGCCTTCACTTCTCGGTTTCAGACGAGCCGGTGACAAAATATCGAAGGTGATTGCGCCTCCTTTGGGAGGTCTTCTCTGAAGTTCAGATGAGAGACATACCGTGGGGTTCTGTTCGTTGGCTTTCGGGCACTGTATGCTAGGCTCAAGGCTCAAATCAAGTCCGTATAAACACGGACAAATTGATTTTGTAGTTGTTGAGAAGAAAGAAGAAGCATGAAGGTTGGAGAGGAGGGGTATTTGTAGTGAAGGAGTCGTGCAGCTAAGCAAGGCTGGAAGAGGAAGGGGCGCACTTATCGTCTCTCAATAAGATTCACTAAAAATTCGTAGCTTCAACCCTATCAATCAATTTTTGATTTTTTCACTTCTCACCAAAGACATCAATGCTTATCGAAGATGGTCCATACCTAGCTCTAGACGTTTTAATGTTGAGCTCATTCTGGACACAGTAGGCGATTTGGTCTCTCGGAAAACATTCTTCGATGGTCACCTTTGTTTTTACAGCTTAACCTAAATTCCACGGATCTTCAATATCCAGACGACTGGTTTCTGTGCAGTTCTGGTCTCTTAATCTACCACTAAGATGACTAGGACCATGCTAACATGCATGTTCACGAACGTACAAGCTGTTCAATTTGCACATCATTTAATTCAACCGGACCCGATTTCTTCTGCATGGCTCAATTGTGATCATACTCAGAAGTCACCATTTCCGGCGTACTCCAAAAATTTGTGGATCTTTATTATCCACATATCCATTCATATCTCGATATTCTTGTTGGTCACACAAATTGGACCAAGGTCTAGCGGACTATGTACTGCAGGAGCTAGCAGCGACTATCCGTCTTTCAACACTGCGAAATGTTTCCTTGGGTATTCGAGAATATGCCGAAAAAGCGGCATTGTGCAAAGATTTATATGTAGATCCGACCTAGTCCTACCTCACTTTCACTGTTAAGTGATGTCACTCCCATTGGAATCAAGAACACAGTGGCCAGAAAGTCTTTGATTTCTTGAATATTTGCAGTAAAAGTGGCGGGATACCTCCTGCTTACTGCTTGAACTTTAGTTGGTCTAATTTTTAGGCAATGAGACGCCCCTGTTTGTTAAATTCTCAAGCATACAGAGCCTAGTTGAAATTATCGTGATGGGAAGAAAAAGCTATGAAACATCGCACAGGTTTCTGCAGTGTAAGCATATTTTTTTCTTCATCAAGTACGGCCAATCAGTGCCCAAGATTTCAGCCCGAGAAATCAAAAAAATCCAGAACAACTCACAGTCTCCCTCCCAGAGGCATGATTTTGGTTTATCCGGAGACAAACCAAAAGATGCAATACAACACATCTGCTTTGAAAGGTTCTTCAGCCCTTCCAGCAGCTGCAATTCTCGCAAAGTATCAGCCTTCTGGCTGTCTGCCGTCTACCTATCGTGAACATGGTAGATTAGTAGAGAAATCGACCTTGCAATTTGACGCGGCGTGCTGTAAGATCGTCACACCGATCTGGGGCAAAGCTTTCAAACAATTCCAGCAAACTCGTTCTGATTTTTGATGGCGCCGCGCCCCGCGCCCATACATGCGTGAACAAACACATCGGCGCTCTATATTTACGGCGGAAGGGATACAAAGACTTGCTTGTGCCTGGCCATCCCGGCCGAACCAATGAGAATTGCAAAATCATCTTGCCTAGATCCTGACAAGGAAACTCCAACACTCTACCCCACGAGAAAAGGCAAACTTTTCAAAAGTATGCCAACCAATATGCCAGCGTCATGATTCCACTCGGGCCTTTAATCAGCGAAACTCGGGATTGATGAGGATCGTTTCGCAGATTACCAACACGGTTAAATCTTACCCGAGTTGTGTGATTCTTGAGCCAGATGCCCTCAATCCTGTCTGCCTTGGCTTGAACTTATCTGCAGCTTCGGGAGCCATAAATGCCAACTTTGCTACAGAGGCTCGGTGATCATCATTCAAGGATAACGTGCGGCAGCACTGTACAGCTCCATTTTCTATTTTGTCGAATATCTCGCTCACATGCAGAGAAGATGGGATGTTCCAGATCCACAGCGTACAGTCATGACTATCTGGAAGGAGCAGGTGGACCTGGCGTCGGCTGACTGGGAAGCTTGGATCACCTCGGTAGTTTTGCTTCGCTTTCAAACTGTGCTGGTGATATAATTTTATTATATTTAAGCCACGCTGTTCGAGAATCATGTTGGTTGTTCTGAGTTTTCGAGGAGCTAGAGGTTCAAAAATTTGTTCAGGAGGGGAATCGCTGTGGAGGTTGTCTTGCTGAGTTATGGCATGTAAAATCGTTGGCAGAGGGTACCAGCAGGTATGGATTTCTCTGGGACTGTTGCTTTCGAGTGGCAACTTTGTTTGCATCTGTGGTTGGACAGGCCGGTGTGGCTGACAGCCGTTTCTACTTGGCCAATACTGAAGAGTAAGAGTTGTAACGATAGATGATTGCAAGCCATTCCGAACACCAGGTTATTCCTTGTACTTGGCTTTGGCTAACCGCTCCAGCTTGTAGCCACTGGAATTTGGCACGATCGAATCGATGCTGCTAGATCTCACCCGGAAGTTCTAAATTTTAGACAAGGACAACATTCAAGCATATTTGAGAACCTCTCATTGAATATATGCGTCGGTCTACCTGCAAGTCAGATCCTTCACACGCCCACAACTTTGAGTCAACAACCTCCATAATCGAGTTCTTAAAGGGCAATATGAAGCCCACGTTGGCAAAAGACCGCTTTGATGAGCATGGCATTTTACGCTTTAGTAGTGATGGTAAGTAGTGTTCAAGTTTTCTATTACCATTGTGCATATTATGACACGAATTCATATTTATCTGATCCCCTCATCCAAGATCAGCCAGGCGATTCATGCCACTGTGCAACGTGTGCACCGGGCCACATTTTCGAGTCTTGTCCCATACAAAACTCAGAATCTAACCAAGTTTTAGGTCGAGCCCTGGAGCAAGTCATTCGAGAGCCAATCAAAAATGCAAATTGGCATTTGATTCGTCGACTAAAGATTGCAGAAATCATGGCTGGGGTCAAAGATATGGCAGAAGAATGGGAAAGAGCTTGGTGTACGTCTACATGCATTGCCTTGATCAAGTCTGTAGAATTCTAACATTTCTTAGTTATTCAGAAGGAGATGAAGTATCTTGACACTTTAGAAGAGTATAAAGCCTTGGTAATGTACATAAACGAGATCAGAAGCACTGGGAGTACGTCCTTCCAAACTTATGTGCCGACTGGAACTAATGCATTCCCAGAATGGTTTGGAACACGATTTCATTTCCCCAACCTCGTAATTAGCAATATGTCTCTGGAGTACGGCATTGTAACAGACAAGGCTCCAATACCTTTGAAGTGGCAAGATAGCCAAGAACGTGTCGAGGTAGTGGGCCCAAAGGTTGTATCAGTTGATCCACCATCGACCACCCCAACTACCACACTACATCGGGATCCAAAGATGGAACAAGCTAGATTGCCTTCTATAATTGGCATTCCAATCCCTTCAGAAGGCAAGGATAGCTTCTCGACACCTTCTCTTGAGGAGCCACACCCCAATGCTGCGCATAATTCAGAACGATTCCGACCTTCTTTCTCGTTACAGAACAACAAACCCCCAATCGATCCTACCATTGCTCAACTGGCCCTCGACAGTGGAGTTACTATCGAGCCAAACTATGAAGGGGAGCTCACTTTGGCAACCATCAGAGACAGGACCTGCCCCGCCTATCAAAATGCCTCAGTGTACATCACCAATGTAGACCCAGCATGGACCACGGCAGAAATTTTCGATTGTGTACATGAAGGTGGTATTTACAAGTACTCTCGACAAGGTCCCACTGAATTCTACGAATCTTGTGCAGTGACCCTCACTTTCAAGCACCGACGAGCCGCCGTCAACTTTTTACACCGGGCCAAAACCGTAGGCGTGTACATCAAGGGCCAGGGGGTGAAAGTTGTTCCAAGCAGACATCATTGCTGGGGTATTGAAGAACACAGAGAGAAGCAAACGAGGGTGTTGCAGATTGAGGGCCCTGAAGCATTGGTAGATGCTAATGAGATTGAGGCTGAGCTTCACAAGAATATCTCCTTCAGCTTGGTGAAAACTGAGCAGTGGGTCAACGAGGGCCGGAAATTCGTCAATTTTCATTTCGAAAATATCTTTGGTAAGGAAAATCATTTCCAAATCATTTCTAGATGATATTCAAAATGACTGGGAGACTAACAAGCAATACTTCCAGGGCAATCCCGTGCTGCAGTTGCCTTCCTAGCCAGAACGGAGAAGTATAAACACGTTCTCACATGGCGGTATGCTGAAGATCCATGTGCAATTGATCGAAACTAGTTTTCGACTCCGAACAACTGAAGTGTTGAACTTTTACTACACTCGAACTGTTCTTCGACTGGTGACATCGCAGCTCTTTATTGGGAATTTGGAAAGGGACATGTTACAATGATAGGCCGAAGGTTCTTGATTTTTGGCGGGATGGAAAGACGGAGATCTTTGGACTCTTTTTGTTTCTCCCTCTTGTAGACTTTCACATCGCTTTTCCAGAATTTAAATTATTCTTGGGGCTTTATTTTTGATCATGCGTTGGATCGCAAACACAAAATTGGGGTATCCTTTCGGATCGGCGCGCAGAAAATTGATGAAGATGAGATCACGAATGAGGAAACCAATCCGTCATGCAGGTAGTATAAGTGAGATATCTGCCTTCCCACTTGGGCATTTTGGTCAAATTGATGCTGTAGAAATGGACGGCATTGTTGAACCTCATGCTAAGAATTCGCTTTGAAACCAAAAAGAGGTGTTTTAGCCCACTGTGCCTTGGCAGGTAGACTTCACAAGCACACAGCAAAATGCATGATACAGAGTCATGAAGGCCATTATCTGGCTGTTTCAAGAATGAGTTGTTCCCCCCTCTGAGATGACAGGCTACAACCCGCGAAAGCCTTTCTGTACAGTGTACACCTTCTCTGTTCCATAATACGGATGCCCTGTCCATGTAGTACAAAAGAATATCCTGATTGTCCTTTCCTATGTCCTTCTGCCAGCAGAAATTTCGAGTCGCCGTGTTGTCATTTTGGCGCAGACCATGGTACCAAATAATTCGCGTCACAGATATCTCGACCAAAAGTCACTGAAACCCCATCTTTGCCCACCTTCTGATGGTCTAACTTGATTTTCTCTAGGCATGACTTTGCCATACCAGCACTAAGGAAACGAAACTCTATGTTCATCCGGCCGGCAAGTGCGCAAGGTCGATAATTCCAGCGATCGAGTACATGAAAGCACGTACAATTAAAGGATTTCTTCCAGTACTCATAGGTCATAACATCAGCAGGTCCTTCGATGATTAAGACCCTTGTCTCTGGCCCCACATGATCCAAAGCGCCATCTCGATTGTAGGCAACGTGGAGTCTTACCCTACCCATATAGACATGAAAAGGTCCCTTGGCTTGGTCGATCAGGCGGGCAGCGCTCTCAGCTTTAGCGAACACCAGTTTCGCTGCTTGTTGTTGAGACCGATGGGCTTGATACACATTCAAAGTCTGCACTGCACCGCAATGGATGTAGTCGAAGATTTCGGAAGGGGTGACTTCTAGCGGAATGTTCGTAATGAAGATGGCGCAGTTGAGTTCTTCCGGAAGAGGCTCCATTGTTGCCGACTTAAATTTGGATTTGATATTTCCCCGTACAGTGCGGAACTCAGGTGAGAGAAATCTTGCTGATGTGATATCAGCGTGCTGTTGAATTGTGTGTGATAGACGAGCTGGTCTGGCGTTTGGCTTTGGAGTGGAGACAAACTGATTCAGATCATCCATAATCGCGGATCGACGCCAGGACATACGAGATTTGGAATTCAAGAGAGTGGCGGTACTGCGAGGTTTAGAGTGAGGTGATGGCTTTAGGGAAGATTTTGAAGCCTCGTGTGAGGTCGAGTGGCGCCAGGATCCTTGATGGTCGTTACTCAAGGTACCGGGTAAGATTTTTCTTGATGAGGAGTTGAACAAGGGATGGTTCGAGTTCGCCGTGGACGACTCTGGTGACTGGAGAGACAGAGTAGGCGATTTGGTGGATGTTCTGTGCATCATGGACGAACCGACCGAGAAGGGGTTATAGGCCTCAGCCTCAACCACGGAACTCGATCTCGTGATTTGAAATGCAAGCTGCTCCTTTCCGTGGAGGATCATAGTTGTGAGAGGTGGACCAAACTGCTCTACAGATAGGGGTACGGGGAGCAACGCATGTTTCCAAGAAGTCAGAGGTGGCAACTGTGCCCGAGTTATGTGCGTTTGAAGGGTGTCGGAGCAACCAAGGGCTTCCAAGGGGCTACTCAGTAATTGATGGCCACCAACGCCTTGTGATGGAGTATGGACAACTGTTCCGGACTGCAAAATGGGAGAGTAGAGCGAGTTGGTGATCCTGAGGCTGGAAAAATTAGATTCAAGGCAGGTTTTCTCTCCTATCTTGAGGTCAGCTTGGCTCATTATCCATTTGGTACGCGCTAGATACCGATGTGTGAGGGGCTTTTATCAGAGTCCGCGGCATCAAGCACTCGCTGTTGGGATTCCAGGCCGGTGCGCTTTTGCCGCTCTCCCAAGGGAATTCTCTTCATGGTGCAGAGAGCAATTTGCAAAAGATGCTTCTTGATCCAAGCAATGCATGCCAGGTCCAGATGTCCTGTTTCTGAGCAGCTTTCTAACAGTTCTTTTGACGAAACAAAACAAGATCGAATGACCAGTCGCAATTTTGTCGTCAGGAAGATAAAGCAAAAAGCGTTTCAGAAATTCGTAGAACTAACCTGGACTAGCTGTAAAAAAGACAAAGAATGACATGGCTGTAGTATATGGTGAATTCGAGGTGCATACTTGTGTGAAAGCTGAAGACTTCGCTTAGACTGGGGAAGTAATACTCATGCTCGGAGGGTGCCAAATGCTTGATGACCAATATGCTTCATTGCAGATTGAAGTGCTGTTCGATGTGTTATCGTGGCCGACCCAACAGCGCCTTCATGTCAACATATGAAGCGAAAATTGTCGTAAATATTGTTTACGTCCAAGCGCAAGTGCCGCCGTTGATCCTCTAAGCTGCGCGCTATCTACCATAATAAGCATTGAATATAACAACTTTAAGTCGCGAAGCTACTCGTCTCACAATGAGGAGCATCTTTCGTCCTCCTCGCGGTCATGTTCTGCATGGACAGACAAATTTCGGTATCGACTCAACCGAGGGTTTTCTGTATGCAGAGTTTCGAAGTCTTCATTCGGCGTCATATATGAAGACCGCCATTATAATCATCGTTACCATCCTATGCCATCAGTCCTCAGGCTCATCCTTAATAACAACCTCTCTCTCAACCCCATCCTCATCCACCCTCCCAACAACGACATCATCCCTCTTACTCCCACCTTGCCTCGCCTCCCTAATGTCAATAGTCCTACCCTTAGGTAGAACCGGATGTGCCAAAATCACGGTTTCAATCCCAGCCGGACTCAAATTCTCAGGACCCATGGGCAAGGCGTCAAGATCAATCTCCATGTTCAACAGACTCTTTAGGATGACCTCACTACCCGCTTTACTCATCACCTCATTGGCATGCTTGCACTGTTCGCTCGTTACGCACTCTTGGCAGCCCTCGTAGCAATGACAAGATTCTACTCTGCGAACAGCCTGTATAAGCAGCAGATCGACAAATTCGAATGCCTTGGTACTGATTCCCGAGCCGCCAGCTCCCCCTTTGGCATCGTAGAATGTCAGTCGGGCAGGCCGTTTACGCGAGGTTTCTTTTTGTGCAAATTCTTTTTGGGGAACTTTGCACTCGGTTCGTACGTCGCCGGGCATACTGACGACGAAGTTGGGCATGAGACTGAGGATGGCATGTTCGGCAGCATGAATGGCACCTGCGACATTCAAGCGTCTCTCGACTAAGATTTCTAGAGCCTGCTTGGGCACGTCAAGCCACATGCCTTTGCTGAAGATAATGACGGGTGGGTTGTCAACTTGCACGGCATCGAGAATTCGTCTTCGCTTATCAATTTTGAAGAAGCCAAAAACTGTCTGCTGGACCTTGATCGTGCCGTAGAAAGCTCGTGACAGTGATTTAGGTATACGTCGAATTGCTTCTGTTTCTATGGGGTCAATATCTGTGAAGTCCCGCTGCTGTGTAGTCCAGTCTACTTTGACCAACTCGACCCTGGCGATCTTGCGCTCCGGATTGAACTCCTTTACGAGGTAGGTGTTCCCTTGGTGAAGAAATATACCACCATCGTACAAAGTAAAGAAGGCTCTAGAGGCCTCGAGTTCTTCTAGAACAACATTTTTGCCATGGGTGATGTCAACGATTGCAAAGTGCTCCTCCTCCGTATCACGAATTGAAACGAACTTAGATGGGTAGGGGCGAAATCTATCGTGACAATGGTAAAAGCCCAGCTCGTCCTTGATCATTCGTTCCTCTGCTAACTCTGGCAGCATCTTCCCGAAATATGCAGAATCTTCTTCTGGGCGTATAGGCATTTCGTAGGCTGCACACTGAAGATGTCCCTCCAATACTAGAAGATTCTGTAAATCGACCTGCAACTCGCAATTTGGCTTCGTAAAAATCTCATCGGGATTCTGCATATAGTATTGATCTGTTGGGAAGCAATCTCCAAGAAGAACAGACAAAGAGTCTTTGTTTCGACGACCAGCACGACCGCTTTGCTGACGCAGATTTGATATCGAGTAAGGAAAGCCGACGGTAATGACGGCATCCAATGATCCGATGTCGACTCCTAGCTCGAGCGCCGTGGTGGCAACGATGCCCATGAGCTTTCCCTCGAACATCTCACTCTCGATTTGTCGTCTATCTTGTGGCGTATAGCCACCTCGATATCCCATTACTCGAGCCATACATTCAGACCGCTCCAGATTGGCAAGCTCTTGTTTCACGGCTCCCACAAGAGCCTCGCAACCTTTTCGTATTCTACAAAACGCAATCACTCTTACACCTCGGAGAATCAATTGACAGAACAGTCTTGCTGCTTCGCCCATCGTATCCCCTCGGCCACTTGCTGGGTCACCAGGGTCTTTGTACGGTGTATTCCAACATAGGAACTCTTTTCTTCCTGAAGGCGAGCCATCAAAGTCGGTCATTCGCACATCTTCGATGCCGAAGATGGTCTTGAAATGCTCGAGAGGATTTGCCACTGTAGCAGAACATGAAATAAATTTGATATGACGGTTCCCCACCGCAGCACATATCCTCCTCAGCCGTCGCATGATGAGCGCAACATGGGAGCCGAATAGTCCATTGTAGACATGGATCTCGTCAACTACGACGTACTTGAGGTTCTTAAGGAAAGTCCGCCACTTCTCTTCCTGAGGAAGAATGGTGATGTGAAGCATGTCTGGATTCGTGAAGATGATTCTGCCCTCATCCCGAATCAAGTTCCGATCAGCCATTGGGGTGTCTCCATCGAACGTCTCCACAATAGTCTGTTCGAGTCCAGTCATGAATCGCATCATCTCCTTAAGACTTCTCCGCTGATCCTGAGCTAGAGCTTTGGTAGGAAATATGTACATAGCTCTCGTGTTGTGATCTTGCTCGAGTTCGTGAAGGACAGGAAGTTGGTAGATCAGAGATTTCCCCGAGCTTGTAGAAGTAGAAACGATGACATGGTGTCCATCATGGAGATTGTTGATAGCTTCAGCTTGATGAGCATAGAGCTGGGTTATATTCTTGGTGTTATACAATGCATTGACAATATCTTGACTGAGAAGGAAATTCAAGTCACCGTAAATAGCTTCTTGCGGATCAAAGACTCGATGACCGTCTGGCACAATCTGTTGGGTGTACCACTCGCTCTCTTTCAGCTCCTTGATGATCTCGGCAATCATTTTCCGCTCTTTGGGGATCGTCTTTGGTAAGGTACTGATATCCGGCTTCGGCGTAGTACCGCGAGAGTAACTAGGCGCTGGAATATATGCTTCGGCCTCAGACTTCAGCGTCTCATTTGGGTCTGTACTTTCAGCCTGGCAGCGGTTCAGAAAGGCATTGATTGCACTCGTGAACTTGCTATTCCGCTTTTCGATCAGAGTAGTCATCTGCTTCTGACTAAAGACAGGCATCTTGAGGTCTTCATCTCGCAGCTTCCTGGTCGCTTTTGTGGCCTCTCCTGTCTTTTTGTCCTTGACTTGACGTTTCAGGTCCCCATCTACAAACTCAAAGAACAGGACCTCTTTTCCATCTCCAGTAGCACATTCGCCATATCCTAGCCCCTCATCGCCCGTAATGCCTCCAACGGATGCATCTGGAGCTGGACCAGCCGTATGCCATGTCTTCGCTCTACCACCCTTGAAAGTATCATCTCTCTCGGATCCTCTGACATCGACCTGCAGCATTGCTTCATCCACATACGCAAAATTCATCCCACCAGGACGCAATGCAACAATTCTTGCCACATCCTCAATCTTCAATTCTCGCTTTATATGTCCCTCGACAGTAGCTTTGATGTTATCGAAAGTTGTAGCAAGGTGTTTGCGCGTAGAGCAGAATGTGAAGACGAGGTTGAGTGCTCGATGAGTCTTCTCGAGCAATTGAAATGATGTAGGCCATGGTACGGCACTGGTGACGGCGTTGGACATAGAGGAGGCATTCCGAGATAGTTTGGGAGGCTCCTTTGTTTTTGGAATTCGCCGTGGCTTTGCACCACCATCGTGGGTCTTCGTGGCAACGGTAGAAGTGCTGGATGGGGCTTCAGAACTAGCTCCAGCTTGGGTTGAGCCTTCGCCTTCGTCATTCTCTTTCCGCTTGCGCTTCTTGACTATCTTGTTAGATACAGTAGCTGCCTTTAGGCCTGCCATGGCTGGTGGTATCGTTGGGAGTACAGCATGTTCAAGTTGAAAGACTCTTCCCAAAGCGAAGCATCATGACGAGTCGATTAGGTCGGTAAGACGCGACAGGAACGCGATCAACTTTGACGGGCTCGCACGTGATTCGGGAAAATCGAAAGTTTACCTACTATGTACAATTTGGATGACGACGCACGTTCAAAGGTCATAGAAACCTTGGTATTAATCTCCAGAGAATTTCAGAATTGTTTCTTTCGGATGCGCTGTCCGTATCTCAGCTATAATATATCCGCTAGTATTGAACGGATCTGCCCCTTCCTACCACGCTTATGCTGCCGTTCCTTGGTATGCCAAACTCCTCAAAAAAGACGTCCAATAATAGCAGATCTTCCTTCCAGCCGTCTCCCAAAGAAAGTGTTCACATGGCGTTGTATCTCTATGACAAAAGAAATTGTGTTCCAGAGCTGAGAGAGTGTAAGGCGATGCGAATATCAACCTTACTTGATACGTATGGTCTCATAGTTCCCGCTGAATAGAATCTATCTCCGCGTGAAAGAGCCTTGCATTAGCTTCAGACATCTATAGATGATTAGCAATGGAATTTAATCTCCTCGAAGAACGCTTGCCTTGAGGATCATGCTGACAGGCTTCGGTTCTTTATCGCCTTCAATTGCCGTGAACATGATCTGGGCTGTGCTCGTTCCTGGCTTGTCCGTGAATGACGTGCCTCGAAGAATAACAGTGTTTAGAATGACTCGATGTGTGTTTTCCTGACGCATAATTAAGCGTGGAATTCGAGGTCCTTCCGACTTGTTTTCTTCGTCTTCATCGTCGAGGGCTGAGGGGTCAAACGACCCGGGGATAGCTACTCCATTATCGTCGAAACTGGCACAAGAACACGGCACATTGATCTTGAGTGTCCCAACACCTCTTTCTTTCCATCCAATCTCCTTCGATTCCATGGCGAAGATCTTAGCCCGCAATTGAAGTAGTGTAGCCTCGCCAGCCTCGCCATCGTCTATGTGAACTATACAACTGTCAGCTGTAGTTGGGGTCATTTATATGTCAGTGTCAAGTACGATGCTTACCTTTTGCAGGCTTGGTCTTTTTCTTCTCTTCAGTAACGGCAATTCCCGCGTCTTCATTCTCAGAAGCTGCCTCTCCATCACTGCCTTCTTCGTCACTATCAGCATCATCGTCACTTTCTGGCGCACCGAATGCCTTTGCTGGTTTCGCTGGTGCTGGTACGTTCTCCTTTCCTGGAGCAGCAAAACTCGAGAGCTTCGGTCCTGCACCACCTGCAAATCCGTTCCCGAGCTTGGAGCCAAAGACACTGCCACTCGCAAGCCCGCCAAATCCAGACGTGGCTCCACCTCGGAAGCCAAATCCTGTCGTAGACTTATCACCAGACGCAAGCCCTCCAAATCCACTTGTAGTAGGTGCTGTTAAAGCGGGTGATTTCGCACTTGCTAGTGCGCCGAAACCAGACGTAGCAGGTGGAGCTGTGCCACTGAAGATGCTGGGTTTCGTGGCGCCCAGGCTGCCAAATGGAGAGCTGGAAGCCGCTGCAAGAGATGCAAAGCCAGAACTGGCAAATGCAGTAGTGGAGGTTTTTGGCTTATCGGAAGCGGTGTTGATAGAGGTTTCTTTCGAGGGTGACTTTGGTGCCTCGTCGCTAGTCTTTGATGCATTTGTTTCCGCCTGTAAGATAAAATTAGGGCGAGACTTCTCATTGCTTGAATAGTTCAACCTCACCTTTGTCTCCTTGGGTTTCTCTGCTGATTTTGGAAGCTCCTCTGACGTGTCTCGGGGGCGTTTCTTTTCTGGCTCCGACCTCGTCGTCCGACTCCCATTAATTGCGCTACCATCAGCTGAGGAAGCTGGCTCGTCAACATTATCCTCCCCAATATTCTTTGTGTCCTCGTCCTCGTCCTGGTCTCGACCTCTCTTCTTCTTGGGTGATGATATTCGTTCCCTCATTTCTTCATCCTGCGCCTCGCTCGACTCCAGATCTGGTGTTCCTGGCTTCGGTGTCCCTCCCATAACCTTATCCTCTGCTGCAGGCTCTACTGCGGGTTCTTGGACTCGAGGCTTCGTCGCAGTATTGTCGGAGATTGTGGTATGCTTCAACTCCTCGCTGGCAGCCATGGTTGCAGGGTCGTCCTTGTGTGCATCGCCGTGCTCGTGCCGCTCATCTTCAGCCAGAGTCATTGTTCGCGCTGGCAAGTCGTGATTGGATTCCATGATATCAGCGGTGCCGTTGCTGTTGACAAAGTCTTTGTTCTCAGAGCTCTTGTGGGGCAGGCCGTCTGCAGCAGAATTTGACGACCAGAAGGGGCGAATGATTGTGGTGCTCCGGGATCTTCATCCAAAAGATTTATGTTGTGTGCAGGGTAAGGGTAAGTACGGTAAGTATTGGATTTGTTTGTTTCGTTGCGATGCCCCTCCTGTGGTGGGCACGATCACGAGTGAGGAACAAGGCACGGCACAGGATGGGCTTTGGGGAAACGCGCAGAAAGGGCACCGGAGAGCGAGGAAGGGTTTTGCCGAGCTTTGCTTGTTGTCGAGGCCGCTTGCGCTAGTCATCCAGATACAAAAGTAAGATTACCAAGGTCGTCCGGAGACAACAACGTCCACGACGGTGACAATGAAAAACAACTCTCCTTCCAAGAAGCTGACGCAATTATGTATTCTCAATTTAAATCTTTCTCTATTATGCACAACGATCTTCTTCATACAATCCAGTCTTCAATACAACTCCATATCTTGCAACAATAGCCATCACTTCCCTATCGTGTTCACTTCAAACCTCTTCGTTATGTTGTCCTGAGCTGGCAGAGAAGCTGTCTTCGCTCTTTGGGCCCCATCACAATAGTCTTGAAGTTACTGAGTCTTGCTAAGCACTCGTCAACTACTGGAGCGATTCGTATCCAAAAGTCACTTTCTCGGAAGAGGGTTGAACGGGGTCTGGCTTCTGGGTGCTTGCAATATGTTTGGCGGATGATTCAATGCTGTTCTGCAGCCAACGGTCCCTCTATCGTGTCTCTACTCATGGTTGTCTTTGAGCTGTGTCTGCCCGAAGACGTATTTGCCATGTACGTTGCCCAAGTGGATGCGAGCGCTGATACTGCTGCACGATCGAGTTTTGCCAGTCAAGATAACCGGGGGGCTCAATGAGGCAAAGCGGAGTGCGATATGAGTATGAGAGATGAGATAACGTTTGTACGTAGAATGTCTAGCGTTTATCTTCTAACATTGGCCGCTCGAAGGTCTAAAATATACCATCATCACGATCTACCCTAAGACAAACCGTTCCACTTCCATCAAACGACAGATTTCTCAGCAACGAGCTCCTCGATATTGTTCACGATAATCTCAATGGGATCGAATGTCGCCATTTCAGCTTCCATCTCTTTCGCCCTCTTCTTGTACTTCGGGTTTGAGGTTACCTCATCCACGGCATTCAGAATCGCCTCATGAGTTGGCGTGGGAGTCTTCAAGTTGAACCCCATACCAGACCACTCAGCCCTAGCAGACACCTCTGGCTTGTCCTCACCTGCACCTGCAGTGATGATCGGTGTGCCATTGCTAATGGCGTGTTGGAACCCTCCATATCCACCATTCGTGACGAATGCTGCGCAATGCGGTAGGATTTCATCGAAGGGGATGAAGTCGATTACGCGAGTGTTCGCGGGAACCGAGATCTCTGCTGAAAGTGAAGCTCCCTTCTTTCCGAGTGCTACAATGAGTAGCGTATTTGGACGATCTTTGAGAGCCTCGATTGTTGGGATAATGAGCTCGTCGTAATTCAACGCTAAAGTCCCTTGACAAACAAAGATGATGTCCTTCTTCTCTATGTTGTCCACTACCTCGCTCCACCAAGAGGGAGGGTCTTTCATTGGATCTCTTGAGCCTTTTGGCAGTCCACCACCAAAACGAATGCTATCTGGCGCATCACTACGGAGATACTCAGCGGACGGGATGCACATCTGAATGAAGCGATCATGCACAAGGTAGCTCGCATCGAAGGGGTTTGTGTCGTCCATATCAGCCCCAACCTCAGCCATCATGTCTTTCCAGCACTTCAACACATCAAGGAAGAACATATCCCACGTTTGTTTCTGCATAGCAACATTCCTCTCACGGCCTTCCGGTGACGAGTCCGGAGGAAGCCCTGGACCGAAAGGCGGCAGATCGATACTGGACAGAAGCATGGGAACGATACCAATACCTATACTGGCTGTAGGCTTGATACCAGGCGCACCTCGCGTGATAGGAACACCGCCTTGGAAAACACTCTCCGCAATCTGCACGATCGATCTCCCAGGGTTCGCTTCCGACACCTTCTTGATCGCCCTTTGCATAGCAACGTGTTGTGAAGGAATGACCTTCAGGAATACGTGCTCCATATCATAAGCAAGCTGTACTGGGCCTTGAGGTAGTGCAAATCGCTCTGAGAAGCGACTTTCGAAGTCCCCTTCGTAGAAATCGCCGTAGCCTTCAATGGAGACATAGTCACATCCGATTTCTTCGAGGGCAGGTCGGAAATGCGTTGCGGACACGAATGTCACTTCGTAGCCGCGGGCGACGAGAAGTTTGGCGATTGAGCGGATGGGCATAATGTGTCCGTAAATAGGTGTACAACCTATCACTAGAAGGGGTTTGGTTGATGCCATGGTGGAGTATCCAGACTTTATGTCAAGTGAATGAAGGCAATGAAAGATGGCAGAGAGACGAAGCAAAAGGCTTTCAAGTGATAGACAGAATAAAGTGCTGGAATAAAAGTATTGAGAAATCGAGGGGCTACCTTCCACTTTATAATATAAACCCTTGCTCCATAATAATTCAGCCCAACAGATCAGATCCAAGAATATGCTTACTTCGAGATAGCGTTCGTTCGACACATGTCAGCCTGGGTGGACCCTTCCAACGCAATGCCAGCCTGAACAGCGTTAATCTCAACTTCACGGTCAGAATGTTGTTTTAGGCTACACACTAGTCAAAACAAGCTTCTAATCTGTTCCTAAACTGACGACTTAGGGATGACATTGAGTCCCATCACCAATAGAAACCTAAGAAATCCATCTCGCCAGCTGCGGCGTAGTACCATCATGAGTCCTGCAGCAGTAGAATGATCCAATGACTAAACCCCAGTCGTGTTCAATGGAGTTGACGAGTTGACCTGTCGGCTGGGACCAATAGACTGCTGACAGACGAGCCAGCCTGTCATGGACCATTTGAAGTCTTGGAGACCCCAGTGCTGCATGTTTCTGATATTCAACGGGGATTCGCCCTACGCGAGGGACGGCAGCCGACAACAAAGATGACAGAGGATACAACATTCAGATATTTCTAGCGATCTATTTGACATACATGGGCAATGTCCTGTTCTCAAGCTCAATGGTATCATGCAAATTTGTAAATACGGGTCCCACCAATTCTTGTGTCCAACACTTCAGGTTAGTGCTGACAGCAACTCGCGATAATGAAACCTTGGAACGTTGAGGGTCTGAAGATAGAGCCAACCAAGAGAGAAAATTCTCGCAGCTTCCTACCCAAAGAGGATATGAGACCGTTATTTTTTAAAAGGCTCGCTTACGAGTAAGCATTCGTAAGGAAGACCAATGGCGGTACAATGAAGAGTCCCCACTTGACATCACATGTGTCAAGGCTTGAACGGGGAATCCGACGGTGTGAATTCCATCTTCAACTCCCTGGAATAACAATTTTTGTGGGCCCACTACAATTAAATGCAATATGACACCTGAGCGTGGAAAGTGGGGGGTCCCAAACGCATTAACCGTTGTTGCGGTTGCGCACTACATGGTACGGCAGCCCTTTGGCTCTCAGTGTGCTTGAGCCAACCGAGCTTCCTATTCCGTAAGCATCAACAACACACACGAAGCCGAGAAACGTGAAGCTCATCGATGGACTTCCACCCCCAAAAAAGAAAGAGAAGAGAAAAACGCAGAATAGCCAGGCTATCACTCAACTCGGAGTCAGCCAAGCTTCCTGTCCCGCAAGCATGACTGCACAGACATCGCAAATGAACATGCATCAAGTTCAGACCAAGGAAGTCAAGCCAACAATTCTCGCCTCTCTCAGCACAGCATAGCACCCTAACCAAAGAACGACATCCTTTAAAATCTAGTCTTCGCAAACTGATCGCAGGCCCCATACCTGTCTAGTAATGCACAGCCGTAACCCTAACCTTCACACCCTGACTCCCCGGCTTCGGCTCGCCCAAAAAGCAATCTCTCACAATTTTGATATCACGGTCGTAATCCGTATCAAAGAGCTCCAAGTCGAAGCGCCGTACTATCATCGCGAGTGCCATGTAGAGCTCTGCGTAAGCGAGTCTGCGAGGGTTGGTTAGCTGTCTCCAGATATAGGGGCTGGTGAGGGGAAATGTTCAGAGTAGGAAAGGCCATGGATTTGGTGGAAAACTTAAGGGCTATTGGGACTTACTCGATTCCGGGACAGATTCGTGTTCCTCTTGAGAATGGAAGGTAATAGCGTGTCAGGTCTCTACCATCTCTTGAGAGTGCGCCGTTGAGCCAGCGTTCTGGCTGGAAGGTCTCTGGGAAGGGGAATATGGTGGGGTCGTGCATTGTTGAGCGGGTCGTCATGCTCACGGGTGTCTGTGTATTGTCAGATTAAAAAGCTTTACAAGTGGCGATCTTAGGATGAGGAGTATGGAGGTTTGATAGCTGGCGGGGGTGGCTTACATGAGGAGGAATGACCCAATCTTTGTACTTCAAAGTTTCAGGCGTGGTAAGTGGAAAACGTGTTGTAAACACTGCCGAAGTCCTAAACGTCTCCTTGATAACAGCGTGCAGCCAAGGCAAGCTCTCCAATACCTTTACCGGAGGAACAACAGACGGGTCTGGCATTGCGTGAAGCAATTCTTTCTTCAAACTCTCCATCGCATAAGGAGTAGTTAGTAAGTAATAAGTAGCTAACATCAGAGTACGAGAAGTACTCTCACTTCCCGCCACGATCATCACGAGACCTTCTTGGGATAAGCGGTTCAGACTCTTCTCCTCAACTGGTAGACTATTTTGGTAGATACCGTGGAAGACAGTTGGTGGTCTCTCTGTGCGCTTGATTGCGGCTGGAGTGGGATGTGTCTTCTCGTTCTCGAGGAATGCGGTCGCTTGGATTTTCATTTCCTGAATCTCATCAGCTCGCCTTTGGAAAGAATGTTATTGACCAAACCTACCTTATGTAGCTCCAGAAATCTAGAGAGCACCGGAACAGCCAACTGGAACACCCACAGCGGCAATTTCAACGCCACTTTGATCATCCACGGAAACTGTCTTAGAAGCGGAAAGACAGCGCCAACCATCCTCAGCGTCTCTGCCCAGTCCTCCAACCCGTCAACATTACCCTGCAATCCATCTGACCTAGCAAAAGCAAATTCCGAGACTGAGTCTGTGGTGTAACCCAAATAGCGAATATGCAGCTTGACAACTTCATTGTTGGCGTATGACTCTTTCAAAGTCTGGCATAATTTCTCGGCTTGTTTTCTAAGCAGAGGTTCTGCGTCCGCAACAGATCGCTTAGAGAAGAATGGGCTTGTGGCGAGTTTTCGTTTGCGGTGGATGTTGTGCTCCACCGTTCCGAAAGCTGGAGATGTCACTATTCATCTGACTAGTTATGGTGTTTGAACGATAGACTTACCAGCCTGTGGGTTTCCGGTCATTGCAGCAAATGGTGGGTATTTGTCTCTATGCGTTGGGTTCCCTGCATACAAAACATCTATCCACTCCGGATCTCTCACGTGGAGTTCATCTGGATTTATTCTCACAATTGGACCTTTTGACGTTCTCGTCAGTCTTTGATTCACTTTGATCCACGGATATATGGGATTGCTTACCATACACTTCATGCATCCGGTCTATTTCCCACGCAAACTGACCACCCATCCCCTTTACCAGATCAAAGTAGAATTCATACCACCTTGTTGCCGCCGCGAACTTCGGACCTGGATACTTCCGCAATGGGTGGAAGAAAAGTCTGTAGATGACTAGGCTAACACCGTAGAGAACTGCGCAGGTTCCTAGGCTGAGGGAGAGTTGGACGGGTGAAAGGATCATCGTGGAGCTATCTTCGTATCGAAACGTTGCGTGCTTGTCGTAGACGACCGCCGCTAGATGTGTCTGAAGCTTTCTTTGTTTGCAGCCTCAGAAATTTGTCGGCAGGGGATAGTGATAGTGAGTCCATATGCAACCTCGCAGTGAAGGTAAAATCTCGCCAGATAGTGAGTGACTCCAGCAAGGACTAGACATAGGTGTCAAACCAATGACTGTGCTTTCATCTGATTCACTGCTCAATGACGCACTCAAGCTCGAATCACAATTTCCAATTCAGGAGTAAGTACGAATATCCGGCACTTCCCTTCGAACAAGAAGTTAGAACGCATGAAGTCTGCTCCGCAGCCAGTCAAGAAATTCTCAAGCCGACACCCTGCATACTTATCCAACAGTGCCATCACACACTGATACCGCTCCCTTACATTAACGACAGATAGGAAGGCGGAAATCAAGCGACTGGGATGGGGACCGACTGGTTATTTTCCAAGAGCCGGGGCAAACAATTCGACCCACTTCGGACATACTTTAGTCTCCTGTACGAAAGGATACCTGGATCCAATTATTGCCGGCAAGCAGTCCACTCTACTTTGCAAGGCTCATCCCAGACGGATGAATGCAACCTTGGCTTTGGGATGATTACGATCTCGCTAAGGATGATCAATGAAATGGTGCGATGGATTGCTGGGAAACATAGAGGGCGATCGTTCATCAATCTAGAACCCGAAGACAGCTTCTTCAGGACGCAAATACAGATGCTTTCGCCGATGCCTTGCAAACAGGACTATCAGTATTGATATCGTAATTTTTCGCTTCCAACGCTGCAAGCTGCATCTGCGAAACTTAAACAAGCAAGTATGAGCATGGAGCAATGAGTAAGAAATGTCCCCGATGCCGTGACGTCTCCATGTAAGCGTTATCAGCCCCTCACGCAGCAGCTCGATTGGGATAGAACATCAAGCTGCACGTTTCTTCTCTGCTCCGGCTTGGTTCAACTATCATTTGACAATTCGACTTCCTCGACCGCTGGAGGAGGGGCATCTCACCTGCAGGCAAGGCAAGGCAAGGCAAGGCAAGGCAAAACAGCGGACGGACGACGGGACGGAAGGAAGGGAGGCAAAAGGGAGAGAGAGTGGAAGAGCGGTGGGTGGTGACTGAATGCATTGCATTGTTACACTCCACATGCTGTTGGTATTTCTGCTGGAAGACGGGAACGAATAACAGCTTGCTAGACAGCGGGATGGCGCACAGAGGAGGGAAACTATGACCCAGGCTCCGGAGGCTTGTTATCAAGTGTCAAGCGATGCAACTTGCAGCAGTTGTTTGACTCGGATGTCGTGGCATGTTATGTACGGTACTACGGGGACTGACTACCTTACCTACCTTGGGTACTACTGTGGCTCGATCGATGCAGGTTGTGGAACAATCCGTTGACGTGTCGCTGGATTCTGCAGCATGAGGAAGAGGGTGTGCGAGTGGCCAGTAGTGGCCAGTTAAAGTTACTTCGTTACGGGAGTTGGGAATGCGGTGCCGAGGTTGGGGGGGGTGCAAGCAGGCCTTGGGATTTGGGGGCGTTGCCGTTGCCGTTACATTTAATATTGTGAGATGTGAGATGTGAGATGAATTGGACGACCGACTGCCGGGGTCTCGTATCTCGCTTGGACGACATCCAACAAAGTCCCAAGTTCCAACACAATGGAAAAATTCTTCTTTTCCCTCACATCACGTTGTTGGTTTACCGCGCCGATCTGTTGGTCAATATAATTGTTGGAGATCCCGATGCTGCAATAATCCATTCCAACTTGCATCGGCCAGTCATTACAGTACTGGTATTATTATTAAGGTTAATGGAACATCTCGGAGCGGCTGGAGACCCCGAGCCGCTGTTCCCAATCTCTTTCCCTCCCCCTCCCCCTCCCCCTCTCCCTCGCCTGCGCAACAGTACAGTAGTAGTAACACTGTCCACCAGGACCACCACAGCGCAAACAGAGAGTGGAACGTCCCCCCTGGGTGGGAGCGTGAACAATTTTGGTGCTGGACTCCAGAGTCCAGGCCTTTTATGGAAGCGAGCTCCACAGCAAGAGCCTTCAGATGAACCCTTACCTGGACAACAACCCTCCACTCCACCCCGCTTAACCGCTTAATTGACCCCTCCTCTTGGCCCTTGGACTCTTTTGCCTTCTCAGTCTGGCACCATTTCAAAAAGTCAAATACCCACCATTCCCTTATCGAACTTCGGGAAGCAAGTGAGCCGTCCACAATAATAATGGCGCCGCTGTCAAGTCAAGTAGTCAAGTGAAGGTACGCTAATGTACGACAGAAGCAAGCCGATGCCACCCTGCATTTGATTCTGGGTAGTCAGTCTTCTTAGCAATCTCCTGGTCATGGAAACATAATGATGCCAGGGTGTATTTTCTTCCACCGCGTGCGGCCGAACCTAGTCTCTGGAAGAATTGTGTTTCTGTTTGTGCTTGATGCTGCTGCTGCCGTTGGCGGTGTCTGGTAAGAGTTTTGGATGCAGGACTGGCTAGCTTGCATCACTCGTGAAGTTGCGTCTGGGATGGAGATTCCCGACGGAGGTATGGGCAGGTGGGTAGGAATAGGCGGTACGGGCCTTGCTTGGAGTGGAGCTTCAGCCAGGAGCTCGAATGAAGAGATCTTGAGCAGAAGGGGATGCTGAAGCTTACGTACTAAGAGTTTGGCAAGCGGGAATGGCGGCTTCGACATCTGTTCGGTCGAAATTCGTGAAGAGGGACTGTGAATGTACAGGTAAAGAATGGACATGATTGACACTGTGAATAAGTTGAATAAATGAGTCTTTCGAGTGGCAATGAATGTACAATCTCGTACCAAGATATGGTTTAGCGACACGCGATTGCTTCCATGTGGCGCGAATATAAGACTCCAAAACCACAAACTTTCTGTGTTTGCCAATCCTATTCGTCTTTTAATCTCGAAAAGGTTGATAAGGAAAATACACCGCTTCCATATCGTCCACCAACAAATACATTTCCAACAGATGTCGAGATAATTCGAGTCGACCCGAACCCCTTGCCTCCAAACACCCCGATCCCAGCCAAATAACCTAGTCCCTTCAGCGCCAAGAGCCTCATCCAACTCCCCTAATGCCAGTCAGTGGGGAAATTCGACAGTAGCGCATCTCCTTCTACCTTCTCCATCCGACTCCGCTGATCCCATAAACACGCCGCCTATTCCCGATTCTTTGGGTTTAACCCACTGGTATTTGGGAGGAAAACTAAACAGCCTTCATTTCACTCGACGCCACATCCTCACATACACCCCATCCCACTTCTTCTACTTCTCGCCCTCCTATCCATGAACTTGTCAATCGCGCTGCGATTTTCAACCTGAATCCCTGAACCTTGGTCTCCTAAAACCTTAATTCTGCTCAGTCTGTACTCGACGATACTTGGGACCGACTTTGGGTTTGAGACAGACACTTGGGATTTGTATCGGTACCGACAACATGGGAACGGAAGCGAAGCCCACGGCAAAATTGGAGGTGAAGATCAACCAGCGCCAGCAGCTACTAGACAGCATTCGAGGCAAGACAGTCACGATCCCGAATCTGAGGCCGATTTTTGAGAAGTATACTGGGGCTATCAATCCCAATTACCAGGCAATGATACCAGTAGTGGATAGTCATCTTGAGAGGTAAGTCTTTTTTTCTTGTTTTCCGTCAAGACGCCTTTGTGATGATGCAATGGGGCTGATGATCTGTTGTAGTCTGGTCCCAAACGAGAAGAGATTAGCGAAATTGAAGACCGCGGATTTCGCTCTATTTGCTTCGAATGTAAGTGTCCCAACAAGAATTTGAAGAAATCCGTCTTCCAGAATTTCCTTTTCCATCCACGCGAAAATGTAGATTCAACAATGGAATTTTGGACTAACATGGATACAGTGGTGGCCGACCGCGGAATTCAGAGAACTTCGAATCGTGGCTTTCTTAGCAATATGGCTTTTCCTCTGGGATGATGCACTTGATGAGCCAACTGGAGAATACGCCGACAATTTCGAAGCTGCGCAGCTTTACCGGTCTGAGACCGAGCAGTTCTTAGCCGATTGTCTGGGTCTCAGCACCTCAAAGGAGCTCTCCACTGTTGTGACTTACCCTGCGATCGATAGTCTGAAGGGCTTTGGGGTGTACGTAAAGCACATGCTGCTTGGATACCTCCTCGAAGCGAGTTCAGAAGCAAAAAGAACAGTGGAGACCAGTGGTTTCTTCGGCAGCGTGAAAATCCTGGGGAAGCAAGTGAAGAAAGTAGTTTTCTGGACTTTGGGTATAAAGACCATAAAAAATATGTTTCCACCGCGTTCTTCTCATCCGATCATTGAGAGCTTCAGAGTCATTGGCGATGAACTCAAGCTCGCTTACACTATTGGTAAGACATCGTGTAACCTGACCATCTTCACAAGATGCTGATTGGATACCAGAACAACGACAAAATTTCTTTGAAGACATGAAATTCTACATCGCGACCACAGAAACGGAACAGCGTTACAAGCTTGACGGTAAGATTCCGACACTGGAGGAGTACTGGGAGGCCAGGATGGGCACGAGTGCTGTTGCAGCCTGCTTGGCCATGATAGAGTGAGTTCGACCAGCTTAATAGTGAGAAGTCGTACTGATAGGCCTTAAAGACTGGTGCATCATATCAAGGGGCCATATCGATCGACGAACCATCCAACATTGAAGAAGCTGTCTGATGAGTCGAACATCATTGTTGTAATGTAAGATATATCAAGAATCGCACAACCAGGGCTTTTACTAACAAATAAAATAGTGCAAACGACATGCTATCGTTGAAGAAAGAAATAGTAAGACCATCCTGCGCGGACTCGCTTATGACTACTGACGGGTCGCTAGGTCCAAAAACAAATAGATAGTCTGATTCCGCTGTCCGTCCCTGTTTATGGCGGCGTCCAAGAAGCGATTGACCAAGCCCACGTCGATCTCCTAGCGGCAGTTGCTCGGTTCGATGCGGAAGCAGAGAAGATCTTGTCTGAGCCAAATACCACTGGCATGTCAGACAGCGAGCTTCGATTGTTCGTTGAAGGCTGCAGGAAATGCTGGGTGGGCAATTTCAACTGGAGCCTATGCACTGGCCGATATGGACTAGGCGCCATCGACCAGAAGAACGGGAGCTTTTCGCTCTCCCTTTGATTGAGACTTGACTTTGGCAATGTTCAACCCCGATGAAGAACCTAATGACAAAGTTTCTTGGGTTTCTGGAGTTTTCTTGGATTTCTAGAGGGTGGATCTTGTTCTCAAAGACTTTTGGCGTTCTCGTCCTTTACCTTATTGAAGGGGGTTTTCTTTTTAGCGAGCGATTGATTCTGCATTTAGATTGATATCCCAATAGAGCTTGGATATTTCCAGACATTAAATCAACGATCCTCCTGCGCAAATAAGGTTCCGAGACTTTGAAGGTCTAGTCAGTTATCGAATTGGTACATGGTGCCAAAATGAATTGCTGTGACGGAAATAATCTCCTTTGGCCAATTCTGCAGGTCTCCCTCTATGTTCGGCTGCAGATCGGAATCTTTTGCGATGATTCATGACTACAATAGCCAAAGCGGCGATATAACATGTGAGAGATGGGTATGAGTTGGACAGGACCAGCATGAAGCCGACGGTGATGGCTACATCTGAGCTTGACTCTGACCATCGTCATAGATGATCGTATTGATTTGTAGATACTGGCCGTGTTTCCAATATGCAAGCCCCGTTGTACAGAAGCTTCATCTAGGTGACGATGACACAGCATGAAATGATAGTGACACAGCATTACTGCAGGAAATCAGGGTCATTGCTAACACGAGACTCCATGCATCTCCGATGGGTAAATTCGTGTTTTTGCACGTCTGTACGACCACAACACTTTTCTAGTCTCCAGCTTGGTACCATGTACAAAGAACAAAAAAGAAACCCTTGACGTAAGAAACCCAAAACAATTGATGTCGAAGACAGGGAGGATGCTCAGGATCAACTACACTAAATAGAAGTCGTCCATCATCGATGAGATCAAATATTAAGGGTTCTTGAGGACTCTCTGGAACCACTGGACCTGGGCAGGCGATCAAATGATTCGACTTTCACACGACTACCGAATGGCTGGGAACAAGGTTCGAATCTTCCGAGAACAGATGGCCACACGTGGACGCCTCCATCTGGATGGTTTCGCCCTCTGAAACATATCCAATGGGAATAGTAGTAAATGACAGGCAAGCGGGAGATCGGCATGGGTGGAACAAAATTGTAGGATTTGTTGAAGCTAGAATTTGCTTCTTCTTCGCCGTGGTGAGCTCAAAGATACTGTGTCTGCATGCGTCTGGTCAGAGGCGTTGGGAAGCCCACGTGGCAGCCAATATTGTCGTTCAAGCAGATTGGATGGCAGAGCACATAGACTACTCCGCAACTGGTCTCAGTGCCGAACACAACAGGATTGGAGCGGTTGGTGAATCATCGTGAGTTGGATAATGGGATGAGGATGGGATGATCCCAAGACGAATTCAGAATGGCGCCTGCTCCGCTGTTGAAGGGGCACGGGGGTTGCTCGCTTGCCGGCTGGGACAGTGGAACTGAAACATCCTAGAAATCCTTCGCCTCTAGCTCTGAGCTCTCCACAGTAGTCTTCTGTCCAAATTTACGACGACAACACAGGTCATGACCTCCAATCGCTCCGTGGCTTCCAGACACATCCACCACTGTCTCTCTCTCAGCCCCTCTGTTTCTTGTAAATATATTCCCCTCGCCGGAGCCGTGCCATCCATTGGTTACCGGCCCAGCGCAATCTGATCCGACCAGGACACCCACCCCCCCCCCCCCCCCCCGCCAGATACAGGACCCAACCTGTCAGAGAAGCGCCGAGACACATGTGCAACCATCGTGAACTTCGTCTAGTCTCTCAGGACTGGCTTCTCATGTCGAACCAGTCCTGAGTCGGTGAGGGCCCCGAGAACAGACTGGATCAAAGAGGGCGAGCTTCCAAGGCAGACTGGGATATGGCTGTGCAGCGATTCCATTCTGCAGTACCAAAGTGTCTCGTCTATTTTTTTCGCTGGCTTGAATCCAATTTGCTGTTGATTGCGGTCTACTCAATCCATCAGACCACTTGGGTGTCTGTCATACCTAGTGAGTTGCGTACCGAAAGAGGGGAAATACCTAGAGGGCACATTGTCGTCGTCCCAGTGAGCGCTGCAGACCCACATCACATCATATCACGCGCGTCTATTTTCTTCTGGGAGGAGGAGGAGGAGGAGCAGTCCATGCATGTCAGCAAGGTTTCTAGAAGAAAAAAAGCCAACGTCCTACAGTACGAGTGAATACCTATGCACTGTAACCAAGTGGAAGCATGCATAGGTCGCTGGAAGTCAAATTGGAGATTCGGTGGACTGGCGACCCCTGGCCATTCCGTCCCCCCATCCTTTCTCCTCTCTCTTGCCGCCCCGTCCTGGTACCTTCAGCGGACGGGACCGCATGTTTGCTTACAATATGCAGCCCAGGCTGCGGCCTCTCAAGTCCGAGGTCAAACATAGATATATCTTACCATTTTATATCTGACGTATCGACTTTTGCTTCTTACCGCAGCGTTGCTTGCTCATTCAGCATTTGAATCTCGCTCTACTCGGTGTGGGGGCTTCGTTGAGACTGTACTTCTCTCAGCTCACTTACTCGGCTATCACATCCTGTTCTGTCTGTCTCTGATCAGTTATCGTGAGACCAATCCTTTCCGAGACGAGACAAACGCCCCGAACCGACAGCCTCACTTTTTCTTTCTCGTCCCTGCAATCGCCCTTCCATAGTGCCATACTTCTGCGAAAAAACATCTGCGCTTGAACCAGTTTCTTCTACATTAACTGGCTGAGGATACTTACCACACTGAAACGCCGTGCAGCTGCATCACCCAGGCCCTGCCTAGGACGCAGCCACCTCCAAATCCAACTGGAGTCAACATCATCGATCGTCAGACGTTTCTGCAACCGAAACACGAAACGATAACGAGCAACGATTGCCGGCCCTGGTGCAGTGCCAGATAGATTGGCCAGCCCTGCTTCAATTGGACCTACTCTTCCAAAACAGACCACAGGAAGTGGGGTCGATCGATTTCAACCCCCAGGTGATAGTGTGGGGTCGTTCAGTATTCTACCTTGCTGTTACCAGTATCATTTGGGGCCAACTGATTTGATGCATGTGTTCGTCGGCTGAGAGGAACGCTCAAATCGGACATATATGACGGCGGTAGAAGCTCGAAGAAGTCTTCGGGATTTCGATGACTGAGACAGTTCACTTTTCTTCTTCCAAGGCTGAACTTTCCTTGAGAGACATACCTGAACGAATTGAATGCACCGGGAAAACAACCAAACTTTGCACCCTTGAGCACCGCTTCCATATAAGTCAAGGACATCCTCATCCTCTCAAGCTTCTTTCTATATCTTGCCAAACCCAAGACTCCTACTCACCCTCCCCACCGTCTCCCAACTCAAACTCATCGGCTCTCTTCAAACCTCTGATATCAAAGCAAAGACCTCGAAGATCATCCACCAAAAACTATCATCCAACATGACTTCCAAAGTCCCTCAACAACCAATCAACACTATGGCTATTGCAGCCCCGAAGCCTCTCGTCAATCACTGCTGCGGTTATTGCTGTAAAGAGGAACAGTACGGCCACCATGACTTCTGTGGATGGTGCGAGAACACGGATTGTCTATAGGCACAACTGTTACGGTTGCTTGTCTTCGTGCTCCTCGAGCACTCTGATGCTACGATTATCCCAGCGGACCTCCCTATCGACATCAACCTCGACATTCCATCCTAGGATGGAGATACAATACCCCATTATCATCCTGCGAAACTAATACGAGACACCAAATCAACCCTCCGTCATCCAATCACATCCACCTCCATATCCCCGTATCACAACATCAGACTGCATACTGCAGCCGGCCTCCAAATCTTGCCCCTCCACCACTACAGGCGAGTAGTCCAAGGTCCTACCAAGAACTTCATTGGCACTCGCGAAACACCTTGTATACGCCAGCTACCCCGGTTGGGCTAGCGTTTGTTTACTTTCGGTCTTATCTTTACTTCTCAGGCGCGCGGATTTTTGCTAGGACAAATTCGGATTGGACGCTATTCGGGATTGGCATTGCGAATCTAGGAACAAGCGAATGTGGCATTTACGACGGTTCCGGGATATGTGGGATTGGGCTTTTCTTTCTTTCCTTGGGACATGGTGTTTTCAATGCCTCAGTATGGAGGGCCGAATGTGCTCAAGATGACGCGCTCTAGATTGAATATGTATATCAAACACAATGTGGTATTTTTGATCCAATACAGTGCTTTGCTCTGCAATGCAATTCAAATGTTCCATACTTACATAAATACAAAATATAAATAAGCCTTTCGAAGTGAACAAGATGCGAACTGAAAATAAGATAAATAAGAAAAGAACGCCAAAATCCCTGGTATCATCTCATAGGTATCAACCAAACCCCAATAATTCTTGCAAATTTGTCCTCTCCTCCGTGATGCACGCTGAATTGAAAAAAGAAAGCCCCACCCCCAAACGCATATACATGCCTATGTGCAGCCAGCCACCTTCTGGAAGGAAGGGAAAGAAGAGAGGAAATAAGACAGAGGGAGGCTACTGTAGTGCCAAAAAGACGGCTGACATAGCCCCCTTATCATACTTGACATACTTTCCCTTTCCCTTATCAACCTCATGATACCTATCCCAGAATCTCCCATACAGTGGCTCAATCATCTGCTGTACCTGGCGCCCAAGCATCTCGCGAACCTCGCGCTCCATGCTCATACTCTTGTGCTTCTGAACCAGATCATCGAAGCTGGTATTGAAGAGTCGGAATTTCTCTTTAATGGCGTCTTTATCCTTGCTGCTGAGGCCTTTGAGAATCGCGGCTGAGTCGATGGCGGCTGCTGAGCCGGAGGGTGGTCGTTGACCGCCGCGATTGGTGTACTGCACATCGAGAAGATGGGTTGAGGGTTCGCGCCATGCAGAGCCGTAGAGGGAGGCGCCGTTCTTGCGCCACTTGTCGATATCGGCCATGCGAGATTGGAGGAGGGGTTGGAGTTCCGAGGTGCGGATCATGCGGTCTACGATTGTGGCATTGTTGGCAATGAAGACGCCAAGTGGTGGCTTTCCTTTGAGAAGAGGTCTTGCTCTTTGTTCTAGGGAACTGAGCAGGATATCGATGGTGTCGATGCTGTAATTTGCGAAGATTTGCTTTCCGTCTGCCCCTACATCGAAGGAGTTGAGAGTCGGTATTTGGTCGGAGGATTGATTATATGAGGCATTTGGTTTCCAACCCCCATCACCTATAGAGATCATGATGCTTGAGATCGGCCGTAGGAAATCGACCATGGTCTGTAGACGAGTCATTGTTTCTTGCGTGATCGGCAGCGAAGCGGCATCTTGCGGAATTCCAGGAAGCCCTGCAACACGTCGACGGATGTCATCGTGCAGTTCGCTCAATGATGACTTGCCAGTCTCTCGAACTGGCTTCAGTGCTGCAGCGAACGAGGGCTTCAACTCGCCTGTCCGACCTTCCATATTCGATGACAGGTTCGACATGATTTCGATGATTTCATAGGCGAGAAAACAATCGGTTGTCAGATTCGCTTTGATATGTGAATTCAGCTCTCTCAGAGTTCTCGCAAGTTCCGAAATTGCTCCTTGACAACTCAAATTGAAGACTTTGCCCCATTCATCCCGAGAAAATAGACCGCAAATGTTGTCATATTCGGCTAGGAAAGCTCCCTCCATTCCCATGGCATACGTACCCATGCCATTGGTACCTTGTCGATACACAGCATCTGGGGATTTCTTTTTTGCAGTATTGACAGATGCAGCAGCCAAATTCTGTAGTGTAGCTACAAGATATGGACCTCGGACATTGGCATATACCTGCAGCATAGGAGAGTCGCGAGAAAACCCGGACTGCCTCGCAACCGATGCGATATATGAGTTGATTAGACCTAATCGAGTAGACTTGTCCTGTGAAAGCATAGGAAACGGTTTCTCTTTTGTGATGTAATGTAAAGGTTCAATGGGCTTCGAGTCTTCCTGAAGGAGCCTCTGAAAGTGTTGCTCCAACTGCTCGTTTCCATATTTCAGCAACTTGGACAAATCTTCCACCGCTTGTTGGTTCGATCGGAGATTCGTCTGCTTTAATTCGGAGAGCGCTTTATTCACACGTTTGACAGAGCTCAAGAAGGAAGCCAGGCCGACCTTCTCAGGGCTACAGAGCTGTTAGTGTTTGATTTGATCAAGTGGGGTACGTGACTAACCCCTTCCGAATTATATCCTCTTCATTGCTCTTGATGTCCGAAGGCTGGCGGATCCTCTGTATGGCTGAAATAACTCCATCGATATCTGCAGATACTCAGCAGAGCTACTTCATAAGGGAATGGCATAACGAACTTGTTCCTAGCACTTGTAGCTTCTGCGTATTCCCGTAGATTGGTCCAATTGCCTCTTGTACACTTTTCCCACTCGATTCTAACCTGGCCAGAGATGCGGATAATTTGGTGTTCAATACTCGAGTCTTCTCCAGCCTGCTGTTGAGAACCTGATGTATCGTCAGCGATCTGTATGTGTCCGAGGTCCTCTGTCGCAACACTTCGACAGCTAGCGGACACCCAACAATAAAGTCCATCTCTCCAGATAATTCTTACCTCAACCTCAGCCCTGGCCTCCTCATCAGCAGCTTGTCTCGTGCCCAGACCGACTGCCATCATCGACTCCTGATGCTTCAAGGACCAGACAGCACGCCCCAGCGGATACTTGCTGCTGGCCATGTTTGGGTCTAAACCTTGTCGGGATGCGGTGAAGTGGATTCTGCCAAAGTGTGGGGTTAAAGTTGTCCCAGCTATCGCAGTGCTTCTTTTTTTGGCTCGTTGATTTGTGACGAAGCAATTCGATGCTGTCTGGAGATGCAGAAGTGTCAAGTTTCAGTCGTCTGGTTTCATTCTCTGCTGGTGGTAATTTGGAAGGCGCCTGATTCACTTGTATTGCTCTTTCCCTTCCCTTCCGCTTTGGCTTGAGTAACTCCAGAGCCTGCTTTCACTTGGACCATTAACCGCCAATCAAGACCCTTTAATATTATTGAGCTGATGCTAGTGGTCAGCGAAGTATCGCTTCTCCTCGAATCAATCAACAGATTTCTTGATATTATACCGTTTCCTGTCATCTGGAGTTGCAATCAAAGGCTTGGATAATGAAACGTTCTAGAGGTAAATTCTTTTCAACGGCAGCTTCACTCCCCGGCAGCTGTGTTGAAATATGACATCCTACTCCTTTGGCTTCATTCGATCTTCTTTCGTTTCACATGATTGAAAATATGTTGCAACTATCATTTTGCCCCTTGATATGTTTGTGCCTAGGTGTGTTCTTCATCCAGAATTAGTTTACCTTGTTCGATAAAGCCAGGCACATTTGATGCCTAACTGTTCCTCCAGCTTATCACAAGGTGGTGTTGCTATCCAATCGGGCATTTGACTGTCAAGAAGGAACCATTTGATGCATGTTGTTGTGCTTCCTGAAGTGCAAGAGAACCTGCAACAATTCGCAGAATTACGGCTTCATCTGGCAGCATTCGGATATTCCCAGTCAAAAGAACGCTGGCTGTGGAGCTGTCAAGTGGGTGATCACCGTCAAGCATCGGTCAAACCTCGAACGACTGCTGTCATTGTGGCTGCAGCTAGATCTTGAAGGACTCTCTGATTTACAATTCAGATCGAGCGGCGAAAGACCTACAAATTCTTCTATCGGTCTTTCATCTACAATTTCTTTTCGCGTCAGCATTTCCTACCTTTGGGAGAGAATACTTCGAGGCTTCCAAGGTATCGATCGGTCTTCTTCACATGCTTTCAAGCTTCTGTTCCTGCCGATCCATCGTCATGCCGTCACGAGCCACACCAAGCTTGCGCCACATCTGTCAAATCGAGAAAAGTTGGTTTTGGCGCAGATTCCATTCACCAAAGTCCATGTGTTCCTACTTCCACGGAGCTTCTGCTCCTCCCCATCCTATCACACCCGATCATTGTCTTGATCCATGTCTTTTTTTTCTTTGAAAAGAATCTGAACGGCCCCCATTCACGATGTCGTCGTCAATGCTTCGCTGCACGTCGCGGGTATCGCGGGGCCTTTTCAGTCACCCTGCTCCACCACAGCTCAACAGCACAATAACCACAAAAACATGGCGGCAGCGGCGCCAACACCTTGCTAATACGACTACATATCGCTCACTTTTCTCGAGATCCAAGTCGAAACCCCCGCGTTCCATAATGGCTTCACTCTCGCGATCAGCTCTTATCGGCGTCACGTCCATCGTTATCGCAGGAAGCCTGACTTACATCCTGTATCAGACCGACCAGCTGCAACCACTCCCTCCTACTCGGCTGCGTAGGGATGTTCGCGCTAACCGACTACGGCGACAAGCAATAGAAGAGAAGAAGGGGGAGATCGCAGCAGAAAATGTCCACAACCTAGAGGTTCTACCGTTCAAGGACAACGTTGAAGCTGTCGTAGCATCTAAAGATGATTCAGCTTGGGGAAGCTTCTCAACAAAATTTGCGCTCTTTTCCTCTGTGACGGATCTGCAATGGAGCTCAGTACCGCAGACTATCGTGGATTTTGTTATGCCCGAATGGGCGAAGCTGCTCCCGGAATATATTACAAAGCTACAGAAGGAGTTGTCCATGGCCCCTGGGTCCCTGGCAGATGAGATATGGCAGGATGCGCATGACCCTTTCATAAACCCGGAAATCGAGTATCCGGCTTCTGTCAGAGTCTCGTCTGAATTGTGCGAGGAAGAGAAGGAGTTTCTTGCAAGGAGGAAGAAGGTTACGAGGACCGCTTTGGCAAAATATCTGGGCCTGCCAGAGGAGGAAGTCCATCCAGACGATGTGCCCACAATCGCAATGGTTGGATCTGGAGGGGGTTTGAGAGCCTTGGTTGCTGGGACAGGATCGTTATTAGCAGCAAGCGAAGATGGACTGTTTGACTGTGTCACCTATACAGCAGGAGTCAGCGGTTCCTGCTGGCTACAAACTCTATACAACTCGTCTCTTGGCGGCCGAAGAATGGATAAGATGGTAGATCACTTGAAGGCTAGAATCGGAGTCCATATTGCATATCCTCCAGTGGCTCTTGCAGCACTCAACTCAGCACCTACCAACAAGTTCCTATTGAGTGGTTTCGTCGAGAAACTCAAGGGGGATCCGACCTCAGATTTTGGCTTGGTGGACATATATGGACTGCTATTGGCAGCGCGATTACTAGTTCCAAAGGGAGAGATTGGTGTCGATGACAGAGACCTCAAAATCTCCAACCAGCGCGATTATATAAAGCATGGTGAAAATCCAATGCCGATATATACTGCAGTCCGTCATGAAATACCCATTATCGAGGAAGAATCAGCAGAAGAGAAGGCGACAGGCTCTCCATCGGAAGAGACGAAGGCTAAAGCTAAAAAGGAAGCATGGTTTCAATGGTTTGAAATTTCACCATTTGAGTTGTTCTGTGAGGAATTTGGAGCTGGTATTCCAACGTGGAGTATTGGCCGAAAATTTGAGGAAGGTCAGGATCTACCTCATGATGCAGATGGGCTGCGTGTTCCGGAACTACGACTTCCATTATTGCTTGGTGTTTTCGGGAGTGCATTCTGTGCTACGTTGTCTCATTACTACAAAGAGGTTCGGCCGCTCGTGAAAGGATTGACAGGGTTTGGTGGGATCGACGAAATGATTGAAGGAAGAGATGATGATCTGAGCAAAGTCCATCCTATCCTACCAGCCTCGATACCAAACTTTGCCTACAAGATGGAAGGCAAGCTACCGGAGACGGTTCCTGAAAACATCTACAAGGCCTCCCATCTGCAATTGATGGATGCTGGCATGTCTAACAACCTTCCCATCTACCCGTTGCTACGTCCAGGCAGAGATGTGGATGTTCTGATTGCTTTTGATGCCTCGGCGGATATCAAGACCGAGAACTGGCTATCAGTCGCAGACGGATATGCTCGTCAACGTGGAATCAAAGGTTGGCCACTGGGCGCCGGATGGCCCAAGCAAAGTGACACTGCCGAGAAAACAGCTGGTCAGCTTGAAGAAGCTCAAGCAGTGACAGCAGAAGAAGCAGACTCAAAAGTCGAGGACGCAAAAGCCGAACAGAAAGAACACCTGAAGGAAGTCGAGAAAGAAGGTCCAAAAGCCTCAAACACCAAAGGCGACGAAGATTCAGGCGATCTAGGGTATTGCACTATCTGGGTGGGAACGACAGAGGAGCGTTCATCCTCAACAGAAGACGTGCGATCAAAAGCAGTGAAAGAAGACTGGCAGCTAATGCAACCCGACGCCGGCATCGCAGTCATCTATTTTCCATTCCTCAGCAATCCCAAGATTGAAGGAGTGGACCCTGTAACTAGCGACTACATGAGCACGTGGAATTTTGTCTACACCCCCGAGGATATCGATAATGTCGTTGCGCTTGCGAGAGCGAATTTTGAAGAAGGAAGGGACAGGACTAGGAGGTGTGTGAGAGCTGTTTACGAGAGGAAGAAGAAGAAGAGGGAGGAGAGGGAGAATGCGGAGAGAGAGCAGAGGTGGCGGAGGAAGGTCCGCTTGGGTATCGTGGGGAAGAAGGGTGAGGGTGACCATTTCCACCTTACTTGAGCTCGAAGAGCTCGGCTTTTGTGAGAGCTGGAAAAGAGAGCCCTCATTAAGTATTTCCAGTGCGTGGGTGGCTCCGAGGCTGTGAATAGTTTCGTCAACTCATGGCTTGACAAATGTAAATTATGTTCATTCAAAGCCGAGGGGGGATCACGGTCTCATCCACTGACACGAAGAGAAGCGGTGAGGTGTTGGAGATGCCCGCCCTCCACCACCCACGACTACTGCGACGGTAGAGTGGAAAGAGTTCAATAGTGTAGCAGCCAGCACTCGTAGGACATTGATCGGCGGCAGCACCCGCATTAGAGTAAAGCGTGTTGCGTCCGTCAAGACTCAAAACAATCCATAGTCGAACGAACGTTTGGCTTGGCTTGTGTTGACTAATATGTAGAGAGAATGGATGGCTTTGAACTAGCGCACCAACCACTTCACAACTTCGAGGTTTGCCCGCCTTTCATAAGATGAAGCGTTTGTATAAATCAAGGAATTGATTAAATGGCTTCTTGAATTTTATAACCAGTAAACACACAAAACGACCCAACTCGCTTGTCAATCTCACTACTCCACCCATATCCCAAAACCACACAGTCGATATGCCATAGCATACTTACCCACTCCACCAAAATAGCAACAGGACAAAACGCAACGCAACGCATGAACATGGTGACGGCATCTCCACAATCACGACAGGCAAAGCCAGATGCTGGCGGGCCCCTGCCCCTCGGCAAGTCAATGCACTTTTCTTTCGCAGCGCTCGAGGCTCGTTGACGCACAAAAGGACGAGGGGGCCCGGGACGGCGGCTCTGAGTGGGCCTCTCTCGGACGATTTTTCTCTGCAAGCTCCGGAGACAGACTACTGTAAATAAATCTCTGTCCGGGCTGCCGTCTCGAGCGTCTTTGCAAAGTCCCCTTTTATTGTTAGTACTGTAGTGGCGGATGGGACTGCACTGCACTGCACTGCACTGCACTGCACTGCACTGCGCTACTGCACCGTGAAAAGTGTCGCAATGTAATGCAATGCATGCGATTAAAAGAGGGCCCCTTTGCGTATCGTTATTTTCTCTAATGGAATTTTGTAAGCTGAGCTGGTGTGCAGTGATTAGTGAGTGTGAGCAGAGAGGTCCAGGTCGTGAGGAGGTGCTTGTGCTTCTAGGATGGATGTCAGGCTGGTTCGATCAGGAATTGACTGACTGACGCCGAGACAGCGAGCGGCAGGGGGGCGGGCCTAAAATGGAAATGGAATAGAGTGAAATGCAGGGTTTCCCCACTCGAAACTCGTCGCTCCCGTCAGGGTCGCGTATGGGTGTGATGCCCTCCCTGTCCTGTCTTGCCCTGCCCTGCCCTACCCTGCCCTGCCCTGCCCTGCTCTGCTGTTCCTGGCTAAAAGGATCGGATCTCGATGGGTTTGATGTCACTTTTATGGTAAGTTGGTAACTGGATAGCCAAGGTTTGGGTACAGAGATGAAAGTATCTTGGATATGCTTATTTACTTTCCTTGATTAAGGTATTTAAACTTTGAGTCTCAAAGACAATGGCTGGTCCCTTACAAAGGAGTGACGGCCGGGTCGTAAGATCATGTCCTAGTGGTGAGGTGAGGTGAGGTGAGGTGCGGCTCTTGGTTGTCTGCTCATGGCGTGGAGATTCAGTATGGCGTGAAGCTCATCTCGTTCTTCTGTACCATGTGCTTTGGTTTCACAGCTCTTTCACTCTTCCTTCAACGGCAAGCCATGCATGCACCCTTTCGGTTGGGAGGGACGAACGATTTCCCGAATCGACCAAATATGGGCGCATTTCCGTGATATATATTCGTCATGTCTCAGAGGCCATGATCATGCTTGTCTTGGTCCACCCCGCCTGCAGCAGCAAAAGCTCGACACCAAGCCGCTAAACAGCGCAGCGAAGATCCACCCCTCTTTCGATCTCATCACACTTTGGCCTTTTGGCACCTCAGCGCCAGCCTCCTGGTCCTTGCAACTTCATGTCCGTGATGATCCATGTCCTGCCTGACGACGGGCATTGGCTCCTCGTTCGTTCGTTCCTTCGTTTTCGCACGGGCAAGCAGAGCACACACATTCGTTTCGTTTGATATATAGCCTGCTACCACCCATGGTCAAGTCTCTCTCTCTCTCTGCTGGCAGAATGAACCACGATCCCGAATTCGATCAAAGCACGCCTTCGTTTCGACCTTCGCCCGCTCGTATTGTTGGATAGCAAGCAGAGAACGGCGACAAGCTTCAGTCAGTGGTGGCACATTCACGCTCATTCAGCTCTTGCTCCTCCCACCTCGTATCCTCGGCCCGCAAAGCCTCAACTTCGAAACGCAACACCCTCAAAAAAGAATAGCCGTCTTTCGTTTTCCGGCTCCATACATACATAACAACTACCTAAGAAGGACCAGCCCGTTCGGGTTTGCAGCAAAGGAGTGGTATAGGAACCTCGAGACCTGGTCTTGCTTCAATCCAAGGACCCATGATCCAAGGACAAACTTCTATATCTTCACAACCTCCCCTCAACGATACGCACCTGCAGCAATCATGTTCACTACATCGCATCTTAAGAGGAAGTCCAAGGGCAGACAGGACTACATGACGCCCCCAATGACAACTCGATCTCGCTCCTCCTCGTGCTCCTCTTTCGACGAGGAATCGTATTTCTCCAAGACATATGTTCCTCTCTCGAGCCTCCCAACACCACCGCCCTCCTTACACTCCAACATCAGCAGTCGTCAGCAATCCCCCGACATATTTTCATCCCCAGGAGAAATCCTCGACCCAGAACTCCTCGGTACGTTTCCCCAGATTTTGTGTTCCCCTCCTCCCCCGGTACTTGGGGATTCAGGCTAATGACATTTCTTATATTACATGCAGGTCCGGCAATTCACCTCACGAACCTTATTCCTTCCTCTACCTCTCTCACAACCGCCTCTGTTCCGCTCGTCCATACTATCCTCACTCGTGCAGACCTCCCCCTTGAGACTCTCGCCGTTGCGGTGTGCATCCTCGACTCACTAAATTCCCGCTTTGCCCTTCAATGGCGGAAAGGTTGTCCTCTAACCTCGCAATCACTACCTGGATCGTTCAGTCCCGTTGATAGCGGGATATCGCAACAGCATATCGACTCTGTACAACCCGAACTCGTCATCCTCGGCGCTTTGATCCTGGCAGTTAAATTCCTGGACGACGCACAGCAGCGTACAAGCGAATATGCCACTGAATGGGGAAGGGGGATTTGGACCTGTCCCCAGATAAACTTTACGCAGCGTGTCATCCTTGAGAATCTTGGATATAGACTCCTTCCCCTCTGGGAAGAAAGTATCATTCTCGGAGCTCTGGAGGATATGGAACGTGCCGTGCAACAATACACGCCTGAAATCTACAGCGACAGCGAAGAGTGGGAAGCCGATACATGTTTTGACAGTTTCGATTTTCCTAAAAATCTAGTCGGGGTTCCTGGTATGGGGAAAGCCGTTTTGGGATTTGGGAACCAGATTACGCCTGTTGAGACGCCGGGCGTGGAAAACGCAAGGGGAACGAGAGATGTGGACAGTGAAACGAAGAGTGCGTTTTCGAGGATCGACAACGATCCGTTTGTGGAGTTTTGGAATCGGACGCACAGGGGTGCAGACCAATTTCCCGTTCTTGCTGAGCCAGGTTTTGGGATTTGATGGTCACCATAATGATAATGATAATCATCTGATTATTGATCGGATGTCAACGATTTTTGGGATGGCGTTGGAATGGATGGATCGGATGGGTTGAGTTGGGTCGCAATAGGGTAATACCTTGGATGATTGGGTGGGGGAAGGAAAACTCTTGATTTGCATTAGCGATGGCGTTTTATACCAGACCTACATACTTCCTCTGCCTAAATGGTATGACAGACAGACAGATGGAATCTGAATCCTAATTGAACATACAGTCTTTGGGCTTCAAGAGTCCAAGTGATCGTGAAAGAAGTAAGTAGAAGGAATGGGATTTATAATTTTTGTCTTTCCATAATCATAGTTCTTGCATCCTTAACAACCATGAAAGGAGAAGGAGAGGGCTTAACATCAAGTGACGCAACACCATCAGACTTCTCTCACTCCGAATACCATGAGCGTTCGAGGAGCATCAGAATATAGCACTCCTTTTGATGTTTTGTATAATCAGGGACTTGTATTTCTCTCTCACGACACTGTAAACATGACCACCGTCAACTCCTCGTAAGTGAGGTGGCGGACTTGTCTAGTTTAAGCATTTTTTAGCCTTGAGATTTTCGGTTGGGTTTCGGTTTCGTTGTGTTAGATACCCTCTACTTTATCCTGCGTGATGATATTTCCAAAATTCTTCAAAGGCAATGCAAAGAGAATATCTCAAGATATATCTCAGATCATGAAGTAAAAGCAGGCCACCATACAACCTACTCCCGATAGCCTGAGGCGATGTGTTCCTGCCATAATCATCTTCACTCTGTCCTTGCCTTGGAGGGTCTCAAGCGAAGCGGCGCTCACTCCTTCCTCGCACGTTTTTGCCAACTTCCTTAGTGAAAAATATCCAGTTCCTGGGCTTCTGTATTCCTTCCTTACAGCTTACAGGCAGAAGAAAAAGCATCTTTATCCACCCACCATCAATAAGTTCAAGAAATATTAATAGCTACGCCCTTGCTCTATTAGCTATCCATACACGACTGAACAAACCCTCCGCGTCACAGACAGCTATGACCACTCTCATTACGAAATTGGGCGGTGCTCTCCCAGCAAAGCTTGGAAACTACAAGCAGAAGAAGAAGGCACAGAAGGAATTGTCGCTCACGGAAGCTTTGAATGAAACGCCCCTACTCGACCCAATAGATCTGGACTTAGCGAGGGAGCAGAGATATGAATGCTACCTGCATTTGCTTGAGCGTGTGAGAGAGACGCGTCTCCAGAGAAACAAGCAAGGACTCGGAGAGGCAGACAACTATGATCAGTTTTATCAGCTTTCGAGGGCACAACGGGAAGCTTGTTCGGAGTTAAGAATACACGGGCATCGGGGTGGTGTTATTCTTGATGGGATATCTCTTCAGTCACCGTCCCATGGCTCGGTTCCGGCTGCAACCTCTACTCCTAGCTCTGGAAGTCAGATCTCGCCTCTTGATGCTACACATACGCATCGCCTGCCTACGGATGGTGCTTTAGATGGACGTCCTGAACGTCCGAATGCTTCGAACGTTCATGCAACGACTCTGGACACGGCAAAGATCGGAGCAGTTGGTAACGAGAACATGCCAGTCAGTTCTTCAAAGGTGACATCTGCATCTGTTACTGGAGTCTATCAGAACATTGAGGCAGGGTCACAGCAACATGCCCAGGAAGCTGGCCAGGCGAGTAAGCAATCAACCATCAAGGCTTCTCAAGCAACTTCTAGCCAGCAGATTCGAGAGATCTTCAGCAGTCAGATTTCCGAAAAGCTGAGAACTCCGGATATTCGACCAATCCCCGGGTCTTATTTCCCAAATTTTAACGAATTGCAACCAAAAACTGATTCTAGCTCGAAGGGATTATCACCATTTGGCACAAAAGAGTCTCCTAAGGTTCATCCCGACGCAGGCCTGATTGCTTCTCCTCGCGCCTCCTCAGACTACCAAAGTGCACTTGAGAATCATTCCCAGGCAAGTTCTGGACATACGTCAGGCGAAACAGCATTTCAAAGAAATGGAGTAGGGTGTCATGCACCACCCTCGTCCAGTGGGGTACACAACAGAAGTCATCAATCAGTTGAAGAATTTCCATCGTTCAGACCTTCACTTGCAGCTATTGCAACCACACCAGGGGAGGAGTCTAATATTGAGGTCCTCGGCCACGAGTCAACAGATCAGTCAGGCCAAGGGCATATTGGAGTAGGAGATGCTTGCACGCCTACCCATGAAATGCACAGACCGAATGCTTGCAGCGATATTGATTATAAGCAACTACTCAAAGAAGTCAATATATCGGATCACCTCCCGGAAACAAAGCTGGAAATAGCAATAGAACTTGTCGGGGTAAGTCATTCTCAATAATATCGTCTCCATCAAGAACATGTGAGATGGATGTCTTAGACTTCGGTACTAACCAGCTTTCTCCACTAGATGCTTCAAGACTTCATAAGTCAGGCATTTCAAGAGAAGGCGGACGCTGAGGCTGAAAAACAGTCAGAAATCGATAGATGGGAAGAATTCTATCGAAAGAGAACAGACACGGGGTTCCTGTCTTTACTTCATCCCAATGATCAGCTTATCGAAAGATTGGAACGACTGACAGAACGCAACCTCCTGGCTCCCATCATAATCTCCAAGTTGAGGCAGGATAAAGAGACTACCAGAAAGACTCGACAGCTACTTGATAGGTTAGAAAAGAACTGGCAGCTGAGCGAGGATGGAACCTTGATTGGGGAGAGGAACAACTCAAATGGCACTGGGGAAGCAACGCCGGCTCAGAAAGATAGAAAAGTCAGCAGGACTTGGACGACTCGGGGGAAGCGGAAATGGGGCAGCTGGGTGGATTAGAACCTTCGGATGACCAAAGCCCGGGCATCAGTGATCAATTCTCGTGTGTTTAAACCTCAGAATTATCAACGGGCAACTGAAGAGCACACTGAGTATCAAGCAAACGCAACAGCTACACCGCTTCCAAGTTCCACCCAACCAGTGGATGATGGCAAGCATGTGCCTCAAGTCAATAACCCAGGAATCACGTTGGATGGTCAACCAGTGGGTTCAGAAGAGCAAGCGAAAGCTGTTGTGACTACGTATGGGACGAGTGCAAGCACTGCGGCATTAAATACGAACAAGAAGCCAGGACCCAATCTAGGTGCAATCGTTCACCAGCATTACAACGAGAGGCAGCGATCCTCCATCAGCGCCGAACGCCTAAGAGACGACCCCAGAACATTTGAAGAGTTCTCTAGTGCACATAGTCACTTGACAAATGGAGGAGAGGTTTCCAACAATCTTGGAGACGGCACCCATAATCAGATCATCACGTCGGCTCCGCCGCCTTCACCCAATAATCAGCAGACTGAAAATAATGGCTCGGCCCCAAACCCTCCCGTTGTGGCCTCTACACAACACCACCGAGCAACAAACCCTGACACAAACAAACCAAAAGCAGCGACTTTGTGAAACCACATGCACGTATGTTGTCATGTTGCCAGCAATCATCAAGAGCTGCCTCACAGCGCGGACGAGGTGGAGCGCTGCATTGGGAGAGCATATTGAATCGCCGAAGTGCGTCATTATGTGTTAAGTAGTGTCTTTGGTGAGGGGCCTGAATAGTATCGTCCACATACTTCAATAGACGAGGTTTGGGCATGGCAAAAGGGCTTTGTTTACGTTCTCGCTTAGCCACAGATGCATGTTGTGATTGAACCATGCTTGCAATTACGTTTGTGTATCACACCCAAACAGCCTCCTCAAACGCCCCACTGCATGCATATATCTTTGCCTGGTATCTTATAATTCCGCTCCCTCGCAATGCATCATTCATCAGCCACCATCATCCAAATGCCCCGGGTCGCACATTAGTGATTCTCCGTATCCCACAAACCAACCTCTAATGCTTACAAGAAGTAATGAAAACACGTTCAGGCTCTGCGACCAATGCATAGGCGGACCTGGGTCATAGCAGTAACCATGATCACGAATCGATGGTCTTCTTATTCAATTGTAAATGTCCTATGCCGTGTGGCTTGGCGTCTCGTAGCTGATCCGCAGGTAGACCACCTGGGAGAGCAGCAGTGTCTATTGTTGCTGCTTTAGCTACTAGTGCTGGATGCTGTGGGATTGGTTCCTGGATCCGAGGAACGGTGTCATTTTGCCTACTTGGGAGTTAGAATTTCAATTCTACTGCAAAACTCGCAGACTGATGAGAAAATGAAAATCGGCAAACTCACCCATCCAAGCCTTGATTTGGCGTCGTACTAGAAGCTGTATCCAAACCAGCATTTACAGCCCTAACTGTAGGCTGGGAACCATTAGATTCCGGCTGCGGCAGATCCTTCACATCAATTTCTTTCTCGTCAATGTCAAGCTCGTCTTCTCCACCCGGTCCACTCAACCTGACGCCTTCCTCGGAGTCATTGTCGTCGTTGGGACCGCTGCTCATCATGCTACTCGCTTTACTGACATCCGCACTAGCTGGGCTTTCCGTTCGCAGGCCCAGATTTTTGCCTAGACCTGGCTCTGTCTTATTCCCGCCTTTCCAGTCCGCTGGCGCCATTTGTGGAACAGGGGAATTGACGCCAGGCTCGGTTATAACATCTTCTCCCGCACCTTGCTGTCCAGGGATCGGATCATATGCTTTCCAGACCACCGACATGCGGTCGAATGCTCTGGCTCCTTTCCGGCTAGAGCCTTTGATACCATCCATTTTATCCCATTCGATATTGAATACGCCGTTATCGTCGGGCTTGCCACGTTGTTCTGGGCCGTTGCCTTCAAAGAAACAGTTGAACCAGACATGCGCTACGGCTGTGACCATCGTCCATCCCATGGATGCTTTGTTCCGGCGCTCGAAGTCAATGTTGACGTCGCTGGAGGGGAGGATGACTCGTTTTGAGGGTTTGAAGATTACAGCTGAGCCGCCGCTTTCGGCGCCTGTGTCTTCGATACTGGTAGGGGTGGAGCTGGTGGTTTCTTTCTGGGTTGATGTTTGAGGTGCTGGCATGGAGCCGAGCTGGTCTGCGCTCTTGGATTTGCTGACTGTGCTTTCGTTTTGGTAGCCTGCCATGTCTGAGATCATGTCTGTGAAGCCTCCTCCGCCGGGAGTGTTGCCTTCTATTACTACTCGTTCTTTCTTGGTAAAGACGTGGAAGAGCTTGATTGTCTTGCCTTCATCCACGAAACCCTCCACTTGTACCTTGACGCCGTCCCTAAGTCCCCAAACATGGACTTCTAGTATCTCAATCTGTCTCTCGACGTAGATCTTTCCAGATTTCGTCCACCGGTCCACATAGCCTACCCATCGAAGCTGGCTGGGTATACTCACACCTTGGCCGAATCCAGGTCTCATCCTTCTTTCTGTGAACCGTGCAAGGGCTTCTTCAGGTGTCCAGCCGCACTCGCTGATCAGATAACTGCACGCCATAGTCCCACTCCGCCCTTTCCCAGCTTTACAATGCACAACCACCACTCTTTTCCTCTCGACCATCTTCCCATCCTTACCTTCCACCATGGTCTTCCCCTCGCTCTCATTCAACCAATTCCTCATCCCGGCCATAATCATGGGCACCAGCCTGAACGGCGGGGGATGGTGATCTGGCCATGGATAATGCCATACTCGTCCGTACACCTCCTCGTCAGGATATCCTGTTCCCTCCGCCCGGAACTCCCATATTGCCCAGTCTTCGCCGTGCTTGTAGTCTAAAAATTTGACCAGCTGGTCTAAGGGGTTGCGATATGCACGCTGGGGGTATGTACCGCTGGGACCGGAGGTCGCGATGATTTGGTCTGTTACATAGCAGAGATCGAGCCCTGCTTCGGGGTGTCGTGATCGTGGTCCTGCGACGAGCTGCCGGAGGAGTGAAGCCATTGTGCAGAGATCTATTGGTTTGTAGAGTGGTGAGAGGAATGGGTGTACATTTTGTGCTGAGTCTTTGTATATGATGGGTCCATTGTTCACAAGCCACAGAGACGTCATTATTGAACCCTGCCAAGCAGATCCCGGTTTTGGAGTGAGGCGCATTTCGCCAAGCGAGCCCCTGGTCGATTCTAGGCTGAAGCTGACATGGGACGAACTAGACTGTTTACATTGGTATTTGAGTTTCGGCAAATGTTATCATGCCATGTTGTATTTTTCCAAAGTTTCGTCTGCATCACTAGATTCTACGATGGCTTCGGTGTGTAGAAAATCCCCAATACTTTGTCACCCTGAAGCGCACATTAACCATGCCAGCGTCCTCCACTGCCGGAATTCCTGTGGTCACAGTCCATTGAGACAGACAATTACAAAGACTACCAGCCGTGGAAACCTCATACTTCTATCGATGGAGCTATATGTCATGCGTGCAAGGAATTTTGCGAAAGTGTTCTTCATGGGAACATCTTCACTCACGAGAACTGGAAGCACGAGAGACCAGGCCACTCGCTATTGACACACACAGAGCGTTATGCTTGGACTTCGCATTACGACGGAATCCTCACGAAGTTGAGAGCTTCAGCAGACGGCGGTTGTGAGCTGTGCGCCGTGTTTGTGGAAATAGACCGGACAAGCCCCAAGCCCTCCCCGAAGGACACATTTCCTGACGAACCAGCCAATCCCGAAGACATTTGCTACAGAATATGCATAGATCGTCGTGAAGAAAGCATTGTAGAGGTCGAGGCTTCACACTCATTTGCTATTGAGTTCTATAAAAAGTCTACCGGTCCTGATCTACAAAGGGGTTATAGGAGTATGGGCGCGCCACCAATGGCAACCCCGCGACTTCCAAAGCACGTCAATTTCTTCTTTCTTAGATACGCTGACGATACTGCCCCAAGGTCTTTATATACTGAGGGTCTGTTCCACGAAGATCCCCGTAGGAAAGTTGTTGTGGAGCAATCGGGATGGCCGATCCTATTGGCAGCTGATGCGGAGGACAGAGGATCAGTGCAAGCTCTGATGCGTGCGAGGAAGTGGATTTGGCAGTGGTGAGCTGGCTCTCTCTTGGTCCAATCCTGCAACGATAGAGAAAAACATCTGATACGATTTGCAGTCTCAAGACTCATCCACGCTGCTCTAGAGAACCAGCTATATTGCCAAAGCGAGTGATCGATATTGGGCTTACTCCAGATTCGGCCATACGGCTCCACATTCCAGATCCTGAAGACCAAGCAGTGACTCCATACGTGGCACTTAGCTACAGTTGGGGCGAAGGACTTCCTCTTCGAACGACCAAAGAGAATCTGAAAAAGCACTGCGAAGAGATACCATTCGTGGACTTTCCAAAAACCTTGCAAGACGCTTTACATGTTACGAGAGGCCTAGTGCTTCGATACATCTGGATTGATGCTCTTTGTATCGTTCAGGATGACGCACAGGATTGGCAAGAGCAAGCGGCTCTTATGGGTGAGATATATCAAGGATCGATACTCAATATCTCGGCCACGTCTTCCTCAAGTCTTGACTCCGGGTTTTTGCAACGTACTGGAAGAGGCGCCTTCTCCGCGCGTGAGAATTGGTCGATACTTTCACAGAGATGGCAACAACAATGGTGGCATATACATTGGTGCCTGTGTCTCGCGAGGTGGGTTCAGTCCACCAAGAGAGCTAAATGGGAGCTTCTTGTCAAGCCGTGGATGGGTGTTTCAAGAGCAATTGATGTCTACAGCGACGCTGCACTACATGGCTCAGGAAATGGTATGGGAATGTGCGACTGTAATCACGAACGAAGAATTTGCCGATGCGAGGAACGTGAGCACCCGCCTGATGCTCGATGGATGGAATCGGCTGACACAAATGAAGTGGGGGTGGGTCAATTATTTGAGCTCCAATAACTCGGATTATCATGACCTCAACAGGGATGGAGTCCTCATCCCGGCAGAAACGAATGATCAGATTTTAAACATTGTGATGGCTCTGTGGAAAGAATGGGTCTTTGACTACTCGAAACGCGATCTCACCTACGGGAGAGATAGACTTCCCGCTATTGCAGGTATTACGCAACAGATATCGAAGAAATACAGGCTCCACTTTACAGTAGGTCATTTCACACAAGACATGCCACTTAGTTTGTGCTGGAAAACATTTAGAATGAGACCGCGTAAAGTCAGTCTTGATTGGGACGAGGCCAAGGAAGTCCTCAGCTTCCCATCTTGGGCGTGGCCCTCGTTCCCTGGCGGAGTATTCTATGGCGGTTCAAGTAAAGTGCACAATCTTCAGATTACCTGTTCTCAAAGCCCATCTGACCTGAAGATCTTAAGCTACAGCTTCAGGACTGATGGGTCATCGGATGTCTATGCCGGAACATGCATCTGCATCCAAGTTGAAGGGTTATTGCAAGAAGTTCTGATAGAGTTTAAGGCCAGCAGCCACTATATCTCCACTGGAGTCAAGCTTGCTAGCTGGTCCGTCAATTTTGACTATCGTCCATCAGATGAGGACTCTCCTTGGCAAAGGTACCTCTTAAGAGTTACTGGCTACAACAACAAGCTTTACGATCTCCTTGTCCCCTGGGATTCGGACCGCAAAAACGACCAGTCTGGTCGTGCGAGGGGACTCGAAGTTGTGTCGAAACTTAGACAAAATCCTGACAATGTATGGTGCTTGTTATTGGAAGAGATCCTGCCCTCTTCTGCAGGTATGCGAACTTTTCGGGGAATTGGTATGGCTGATACGGATGATATTTTCAATCGTGATAGTGTAATCAGCGCAGATGTCTTCGTAAACCCGGAGAGGTTGAAGATGAAACTGGTTTGAGAAGGCCTGGAGATATTTTGGGCCTTCCAACTGAGAAAAATTTCACGGCATACACTGTCAAGAGTGTTCACAATATGACTTCAAAAGCACATTTGATTCGTCCCTCCTTTGGGGAACGGATGGGTCCAGAACCAAGAGACCTTATCCACTCCACATAATGGCAATCAAGAACTCAAATATCATCAAACAATGAGCTGCAGCAGAATTCAAACGGGGGGAGGAACAACTAGACTGAGGACTTACCACTGCGGCTTGAAAAGGGACATGGAGGACATTTATATCACGTGATATTGAAAGTATATAGGGAACTGCCGGTGGGCAGCATTTGACCTCAGGATCTGATTCTCGGGATTGAGCTATTGCTTGCGTTGCCTAAATCACCGAGAGAATCAAAATTTCTTGAACAGTATAGGACAATGCCGCCCAGGTGTTCTGTAGGCCTCATAGTTATGAAAAATGGTGGTCAAGCCGGAGAATGGATCTTCGGAGTACTCAACCACCAAACAGCCTGCTCAACATGACCAGAATCTACAAAGATAATTCAAGTATTGAAAAGATAGCTATCGTCTTGATTTGTTTGACATAGGTAAAGACCGAAATCTACAGACCAGCTGCATTTAGTTCAAGCAGCTTTAGCTGCACTAGTTATGTAGACAACGAAGATAGGTAAACGTTAAATTGGCTGTCGAGGTGTTTTAAAGGCAAAATTGCCTCTGCTCTCAAAATGGCATTTGTTGATGGCGAAGATATTCAGAGTGACCTCTAGGTACTTACTGACCACCAGAAACGGAATTAGCCTCGTTTCTGCCCCGCCCTGCAGCTGACCCCGCCATCTCACGTCCTGCCAACAAGCCAACTCTCTCACTCTCAAGTCTTATTTCTCACTCAACCTCCAATAACCTCGACAAATAATCTAGTAAGTCCTTTTTCCAACCCTCATACCAGCCTCACGACCCTTCAGACGATCTTCGCATATTCTAAAGAAATGAGCACAAGCTGACAGCAATTCCGTACCCCGCAGCAGAACACTCAACAAAAACAAGGAAATCTAACCATCATGTCTGCTTTCGACACCGCCGTCATCGACTCGAAGAAGTTGACTTCCAAGCCCTCAAACGACGATTTGCTACAGCTCTACGGTTAGTCTTGTCGTCTGCGCAAGGAGGACAAGTAGGATGTCATGGTTGCAGAGGGATGCTGATGGGTTGTCTCTGCACAGGACTGTTCAAGGTTGCGTCTGGAGAGGACATCACGAAGTCTGAGCAGCCAGGTACCTTTGATCTCAAGGTACGTGCTTATAGAGCTGGACAGTACTGGGAGGACTGAATGTTGTTGGGACGATATGCTGATACCTGTGCAACAATAGGGCAAGGCGAAGAAGCGCGCGTGGCAGAAGGTCGTCGACGAGGGTCTTACCAGCGATGAGGCTAAGGATAAGTACGTCGCACTCGTCGAGTCTTTCAAGGAGAAGTACGGATATGATGCCGACAAGAACCCTGAGGCTGTTGGCTCGTAGAGAGGTTATGGAATGAAAGTCAATACCTGAACTGATGATGGATATGAAAGGTGGTTTGATACCTACCGTTATGGTTGGAAGGAGAAGCATACTACTAGTAATAGTAGAGATGATTAATGTTTCATGGATCTGCTGTTATCATGCGACGTGCGCGCGACGGTTATGCTGTGTGACCAGCTATTATACCATCTAATGCCGTGAGACTGTTACGTTGGCCAGGTGAGATATGTTGTACCCAGTTACTAAACTCCGTAGGATTCACCCCTCCAATCAAGCTCTTGATACGAGAGAGTTGCGCACCATGGCATATCATCCTTCCCATATGGAACCAGAGGTAAGTCATATGGCATCCTTGCTCCAATAACCACCTCTCCGGGCTTTCCGGAATTTGGTGATGGCATGTCGGTCTTGAATGTTGGAATCATAGTTGCTTCCTCTCCGAACAACTCAGGCCAGACCATGACTCCCAATTCGTAGCTGCAGATCCGAACATCACCGCCTGCATTCGATGCTTCTCCCCAGGCTTGCTTGGATAGATTGGCGGAAGTTACCAGCATCCACTGGGAGAAGTTAGTTTAATATTATCTCGGTGAAAAGTACTCAGCTGGAAACAATAGCATGTGCTGCTTCAAAGTCATCTTCACACAAGTACAAGACTGGTATGATAGCACTTACATCGATTGACACTTTCTTGGCATCAGCAAACCGGATAAAAGTCTTGATGTGAGGTGCTGCTCTCTTCCTACCAGCATCAGATACTTGCTCTGAACCAGAAGCACGCTCATCAGCATCTCCAGCCCAATGGCAGAGTATCGGCTTCAGATATTTCACTTGCTTGGCTTGAGCAGCCGACTGGATTTTCGTATGGATAGCACTGCCAGAGTCGTATCCGTTGAGGCTTCTCCGGATCTCATCAGCAGTTGGGAAGATGACCTTAAATTTCGACTTTGAGTTGGGGAAATTCTTGGACGTGCCCATAGCCTTGAACAAGGTCTTTTCGATCCACTTCTCAGATAAAGTAGCAATCGAGGATATCTGAATAACGATTTCACCATCGCTGCTTTTCACTGGCACGGCACTTAGCACGTTCTTCAAAGCCTCCCAGCCCCATGAGGTGTCTGAGTCTTTCTCGATGTGGTGCCTTCCTGGTACGCTTCCAAGAAGTGCGCCTCGGATCGTCGAGAAGTCATGCTTTATTAGTATGTTGACAAGTGGCTTGCATATCTCTCGCTTAGGGTTGTTGTCGTAGGCTTTCAAGTAATTCAGGAAATCAATTTTGAATCTAGATCCGCTCCCTATGGTACCCGGCTCTGCGGCTTCGGTCATACCTGTGGCGCTCAGTAAAGGGAGCATCGGTGAAATCCAGGCCGCCTGAGCCATGTTGGTCCAATCGAAGGGAATCATGTTTGCAGTACTAAGGGCGGGGTCAGTAGGCTTTATACATAAGCTACCACATCAGCATGGTCACTCTGTGGCGTATCAGGAGGATAAATTCACAAATTCTCCAAACGAGATCTTGATAGCAAAGAAAATATGAAGAGATCGCTTACTGGATGATTATTTGCGCCGTGTCATCATGTCGGAAGAGAACAAGCATCTATATGAGACATCAAAATGGGCCCTTATCGACGCTTTGGTTACCACCCTCGTACCTTCGTATGATGGGTCCCAAACATTTCGGGCATATATGCCGTGTGGAGGGTGATATTCGGGTACTTTTCAGCTTGAATCTGGCAGTGGATGTTAGCTTACTACATTTAAGCCTAAATTTACAAGCACATATTTCTGTGCAGTGTTGTAAATCAAAAATAAGGTGCAAGCTGGCCTACCTTCAAGTTGAGTCGGCTAGAGTCATCGTTCTTCCAGAACCCATGGACCACATGGACCTTGATAAGATCACGAACGTCAGGATCAAATGCCTCCATCAAGAAGTCCAAGTTGTGTAAGTAGTTGAATTCCCAACACTCTGAAATTAAAGGATCACCCAGAAGGTCCTTCAACGAGACAGCGTCCTTGTTCGATGCTTCGGGAAGGTCGCGAATCCATGTGAGCTGAAAAGGAGACTTCATAACTTTAGAGTTATGGCTCTCCGGCTTTTGAATTCGGCGCAAGGGAGGGGGTGATATCGAGCTTGTGAGGCTGTGAGGTGGTTTCCGTTGCTTCTGCTGGGGGTCGTCGTCGCTGCTGAGACGGCGTCTTTTCCGAGATCGCTCTTCTGATATGTCGTCCATTTTCTTCTGAGGTTCTGGGTGGCTCAAAATTGCCTTTGAGAAGCAGTATCTTGAGCTCCTCAAGAACCAGAAAGTTTCCCGAACATGTGCGATGAGAAGCATCCAAGAATGGTTAAGGGGGAAGTAGATACCATCGATCACGTGTAAGCAAACCGTTCGAGGTTGCCTCATCAGAAGCGAGAGGCGCTCAATGGCGCTAACCCCTCTGCCCCTTAGTGGCCGCGTTCCGTCTTTAGAAGTCTTTAGACCGAGAGATAAAGGAATCGTAAGCCCAATCCACTCGTTTCAACGTCAGGCCAGCGACTCTCAACGGCGACGAAAATAGTTTCCCTGGACTTGTACAATATCGCTCCAGCTTCAACGTCTGTTTGTCCTGCAATTGCCGCCCTCAACTCGATCGCCGGCGGTTGAGCCGCTCCACCTATCTTGCCTCAGGAGAACGAACAATTCCGTCAACATGCGTGTCCTTCCAATTCTCTACACTCTTTTCGCATCTTCAGTAATAGCGCAATCCTCGGGGGATAATGTACAAAAGAAAGAAGTAGCGGCAGAGGCAGAAGATGCTGCAGATGGACCACCACCGACGATATTCAACGGGGTTGAGGTACCTCCTATCACAATCTTGGAAGGGGATACCTTCAATGCGACAGTCAAAGAAGGATTGTGGTTTGTGAAGCATCACTCGTGAGCTACCCCCAGATATATATCACACAATTGTAATGGACCTAACAAGTAGTCGTGTTCAGACCGTATTGCCCTCACTGCCTCCACGTTGCGCCAACGTGGCAAACTTTATACGAATACTACTTTACATCAAAACCTGTCCCGGCTGGCCCACCTACGGATAGCTCGTCAACATCCTTGAATACATTCACTGCCTACTACAACTATCATTTTGGAAATCTAGACTGTATTGCTTTTGGTACAGCCTGCAAGGAGCACAATGTTGCGTCTTTCCCAACATTTGTCTTGTACAAGGATGGAGTGGAGATCAAGCGACTGGAGGGAGCAAAAGATATGAAGACATTGAGCGAATTTGTTGAATCATCACTGGAATCTGTTCGGCCAGGATCGCGCCCGGTCGGAGGCCCTGAACTACCGGCAGCAGGAGATAAAACCTCAAAGGAATACCAAGGCCCAAAACCTGCAGACACCAAAGCAACTGGGGCGGCAGCTGCTGCACCTGTGGCTACGACTCCTGTGAAGGCACCTGCTCCATCTGCGAGCGAGGATGTCAAGGAAGAAGAAACAAAGGTCCCTAGCAGCACTGTCAAACCCAATGCTGCCAAAGCTCCCAAGAAGCCAATTCTTCCTCCCAAGTCTACGGCGATTCCGAACACTCTTGGAAAATCGATCTCGTTCACGGCCGAAAGCTTCCAAAAGCAAGTGACTATGACCCAAGAACCATGGTTCATCAAATTCTACGCGCCATGGTGTCATCATTGCCAGGCAATGGCTCCAAACTGGATCCAACTTGCAAAAGAGATGAAGGGGAAGCTTAATATTGGAGAGGTAAACTGTGACGTTGAGTCAAGATTGTGCAAGGAAGTTCGACTACGCGGATACCCCACGATTTTGTTCTTCCGTGGTGGGGAACGTGTCGAATACGAAGGTCTTCGGGGTCTTGGTGATTTCGTCTCGTACGCTAACAAAGCGATTGATGTTGGGGATGGAGTGAAGGATATTGATGCTTTGGAGTTCGCGGAGCTGGAGGAGAAGGAAGAAGTCATCTTCCTTTACTTTTACGACCACGCTACGACCACTGAAGATTTCGCTGCCTTGGAAAGGTTGACATTGAGCTTGATTGGACACGCAAAATTGGTGAAAACTAATAGTGCCAAGTTGGCTGAACGCTACAAGATCACAACTTGGCCTAGACTTCTAGTCTCTCGCGACGGACGCCCCACTTATTATACAGCTCTTGCTCCCAAAGATATGCGGGATTTTAGACAAGTCCTTAACTGGATGCAATCTGTCTGGTTACCAATCGTTCCTGAGCTTACATCCTCCAACTCTCGAGAAATTATGGACGGAAAGCTAGTTGTCCTGGGCATACTCACGCGTGAACGTCCAGACGAGTTTTTAATTGCCAAGAAGGAGATTAAAAGTGCAGCTCTCGAATGGATGGATAAGCAGACTTTGGCGTTCCAACGCGAGCGTCAAGAGCTTCGAGATGCCAAGCAATTGAGACTCGAAGAGGCAGAAGATCGGAATGATCAACGAGCTTTGCGAGCTGCTAAAAGCATCCGCATCAACATGGACAAATCCGAGCAGAAAGAAGTCGGATTTGCGTGGGTGGATGGTGTATTTTGGGAAAGGTGGATCAGAACGACATACGGTATCGAAGTTGCCAAAGACGGCGAGAAAGTCATTATCAATGACGAGGATGTAAGAATTTCTAAACGCACGGTGAATTAGTTATATGCTAACACATGTTACAGCAACGAAGATATTGGGACACGACCATCACCGGCAACTCTATCATGGCGTCACGTACATCCATTCTTGAGACGATACCTAAAGTCGTTTCCTCGCCTCCTAAAATCAAGCCGAAATCCACGATATCGAATTTCGAGAAATTTTTCTTTGACATCAGAGGCGCCATCTCCGGCCACCCATATCTTTCCGCTGGACTCTTGGTTGGGATCCTGATCGGTGCAGCGATGTGGAGTAAGGGACGCATGCGGAGGAGTAGAGGCGGTTTCTTCAGACTTGATGAAAAAGATGGATTGTTGGGTGGACCGGCAAACGGAAAGGTGGATTAGATTAATGAGGATGGGAGAAAGGTGAAGATCAGTCGATTTGTATTATAGCGGGCTTGGGTCTTCTACGTTTTCTCCATTGGGTGCGTATGGGTGTTGGAATTCATTACGCCTTGTTCTATCTTCTGCTGGGATATCTGAATCTATCATTGACGACTTTGGTTTACATAGAGCGGACCAAGTGGCGCTCTGATCTTGAATAGTTCAACTGCGTTCCAATACATGACTTGGTCTCGGGTACGTTTGGTCTGCGTCGCCCCCGAACTGATTCAAGCGAAGAAGAGTACTATTTTATTGATTTTCTTTCCGAGTACGTTTAAGCTACCAGCGAACATCTACCCTCCACTGATTTTCCATCTATCATTCCTTCATTCCATCATCTATAGACTAAGCCTCCTACCATTCTTAATCTCGCCTAATGCCCTCACCTCCCCCATCTCCCAAGCACCCCGATGCTACCACTACTCCCAACAACAACACACCACTCACCATCATTACTCCACGCAACCTGCCTCCCCGTAAACTTCAATCCCTTCACCATCTCCGTATGATGCGGCTCCAATTCCGTCAAAGGATCCCCCAGCTCATATTTCGCTTTCCAGCCAGCCCAGCTGCGCGCCCAGTCGATCTTGCCTTTACCTGGCAGTCCCTGCGAATTCTCGTCTTGATTCGTATGTTCTGAACCGGTAGATTCAGATAGCGACGTTTCGCGCGCGAGGCGTGCGATTGCTCCAACTCCGCCAGCGCTACCGCCTCCTCGATTGCGCCGCTGGAAGGGGTGGAGGAAGGGATGGGCACGAGGAGTGTTGTCGATGGGAATGTTGGGCTTCTTTTCTCCTTTCATAGGTGATGCACCGCGAGATTCGGCTCCAGCAACAGGTACACCATCAGCACCGGGCATCGAGCCCTGTGTGTCATAGTAGTTCTCGAAGCGTTCCAGGTCCCAGAAGAAGACCTTACTATTCGTGTTACAGAATGCCACGATAGGATGGCGACCTGGGCCTATTTTGCAGCCGGGAAAGAGCGAGAATCGCGCGAACATGATGTGGCTCTCGGGGATGGAGAGTTGGAGGTACCGATTGTAAAGCGTTATGGCGTTATCGGCTGCGGACAGAGGTGGAGATACGAATGCAGAACGGGCATCTCGTGAAGCGTCGTGAGAGGTGGGTGCTTGGGATGGAGGAGGGGGTGGAGCGGAGCTGTTGAAGTTCGTGATGGACCAGAGGACGATGTTGTGCTCGTTGCAGGCTTTGGAGAGGATGAGGTCGCCATACCATGATACGCTGAAAGAGTTGAGGAGGTTAGTCGTCCCATCTCATCGGCTGATGGGTTCTCTGAGAGGTTGGATGCTGGAGGTGGATAGACAGGTACAGGGACTTACCAGTCTACAATGTCACCGTGGATTTCGGATGTTGAGAAATGAGGGTAGTAGATCCGTGTTGGGATGTTGGTACCGGTGTTGGAGTCTGGGAACTCCGGTAGCGTCCACTGATCCCATTAGAGGAAGAAATCCACGTGAGTTACGAGAAGGTGCGACTCACGAGGTTGATTCTGTGATCTATCCCTCCTGAGAGGAGATAGCGGCCTGTGGGATGGAAGGCCTGTATGGTTTGTCAGTTTAACTTGTTGGATTGAATCTTGAGGTAGGCTTACAAGACATAGTACGGTCTCTTCATGGCCGTCTCCTTCTAGAATTGCCGCACAAGGTTGACTTTCGTGGCGCGGATCTAGACTCCATATTCGTACTGTACAGTCCGCAGATGCTGAGGCAATGATACATGGGTTGATGGGCGACACTGCGAGATCATTGATTTCCTATAAATTTCAATATCATGAATCGTAAACGTTATAAGATCCATATAACTTGCCCCTCCGTGACCTGACAATGTCTACAAATACCCGTTAGTCAAAGTCCAAGTCTTTTTTTTTGCCTTGCACACCCTCAATAAATCACCTGTCACTGCATTGAAGACTTTAATTTGATCGCTTGCCCCAGCCACACAGAGCAATGGTATGCCAGTCTCAGTGTCCTTACTCCAGGCACATGCATAATGATCTATCTCTTTCTGTCTAGATTTAGATATCGTGGTCTGTTGTGGATAAGAATAGAATCAACTTACCTCCTCATCATGGAGCTCTTGGATAACATCAATCTTCGCGTTATCTTTCCCGCCAGGCGGACGGCACACCATGATCTTTGCTCGAGTTAGCTGCCAGTCGTTGCACTTCACGGTGGCTTGCGGCAGGAGAGGAGGGATAGGAAAGGAAGGAGAACTCACCCGCTTGCCGCCCACAACGGCAAAGACAGGGTCTACCCCGGGCTCAGTGTATGGATAGAATTGGACAGAATAGAAGTCCGCCGAGACTGCAGAAACCCGTTAGCAAACGCAGGGGGCAGAAATCAGTAGTCAGCAGGCGATGTGCGTCTATCCACTCTACTCTTCAGTAAGGGCTTGAACAAACCATTTTCCAGGCCCTAGAATATGTCCATCCATTAGGAACGATCCCACAAAGTGAATTGTTACACAACGAGCAGAGAGAAGCTCGGTCTCGGAGAAAGACTTACCATCATCTGGTGAGCCTCTCTCAGGTGAGGAAACTCCCATTCCCGCTTATCATCTTTCGAGGACATGACTCTCTTGCTTGGTGGCTTCCTGATCGAGGCAGATAGTTCCGTACTGTGCTGAAACCCGAATTGAAGTGACTTGGTATCTGAGAGGAGGTGTTGCAAAGTGGACAAAAAACTGGTATCGAGAGATAGGAAGCCCGAAAATTGACACCCGGCGCCTATTCACAGGAAAGAAGACTGAAATATTACACCGAATCAATTATTGTGACATTGTAAGCATCCAAAAACGTAAAGATTATGTTGGTGTTGACAGTGAGAGACAGGGAACAAGCTTCCTGTTCTTGGCTTAACGGGAAATAGCATAGACAATCATGTGACCACTCCATTGAAAATGCCCTAATTAGGTACTACAGCAACTGACTGTTGGAGACTATGTCAAGGAACTCTGCATCTCGTGCGTATGTACTTGCATCCACAAAATGGTCAGGCATCATTTGAATTGCATCTGCAGCAATCGTGCCGACTTCGACTGCTTCTCGGCAGTCAAAGCCGCAAGAACAAAAGAAAGTTTAGACGAGCCACGGGCAGCAAAAGCAGAGTATTGTAAACGGCGCGCATGCTGCGTCCTGTACGGCATGGCATAGCATGGCATGAGCTAAAAGTGAAACTTACCAATACTCTGGGAAAGCTAGGGATGCAAGCAGGCATTATGCACCCGGGCGTGAACAGTACAGTAGGATGAGGATGAGGATGCAAGTGCGGCTGCGGTGATGCGCTCCTTGCAATGGAATGTGGTGTGGTTGTGGTGTGTGGTGTGTGGTGTGTGGTGTGGTGTGGTACCAAGTACGAAGGGTACGGTACGGTACGGTACCTTGTGGGGATGCAGCCTCCCCAGGCTTTGGGATCGGGATGATGATCCGAATTCCTGGAATTAGCGCGCTTGCTGTGACGGATCATGGATGCCTCCTCGCGCAGTGGCACAGCCTAGGATTGGGTCTAGAACCCGACAATCAGTGCGTAGTCGTGTTGGTCTGGTATCGTATCGTATCGTATCGTATCGTATCGTATCGTATCGTAACGTCCTGTTGGGTTTGGAAGCTGAGAGGTCCTGGAGACCTGCACAACGTGCAAGCGAGCGTCTCCGGGGAGTCAGAATCAAAGTCAAAACATGTGATTAATTTTCCCGTCCGGGCTGTAGTTGCTCGTATTCAATGGTTCTTTTCAAAGCATTGCAGGATGAAAGACAGGAAAAACAAGGTCCTAGGTTTGCTGAGGAGAGCAGGCCAACATCAGCTAGAAAACAACTACGGAGGTATCTCCTCAACTGCCTCATCAAACACACTTTTTACAGTGAGTTTAGAGGTATCCTATAGCGAAACCCTATAGAAAAGTGTCTTTCCGGCAGTTGAGGGGATATCGATAGCGGCTTTGTCACTTGTCAGAGCGGAAGCTTAATCTGAAGTCAACTCGTGGTTGTTACTTCTGGTTGTAACCACCCCTAGCTCGACAACAGTGACTACACACGCATTTTTGCCAGAACTCATTGTTGTTACGCAATTTGTGGCAGTTTTCGAACCAGTCGTTGCATTTCCACGCTGACGAAGTGATTGTCCAACCAGCCTTCAGGCACTCGACCGTCATCTCACGCTCGGCCACTGAGACCAGAAGACGCTGTTCTCCAAAGCAACTTTGGCATGGCATTGTCCAAAAGGCCCCACCATCACCGGTATATCCGACTACTTACAGGAATACCCGAAGAAATCATATCATATGTTCCATGTTTGCAAGTACTGAACTCGTCCCCTTGCCAGAGAGTCACCCACAGAATGTCACTATTGCAACTGGGGTCCAGCTTGAAGCCACTGGTTGGCAGGGCCTATCACACCTCTCGGCCATCAAACGCTACAGTACAATAACCAAAACAGACTCGCGCTTTTGATATCATCCTACTTTTTCCAAGAAGACCGAAGACGCTCATTTGCTTGGAAGGTCATCGAACGGTAAGCTGAGGTTGGTGAGCCCGTTTCACTGATATAAAAAGGTTCTGATATTGACGAGGTTCTGCCAGGTGTGGTAGACTGGACCCCTACCAGTGTCCCGAAACCCTGGAGATCCATCACGGAGATTCTCCCTAATAAGGAGCTGTCAAGCAGCATGGGCCACACCCCACAGTGTATCATCCGCCTCCTAGGGCCGTGCGAGGAGGCACAGACAGACAGGTTCCCATCCCCCCGTCGAATCAAATCAATGAGCTTCAACTGGAACTCAGACCTTTCGTCTTTGCTTCGAGGACGTTTAGATCACTGGGTCTCCAGTGATAAGCACGGAATGAGATTCCGAGTCCTGTGTCTTGTATCACATTGTCTGGCTACCAAAATTCTGGATAGATACCGGGTTCAAACGTGCTTCGATGCAGGAAAGGCCTTGCGTTACACAAAGCAGCCAACCGCCGTTTCCAAGTCCCAGAGTCTTATTCGAATACACAAGTTAATGAAGAAATCAGTCGTACCATCGTACGGCATGAGGTGCCCCTTGTGGGACTCGATTTCCTGGGAATCCCAAAGGTGACGCACTGATAAGATTGCGGGTCGGGGACTAGGTTACCATGAACTTTATGCCAGGCGTATTAGTCCTTTGGGATTCGGGAGGCCTGTTGGTATCACACTGGGAAGGGAGAAGTTGCGAAACTTCAGACGCCGTGATCCAGTATCCCCACAACCGGGAAAACGCCCCACATCCGTGCCGTTGTCTTGCGTCTGTTGCAACATCGAATCTCCTGCAGGCTGTGCATGCAAAACGATGGAAAGGTGATGGGACAGTTGCAGCGATGCTTGCGACGTCGACTGAATGTTCATGTTCATGTTCGGGATCGGGAGAGTCGGGACAATCTTCGGCTTGCTCGCGGCACGCAATCAATGCTTTAATCGAGCAGGCGAGCCAGCAGCTTGGAAAGTGGTTCTGCAGCATATCCCTCCGTCATAAGAAAGCGCAAAGTAATCCAGCTATGTCTGACTGGAGAGAAGAGAAGAGAAGTGGCATGGTGGAATTTATATTTCATTTCTAGTATTAGTATAGTTAGTACCTCCGTACATTGTAGTCCTCGAGACGAGCGACAAAACCGATACAAAACCGGTTCAGACAGGCAGGACAGGCGAGACAGGCGAGACAGGCGAGACAGGACAAGAGGGGATCGACGGCTAGTGCTGTCGCCCTAACTGAGAGCATTCTAGCTGTGGGGATTCCGCAGGGCCACGGCCCACGACCGGCACAAACAATGGAAAAGTCCCCGTTGCGCCCCGTCACCGTTTTCAGGCTTTTGTCTTGTCCCTGACTCCCTGGGCACTACAGTAGTACTGGCTCGACTGGCAGCCGCCTGCCTCCGTGATATCCCTAGCCTAGGCGAGGCAAGTGCAAGTGCAAGTGCAAGTGCAAGTGCTCAGTCATATTACTGTAGGTGCCCTTCCTTTGCCCTTCCCTTAGTCCCAGCCTAGCGAAAGCCTTCCAGGTCATACCGATCCTATCTCAACGACCTGTGCTGCCAGTGCCACTACAACTCTTCCCCTCTCTCCGTCCTCTCTCTCTCTCTCTCTCTCTCTCTCTCTCTCTCTCTCTCTCTCTCTCTCCCTCCTCCCAATCCTCATCTCTATCAGCGACATTCCTGCGTATGGCTTCCATCGCACCGATTCGATCTCCTCCTTCTGCCGACGCATGACGCCTCGATTCGTCCGTCTGCGTCTTTCCATCTCTCGACCACATGCACTACTACTCTGCGAAATCCAGATGTTGACTGCATCAAGATAGCACCAATCAATGACTTGACACTTGAGACCGGGACCCTGGCCCGCTAGCGGCCACCCTTGAAAGCCCACCTCCACCTCGTCCCCGTCGTCGACATTCCATCCGTTTGATTTGGCCTCCGAAGATCCTTGTGACGGCGGCAGAGCTGGGAACCTTGCCCTGTCCTGTCTTCTGTTTGTCAACCGACTCAACCCTTGCCCCCCCTGCCCTGCCTTGTCTTGTCTTGCCCACCCTGGTGATTCCCGCAGACAAGGCCCCCGCCGTTAATTCGCAAGCAATCCCTAAATCAGCCATTGCAGCGTTTGTTCCATCTATATCAAATCGACTCAATTCGATATTGACTTTCCTGGGACTCACAGCTCCGTTTCCTCGAGAAGGGCATGACATATATAAGGACAGTTTACCAACCCACGACTATAAGATCACATTTTCTCCATCCGGTCACCACTCAAGCATCCTCCTTGTACACTCGACCTCAATCGGCGATTCCCCGACTTTTCGAACGGACGTGCTACCTGACTACCCTTCTCAACAACCACCTCGATATTACACAAATATTCTTCGTCATACTCTATCGTCTGGCTCCCATACAAATACCCCCGTGCATCTGTGTCGACTTCACTTCCCTGAGTCGGGGTCGTATTATCTACCTTGACTGTGGGTGAAGTTGGGCAGTGTTGTCTCCTCGAGGAGAGCTGAGATATCTTTTTAGAGATACAGAGCCAGCTTCTTCGCAATGGAGACTACATTTATGACCATTCACAGTAAGAATTGATCAATGCTTACCGGCACTGCACTCTTTTTTTTGTTCTCGCTGCTAACCGTTCCTCAACAGACCTTAGCCGCGAGGCCAACATTCTGTTTGCTTCCGAGTCTATCGTTGATATCTTAGGCTTTCAGCCAGAAGAAGTCATTGGCAGATCAAGTTTTGATTACTTCCATCCCGATGAAGTTTTCAATGCCAGAACGATTCACAGCCGTGGTGTCCAGATGGACAAGGCTGCCGTTCTTCACTATGCTCGAATTCAGAACCGAGATGGACAGTGGGTTGGCTGCGAATGTGTATTTACCATTGTCTACGAGGTCTTAGTCGCCTGCACCAGCGTCTACAGAGGAGATGCAAAAAGCGAGCGTTAGGTCTCCCATTATCCCAAGATTTTTATAGGCTAAATAAAGTGTGGACAGGCCGAGCTGTGGAAGCTCCAGTGATACGTCGTCTCTTTGCATCTTCACCAAGAGATCCACGATATCATATGCTGGAACACTTATCCTCCAAGTTCAGAACTCCGCCTCAAGCATCTTTATTGGAACCTCGAGCTGCTTTGATACTCAACCGCTTCACTCGCACGCTCACTGTCATGTACGCGACGAATGCCGTTAACAGCATCCTCGGAATATCTCCAGAGGAGTTCAAGGACAAAAGTTTTTACGAGTGCATGCAAGAGAACTGTCTGCCAGAAGCTATTCGATGCCTGGAAAGTGCAAAAGCCAACGATTCCATTGCGTACCTTCGATTCTGGCACCGAAATCCTCGTCGAGAGGAAGAGATTGAGGAAGAGCTTGACGAGGAAATGCGCGAGGCCAGTCAAAGCAGTGACTCCGAGGATGGAGGTGTGGAGCTTCATGGCCACATGGATATCGACTATGTTCCAGCAGTAAGAAACACCTCGTCTGGTGCTGCTGCTAATACCGAGACCTCTGGAAATGAGGAATCTTCGAGTATGGCGGCAAACCTTCACCCTAGGGACAACATGCGGACATCGTCGGGGGAGAGCACAGATCTTGAGCAAGATGCGGCCCATGCTATCTTTGATAAGGAGCAAGTGTCGCGTTCGTCGACGTCGTCTTTAGCGCTCGTGTCTCCTGAAGAGCGTGTCCAAAGAAGGAGAACAGTCTCTCAAAGGCCTGCTCCTGCGCCGGAGCCTATCGAGATCGAGGCTGTTGTCTCCTGTACCTCAGATGGATTGGTAGTAGTTTTGCGACGAGCTCGTCCAGCCATACCGTCTCTGCACCAGCCTGTTCATCCTATTCAGGCCCCACAATATGAAAATGGTCTGTTTGCTGCTCCTTGGGGCCTAAACCCGATCCAACCTCATCTATACCAACCCAATCCGCAGCATCCTTTTCAGCACGGTCTGCAAGCTCCTCAGCTACCAGCTGGTGGACCACCGATAGCCGAGTTCATGAATTCGATTCGGGAGGTTGCTGTCTTTGCTTGGTCCTTGACAGGCATTAATGGAAACATTGCCTCATATGGGCATGGTGTTCCTCGAGGAGAAAGTCAGCCGCCTGGTGGACTTCCCATCTGGGATCCTTATGCCCAGCCAAGCTTCGGCTATTTTCCGCCTGTGAATCAAGCTGCCCAAAGATGGGCTCGTCTGGGCGAGAAGACCAATGAGCCTGGTGATGGAAACCAAGTGCCTCCTTATCAACACCATCGCCAGCAGCAACTCCTTGAGAGGCACGGCTATGCCCACGAATCATCTATGGTTATGGGGCCTAATCATTCCGGCTCGACGATGGACCGACCTGCTCCAGCTTATACGTTTGAGCCCCAACTCGGTCACAATCCAGGACGCCACAGCTGGGGATCTCCCCCACGAGCAGTTGAGCAACCACAAACTACACAACCACAGAGTTCCCAAAGTCCAAGAGAAGTGGCATTTGGAAAACAGGATCCCTGGGTCTAGGTGGATTACATACTGGGAATATTTCAGGATCAATTTAGCTCCATATCTTCTTTATAGGCGAATTAGAAAAATTGGGAATACGGAGTTTGGAGTGGGAATAGCTGCAACTGTCCTATTTCTCAAGTTGTAATTTTTCTGTATGACTAATGAATATACCAATCTTTTGCTGCGGACTTATGATCCGTCCATCATTGAATGTGATTCAAGACAATCCTCCGTAAGACCCTAATCTTTTTTTTTTTTTTAAATCTATAGTTTATTTAGCTGCTATCTAGCGCTATGTAGACGTACTATTATAAACTAGTTACATATATAATCACGGGCTAATTAGCCTCGTATTTAGAGCTGAATAAAGTATAAAAGAAACTAGTATAAATAAAAGAAATCTAAATAATATTAAAAACTCGTATAACTCTATATAATCTTATATACTCCTTAAGCTTTCCGCTTCTATTCTAATATATATTACTATTATTATAGTCTCTCTCTAGCGAGGAGTTCAAATTTCCCTATTATATTATTACTAATTTACTGCTCTAGCTGCCCCCTGAGAAAGTATAAAGTAAGTTATTACTCTAGTAGTAAGTCTATAAATGTTACCTTCAGGTTTATAAGGCCTATAGTAAGTATAAAAGCTACTATTTTAGGGATAAGCTCTAGGTCGTTTAGATATATCTTTATATTAGTATAGATCTCTATAAAGTACTTATTTCTTAATCTATCTAAGTATTTATAATCTTTAATAATATATTTAACTATTTAGTACGCTTATTCGTAGTTGTACTATAGGTTATCTAATTGTTTAATTATATAAAAGTAGCTATAGAGACTAATCTTATTAGTTCTTATCTAGATTAGCACTGAATGTAACGGTCCGGTATTTACTTGCTGTAAATACAGAAGGCTGTAGTTGATCTCTGATGATCGAGAGGTAGGTGTATCACGTAGACGGAAGATAGTTACTAAGTATCAGAATACTATTTGAAGTTGAGCACGAAGCTCCTATCTAATAGCAGACGTGCTAGTCTTATATAGAACCTTCGTTCGCCTTGGATCCCTTGGGATACTAGATCCTTGGATCCTTAGATCCGTTTTCCTATAAGGGGATCCAGGGATCCAGGGATCCATCACGTGACCTATCGTCCACCGTGATCTAGGTAACTATTACTACCGAAGCGTGAGTGTACAGCAGTACCACTCGCTTGTCCTGTATCATTCCCTGGCTGGTACTACCCTATCGATAGTACCGCTCCCTCGTTAGTACTAATGCCCCTATAGTACCACTGATAGTTTTATTATCATATGGGTGCCAACTGAACCGTAGCGCCAAGGGGTTCGTAACACTGAACTCTTAGCTTTTATAAAGCCTTAGTAGAGCTTATTAATATATTAGTTAATATAATATTAGGAGAACTTCTTCTAAGTTTCCTTATAAAGGAGTAATATCTCGCTTTAGTTCTAGCGTTTAGTCTACTAGTATCTTACTTTCTCCTTAATCTATCTTTTATATAATAAGATTAATTAAGGGAGCTATAGTAAGTGTATTTCTCTTATTAGCTAGCTCTTATCCTTATAGTATCTTTAGCTTATAGCTTTCTTTATAAGTCGGTCCGCTACCTTATTTCTAGGGACTCTAATATATACTAGAATCTAGCGTATTATTACTAGTACTTACTTATATTAGAGGACGTTTACTAAGTAGTATATCTTCTATAGAATCGTTTAGCTTAACTACTTCCGGGGGTATACTAAGGATAGGATTATAGCTTAGTTATTTATAAAAATAGTAAGTTTTCTTATATTATTATCTTTTAGAGCTATATCTAGCGCTATCTAGATATTATATAGTTTAGTACTATAGACTATAAATTAAGAGGATAAACTAATATCTAGTTAATACCTCTTTCTCTGTTTTAAGTCTTATATAGCTACTCTCACTTATCCCTTAATATCGCTTCTATTAGTAAAGATTTATATATATAATATTAAGTTTTCTTACTAGAGCTTATTATAGGATTTTATTACTATTTTAGTATCTTTAATAATATAAGTTAGGGGAATCTACTATAGTTCGGTTACTACTAGTACCTATTATTCGAGTCTCTTAAATACCTCTAGTAATATAATATATCTTATACTCTTTTCTAGCTCTTAGAGTAGTAATCTCCTTAGGTATTTCTTACTTATTATACCTCTCTCCTTTAGTATCCTTATCTTCTAGTATATTAGAGAAGCTCTAATTTAATATATAGTAATTAAGCTAAGCTAAGTGAGTTATACTTTAGTATTAAACGTCTTTATCTTAGCGTTAAGTACTACTATAGCTATAGATCAGAAGGCTCTAGTAGCTAAGTAAAGGGCTTTCTTTTAGAGAGTATCTAGTATTCTTAGTTATTTCACCTAGTATATCTTCTTCTTATAGATAAGGTTTAAGATCTACTAAGTAGAATAACTATAGAATATCTATCTAGTAATAATTAGTCTAACTAGTATTAGTATATCTACTCTTAACGCTCTTTACTTTAAGCTAGAGATTACTCTTATAGCTTAGATAGATTTCTTTACTTATATCTTAATATATTCTATATACTTTATACTATTTAGTTTACTATTTAAGATAATTCCTAGGTAGTAAGTATAAGTTTTTATTTATACTTCTATACTATTTCCGAGGTCGACTAGTTTATCTTATATTATAATCTTCCTCCTATTACTCTTATAAGTGAAGTATATAAGCTCGTACTTCTATAGTATAAACACTAAAGTATATTATTAAGCTTATTCCTCCGCTTTTAGGTATAAGAGTTCTAATTTCTATATTATAGATTTAGTAGTAGCTCTTTCTACTATAAAGTTAATATTATTAATATAGCTTATTACTAGCTCTTTTAAACGACTTATCTCTAGTAGGTCTATACTATAGAACAGATATAAGATAAGTAATAGTAGTAAGCCTTAGGGGATTCTAATAGGGACTCTAAACTCTATACTTATACCTTTATAAAGTTTAATCTATATAGTTCTACTTTATAAATAGCTAGCTATCTACTAAATAATCTCTTCTAGTAGGTGTTATTTTAGGAAGTTATAAAGGAGTCTTTCGTAGGAGATATTATCAAAAGCTCTAGAGATATTAAGTATTAAGAGGCTCGCTACTTTATATTTCCTTTATATTATATATACTTTCTCTAAGAGTAGGTATATTATATACTTATATAAGGACTACTTCTAGCCTCTAGTATAGGACACTAGGAGAAGCTTATATCGTTCCGCGTAGTATTATATTCTCTTTACTAAGATAATATCTATAGCTTTTCTTATTATATTTATAAGAGCTACCGGATAATATAACTTTAGTTATAAGTAGTTATCTTTCTTAGGTTTTCTTAGTACTATTATAACTAATCTTTTAAACCTACTTAGATAGTATTAAAGTCGAATAGACTAGTTAAAGAGTCTTATATAGATTAGAGCTAGAATATCTATTATAGCTTTTAGGACTCTATTAGGGATTCTGTTCTCTTTTAGGGCTTTATCTAAAGGAGTATCTTTTAATACCTCTTAGACTTCTTACTTATTAATCGGGGTTTATTACTTTACTAGTATAAAGTAGTTATAGAAGTATATATCTATTAGGTCTACCTCCGGAGGTTAAGGGAAGAAAGTAGCTTATAATACCTCTACTTTACTTTCTATATCTTCCGCTAACTTTCTATTACTTTTCCTAATATCTAGTATAAAAGCTAAGGCTTTAGTACTCCTTTATCTTATTTACCTCACTAGTAACTATAACTCTTTCTTATCTTATATACTTAATACCTTCTCTCTATAGATATCTCTTTATATAACTTAGATCACTTTCTTTTTAGCTCTCTTTACTACTATAAACTCTTATAAGTCTTAAATAGTACTTCTAACTTTATTCCACTATTTCTAAGCTCTTTTAACCTTATCTACTACTTCTCTATAAGCCCTTATAAACCTTAGGACTATTCTCTTAGTATACTTCTTTTCTACTATAGCTAATATTACTACTTATTATATTACTTCTATTATATTATTAATATTATTATTAAGGTCTATTAGTATAATTATAGTATTAATTTTAGCTATAAAAGGTAAGAGCTCTTAGAGCGTTCTCTAGAAAGTCGCTTAGTCTATAGTTTTATAGTCCTATTAGCGGACTATTAAGGTTCTAGAATAGTCTATTAAGATTATTATTTTTATTAGTAGGTAATCTGAAGCTATATTTAACTCTAAGACTACTTTATAAGTAGCTAGCTTATCTATAAGTTTAATATTATACTAGCTAAGGTCGATCGTTATATTCTATAGACTCGACTAAATATCTACTCTTAGTTAAGTAATTATATCTACTAGAAAAGTAAGTTCGAGGTTATAGTCTACTATTATACTTCTTACTACTTCTTATAGTATATATTAAAGTCCTTTACTACTACTTAACTATTATTTTAGAACTTCTTAAGAGTAATATTTAGTTCTAGTAATATACTCTCTTAAGGTATTCTTTCCTAGACTCTATATATATATATAGATCTAATATATTATATAAGTTATATATATTATATACTATAATTATCTTTATAGTACTCTTTAACTTAACTATAATATATACTAAGCTTATATAAAGTTCTCTCCTTATAATATAAACTAAGCTAAGGTAGATTTTACTATAGATAAAGAAGCTAACTAGCAGTCTCTTAGCGTTAGCTAAGTAGGCTTTAAACCGCCTTTAGGATAAGTTATAAGTAGCTCTCTTATTATAACTATTAAGCTATAGTTCTTAGATTATAATAATATTATATTTTTAGGTTTTCTTATTTTATAGTAGAAGGTTTATTATATTATATAATTTCTATATATTATACTATAGAATAGAGAGTGTTTTATACTAGTATATACTTATTAGCAAGAGTTCTAGGTTTATTACTATATAACTATACCTATAGAGCTTAATAATAATACTAACTAAGCCTCTAATAATACTATAGTAAAGTTAGTAGAAATACTAGACTCTACCTCTTCTGATTTAGCTCTTAAGTTTATTCCTTTTAAGTTAGCTTTATTAATAGTAGTACTTTTAGCGATTAAGCTATCGATTTCTTAGTTAAGGTCCTTATTTCTTCCGGAGTTTATAAGTCTCTAGAGTTTTAATAATCTTATATAGTCTTTATAAACTTTCTTTAGAGCTCTCTTAAACTTATTAATAATCTTAGGTCTTATTACTATAGTATACTTATTACTTAGTTCCTCTTCCTCTATAAGCTTAACTAAAGAGCTCTAGAGTTTATAAGCTACTAACTTTAGTATCCTCTTTAGCTCTAGGACTAGGTCCGAGTCTACTACTATAAGAGCTAGGGATTCCTTAAATATCTCTTCTATATTCTCTAGTATTTTAAAGTGAATATATTACCTTAAGGTCTTTAGGAGGTTAAAGATTAGTAAGCTTTAGTTTATATCTATATTTATAGTATCTTTTCTAATACTCTCTGATATTAACTCTAGTGTTATTATTATTAGTATAGCTAGTACTAGTATCACTAGTAAGGGAGTCGATTATTTACTACCTCTCTCTAATACTAATAGTATTAATATTAGAGTATTAGGAAATAGTAGTTCCTTTACTAGTTACTACTTTTCTTATATTACTCTTTCTATAATCTTCTTCCGCTACTTATATTCCCTATAGAAAGCTAGGTAGTTCCTTTTATAATTACTATACTTATATATAGTAGTAACCTTTAGCTTAGGGTACTTCTTAGTCTAGTGCTCCTTTAAGCCGCAGAATCCGCACTTTCTTACTATAGTATATATATAAGCTATATAGTCGAAGCTATAATAGTTAAAGTATTATACTACTTAGGCTTTTTAGCTGTACTATTAGGTCGCTTTTAAGGCGCTTTCCTAGATTATTCGTCGTATTATAATATATATGTTTATAATCTCCTTACTATATAATTCGATTATAATTATATTATATATTTTCCTTAGCTTTACTTTAGAGAGCTACTTTACTCTTTTAATAGCGCTTATTAAGTATAATAAGTTAGGGTTATTATAAAATAGTATATTAATTATCTGTTCTTAGTTTATTATATTTATACTTTTAATTAAGATACTTAATACTATTACGCCTTATATTAGTACTATAACTTCTATACCCTCCCTTAGGAGGCTCTACTACTTCTTCCCTTAGTGAATCAGTCTCTCTACTATAGCTATATTCTTAGTATATATAAAGATATCTCTACTATATATTAGTCTCGCTAATTTCACCTATTATAGTAAGGTAGTTAGTATTAACGTAGTAGCCTAACTGCTATTATTACTATAGCTAATATAGTTACTTAATATACTAGTAATAGTAATATTAGCTTACTTAATAATATACTTATTTAGTTTAAGCTACTCTTAGAGTAGTTTCTTTATAGTCTCACTATTAATAGTAAGTTGTATTTCCCTTATAATAATACTATTAATCTAGGAGGCCTTAACTATAGATATAGCAGATACTATAGCTACTTCTTTAGTAGCGATTCTACTGTTAGCTACTAACGCGTAAGACTATCTCCCTTAATATATTTATAGTACTATAATCGTATTTAATTATATCTCCTATATTAGGGAGTTACTCTTACTAAGTAATTTATATAGTAACACAGTCTACTATTTATATTAGGCTATGATATTAACTTAGAGCTATTAGACCGCTTTCTAGAGCGTATCCTACTTATCTTATTTCTCTGCTACTTTAAAATAAGTAATAATTAAGTCTAGGAATAAGACTACTATTCTATAAAGTATACTAACCTTACGTTTAGCTCCTAAGTTATACGCTACTTTAAGTTAATACGCTTTCTTATTAAGGTTCAATATATAGATTTTCCTATCTGTACTTTTCTTACTTATAATAAGCTAAGGAGAACTTAAAGTTAATACTATAGGGGTAAGAAGCCTCTAAGAATCGATTCCTAGGATTTATTTTACTATACGAGGCGTAGTTATTAAGTTATTTCTAAAAATTGAGTTTAATTAAAAGATGATGTTTTTTTAAGACCCTAATCTACCTCCTACCTTAAAATCTGCTAGATAGTAAATCAACTCTTAGTATTTCAGGGGTCATGGTCAAAGTCTTGAACTCCACGTGATGCCCACTAAAAGCTGTGCTCTCTCTCTTCTAGGCTAGCTGGGATAGCTCCCGCCAAAAGCTTGGCATTTGATGCCGCAGCCCATCAGTTGAGGAAACCGTGGATGGAGAGCCGAGCTGTCCCCAAATACATATCAGCATTGACGGCCAACCCCAACCTTCGAATTTGGGCAACTAGGCCAGTAGAGCAGGGTAAAATCACAACTTCTGGTCTTGTAGCCAAATTCAACAGCTTCCCAACCTGCAGTCATACGCGAAATGGCATCCTCCTCGAACCCCTACGAGCACTACAATCAGCCCCATATCGAAGACGATGATCTGATAGATCCAGACGATGGTATGCTACTCCTCCAGCTAAGCACATACTCTACCACCATCACCACAAGCTCAGACTGATACCCAATAGCCGACCTCGATGACCTCGACGCCCCTCTCCAGCCCTCACAAACACACTCCTCTAGAGCGCCCCTAGTATCAGGCAACATAAACAGCGGCTCCTCCTCGTCCGCACCCCTCAACGAATCCTACCTCACCTCGCGTATCCCCGGCGAAGATCGCCGCGCACCTACAAACACAATCGACGAGTCAGTATGGGAGACACTGCGGCGCGACCTGCTCGCCGTCTGGTCTAAGATGCGCGAGGTCCTATACCCCAAATACCTCTTCGGCGGCTCCATGCTCGACGGCACGACCTCTCTCCGTGGCGCTTATGAAAACATTCGTGGTGCGGGGATTAGTGGTGCTAGAGATGAGCTTATGGGACTCGCGGGCAGAGCGCTGGATCCAGATGCGTTACTGGCTCAAGGAAATATGAGCGAGGGATTGAGGGATTGGGATCTTTGGGGACCGCTGGTCTTCTGCTTGTTGTTGAGTCTGTTCTTGAGCTTTAGTGCGGATAAGGAGCAGAAGAGTTTGGTATTTAGTGGAGTATTTGCTATGGTCTGGGTTGGGGAGGCGGTGGTAACGATGCAGATTAAGCTGCTGGGTGGGAACATGTGAGTTGTGCCCCTGCGCTCTGGATTCTAAATCCAAACTCGACGTTGAAGTCTGGAGTTTCGGCTAATCACTGCTCACAGCTCCTTCGCGCAGAGCGTTTGCATCATCGGATATACCCTCTTTCCCCTGGTCATCGCAGCTCTCCTATCCGTCTTCCGACTCCCAACTGTGGCCCGAGTACCCGTCTACCTCATCCTAGTCGGCTGGTCACTAGCAGCCGGCGTAAGTATCCTCGGCGGAAGTGGCGTGGTCAAGAATAGAGTCGGCATTGCGGTTTACCCGCTCTTCGTGTTCTACTTGATGCTGGGATGCTTGTGCTTCATCAGCTGAGACTGAATCTCGAGATAAGAAGAAGTGTGTGATTTTATAGGTGCGATCTGGCTTTCGAGCAGATATGGCTTGGCTGGTGGGTGTTAGGTGCGTTTTATTTACCATTAGACATTACATTGGACCTCTAGAAGTGATGAGTCCAGATACCATTTATTGATTTAGGTGTAGTTGTATGATGGCCTTGCGTCAGTTATTCATTCATCCTTTCAAAACCCAAATCCAATTTCTTTTAGCAATTCATAATGTGTTTATGATGATCCCAATCCAAAGCCACATATCACAACACTGGTTTACTAGTATATCCTATCCTACCTAGGTATGAGTTGTTTTTATATTATCCCCGCCAGGATCGCGTAATTTTGCACATCCCCCACCTCCCGTCTCGTGCGGTTTTCCCATCTGTGATTCACAAAACGACTTACACATGCTTGTCCTCTTTCTCTGTTTCTGCTTCTATACATTATCGAAGTTCCCGACTGGCACTCCATGTATGTCCCTGGCGAGATAAGCCTTCGGCACATGCTTTGCCGAAGCACGCAAGCGCTTCATCGGAGCCGCTGCAGGGAGGTGGACTCGCAATATGGAGTATCCCCGCCTCGGACGAACACATCCTTCAAACCTGCCTCTTGTGGTCATATCTCCTTGAACTTTCTGCCTCTCCCCTGTTATACATCGTGGTTTGGGTCTTCATGAATTCCAAAAACTCTGCCTTCGAAGATGGAATATTGCGGCATTATGGTGCGATGTTCTTTTGCCCAATCATTTCTTATGGATATCTCTTGTTATGCTCCTTGTGGACGAGGCCTGGAGTTACTCGGGTTAGTGCTTTGATGTATAGGAGGCAGGGAGCTGGGGTTGGAATTTGGCTATAACATGATGGCCTTGTCGGTGATGGGAGAGGGAGCCATCCAAGCATTCAGACGCCTGACCAGGAAAAAGTCCTGAACTGTTACCGACGATGCGTTTCCTTGTCCCAGCTCTGTCACTGTTCATAAGTGCAGTGTTTGCTACTCCAGCAGCTGCTTCTGACACCGTCAAGCCTTTCCTCATACCTCGTACCTCGACAACTGGGTGGGTAATCGGTAATGGTTTATGGAATATCACGATTGGTGATGTTTATGGGAGGAAGCTATATTATCGTGGGCATGATCTGGTTGGGGATGCAGTGGGGCATTACTCTGGTTATGGTAAGATATCTTTCCACTTAAGCGTTCTGGATTCATGTTTCGAACTTCAGATCGTATCTCTTAGTTTTACTCTGGTTGACAGCTTTCGCTAACCATTCCTAGACGGCGAGGCCAACTTCGCATGGACATCCGCCAGCATCTACCGAGAGACTGATGAACATGTGGATATCATCTTCGAGTCTAAGCTTGTTGATCTCCACTGGGTCATCACACCCAACTTGCCTGGAGCCTACCAATATATCGTCAACAAAGCACTTCCAAATCTAGGTGTCCTGCGTACTCTCTTCCGTCTTGACAACACAACCTTCACGCACGGTAGGACGAACATCAAAGACGAGGAACTTCCTTCATTCGCAGACATCCTGTCCGGAACTAAAGCCCAAGACGAGACGTTCCAGCGTCCTGATGGCACGTACATAACGAAGTACGACTGGTCAACTTTCATTCGCGAGATTGATTTTCATGGTGTTTACGGCAACGATTTCGGGTCCTGGTATGTTCGACCTGGAAGGGATTATCTTAACGGAAACCAACTGAAGCAAGAGTTGACTGTACATCGCGAGACTAAGACTGGTGATGCTGTAAAGCTGAATGTCGTCTATGGCTCTCATTTCCAGGTCTCATCGCAAGCTACGTTTCCTGTAGGGAAGATTTGGGGACCGTGGCTTTGGTATCTTGTAAGTGATTTTGGTGCATCTTAATTTCTACAGAGCAACACTGAATGAGGAGATAGAATGATGGCTCAAAGGAAGATGCCGCAAAGCGCTCTACACAAGAATTTGCAGCCTGGCCCTACCCTTGGCTCAATGACACAGCCTACTCATCACGCGGAGTCGTCACTGGCAAGCTAAAACTCTCATACGGCAAGCCAGCATCTGGGGCATCCATATTTCTTGGCGACAATAGATCTAACCTCACTACTCTCGACCAAGGTGCGAACTGCCAGCACACCGCAACGGCCGACTCAAAGGGCAACTTCAGGATCGAAGCTGTTCGCACAGGGACGTACACCCTCTCCGCATGGGGCAATGGCGGAAGTCTCTCAGGCGTGACTACAACATTCGCACAAGACGATATTGCAGTCAAGAAAGGCAAGAACACTGCTCTCGGAAACCTGACATGGAAGATCCACAGCGAGCGTAAACAGATTTTCCAAATCGGTGCTCTGGACCACAAAGCTCTTGGATTCAAAAATGGCGGTGCACCGTACACTCATGGTCTCGCTGCCCAGTCCCCTGCAAATTTGACCTACACGGTTGGGAAATCTAAAGAAAGCGATTGGTACTACGCATCTTCCAATCTCGGAACTTGGACGGTGGTTTTTAATATCTCAAAATCTGATATCACTTTGAACCGGACTGTTGTCCTTACGATCTCTCTTGCCGGCTGGTCGCAGAGCTCGAATCTGGATGTGAGTCTCAACGGGAATGCGGTTCCCAGTTTTGTGACGGCGAACCTGAAGAGTGATCCTGCGCTGTACAGATCGGGGACTACAGCGGGAGAGTGGCGGCTTTATGAGTTTGAGGTTGCGGGAGGGGTGTTGAGGGAGGGTGAGAATAGGCTGGCTTTCAAGGTTACGAGGTCTACACTTTGGAGGGGGTTTATGTGGGATAGTGTGGTGTTGGAGTGGAGTTCTTGAGCTGTGGGAAATGATGGGAATGATTGGGAAAGTGGTTGGGAGTTGCTTCCTCATATGTGCAAGACCAGAACAGCGGAAGCATGGTTTAAGGCTTCGTACTAAATTTAACTTACTTGAATCAACAGAATATTCACCTGAATGTGTTCTACCTTGATTCACAGTTCCCACCTCGATGTCAAATTACCTGCCTGTGACAGTACGTCTGCTCCTTCCTGTTAAAAAGAAAGGCCAGCTGATCCTTCCGCATTCAAACCTACTAACAACTCACACGAAGAATTCCCAACTTCACGACAAGTGAATAACAACTCCACCGCTGAAATTACACATCTCGCACAATGAAGCTAATCACATCTCCTCTTCTCTTGGCTTTCCTTACACCACTCCTCTCAATCACTATCCTCGCCATACCAATTGCCGTTCGATCCGCCACAACACTCACAGCCACCAGCATGAGCACAGATGCCAACGCCAGCACCCCAGTCCTCGAAAATCTCACCTCCGAAAGTCTCCTCCACCACTACGCTTCCAACCTCCACGTTCCTACCGTCAAGATCAGCAGAGCTGAGCAGGCTGAGCAGCAAGGACAATATTGTGCGCCAATTGGGTTTAAGAACTGGCATAAGATCTGTGATTCAAGATGTGATCCGACGAATTGCAATAATCTGCCTGGAAGGGGAGTGCTTGAGGGAAATGTTGAAGGTGGCGAGGAGAGGGAGACTGATGAGCATGATGTAAAGGGAAAGGGGAAGGGAGATGGAAAGGGAGGAAGGGTTGGGCATTGGTATATGAACTCGCCACCTATTGAGAAGCGGCGCCATCTCGTTATTCCCATGTGAATCGTTGAGGGGAGAAGGAGAAGAATTCAAAATCGTGTTCATATCTGTGAGCTTCATTCTGGACATGAGGCATGTGGACTGCGTTGGACTCGTGTAATTTCTTATCAATCAATACAAAAGGCATGACCTTTTAAGATGGAAATGTCGCTGCATTACAGTCGTGATGTCACGTGTTTGTTCGTCGTGTAAACAATACTTTCGCTTAGCGACCTCCGCAGTCATTATTACTACCCTCAGCCAAAAATTGCAAGGTAAAGACTTACTCTGCCTGCTCAGTCAAAAGCCAACTACGAACAAAATGGATCTGTAAAAGAGGTCGGAAGATCTATGTGCAAGTCACAACTCAGTCAAGACCAGTTGCGAATTAAAAAGGATCAATTAAAAAGACTCATTGAGCGATTGGTCGCCTCCGGTCCGTTAAAGTTGAATGTAGCTGTCCAATTGTCACATGTAGCGAGACACTATGATAATTAAGACCCAGGCCTGAGGTAGACCAGTTTGGAGAACAGCCGCGATTGTTGTGCCCTTCTAAGGACGGCGCTTGTTGTCGGGTTTTTCTTGTCGAGGATTTTGTCAGGAATCGCAAGGCAAGGTACAATAGGCAAAGTCTCTACCTATTTCTTTGTTGATAATCAATACTTAAGATACAAAGAGCTGCAACGTACCGAGGAAGGTGCCAAAAGATAAAGGTTGGAATGACGCGATTGGTTGCCTTCTGTTCCCTACGTTGAAGTCCGAGTTACCTCGTATGAACTTCTAGCCAAACGATCTGGGAGCGACCTGTTCTTTCTCAAAGAAACGACAGAGTGAATAGATACTGGTACTGTATGACGGGGCTGTCTACTCAGAGGTACTGTCGGGAGCGAATCACCGCAAACCTAAGAAGTGGCTTGGAGGATGAGAGTTGGTGGCTCTTCCACTGAGCTAAATGCTTCAGTTGTTCATCAGCGATTGCAGAATCACACATTTGAGTAAATATATGCTGCCATAGCAGCGCGAGGGTGAATATCACCTTGGGCGAGAATGCAAAGGTGAATTGGTTCCGAATCGCGGCCCAAAGTGAACAAAAGCGAATGCCGCGCGGAGGCCATTACATTCACCCAATTAGTCTTCCATTCACCAGCGATTCATCAAAGCTAGGCAGATGGCCTTGTAGTGGTACGAACAGAGACATCTGTTCATAAACTGCAGAAGCTCAGTTGTAACCAAGCGCCAGACAGATTGCGTAATTCAATATCAAAGGCAAAGATATATCAAGACGGTGTCCATTTCACAAACCTCCAAGAGTCTCCTATGAAGAGAAATAAAGCAAAAGCACACTATCGAAATAGAGGTGGCCACTGAGCTGTATTTGAAAGGTGTTATGCATTAAAGGTATCTATCTACTCGATTTCTCATTCTCAATTTCTTGCTGCAGCTCTGCCAATACCTGTTGGCGTGATCTCAGATGCGACTCAAGACCATCGACCTGCTCCTTCACAGTGGCTATCTCGTCCGCGACTCCCTTCAAGCTGGCTCCAACTTTGCTCTTGCCCTCCCCTGATTCCATATCTCGCAATTCCCTGCGTTTGTAATCCAGTAACTGCTCCAACTCCCTTTTGACCAGGGCTGGCTTAGTATCCCGCCGACCACCAGACCGATTCGCCGATGCGGCTTCTACCTTCTCAATCTTTGCTTCCAGCTCACTCAATTGCTTCTTTAGCCGCACTTCTTCCCAATCTTCAGTTGTCTTGGCAGTTGAGAAATCTGTTCCAGCAGGCTTGTAGCTCGACTTTCCACCCATTCCCATTCTACTAAGATATGTATCTCCAAATTTAGCTTTCCGTCCGGTGCTCGTCTCCTCTCCTCCAGTAGAACCCCACCGTTGTGCAGGTGAGGATGTGCGTTGGTTATCGATCTGGTAGTCAATTTGGTTCCGCTCGAAGCTCGCTCGAAGCGATGGAGGTACTGTCCGAGGGATACGGAAGCCTTCGTGCCGGTTGTTGAGAATATGAAGGAAGGCCAAAGTGGCATCTTTAGAAATGGCGGATGATGCGGATGGGTTTATGAGGTTCCATGCTGATCGTATGTCGGTATCCGGGACGTCGAGGGATGAGTAGAGGGAGTCGAGTGATTCAACTTAAGATATATTCGTTAGCAGATGTCTATTAATTCTTCAATGTACACTTACAAGTAATTTCTCCTCTGCCATCCCGGTTCGCAGAGTAGATTTCCTCGTACTTAGACTTGTCCGAGGGGCTCATATACCAATCAAAACCATCCTTTAATCCAGGGGAATCATCTTCGTCTTCAATCCGCTCAAATTGAACCTGCCTACCGGTAAGGGCCCTGTTCGCCTGTACCAGATGTGCCTTCGATTCAGGAACCAGCCAATCCGGGACTTGAGGGGGAACATCTGCGTACTCCTACAGAAGCTCTCGTTAGTACGTCTCTACATGATGGATCGAGTAGATAAATGTTCAGCTTACTCCATTGACAAGATCAAATATCAGTCGCATAGCCACACAGAACTCTTCGAAGTCCAGATTCCCATCGTTATCCACATCCGCCAGATCCCAGATGCGCTCTAGTTGATCGTCTCGCAATTGACTGTTCTTCAGTACCGGGGCGGCTTGTGAACCAGTGAGGTGTGTGCCGCCATTTGACAGAGATGCAAAAATCTCCCAGTACTTCTCGATCTCGCTCTGTTCTATTCTCTTGTTCGACATATTGGCTTACGAGGCTGTCTCGCAGGCAGCTCGAGTATCACACGGGTCCTGCTGCCTGACCTTTGAATTTCTCCGAATCATACAAGTTCACGAACTCTCAGCTGCTGGGCGAAGATGAGGGGACTTGTACGCTGATACATTCACCAGAAGTCTTCGTCGTCGCGTGTCTGGAGCTGCCCGGACTTGAGCTTCAGCGACAGGCTGACGTTGAATCGTGGCTGGGCAGTTCGTGCCTCAGGCGCATGGGTGGAACGAGATGTGGCGCAAGATATTACAGCCTGGATTTGTGTTTGTTCATTCGATGAGCGTGGTTATTGAGATTCTCGTCTGTACGAGAGACTCACTGCCATTATACTGAATCTATCTTTATCAAGCCCGGAAAAGGAATTGCATTGCTATCGTCACTCAAGCCCAAATCGACTGTTTGGCTTTGTTGACATTTAGCGAAGCAACATTGAACAAACCCGTCCTCTTTGAGAGACTTTAAAAATAATCTCGCCATCCCCAAAACAATTTCCTTTGACCAAAGGATATTTTAAAACTACCTCTTTTGTCTATTGCTTGTTATTCAGAGATAGTTCTCTTAATCGCGTGTCAACCGTGCCTGGCGTCACAATTACTCACCGTCACACACGAAGATGCTAGCATGAGAGCAATCTACATGATTGAAACTCAGCCGGGAGTGATCGAAGTTATCCAGTTGACATATTTGCTAAGAATAAAGTATAAGGTTGTGCTCAATGACGTTGGCTTGACATGGCGCAATTGCGTCCTGCTGAGCCCGAATTTGGTAGCACGGACTGGGATCTCCATGAAATGGATTTGAGTCATCGGAGGAGCTTTCATGTCCAAAACTTGCCAGGGAAATTGACCGTGATGTCTAAGTCAGACCCCGCAATAAAACGCAGGATAATGCAAGAGAGAGGGTGCCCTAGATCTTGCTTCCTTTAGCAATACTAAATCTGCCATTGAGAAATGCTAATTAACGACCCACAGCCGCAGGTAAGACACATGAGAGGCACAGGCTGCCGTTTCTCCATTCATTATGATACACCGACATCGTTCATCTGAACCCAAAACCCCATACGTTATGCTCCGTTACAGGGTATTGTAAACGCCAGCCTTCTTTGTAAATGCAAGAAGCAATTCCCCAAACTCCGATGATCATGACTTTCCATACCAATAACGCCTCGCTCATAGTATTCACAAACGTCCTTGGGTCACTGCGGCAGAGCTTGGAAGGGAACAAAAGAAGTACGGCCTCCAAATCTGGCCTCGTCGTCTCCTTGACCAAGCATGTCCACGTCTCCGTCTTCATCCTCAATATCGTCTCTTCGTCTCTTCGGCTTCGCTTGTGGAGCCCCTGGTAAGTCGACAAGAGATCGCTGCGCCTTCAAAATATCCTGGTAGCTGTTGAGCATATGCTTCAAGTCATCGTCGAAGGCAACGCAGAAACGCTGCGACTGTACGTATTGGATGGCAGGTATGAGCTCAACGCCGTAAATGTTCATAATGAAAGCCACGACGAAAGCCGCCGAACGCTCGTTGCCAGACTCGCAGAAGACCAAGACTTTGCCGCATGGTTGGGGAACGCGTCCGTTTGCTGCCATGTGCCGACGGTATTGGGAAACGAGGTGGTCGTTGATGATTCTGGTCGCTCTTGGGAACGCCGCAATAAGCTCATTGTTGCTGGCAACATCGACCGCTGCAGATTCTATACCTAATGCTTGCGCGGCCTTGTCCCCGCTCAGCAAACTAGCTGCTGCAGTCATAGTACTCCGGATGACCAACAGCATAGTAACTCCATCGGCTCTCAAGGCAGTCAAATCCCTTGCGGCGCATGATGGACCAAGTTGTAGGAAGGTGAGGATCGACTGCGAGTTTCTTCTCCATAAATATTTCCACTCCTTCGCCTTGTTGATCCAGGAATTATTTGACGTCACTTCCAATAATATTCTCCGTTCCTCATCCGTATATCCCATGGCCACGAACGCAGGAAGTGCAAGGGTTTGGTCTTCTCGGGGCTGAGGAACGTATATGTGAGGTGGTGAAGGTGCCTAGACTTGTTAGCAGGTGAATGTCTGTGCCTGTAAAGTACATACCCGCCACGAGTATTCCACAGAAGCTTGCGCTCCTGTGAGACTCGAGATCGTGTTCATGCTTGCCTCAGGACGATTGTCGAGTTCATTAACGTAGCGTCTGGGAGCTGGTGCTTGTGTGGGACCATCTTCAGGGTTTGGCCGGCGTACAGTGTTGGGCGAGTTTGTAGTCATGATGATGTCCGAGGCTGTGGTGGGGTGGTTTGAATGGGTGTTCTGATGCCTCGAGATATTTATACGAAATGGTGCAGAAGTAAGAAGCAGCTAATTGCAGAATTGACGGGTAAGTGAATATCTGGCACAAAGCTGGTGCTGGAAAGGAATAGCCTTCGACAGCTGCATGGCCGAAAGGTGAGTACCTACCTAAAAATGAACAATTACGCGCGAGGGGTTGTCACTCTCGAGTCTGCGGCCGCGCTTATCCATTGACGCGTCGCTACTGTATTGGTCAATATACCTTGTTCAGCAAAGGTCGACGTCAGACTCGACATATATTATCTGGTTGCAATTAATTATCTAAAGTTGCTTTGTTACACTGCCTGGACTTGACTTCTTCCTGACGCTACCACCAGACTTTGATGAAGATCTTTGGATCTTCGTGCCACTGCTGGATTCACCATCACCCACTCCTGGAGTTGGTGAGCGCTCACTGTCAAGAGAAGAAATGCTCGTGAAACTATTCTCTCTGACAAGAGGAGAAGGAACTTCAGGGGTTGCAGAACGTGAACCTCCAGGAGTAAGCTTTTGCACCCTGCTTCCGCTGATAGTCTTCTTCCTTCTGGCACTTGATGCACTACTTCCTCGCCGAACATGTCCTATTTGACCATCCTCCAGTTCGATGGTTGGCGTAGAGCTTCGAGATGAGTTCCTGGAATGAGAACCTGACCTGACACTCCCGCTTCGAGTCCTCTTCTGATCGTCTCCGCGAAGGCTGCTGTGCTTATGCAGAGCATGATGCGTCTTCTCAACATCAGGAGTTTTCCCACGCTTCCAGCCTCGATAGCCTGTCCACCAAAACCATCCACCTTCTTGCTTAGCGATCTTCCTCTCTCTTTCTCGGATCTTCTTCTGGAGAATCGCGCGCCGCTCATTCTCTTTCTCCCAATATTCCGTCCGGTAAATATCCCAATTCTCCCTAAAGCCAGGAGAGAAAGGCTTTGGAAGCAAAAGAAGCTTAATATAGTCTCCGCCTGGCGCCAGATCCTCATCATAGCCAGCCGATTCATCGTCCTCGTGTATGTTTGGAAGCGCATGGTGACTCCCTTTGCTTTGTATCTTTTCCGATTCCCTCAAGAGCGACTGGTCCACAAAACGATACGAGCTCCCGCTGGTGCTCGAAAATAACCCATATGAAAACACGAAGGACAAGGTGGATAACAAGTCCCTCCATAATGGTTGCTTGATCACAACCAGCTTGCAGTTGAACCCCCTGAGACCCCTATTGGTAGTATACACCCAGCGCCTTGGCCAGCGAAAGCCTCGTTCCCATTGTCCCGTTCCCCAGACCAAAATGCCAGTCACCACGCCACCCATGAAGCACAATCGCTCAGTCATCTCCACCACCCAGTAAACAGACCCTCCCACGCCACTGCCATCCTCTCGCGGCGCAAAGTATAGCGCATACCCAAAATATAGAATCCACAAGCCGAGTAAGGTCAGGAAGAATGTATGCTGGCGCCTTCTGGTTCGTAGCTGGAGCCATTGCGCGCGCAGAGAAGCTTCGAGGATAAGAAGATTGAGGTAGATCTGTGGAGGAGACGACGGAAGAGATGCTAATGGATCTGCCAGAAGAGGAGGGCCGGATAGCTCAGGAGCTTGAATTCCAGAAGTCGCCTGGGTAGGATATTGACTCCCAGGAGGAGGCGCCCCCTTCACAATTTGATCTAGATTGGACATCGCGATGAGCTTTGGAAATGCTCGCTATTGCGCTATCATGGCTGGGTGATGGTAGGGAGTAATTGCGTGTCAAGGGGGGCTACTTCAGGCGCGCAGCGCGGTAGAATATTGAAGATCCACGATCCGTGAAGCTCTGGGCCGGACGTTGGGCTTCATGAATGAGAGAGGCTGACAATATTCGTTTGTTGTGTCTGATGACAGCCGCGGTCTTGGACGAGTCTGTACAATACGTAGCTGGACCAGGTGCTCATCAACACATCCATCCCTGCACACTCGGACTCACAACCAGTGAGCTACGGAGTACTCGTACTTTCAGGTAGGAATCAAGCCACTTCAACCACAATATATAACTTCTCAATTTATCGTACTCCATTTTGTTCGGTATACATTCATTATCCAAATTTCAATGGTTAGAAAACCGCCACAAAACTCCTGATTCATGAGTGCTTTGCTGGAAACGCCAGACGGATTTAAGCCATACGTTCCTTTATCGCCCGTGGACTTCCAGTTGCGCCGACCCTCCGACTTCAACAAATCCCATGTGGCGCGTCACCCGTCACCCACTGTTCCACGGTTCCAGTAACGAAATAGACTCAAGACAAGTACGACGCCTCGAATCGCGTCCTATAAGACCCGCATGATTCCCGTCATAGCCTCTCTATAAAACTCTCCAGGCACAGTCGTCTTGGATTGGCCAGATCACAGCACAATCGTCATCGATCCTACCTACAGCTGAGGCTTCGCATTGCCTCGCAACCGCGTAATTAGGGACCTTCCTAAATCCGATCGCAACAACCATAAAACCCACAGGCAGCCCTTTCACTTGAGTTTGGGAGGCCATTTTGCCTCTCGCAAGTAGTATTCACATTGTACCAACCACTTAACCTGCCGTCGCTCCTGCTGCGATCAGTCCCCAGCGACACTTTTGCGGGACGAACTGCTCTTCCTCATCTGAGACACATCGCCAGCCCCAGAAGCAGACCGGAGTCAACTTTCTCCACAATGACTTCCTCCACGAGCTCAGAATCCCCCGCCGAGCGCCCTCAGCAGCCAATGCTGGCTTCCCAACGAGCGAAGCAAGCAAACAATGATCCTCCCAAATTCGGCTTCTTCCCGTTGGGATACAAAGCTGCGGTGGGACAATGGTGGGCAAGCATGTCGCCAGCCGTCGCGGAACACAATGTTATGTCTTTCATACCGTATCTCCAGAAACCACCTACGCACACACAGACGGGCTCTGCGCCAGTGTCCGCGCACCAATCGAGCAGTTCCCTGAACACGGATCCGGCGGGCGAGGCGAAACCAGTTAGAACCAATTCAATAAACGATCCATATGGCCCAAGAGCCTGGTACTCGAATCTTATTCCATTGAGCGGGAAGGGTAGAGCTTTGAATGAGTTCTCGGTAGAGAGGGTAGGAGAAGAGGTGGAGGAGAACATGGTTATGTTACATGGATACGGAGCAGGTCTGGGATTCTTTTACAAGAACTTCGAAGGAATGAGCCGAGTCAAAGGGTGGAAGATATATGCATTGGACATGCTAGGAATGGGACGAAGTAGCAGACCGCCATTCAAGGTTTACGCAAAGGAGCAAGCCGGAAAGATCACAGAGGCAGAAAACTGGTTCATCGATGCTCTGGAAGAGTGGCGAATATTGAAGAAAATCGACAAATTCACACTCCTGGGCCACAGTATGGGGGGTTACATGGCTGTCGCGTACGCACTTAAGTACCCAGGGCATCTCAATAAGCTTATACTAGCTTCGCCAGTTGGTATCCCAGAAGATCCGTATGCGGTGCAAGCGGATATGCCAGAACCAGAAGAGTCATCGATGGCAAACGAGTTCACTTAAGACCAGGAAGATGACATTGTCAACAGATCGGGTAACTTGAAGACCGATGGAGACAACAACAATTTCATGAATGCAAAGTCAAAGGCAGATGCTGCCAAGACCAGTGCTGCTAAAACACCTACCCGTCGCCCAATTCCAAAGTGGCTCTCATATCTATGGGATGCCAATATCTCGCCATTTAGTGTAGTTAGATGGTCTGGTCCGCTAGGCCCCCGTTTCGCTTCCGGTTGGACATCAAGACGATTCTCGCATCTACCTCCTCAGGAATCTCAAGCCCTTCACGATTACGCCTATTCCTTGTTCCGTCAAAGAGGAAGCGGAGAGTACGCATTAGCTTACATCCTTGCCCCCGGTGCATTTGCACGCAGTCCACTGATTCGCCGGATCCATGGCGTGGGGAGACAGCCACTTCCATCTCCAGCACAGTCAAATGCTACCACGAGCTCCACCTCGGTAGCTTCTGGTCTCAAGACCCTCGCTAAAGAGACGGGTATTCCTGTCGTCTTGATGTATGGTGAGAATGACTGGATGGATATCGCAGGTGGCTATGCTGCCGAACAAAAGCTCAAGGAGGAGAAAGCTAAGGCCTTGAAGGATGCTACGGCTGAGGAGAAGAAGAATGAGAATGGGAGTGCGAAAGTGGTAATCATCCAAAAAGCAGGTCATCACTTGTATTTGGATGGGTGGGAGCAGTTTAATGAGGTTATGAGGGAAGAGATGGAAGAGACAAAGAGACATACCAAGAAGTTTCGGGGGAGTGAATAACGGGGAATGTTGAGTAGATGAGCTTGATTTCTCGGAGTATTCATGGTTCAATGGGGCGTTCTGGACGAGCATTTTGAAAAGGAGGGTTAGAGAGAGACTTTGCAAACCGCAATTCTCATGTATCAATAATATGGTATACCTTGATTAGACGGCATAGCTTTTGTTTGCACTTTACATTTCATAAGACCAAAATAAGATCAAAATTATCTCCATTTCCGTATTTTGATTTTCAAATCTACCATTTCTATCTCAATACGAGAATCGCTGAACCTGAATATGCCTTTCCACACTCAATGCAGCACATCATACTCATTAATCGCCTTCACCTTCTCCGCACTCGCACTACTCTCATCAAACCTATACTCCAACCACTCCCTCACCAACCTCCTCGCCAACTCCAACCCAATAACCCTCTGTCCCAAACACAGCACCTGCGCATCATTACTCAGCACCGCCCTCTCCACGCTGAAACTATCATGCGCCGTCACGGCCCTCACGCCTGTGACCTTGTTCGCAGCGATGGCGACGCCGAGCCCGGTCCCGCAGATGAGGAGGGCTCGGTCCGCTTTGCCTTCGCTGATGAGCTTTGCTGCGGAAACGGCAAAGTGTGGGTATGCGGTTTTGTCGGAGGCGCTGAGGGGCCCGACGTCGTGGACTGAGAGGACGTGAGGGGAGGATTTGAGGTCGTTGGTTAAAGTGGTTTTGTAGTCGAAGCCCGCTGTGATGTGTTAGTAAGTAACTTTAATCCTTGTTGCTCAGATGGCTGGCAATGAGGAGGCGAGAAGTGCAATGGAGTGAAGCGGAGAAAGGTAAATAAGTAAGTAAATTGTAAAAATTGAGAGAGTATATTGTTGGCATGTCAATAGCATGAAAAGAAAAGAAAAGAAATGTACGAACCATCGTCACCACCAACCACAATTCTCAAGGGCTTGGGTTCTGTAGCCATTGTTTGGATTGTGGAGAAGCGGGGTAGCGAAACCTTGAATCTATGGGTCTGAACTCAAGACTAAGAACTTCAAGCTGTAAAATTTCGAATGGCGACGAAGATATAAAGCATTAAGAATGTTGAAAAGCAGATTTATATGATGGCAAACTTGACAAGTCAGCCATCTTTAATGACGACGGGAACCTTTGCTGTAAAAGTCGCCCGGCAGGTGTCTACCCCGCGGTTTGGTGGCTAAAATGAGAGGCAGATCCGGAACACCTAAAAAGGGCAAGCCGGAGGTGGGGGAGGATTTTGAAGCTTCAGGGGTTAGCTACTTGATAGTGGGGTTATGGTTCTTGATTTTATTGCGTACTTGTCATATCTCATATCATACCTTTGACTTTATTGGCTGTTAGTAGAAAGTGAAGCTTAAGAGAATCCCAATTCTCGCTCAGAACAGCACACTGACACTACCTACTCTTGAAAAATCCAGTCATCTTCTCAGCCATGCCTCCATCAAACCCCCAACGGCAACGAACCGTCGGCGTCTCCCTCAAAATGTACTTCACCCTCTCCCAAACCGCCTCCTACATCGCGGCCTGCGCCCCCCTAGGACCCCTCGCCCTCACCCTCAACGTCGACCTCTTCATCATCCCAGACTTCCTCTCCCTAACAGCAAGCAGCACCGCTCTCCGCCTAGAAGCACCCACCATCCGGCTCGGCGCCCAAGACTGCTTCTGGGAAGACAGCGGCGCCTTCACGGGCGAAGTGTCGCCTGCTGTGCTGAAGAGTCTAGGGTGTTCGCTTGTGGAGCTGGGTCATGCGGAGAGGCGGCGGTTGTTTGGGGAGAATGACGAGTTGGTGGCGAGGAAGGCCAGGGCGGCGGAGAGGAATGGATTGATGCCTTTGGTGTGTATTGGGGAGGAGAGGAATGGGTCCGTTGAGGAGGCTGTGAGGGAGTGTAGGCCGCAGATTGAGTCTGTACTTGAGGTTACGAGTGAGGAGGTTATCTTTGCTTACGAGCCTGTTTGGGCTATTGGCCAGCCGGCACCTGCTGCACCGGAACATATCAATGCGGTTGTGGGTGAGTTGAGGGGGATCTGTGGGGAAAGGAAAGTTAGGTTTTTGTATGGGGGAAGTGCTGGACCGGGGACTTTTGAGAAGATCAAGGGAAGTGTTGATGGATTGTTCCTGGGAAGGTTTGCGCATGATCCAGAGAGATTTGCTCAGGTGGTACGTGAGGTTGGCGCTTGATGAACTGTGGGAAAGATCATCTTTGCGAGCGGCCGAGATTCTGGTATCTAGTAGATAAATACCATTAGACTCTTATGTGTTCACGCCGCACCGCATCTCACCAAAAACAGAAGTATCCGGATTCACCACGGACATCCGAAGAGATACTTAAACCTCTTACGAACACATTGAGTCGAGTCGGCCTCCACATTCGTGGCACCAGCCTATCAGTTGCAATCCCGTGCCTCGACTAGGAGTTAATAGAGTGCATCCAAGCTTTCCATCGTCCAAAAGTCCTGGGTAAACTTGACATTTGACAAGGTTCGAGCCATGTGTTGCCCGAGAGCTATGCAACCTCCAGTAACTCTCGCCTGGGAGTGGCTGCTTTGCGAGTATTAGGTAAGCTTAAAGACGCCATGTCCTACCTTTCTCGGACCCCTTGCATTTAAACCACCAAGTGTCTGCGCGTTCTTTTCTATTGTAACATATTTTGGTTCCCGCGTCTCGTTTCGGTTTCTGATTGTTTAAAATTGTATTTCAAGCGATTTCGCGATATTCTGTTAATCGCATTGTTTACTTTCGCACCGAACCAATCATGGCGAAAACTATCGCGATACTGGGAGCCTCATATGCTGGGCTCACTGTGACGCACAAGTACTTCGCCATTTCTAACTTTTCGATTTGTAAATTCAAGTTCTGACCTTGGTGTCTAGACTTCTGAAAACCACACTGAAGGATAAGAAAGGCGAATACAAGATCGTACTCGTATCACCAACAACACACCACTACTGGAATTTGGCATCGGTAAGAGGTCAGTAACTATATGACGTCGACTCAAGCTCGAGGAATGGTAAAATGTACAGTACTGAGAATAAATAGCGATTGTACCTGGACAGATACCAGATGATAAAGTACTGAACCTCCCCAAGACCAATCACAACCTAAGAAACAAAGCTCTGAGCAGATAATTGACGAAGAAGCAGCTCTTCGCCCCAATACAACAGCATCTCGCGCCCTACAAAGATACGATAACCTTCCTTCATGGCACCGCGACCTCTCTCGACCCCTCCACCAAGACAGTTACCATAGCCACCCCCTCAAGCACAACCACAACCCAAACATACGACATTCTAGTCATCACAACAGGAAGTAGAACGAAAGATATCGTGCCGTGGAAACCCTCGCTGGATGGCTATGAAGCGACGAGAGACGGCCTGCATAAGATCCAAGAGCAGGTGAAGAGTGCGAAGAGTATTGTGCTTGGGGGAGCGGGTCCGACTGGTGTGGAGGCTGCGGCGGAGTTGGGGTTTGAGTATGGGAAGGGGAAGGAGATTACGCTTGTAAGGTCTCCTCAATCAGTTTATGAGAATTGAAGGAGTATAAAGGGGTGATTAGAAAGCGGGTGAGGTGAAACTGACCACATGTACAGATAACATCAGCCTCCCAGGTCCTTCTCGGCACGCCTCCAAACGTAGCCAAATTCGCCGAAAACGAGCTCCGAAAACTGCACGTCACAATCTTGAAAGACACTCGAATTACTTCCGCTTCACCCCTCCCAACGCCCTCGACCCAAACAGAACTCACTCTATCCTCTGGCTCCAAGATGGTCGTCGATCTGTACCTACCTACTGTAGGTGTATTGCCGAATACGGATTTCGTACCGAAGAACTTACTCAATGAGAACGGCGATGTGGTTGTTGATGATTATCTGAGGGTAAAAGGTGTGGAAGGGGTGTGGGCGGCTGGCGACGTCGTGGATATTCAGCCGAGTCAGTTTGTGTACATGCAAAAACAGGCGGCTGCTTTGGCGAAGAACTTGGATTTGGCGATTAATGGGAAAGAGCCTGTGTTGTATAAATATGATGGGGCTCGTGAGTTGTCCTTCAATAATTGCCCACTTAACATTGGTTGCTGTGACTGACGGGCGAATAGCGATGATGGCAGTAGCTCTGGGCCGTAGTCGAGCTACAGGCAGGTTTGGTAACAATCGTTTACCGAGTCTGATAGTGTGGTTTCTGAGTAAGTTCCCTGGAGTAAGAAAAGATGGATTGAACAGATGCTAATCAGAACAGAGGGTCGTACTCTCGGAACGCAGAACTTGCAGAGTTTAGTCTCGGGAAATGGTGCTTGATACTGGAAGAACTTGAGTTGTAGATGTCAGGCTGAAGAAACGGCAAACGTGAGAGGGGGATGTTGACGAGAAAATCCGCAGGAAGCTGGTGATTGTTTATACCCTTCTTTTGAATTTGCTGAAACAAGGGTGTTGTACGGCTGGTAGATCAATAGTAATGATGAGTCAACTGAATCGGTTGGGATGAGCTACCCAAGAGTATATGAATGGGTACATCTCATCACCTGTCAACAGACAGTAAATAGCGGGGGATGCTTGAACGAGCCAGGAATCAGAACTCGTTTCGATAGCAGGTCGCAACTTTGCTAGTCTCGCTTCAAATTTGGTCCATTGGCAGTAGTCTACTTGCGAGAAAGATGGTGAGACTGGCAAATTCGATCTTGACATAGGAAATACTGGAATTAGAGACACACTTGCCTACATTCTCTCCTTTTCTTTTGCTCTTGCCTCTCTCCATCCCTACTAGGTAGAGTCTTCTCTTACCTTCGATGTCAACAAGAAGGCTAAGTGTCGTTGGGTCGGGCCCTCTCATTCTCAATATTTTCAAGTTTCAAGGCCTTATGCGACACCAGCACGATATGCGCTTAAGGAGGCAGGCAATCTGTCTAGCCGCCACTGTACCTCCGACGGTGACCAGCAAAAGCATGTGTCCGACCATTGAAAATCGTTCAGCGCATAGCGCACAGCGTGCAGCTCATTCCATCTTGGCCTTACAAGAAGTATGCCTAGCGACTGAGAACGAGGTACGCTTGCTGGCTCAGATCGTACGAGGGCGACGCTGATTTCCAAGAGCTCGTTCCGACTCTGATCGCCGAAAGTATACAAATGCCCTCGACATTGTACAAGGCGTGGGGTGTAGTTGACTTCCTTATGGCAAGAGTGTACATGAATGTCCCAAAAGAGTCCTTGGGAGGCAGAGCATTGTTGCATGTAGTGTGTTCCTGTGCTGTGTAAAGATTTTACTGCACCAATCCTCGTTCTCGAGTACAGAGGTTTCCAGCCCAGCTTATTGACCGGTCGAGTGCGCAAAATATTCGCAGAAGAGTTCTCTGACCAAAAAAAGTAGCATCTGCAACACAGCATCCAGTATATTTGTCCGGATCAGGTCTGGCTTGGTGGAGACATCGCAAATATCGAAATCTGCCCCCACTTCGCTTTCCTAAGCTCAACTGTACGGATTTTGGTGGGTATCAGAAGCGGTTTGAGACTTCATAAGTCATGATACAGCAAGTTAAGGTTGTAGATTTGGGCTGGCCAGAGACTGTAGTATTATCGAGAGATTTTGTATCGTGGAAAGCATAATGTTGTGGTAAGTTGGAGGACGTGGTTCGCTGCAGTGATGATTGTTCTGTTGACGTCCGATAGCATTGCTCACCTATCTTCGTAGTCTAGGTTATCTAGCTGTCATCGACACATCGCTCCTAGGACCGAATGTCCATTTTTGTTGATCGAGTCGTTCAGATGAAGCAAGCATGGACCCAATTTGTTGTTCAATCGCATCGTCTGGCTGCAACAATCCACGCCCCTGGCAAGACTCCAAACTGATTCTTGTGCTTGTGGAATGGACTCCATGTTTCAAAGACAACAGTCCGCCTTGAGGAAGTCAGAAAAGTATGAAGAGTCAAACATTGTCTTTGTTTGAGAAGGAAGGAAGGCAAATCTTGAATTCGTTGCATAAGTCCAGTGACCAACAGTTTACCTTAAGATAATTAGCCCTCATGGAGCCGCTTCATACGCAGGAAAATGGGGCAGTGGAGCAAGTTCAGAGCCGCGATCTTTACCCCAAGTGCGCAGTTCTGGAAGTTGACGTTGGGGAACATCGGCGTACCTGCTTCGATAGATGGACAATTGTCAGCAGATGTAGATTGCCTTTCGAGTGAGTGGTTGAATAGTCATCAACAGACGGGTTGAGTATTCCGTCCAGCGCCCTGAAAGTTGATTGCACATGGCCGAATGGTTTACTTGCCCCTCGAAGAATTAGTCGTTGTCATTGGTCTGGTTCTCGAGAGTGAAGATGGGATAGAGAATCAACATCAAAACATCAATCAAGAAAGTGGACCGGTTTGGTGGGAAGTAACCTACACTTGAAGGCTGAGAAAGCCACACTACTACGTAGTGACAGAAGCTCTCAAGTAATGTTCTCTGAGGCAATGCCAACCCCACCTGATAGCCATGGCTTTCAGGAGAAAGATAAGACCCGAGTCTGTGGTTCCACTGATAGTCAACTCCTGCAGAGTGTGAATGCTCTTGGCACCTCCATGCCGCAGAACTCGGTGTGATTTGTCGTTACTTTGCAAATGGAGCTTTGCCTGGGTATTGTAACACCTCACCTCGCCAGAGTTCAGCGCGTGCCTGTTTTCCAGTAGGCCGGAGGATTGCAGTAGACTGCATCGTTCATCCCAATTGAGGGAGATACATCGTCATGTAACCGCAACCACAACCACAACCACAACCACAACCACAACCATAAGCACACCACGACACTAAGACGGACCACGAATTGTAACCTTGGAATCAAATGCTCTTGCCCTGACCTGACTTGACAGTGGCTGACTCGCCGTGCCGTTCCGCGCATCACGTGTATCTTCACATCAAACTTGAAATGCTACCACTCTCAGTCTCTGGAACCCAGCTTCCTTGGCTTATCCCTATCCCTATCCCTATCCCTTTGTTTTCCGACGCTGTGGAGTTGCACCTAATCAATTATGGAGAAGCAACCATGGCTCATGGGCAACACTGAGTAAATCGCCAAGAGCCAGGCATCTGACTGCCGTCGGGTCCAGATATCCCGGCTCTACGAGTAACTCGAAATTGATGGCCACTCCGGTGCATGAGCGTCGCCAGATTGGCGCTCTCTGGTAATCCTCGCGTCTTCTGGATGCAGATGGGGGCTGTCGCAGCGTCGCCTCACTGGGCAGCCCGTGTAGAGGGCGTAAATTTACCATTGGCTATGGGTCTGAGTGGCACGCTACCCATTCCCCAATACGAGTGCGCTGAGGGACGTGCCAGTGCCACTGGCGCTGATTGACTTTCGGTGGCTGCTACAGTACTGTAAAGGATGCCAGGGAAGGATGGTCGCTGGACGGGTGGTTGTGCGGCTTGAGAAGTTTGTTGCAACCTCCCCTCGCGTTGCAGACTTGCTGTTGACACTCGAGAGAGGGATAGAGAAGACTGAACAATCGCAGTGCGAGGATAAGGAAAACATGGGTATGGCTTCAAAAGTGTTGACGCGCTCGAGGCGAGGCGAGGCGAGGCGACATCTTTACTGGGGCGATACAGTAGAGCTAAATTTACTGCTCGTGAGACAGCTAACTTAAACTCGTTCCCAGACAGACGGACAGACAGACGGACAGACAGACAGACAGACAGACAGACAGATAGACAGCTCGTACAAGAATGGCACGTTACATACAAAGATCGACATGGATCCGTGGCGGTACTGGGTGGGTGGATTGGGTGCGACTGGGGCTAGCGAGATGCGATAAGGTATGCAACCAGCCACTGGGCGACGTCGGGGGGAAGCTGGCAGCCTGGCAGCCTGGCAAGCCTGGGCTGCGCTGGGCTGCAGCGGTGGAAGGATCCAAGGATGGCTGGCTGCTGGACGGACGGCTTGCTATTCTCACCACTCACGGCGCTCACTACTACTACTACTCCCCCCTCAGAGTTCGTTCCGGGCATCTCATCCCCACCGCTGATATGCGGAGAACAAGCTAAATATTAAATAGGGCCGTTTGGTGGGATGGCCGTTATCTGAGCCCCTGGACCATCTCACGTGGGGAAGCTACGCTACGGAGTAGGTAGCTTATAATTATAATATCGACAGCTTCCCTTGCGTCGCGAGTCTGGAATATCTGTTGTGTTGCCAAAGCAGAACCAGACCAGAGCAGAGCAGACCTGAGTGCTTCGCCTTCGCGATCGGACCGGACATCATCTGATTTAGGCGACATCGTCAACAAAGAAAAGGGGCATCATCCGACCTAGCACTTATTCTCCAGCTGTATCCGTCGAACTAGTCAAGCGAGATAAGGTAGAGAATTTCCGATACAAGGCCGGCTACCATAAATTTCAGCAGTTCACGTCCAGACTCTCTCCTTGATCACTTCAACAGCCACTTGCATCGCTACCCTCACAATGAGCTCGAAGCAAGAAGAAGCTGGTGTCACCATGGCACCAGCCACCACTCCTCCCCCTGGCAGCAGTGAGAAGGGTTTCGAGGAGACTCATACAGCTGTCGATCTCCCCACCGGCTGGATGTACAGGCAACGCAACCTCGGCAAGTTTGCCATTCCATGGTTTGCTTCACCCAAGGTCCAATTGGTTATGGTTTCATTCGTCTGCTTCTTGTGCCCTGGCATGTTCAATGCTCTAGGTGGACTGGGAGGTGGTGGAAAGACTGATGCTACCCTTGCGGATAACATGGTACATTTCTAATCTACCCCTATTCTCATACAGCTACTTACTTTTCGGTCTAGAATATTGCTCTTTACAGTACATTTGCTGTCTTTGGTTTCTTTGGTGGAACTATTGTCAACAAGCTGGGTGTCAAGTTAACTCTTGCCTTTGGAGGTATTGGATACGCCATCTACGCCATCAGTTTGCTAGCTTCCACACACGCTAATGTCGGCCCATTCAACATCATTGCGGGTGCTCTTCTTGGTATCTGCGCTGGTCTCTTATGGACTGCTCAAGGAACTATCATGATCTCATATCCCCATGAGAATGAGAAAGGAAGATACTTCGGCTGGTTCTGGGCTATCTTCAACATGGGCGCTGTCATTGGTAGCTTGGTGAGTTTCCTCTTTCTAGTTCTGTTCTTTAGAAGATATAGCATCTAAGCAGCATCTCTTATGTTGCGAAATATCAGCTGACAGCCCTACTAGATCCCATTGGGACAGCACATTCACACCAAGGACAATGTTTCTGTAGGTGACAGTACCTACATTGCTTTCATCATCCTCATGGCTTGCGGTGCATTCCTTGCTCTCTTCCTCTGCAACGCTAAGGATGTCGTTCGTGACGACGGCACCAAAGTTGTCCTGATGAAGAACCCAACCTGGAAGACCGAGTTCATTGGACTGTGGGAGACGATCAAATTCGAGCCTTTCGTGGTCCTCCTTTTCCCCATGTTCTGGTCCTCCAATTGGTTCGTCACCTACCAAGCAAGCGGAGTCAACAATGCTCACTTCGCCACCCGAACCAAGGCCCTCAACAACTGCTTGTACTATCTTGCGCAGATCATCGGTGCCTTGTTGTTGGGATACCTTCTAGATATGTCTTCTATTCGCCGTTCAGTCAGAGCTAAGGCCTGTTTGGCTATGCTCGTGGTCATGACTATGGCTATCTGGGGTGGTGGATACGCGTGGCAGAAAGGTTACACTCGTGCGACTGTTGCCGATCCCAGCTTCGTTCCAACCGATTGGACCACCTCTGGTTATGTTGGACCCATGTTCTTGTACATCTTCTATGGATTGTACGATTCTTTGTGGCAGGCATCTGTCTACTGGTAAGTTCTCACATGCAGTCATAGCCAGGCGCAAATACTGACCCCAAATAGGTACATGGGAGCACTTTCCAACTCTGGTCGTCGATCCGCCAACTACGTCGGTTTCTACAAGGGTATCCAATCAGCTGGTGCAGCCGTCATGTGGTCCCTCGACAGCAACAAGATGCCATTCATGGACGAACTGGCCACCAACTGGGGTCTCCTCATGGGTTCCCTCGTCTGCGCCGCACCCATCATCTTCTTGAAGATCAAGGATACAGTCACCGTTGAAGAGGATTTGGCTGGCACGGATGAGACACTCGCGGATGTTCTCCCCTCAGGACACCCAGAGAAGACTGTGGTATAAATGGGGCATCGAGCCTGGGAAGGTTTTGTATAATATCAAGTGGTAACAGGAGGAGTTTTGGGACTAAGTAGATACGAGTCTTCTTTTTTTGTATGTAAATCAAGTAAGCTGCGACAAAAAGAGGATTGCTAGCGAGTTCTAATGGATATTTTGAACGAAAATTGCCATCTTGTACGTTCTCTGAACATTCGCTATGTCGACTCTTGGTTTCTACTACCCTCAGAATCACAACCCCCAACACAAATCCCCACCTCACAACCACCAGAACCCACTCCCTCACCCACCCAGCACCCACATAAAACCTATTCGCCTCACAACTCAACCCCGGACTCTCATCTACAATCTCATGATCATACCGTCCGAGAATTTTAAGGCAGATAGTCTGCCCGTTGCTGAAGACAGGCGTGCATGTCATGGCTAGATTTTCTGGGGAATGGGAAGTTAGGTGGAAGTGATGATGCGGTGTTGATGGTGATAGTGATGGTGATCATGGTGGTGGCTGGGTCGGGATGTTGGGGTGGTGTTGAGACGCAGGGTTATGGTGGTGAGGAGGAGCGCGAGGGGAGGGCTCATTGGAGGGGGCGCGTGGGGAGTGCTTCGTGGGCTTGGTATATTTCCATATGCTTTGGACTGGATCTGCTGCGTGGTTATAGCTAGGTGTGGTGTTGGAAAGAGTGGGATAGAATGGGGAAGTCTATATTGTTATGCAGAGGCAGACGGCGACGAGAGTGAAGACGCGAGATGTTTACTTGAGAGGGAGAGAGGAACTGAGAGATGCGAATCATTGTTGCCCGTTAGAACTTACATATTGAAGGCTTTATTGTAACGATCTGTGAAGCACTGTCTACTTGGTCTAGTCATACTGAATATAATACATCTATTCTGAAACTTGAAACCAACAACACCAACCCATCCAAGTCATATAACCAACCAGTACGCCAAATTGCGTTTCAGCAGTGTCCAATCAAGCCTCCTCCTCTTTCTTAGCCATCCCAGTAACAGCCATCAGCCCACCAACCTTGGTTTCCACAATCTTGAAAGCTTCAGCATCACCAAGACCCTTCGCAGCCTTGACATAAGCCTCCTCACTCCTGTCCGTCAACACGTCCAAATCCTCATCACTGAGAATCTGATCTCCGCTCTTATACCTGAAAACCTCACCATCCTTCTTCAACAGCACCTTCAGCGCCTCCTTCGTCATGACCTCGTCGCGGAGTTTCTGGCCCTTCGATTTGTAGTCCGCTTTCTTGATGACGAGTTTCTCAAGACGACGTTTCGCGTCTGCGTTCAAGAGAAGCGCTTCTTCGACAGTATTCTTCGTGGCGAGACGGTAGATGATGACCGGGTTCTTTTGGCCAATGCGGTGAGCGCGATCTTGGGCTTGGAGATCCTGTTGAGGATTCCAATCGCTGTCGAATAGGATGACGGAGTCTGCTGAGGCGAGATTTATTCCTTGTCCGCCTGCTCGTGTGGAGAGCAGGAATAGCTTGAATTCGGGATTCTCGTTGAACTCTTTGATTTGGCGTTGTCGCTCTTCTTGTGATACAGAGCCGTCGATACGACATACTCTCCACTCACGAAGTTCCTGTGCGAAATCCTGGATGAGGTCGAGTTGTGTTTTGAACTGAGAAAATACGAGAACCTTGTGCCCTCGTGCGAAAAGAGACTTGAGCAGTCTGTCCAGTAGAAGCATCTTGCCAGATGCAGTGACAAGAGTTTCGTCTACAGGGCGATCGTCTGGCCAAGCATTGTAGAAATTGTGAGGCGAGTTGCATGCTAGTCGTAACTGCATGAGAGGATTTCCAAGCTTCTTAGTAGACATCTCCTTCTCTGTAGGACGTTAGATTTGTCCAAGCCAAAACAGAAACTGCTACTTACTTGCTGCCTCCTTAATCCTTGCCTCCTCCGCTTCCTCGGGAGTCAAGTCATCTTCGGGTGTTTCCTCCTTCTCAGCCATCTCCTGTGCCAGCTTCTCCTCGAACTCGTCATCACTCAAAGCATCTTCCTCATCGGAAGGAGCTTCGGAATATGATTTGGGGTTCCTGACTTTGCGACCGCGGGTAGAGGCTGGTGTCGAATGACGACTTGATTTGGAAGATTTAGAAGCTGGTGATGTGGCGCCATCATTGGCTTTGCGCTTTCGCTTTCCGTCGCTCTTCGTAGCGAGACCTCCTTTCATCATTTGCTCGAAAGCATTCTTGGGTGCTGACTTGGGCGGTCGACCCCGGGGCTTCTTCCGAATAGCTAATTGTGCCAATGGTACTTCTTCTTCAGAGTCCGATTCCTCTACCTTTGCAGCTTTGGTAGGCTTAGCAAGCTTGGTAGCCTTTGGCTTGCGAGTAGACGAAGGAGCATTAGCTCTCAATCTCCCCGCAACCTTCTCCTCGAGGAAGTCCCTAGTATCTCTCGTCTCGTCGCTTATCACATCGCACAAGTCTGTCTGCTCCTGGGTCATTGGCGCATACAGAATATATTCTCTCTTCTTCGGAAGCAGATGCTCTACATCCGCCTTAATGCGTCGAAGCAACAGGGGCTGTAAAATTTGCTGGATCTTCGTAATCATTTCATGAGTCTTTTTCTCTTCAAGAAAGCCTTCCGTGGTCTTCTCGTCTCGGAGATCACTGAAATCGAAATAGGCTTCGAAGAGCTCCCATTCGGTGAAGACAGTGGGGAGAAGGAAATGTAGCAAAGACCACAGCTCCTTCAGGTCATTCTGGAGAGGAGTTCCCGTGATCAGAAACCGACTGTAGGAGTGAAAAGGCTGGAGAATGCGAAATAGCTTCGACTCTGAGTTCTTCAGTCGATGTCCCTCATCCTTGGGAAGGTATTAGTAGTGGTGGAATCTTGAATTTAAACAGCACACTTACTATGAAGATGATACCCCAGCGTATTTTGATGAGGTCTTTAGCATCCCTCATAATGATTTCAGGCGTAGTCAAGACGACGGGGAAGTCGTCAGTCACACGACCTTCTCTTCGCTTCATAGTCTTCCCGTCAACCTCAAAAGTAAGAACTTCTTCCGAATAATTCTTCTGAATTCTTGTCTTAAAGATCTCCTGTCGGTGACCTGGTGCACCATGGTATTTCACCACTGGAACACTGGGTAACCACTTTGCGAATTCCTCATCCCAATTAGAGAGTGTGCTCATAGGCGCAACGATCAGGAAAGGACCCTTGTAATCACTCTCCCGGAGCTTAGCGACGAGAGAAATCGTCTGAATAGTCTTTCCCAATCCCATTTCATCAGCCAAAATACCTGACATAGACTGGAACGCAATGTCGTACATCCAAGTGAGACCTTCCAGCTGATATGGTCTCAATTGTCCGCCAACAATGTTCCCTGGCTGTTCTGACATCTCAATGTTATGCCCTCCCAGCATGTTGCCCTCAAAATCGCGTCCAACCTGACCGAGTGACTTCGAATTATTCTTCAATATACCGGTAAACTGCTCGCACTTGTTCAACAGCTCTGCGAGCTCTTGTGCCTTGGCCTCACGATCCTTGATGGGTGCCTTCTTTCGTCCCCGCTTGTTCTGCTTCAGCTCCTGCTGCTCATTTGCGAGCCGCGCCTTTTCGTTCTCTGCATGGATGGCCTTTTCTTCGTCATTGAGAAAGTCTTGGTCGAGTTCTGAGTCTACGTCGATTATGGGCGATTGCTCTGGCGGTGATGAGGGAGGGGTACTTGAAAGTCTGGATGCTGGACTCGACGAGCCAACACTGGCTTTCGATCGTGGAGCCATGTCTGAAAGTGGTCGAAAACCTTCTACAAATTGATGGCGGGCTTCCTCCCTTCGTAAGGCAATACGGCAGAACAGATGTTGTGACCAACGACAGAAGTCGATGGAGGGGAGCGATAGAGACTCAATTGAGTAACAGTAAGCGTCGAAGAAGCTCAGAAGCTGAATTGCATCAATATCTCGTCCAATTTCACTCACGATCAGGTCCAAGTATGCCTAGGATATACTCACAGTTTGAATACAATCCTAGGACTAGGAGCTAATTTCCGCAAGGCCAGTGAAGGCTGGGTGGCGAATGAACGCAATTTTCACGGAGTAAAGTTGAATTTCTTGATTCAACAATGAGACGATTATACAGACAAAATCCAGGCGACAAAAGTCTTGAAATGAGCTTGAATTGAGAATATGTAAAGAGGCCGTTGTTGTGATAGGCAAGTAGAAATGACTTTCGTGGTCTCGACGCGTAAAGTGGTAGTGCATTTTCACGCGTGGACCGCGATCTTATGAGGTAATCGATAGGGATCGGAATGCGCCCTTCATTACGGAGGTACAGCGGTCAAGTATTGTTACAGCACTAGCAAGGGGGGAGATACACCTTAACCTAAAAGAGTAGCATCGCGTTAATGCATCTAACACGCTTTTGTATTATATTTTATACGCAAGTTAATGATAATTATATCAATTAAATAATTTTATTTTAATAGACCTTTCATTCGCTTTTATTACGTATACAGCTCTAGTGCCTACTCTTCTCGATCATAAGACTCCTCCTATGGCCCTAAATAGGCCTATTCCTCACCTTCCGCTAAAGTATACAAAGAATCACGAGCTTATACGCGATTAACAACGCGATATTATCTTTCTTCACTCAATCAGCTAGTCTTATAATTAAATTAGTCGACACTTACCTTTTCAGCTAATAAAACAATAAATTCAATACGCTTATAATACTCGAGTTATACCGCAAAAGAAGAAAGGTCGCCTTCTAATTCTTACTTAAGGTCAAATCGAAGAATTAGTCGAGTTTATCTACGTGTCACAGTATAATTATCGATTATCGTTTACCTAACTCGCTAAGGTTCTTGATTTTAGAGTTAAAAAAGACACTATACGTACTACTCTTACTCATGAAGGCTTCTACTATCGATTAGCTATATAAAAACCTCTGATATCTGAGACGAATCGACGATTACATCTTACTTAGGCTATCGAACACAAGGAATAGACAATAGAGTAATAATACTAGATCTTATAGACCGATAAGACTTGGATTACCAGAGGGAGATATACTCGAACCTGGGTTACACATAGACCTAGAGAGGAGTAGGACGAGACGTGTATTATCGAAAGATATTAATAAAAAAAGGGTTAGATATTCTAGGGATATTTTCATAGATATACTAAAGGGCCTAGTATCTTCTAGGAAAAGGATTAGGGATCGATTAATTAAGAAAGCTACTATTAATATACAGTTCTGATTATCTACAGTTATTTAGAACTTATACAGCGTTAAGGAATATATCTCGTCCTTATGTAAGACAGAGCTCTAGGCCACGTAGCTACGGATACTAAATAAGAGCTTCGAGAGCGTGGAATCATCGTGATCTTCTAGCCTCCTTTCTCTCCTGATTTGAACCTAATCAAGAGAGTTTAGTATATTATAAAGAATTATATTTAAGATAATTACCCTGAGATTATATCTTACGATCGTTTACGTGAAGCAGTAAAAGATACATGGGAAAAAGTAGGGGAAGTGTAATAGTCCGGTATTTACTCGCTATAAATACAGAAGGCTGCAGTTAATCTCTAATAATCGAGAGGTAAGTGTATCATGTAGATAGGAAGATAGTTACTAAGTATTAGAATACTATTTGAAGTTAAGCACGAAGCTCCTATCTAATAGTAGATATACTAGTCTTATATAGAACCTTCGTTCTCCTTAGATCCCTTAAGATACTAGATCCTTAGATCCTTAGATCTGTTCCCCTATAAAGGGATCCAGGGATCTAGGGATCTATTATATGACCTATTATCTACCGTGATCTAAGTAACTATTACTACTAAGCGTAAGTATATAGCAGTACTACTCGCTGCCTTATATTATTCCCTAGTTAGTACTACCCTATTAATAGCACCGCTCCTTCGTTAGTACTAATGCCCCTATAGTACTACTGATAGTACTATTAGTATCTGGGTGCTAACTGAACTATAGCGCTAAGGGGTTCGTAATACTATCCCCCTCTTAGCTTAGCGTAGTCCCTATGCTTAAGTATAACCTTAAGGAACGTCGATAGTTACTAACGACTATCTTCCTTATCTATTATATCTAGTATCGTAAAGAAATCGAGTATCGCTTAGATAAAGAAAAAACAGAGTATCTAGCTCGCGCTTTATATTAAGCGTACTACGTAACTTGTAAAGCCTTATTCCTTCTGCTATAGCCTTTCTTATACTTACTTCTTAGATTTATTTATTTCGAAACGATACTCCGAGTATATTCACTTAAAGTGTTACGATTATAATACCTCGGGGTATATTAAGAGGTTCACTCCTGAACGACCTGTGTATCGGTTTAAGATAGGAAAAACCGTGACCTCTGCTCGCTCTCTAACGCCTCTCTTTAAGCCTGTTGAGGATGATCCTACTTCTTAGTTCCCTGCCTTTGAACCTAACGCTTACCTAGCGTCCTTCTTCAAGGGCCTAGTCCCTGACCTTAGGTTCCCTTCCTTCTAAGTAAACCTGGATTTCTTTAATAGAATTCCTGTAGAAGCTTAGGGTAGTAGAGGTTAGATTTAAGTTCCTAAGTGTTTTCTGATTATAGGTACCCTTTCTATTTAATTAAATATTTTGTTTTACTATAGAAATACTAATAGTCGAGAATAGCCTTTACTTCGTATTCGGTATTCGGATTAATCGGTTATATCTCAGTGATAGGAGCTAGCGGTACTCCTAGCGGTACTAGTTTAAGAAGAGATATATAGAATACTAGGTGGATATTTATTGTCTTTAGTAGAGCTAGTTGATAATTAACTAGTCCTATGACTTTAGTAATCCTAAATAGTCCTAGCTTCTTATAATCTAATTTATAACTTAGTCGCTTAGTTATAATATTCCTTCTAAGTAAGTAGACTTTATCCCCTTCCTTAAGCGTTAGTCCTATACTACGCTTCTTATTATAGTAGATCGCAGATCTCTACGCGATAAAGAGAATATCAGCTAATAATTCTTCATAGAGCTACTTAAGCCTATCTGCTTGTAGTATAGCTTCTTACACGGTCCCCTAACTAGTCATTAGTAGATTATATACTATGGGATTATACTTATAATTTATATAGAACAGCGATACTCTAATAGTCTCTTAATCCGCGCTATTATATATAAACTAGGCAAGTAGGAGCAACTGCACTTAGTCGTCCTATTTATAGTTTATATAACACTAAAGATAAGTCTCTATTATCTAGTTGATTTGTTCTATCTATATATTAGTCTACGAGTAGAATATAGTTGATATTTTCTATTTTATCCCTAAGAGTATAATAAGAGTTTTCTAGAACTTTAAAGTAAAGAGCTTATCTCTATCCGAGATAATCTTATCTAGTATTCTGTAGCTTACGAAAATTATCCTAAGAAATACTTATGCTATTATAAGCGTGTCCTATATCCTAAGTACTAGTACTATATATATGTACTTTATGAACTTATCTATTATTATATAGATCGAGTCGTATATGATTCCTATAATTAGGTCTTTCGAGAGTAGTAGTTTAACTACGAAATCTAAAGCGATTAATTTCTATAGGCGAGGTAGTGTTATCGGTGACTTTATAAGCTTATACGGAGTATAGTGTAACGCCTTATTCCGGATATATATATCATACGACGCTATTACGTCTTTAACTACTTTCCTTATCCCAGGGAAGTAGTATTCCCTAGATAGCCTAGATAACGTCTTTACTAATCCCTAGTATCTATAAGTAGGTAGCCTATAGAAGTCCTTAACGAATTTAGCCCGATCCTAAGTAAGTATATATATTCGTCCTTAGAATAAAAGAGTTCTTTCTAAGGAGAAGGAGAACCCTTCGCCTAGTTAGTGTCACTATTTAGCTATAACCGGGTTATTAGCGTAGCCTTTCCAGATTTTCTCTACGACTAACTATCCTATCGTAGCTAGCTATTAGTTGTTAATAACTAATAAATCGCTATCCTTTCGTAGTATAGTATAGAATTTATAGGTTTTATTTGCGAGGTACTCTAGTTTTTAGCTTAAAGCGTTAGCTCGAGTATTTTCTGTTCCCTTAATATAAGAAATTCGAAGCTTAATAATAAAGAGTATTTTATACTAACGAACCTACTGTCGGTTCAGTTCCTTAGTAGTTGTAAAGTAAATAAGATTCTTATAGTCCGTTAGGATCTGTACTTTATAGGTAGCGCTTTTAAGGTAAACCTTCTATTCGCGTATTATATCTATAATTACTAGTAACTCCTTATTATATATATTATAGTTAAGTTCTGCTAGTAATAGTTTCCGCGAATAGTAAGCGACTAGTTACTATCTTCCGTCCTCGCCCGGCTAGCTAAGTATAGCTCTAATAGCGTAGTCCGAAGAATCTATCTCTATACGTATTTCTTTATCAGAGGTAAAAGAAGTAAGTACTAGTTCCGCGATAAAAGCCGCTTTAAGTGCTTTAAACGCCTTTCGTGCGCTATTAGACTAGTAGAATTCCTTATCCTTATAAGTTAACTCTGTAAGTAGCCTAGTGATTTTTAAGTAATCTTTAATAAATCGCCTATAGAAGTTAATAAACCTAAGGAATAATTATACTTCCTTAATATTCATAGGCCCTATTTACTTAATAATTACTTTAATCTTTTTAAGATCTATAGCTAATCTTATAGTAGTAACTATATAGCCTAGAAAGATAACCTTATCTATATAGAAGTTATACTTCTCTAGTTTAAGTAATAGGTAGGCGTCCTCTAGCCTCTAGAGAATAGCTATAATATCTTTCATATATTACTTCTCTGATTTAGAGTAGACTAGTATATCGTCCAAATAGTATATATATATTATATCTAAGTAAGGCCGTAAAATATTATTAATTAGACGCTGAAATATAGCTAGTGCGTTAGTTAAGCCGAAGGGCATAACTATATACTTATAGTAATTAAAATAAGTGCGAAATACTATTTTCTCTTCTTTACTCTTAGCTATCTTAACGAGGTTATATACTCCTCTTAAGTTAAGCTAAGTGAAAATCTTAGCTCTAACGAGTCTGTCTCGCAGCTCCTTAGCTAATAATAGTATATAATAATCCTTCTTTATAATATCGTTTAATTGATAGTAGTTGATATATATTCGTTATCCTCCGTTTTTCTTCTCTATGAATAAGACGTTACTTCCCTATAGGGATTTAGACTCTTAGATAAATCCCTTCGCTAGGTTTTTATCGATATATTACTTAATTGTTATTAAGTCTATTATAGAATATTCCCTAAGTAGTTAGAATATCAGTTTAGTACCTAGTTCTAACTCGATCTAATAATTATAGTCCTAGTATTTTAGTAAGGCCTCGATACTTTGTTCTTCTTTAAATAGTACTATAAACTTCTTATATACTAATAGTATATCCTTTATTAGTAGACCCTTATCTTAGTATCCGAGCTCTTCCTTAGAGATAGCGCTAATCTCTCGAATACTTACTACTTCTATTCCTAGTAGATAATAGTAGTCTTAATAATAACTAAACTCAAGTTTTCCTATCTGCTAATTAATAATAGGATTATACTTTTCTATCTATAGTAACCCTAGGATAATATTATACCTTCTAATCCTAACGATATCGAATTAGATTATTTCAGAGTATCCGGTGATACTTATATAGACTAGAGTAGTCTAGACCTCGATTAGTTTATTAGAGGCGACCTTACTATCCGCTAGTACTAGATAGTATCCCTTATCCTTTACTTTAGTTAATAGGTAATACTCGAGTATAATAGTAGGAGATATAAAGTTCCCTTATACCCTAGAGTCTACTATCGCCTAAAGCTTAACTCCCTTAATTTTAACTTCTAATATGAGATACTTATCCCTAATAGCGGCAAGTTACTATATATAGAAGTACTCCTAGTGTACGCTATAGTTGAGGATACTCTCCTATACCCTTCGATTACTATAGCTCAGGCTGACTTTATATATAAGCCCTATCCCGAGTTCAGTGTATATTACTAAGTTGTATATCTTATAATAGTATCGGCTGTTATCCTTAACATATACCTATATCCTATAGTATTAACTTTCCGCTATAATCTCCTACTCCTCGCCTACCTCTAGTAGCGCGCTAGTGTTAAGAATAGCGGTATTCTAGAGTAGTAAGTACTATATAAAGGTCGTTAGTCCTTCCTAGCTTCCGGCTATCCTCTATCCGATCCGCTTATAGTCCCAGTAGACTACTTTATACTTTACTCCCTATAGTAGACCCCCTAAGCTAATAAGACCTAGTTCTTAGTAAGTAACCCCGGTAGCTATATTAGTCCAGTAACGAGTGTTATAGCCGACTTAATACAAGCTTTCTTCCCTTTAAGTAACTTCCTAGATTTCACCTACTTTTAGTCCTAGGAGTTCAGATTAAGGTAGCCCTAGTTCCGGAGTCTACTTTAGCTCCTAAGCTTCTTCCTTGCTATTACTCGGTATTAGCTCTATATCATTATCTAGTCTAGAGCTATTGTTATCTCGATATATATAGTTCTCAGGGGGCGTACTAATAACAGTTTACTCGAGCTGATCTACGACACTCGCGGAATCTCGTTTACTATTGTTAGAATCGCCTAACTAGGTATAGATATAATTCTCCTTAAGCTTATCTGTAGTTATATATTAATATGTCGCGGCAAGTTATTATATTAGTTTATTATAAGAGCTATGTCTTATTATATTAGTATATTTCTTATCTATCTACGACTTCCTTTATTAATAAGAGCTAGCTATATAACTAGGGAGGCTACACTCGAAGTATAGCTTCTTTTCTTATCGCTCGCTTATAACTTTCTTAGATAGCCCGCTATTATACAGCTTTCTTTAATAATTTAGCTTCCGGAACGTTATATTAAGTTCTATTTCCTGAGGGTAGAATAGTTTCTTATTATTACTCTCTCTTCCTTAGTGTATATATATTCCGGAGTAGTATTAGCCTTTCTTCTTAAGTGCCCTCTTGTAATTTCAGTTATTAATCTTAATAGCTATCTCGATAAGTTCTTATAAGTTAGTAAGCGCGTCCGATCTTACTATCTTATCTTTTACTCTATTCTTTAACCTCTTATAGTACTATACCCGAAGAGTATTATTATTCTAGCTAGTCTGATTCGCGAATTACTAGAAGGCGGCAGTATATATAATCGCTAACCTGACCTACTTTAAGTTCTAGATATTCTGTTTAGTAGTACAGTTCTAATTAATATCGCTAAAGACGCGATTAATCCTATACTTAAAACCTTTAAAGGTTATAAAGATCTTCTAGGATTCCTTAGTTATTACTATAGAGACTCTCTTATCCTTAGTTTAGTTCTAAATATAGTCTAAGAGGAAGGTCTTGATCTAGTTAAAAGTAAATCCCCGGAGAAAAGATAAAGCCTAAAGGACTTTATTAGTCTCCGTAGTGAACTAGTGACTATTAAAGCCCGTATAAAGCTTAACTTATATGAGGTATACTCTGAGCTTAGATTAGTCTCTATTATAGAGATCCGGGGCGGCGATCTTAGGTATATTCTTTAGGTCGAAGATCTTAGTAAGAGCTGAGTAGTCGTTCGACGATCCTTTAATAGAGGATATATTATCTTCGTGAGTCAGTACCTCTAATAAGAAGGTGCTTAAAGTGTAATAGTCCGGTATTTACTCGCTATAAATATAGAAAGCTGTAGTTAATCTCTAATAATCGAGAGGTAAGTATATCACGTAGATAGGAAGATAGTTACTAAGTATTAGAATACTATTTAAAGTTAAGTATAAAGCTCCTATCTAATAGTAGATATACTAGTCTTATATAGAACCTTCGTTCTCCTTAGATCCCTTAAGATACTAGATCCTTAGATCCTTAGATCCGTTCCCTTATAAAGGGATCTAGGGATCTATCACGTGACTTATCGTCTACTATGATCTAAGTAACTATTACTACTAAGCGTGAGTATATAGTAGTACTACTCGCTGCTCTGTATTATTCCCTAGTTAGTACTACCCTATTGATAGCACCGCTCCTTCGTTAGTACTAATGCCCCTATAGTACTACTGATAGTACTATCAGTATCTAGGTGCCAACTGAACCGTAGCGCTAAGGGGTTTGTAACAGGAAGACGAGTTTAGAGCTCTAATTGAGAGTATACTAGATTATTGTTTAGCTGTCGAGAAAGCAGAAAGTAGATTTACAAAATACTAAGTAAATATTTATCAACTTAATAATTTGTATACTTAAAATCGTGTGGGAAGTGTATTGACGCGATACTACCCTTCTAGGTTAAGCTGCACCCCCCTTGCTAGTGCTGTAATAACACTTGACCGCTGTACCTCCGTAGGCAGATCGCCAAGACTCGATTGAAATCCAGGGGGGAATACTTAAGCGAGTTTGCGATAGAAACAACAATAACATGGATTGTGCTGACATTGGAAAATATACTCGGCTACATTGAATGCTTGGAAGAAGATGAGGGCAGGATAGGAAAGGCTTTGGATGACTTGAGATGCTAAATCGGGCCCCTGTCCCCCTCCTCCCAAATCACCCTCTCCCCCCGTCAGTTCACGTCAGCTACTCTACATGCACCAGAATGCTGGTGCGGGACAGCTGTGTGGACTCTGACCTTGCTGTCCCTAGATCTCCGAAAATATGGCAGCTGTGTATTCCATAGGCTCTTATTTTCTGCAAATTTGTATATTCAGCGTTGGAAATCGTGGAGCCTGGATGTATTTGGCCCAATTCTGTCTTCGGAGTCTAGATATCATTGCGGGGAGGGTCAGGCATTAAGGAATGTATACTTTACATCCATTGGTGGTTAGGCTACAGCACATATCTTACTAGAATAATCCAAGTTATCCTGTGATTAGTCTTCAGACAACTCCTGTAGTCTTGACTGTGACTTATAAAAACACATCACTTGTTGGGATGGAATCGAGGAAACAACGTGTCATTACTTCTCGCTATGCTGAAAATTCTCAACGCTGTCTAGAGGAATAATGATGAAGATCAGAGCAAGAACATGTTTGCCCCTCCAAAAGTCATCCATGGCTTCTGTCCTAGATGCTCCGCATGTCTACATCAAAAAAGGTAATCCCCGCTTGATGATCTTCATGTGGAATGTTTGTGACAATGGGATATGCACAATGAAAGACAGCTGAAAACCCTAACAGTTTTTCATCAATGTTCCAATCAATGTAAATTTCTTACCTCCGGCCATCCTGCTCTATGGTAATTGAATTCATTGTCGTGTGATGGAGTTCTTCTGGTGGGCTTCTCGCTTCACCGTGCTGCGGTTCACAGACTGAAAAAGAACCCGAGAGCTGGCAGTGACAGAGAGTCCGGGCGATCAGTGGAAGTGAGAGAATGTGGTAATGGTAGTTTGAGAATCCGCCTTCGACGTGATGACACGCCTCGAGCAGCTAACAACTCGTTGTGTCGAGAAGGAAAGTTTTGTTGGGATGGAAACACAAAACTCTCGTCTCTCAGATTATATGATGCTGTGTTGTTGAAAGAAACGCAATGAGAAATCGAATTCCAGGCACTGATAGTCGAGTTTATACAGTCGATGTAAAGTGGCGCCACGGAACTGAATAGGACGGAAGGCTGGAAACCGAAAGCAGTGGATGGTGAGCTAAGTCGATCATAGAATGGTGTGACGCAGAGCAGCGCTTTGGGCAGAGATATTCTTGCCAGTGCGGCGATTATACTCCATTGCCACTCTCGCCCATTTGTCCTTGTCAATATCCTTAACAACTTGTGCAAGAACAAGATCGAGCTGATCGTTCCAGACAGGCTTTTCGTACAGAGGTCCGTCACCAAGAACCTGGCCCTTGCCTCTCTTTGATAGGGGAATGAACTGCTTTCCTTCGGCAGCGAAGAGCAGCGGTGCAGTACGGTTGTATCTACTGGTGACACCGCAGACGCTGAGAGATGGGGCATGGCCATTGGCTACCCGTGTCTCATTGAGTGCTTCGACAATCTCGGCAAAAGACATGCCATCCTCCTTCATATTCACAATGTTGACATTCTCAGGATCGTTGGCTCCGTAACCACGCTTACAGACCTTCTCCTTCGCTCCACGAGTGAGACCACGTTTTAGCAGAGCTGCATCTGATACAGCTATTTGGGGAACTGAGGGAGGATCTTGATTTAGGCCCCAGTTGACAGATGGGTCTCCAGAATACCGTGAAGGGGCAAGACCTGCTCCAGGTTGATTGAAATGACCGCCGTCTTCGAACACATCCACGGCCTTTCGCTTCTTACCTGCAGCTGCAGATGTTGAAGCACGAGGACGATCATCTTTGACTAACAAGTCATGAGAGAAGAGCTTTTTATAAGGACGAAATCCAAGATTCCCAATTCTTGAGCCTACTTGTTGCTGAGGGCTACCAGATTTGGAAAGATCCCCCTGGAAGAATAGCGCTATCAAGAGTCATGAAATATCAGAATATAGGGATTGGGATAGCTTACATTCATCTGCGTCGTTTGTAAGAGACTGTCGTGGTCGACTGGATCCATCAGACTGATTTGATTTGCGATTGCCAGAGCCCTCACGATACCCACTTGGTCGACGGAATCTATTAAACTGAATCGCTTGACACCCATCCAAACCTCCCTGCTTGTTCTGAGCTGGATGGTAGAATTGCGTTGCTTCTCCCTGGCGGCCTTGGCTTACACCATTGTCATAGTTTCCTAGGCCACGAGTATGAGGGCCTTGAGATCCTGAACGATAAAACTCTAGTGCCAACTCAGACGGAGAGGAAAATGTCTTGTGCCCACCAATCGACTCGTTGTGCACATTGCTCTCATCATCAAACGGTTCCATGTTTGTGTCCACCCCAACATACGGGTCTGATTGAGCCTTTTGGTTTCGTCCACCAAAGCACTCACGTTGGAAAATTCGACCACCGTAACCAGCTACAGCACGTGGACGAGGACTCGATTGGAAGTCGACATATGATGCTTCTCGTCGAACATAACGTGCAGGTGACTGTTCGTCGGATTCCACATCGCTTTGATCTCTACCAAGTTGAGGTCTAGGGGAAGCTCCATGGGCACGAGTGGAGGAATCATCATGAAGTGCCGCAGGGAGGTGTGGTGGGGAAGGATTTTCGAGACGAAGGGTAATGCGGCGTCGTTGTAAACGTGGAGGAGAAGCACTGCCGAACTCTCGACGACGAAGCGCTGTCAAAAATAATTAGATTTTACTTCATCTCGTATGTGATTGACATGGGTGTGTTGTCGAAGTTGAAAAAAGTGTCAAAGCATGGATCGCGGAATGAATGGTGAAGAGAACTTTTGATTTGGCAACAGGTGGGAATAACGTAAATAGAACGCAAAAGCGGTCCCGCCAGTGCGAAACGTCAGAGTAAGGGGATTTGATGAAAACCGACAGGAATAATATGCATGTTTTACCACTTGCACACTCTAGCTGAAAAGCATGTTTCGGGGTAAAGAAAATGAATAGAACTTACCATTGGCATAGTAACCACGGGAATCATTGATTGGGGAGCGAAAGGTCCTGTAATTCTGTTGCTCGACTGGAGAACAGCTTCTGCTGAAAGAATGTGACAAGTGAATGGGACCCCGCAAGACACTGTCACTGTTGATCTCGGCAGAGTCCGGGTTGGGATCGTTCTGAGTCGTGGGATCAGCATTCATGTAATCTTGCGCATGCTCTAAGGTGTTGATATCCCTGGCCACATCGTTGTTGCTATCTTTGGCAGGCGCACCGTTGTGGTCCTGCTCGACAGAGCGGACAATGGAGTTGTCAGAATCGGGATTCCCTGTGGTCGACATGCTGGCAACTCGCGGTTTGTTGCTTTCCGCAGGTATAAGCTCGAGGACTCGAAAGGGCTATTATCGAAGTATGGCCCGCACTTAGAAGCGGTAGTCTGACACGTCTGTACGACCACTACCAAGGGAGCGTGTCTCTCGAGAAGGAGCTATGGGGGGCTGTGGAACGTATCTTAGGTTACTTAAGGAAGATTGAGAGTGAGGGCGAGGACTTCTCGAATCAACACAGGAGACTGCCTTGTCTATTTGCAGCGCTAACGAAAGGCGCTAGCGCAGTGATATTCAACTTGAATTAGCATCAAAGAAATGGCTTGTAGAAGACAGTGGCCAATTTCGCGGTGAATGAGGACAATAATGGCGATTGTGGTAATCGGAGACGAAGACGAGGAAGATTGATAGCAACAAGAGGCGCAGAGTCTGATTTCAGCAAGGAACGACTGACAAGCGACGGCGGACTTAGAGAAGCAAGCCTTGCTGACGACAACTTCTTTCTGTGACAGTGAATCGAGTCACAACTCAAAAGTGAGCTACTAAGCCTCTGTGGAGAACGAGCAACCAGTCGAGTGTCATGGGTCCGAGTTTGTTCGCTGTGCAAATAGCTCGATATGCACGGCACAGTAAACCCAGGATATTGGCAGTAAAGATAGACAGATATATTCGAGGGCCGTAATTTGACATGGCAAGTGTTGCTCAACCTTGGGAAGCCTCGAACTAAGCTCCAAGAAAGCAATAGAATGTACAAACGGAGTATCTGACTATTGGAGGACAATGAGAGAAATAGAAGGCTCAATTGAAGCCAGCTAATACCAATTATACGTTATGGAGGGAGTTTAAGCAGAAAGCACAAGGTTTTCCACATGACAAGCAGAAGCAACAAGAGCAAAAAAAAACAAAAGAACCGAGCGCGAAATACTTTGCCCAACATAGGGTAAAGGGAAGGCACACAGAGAGCATTCAGAAGACACCAGTGTGTCCCGAGATTCTATGTATCATCTGCATGCTTTGTTTAATGCAAGTTTCACTTCATCGATATGGTCTTTACTGCCAGATTTCTTTGACGGCCAAAGGACAAGCGAAGAAAGGACCCAACATGGCCTCGCCTAGACCTCCTTTACTGCGAATCTCCAAGGCTTGGAGCATCGTCGACTCTCGGAAGGTTTCCTAATGCTGCATCTCGAAGATGGGCTGTTGACAGACCGAGACGGATGGAACCGTCTCATCAGAATACAGTACCAGATCCATTTTCAGGAGAAAATGAAGCGAACCCAGTTATCTCCCAGCTTCTTGATACCTTCCTCCAAGCCCCAGCCCTTCAATTTGCAGATGTGTCGGCAAATTTCCTCCAACCTAGCATCCATTTCGTCCCCAGCCACATGTAGATCACTCTCCGACAAAATACGATCATCTGGCACTGCTTTGATAACCTCATCCGCCTTTGCACTATGCACATCGGACATGTTGATAGCCGAGGAGAACGAGAAGTAAATATCAGCTGGTGACGACCGCTGAAAATATTGCTTCAGCTGATCTGGCGAGCCAGAATATGAGTGCAGACAAATCCGTAGCGCTGGCTCCTCATCTGGACTCTCTGATTCGTCAGCAGGGAGAGGGATTTTCTCGACTTTCTTTCTCTGTCCTTTACTCAATGGCTCTCTACCGTACCCTTTCCATGACTCTTGTAGAGTGTCGAATACTATGCCGTGAGCTTGAACTCCATGAACTGATACTGCTCGCTTCATCTCCCATGCTAACTTGAGCTGAGCTGTCAAAATTGCTCTTTGGTGGTCCATCTGAACTCGCTGAGGACATAATGGTCGCCCTTCCCTGGTTCCGGGTGTCAGAGATAAGTCTCTGCTAATTTCTAGTTCCTCGGTCCAGGGGCCTGGTAGACGGAATCCTTTGTCGAGGCCGACTTCTCCGACGAGTGCATATGGATACTTTTCCAGATATTTTCTGGTACCTTCAAGATATCCCTTGAGCGATCGAGGCTGCGGTAGTGACTTCAGAAACGTGACGTCTTCTGGCTTCGGAGTCAAGACAGATTGGTAATGCCGAAGTTTGAATTCCGCTGTATCTGCTTCTATGACATCTTCTTTCGTGTCATCATACATCTGATGCGAGAACCACGGGTGCCAGCCAAAGCAAGGAATCAAACACTCCCGACCCTTCTCTTCACTAATATCGGGCCGAGACTTCACACCATAAGTATCTGCAACCTGAGCTACCAGCTCCTGGTCATCTGATCTGGTGGCCATCACCGTCAATACGCGAGCCTTCATTCCTGGTATTAAAGCTACCCTTCCCATGATGTCTGTTGGGTGGCAATGAGCATCATAGACACCCAAATGCCAGGGAAATGCTTCTTCAGCAGAGGCGGATGCCATTTTGGCCCTATCATAGACTCAAACACGGGAGAGGCGTGCTTCGATAGTTGCAGAATATACTTGTGCTTGGATTTGTTGAGTTCAAGGTTGTCTCGATGCCTGGAGTTCAAAGAGAGTTTGGCAGACGCATGCACGCTAAGCGAGACCCATGTCCCAGATCAACCAAACCAAAGGTAAATCCAGGCTTTCTCCAGCTTCCCCACACTTTCCCGCCTCTATCACATGCAACAGTGCCCGATTTCAAAGCTCCCGCTTCCGTCCTTTAAGTTTCTCCCCAACCCACATTCCTCGAAACAAGACCAAAACATGCATTCGTTTCTATCATGACAACTGACTCGTTCTTCACCAAAAGCTTCAGTCAATCGTTACCACAAACCCACAAATAATGGCTGTTCTAAACCCAATCTATGGCATAGTCGTACCATTCCTATTCGTTTTCACCATTCCATTTGCATTCTTGGCCACCTTTACCACCTTCATCGCATTCTCCATCCTCTTCCTCCGAGTCCTCATCGTTTACGTCGAGCTCGCTCTTGCAGTTATACCACACTGGATCCTTGGACAGCGAACATCATATTCTCCACCCAGCCCGTCAATTTCGCGGACAAAATCATTTAGTAACTCGGCGAATGGGCGACGAAGGAAACGTCGAGGAAGCACGAGTAGCAATCTATCTGCTACCGGTACCATAACACCCATATCAGGAGAGAATGGTATGGGATTAAGTCAAAGCATTGGTCCCACTCGAGATTACGAAGGCGTGGGAGGATGGAGGCTTGATAATCCTTCGGATGATGATGGGTTATGGACGAAGATTAATTCGAGGTTGGAGTTGCCTGCAGACCATGTCAGAAGACATCATCGATCTTTGACCTCGGGTAGCCTGCCAGGTAGCTCGAGGATCAATAGGAGTTATAGTCCAGAGGCTTTGATGAATACATCGAGAGCTCGGACCCCAAGTTCGACTGTTGGAGTCGAAGGTTATTTCCCGCAGGTCTCAAGTACACCCAAGGCGTCAAAGAGGACGCCTTCGGCGAGTACTGGAATTTCTGGGAGTTCGACTAGTTCGAAAGGATCATCTGTTTTGAGTATGAAGCAGAGATGACGCATGATTGATGATTGACGAATGATGAGATACGATACTGTTTTGATATGGCGTCCGGGCTTGGGTTCTGTGGGAGTGTGGAATCAATGAGCATTGGAAACATGGTCATACAATTTGGTTGTACATATCATTTCCGTTCATGTAACGCCATTTGCAAAGGGCAAACTCAATCATGGTATCCAGCGAGAACCCTTCTCAACAAACCCAGCCAACCCTAACGCCAAACCAGGATTCCCTCACTATATGCCGGTCTCTTCCTAGAGCTGCTGCCAGAGGTAATTCGCGTAGAAGAATCTCGAGAACTTGCTGTCGATGTTCACAATATTAACATCCCCTTTCCTCGAGTTCCTAATGATAGCCTTGGAATACTCTCCATCGTCATCCCTCTCAATATCGATGCCCAATCCCCTGTAAACCTTCAACTTGAGGCTCATCTCGTCATCAATCAATCCTCTCCGTGCATTATCGCCACCATCAACACCTTGAAGCTCCAACTCTTGCAGACGTGCTTGGAGATCTGCCAGTTGTGAGGACAATCGCTCCGATTCAATCTCAACATCACTAGCTGATTTCGCGATGCGGAATTTCTGCGTGTCAAGAGTCGCAATTTCAGAAGCGTGCGCAACTGATGAGTGGGAAGAGATCGTTTCCTGATGGTGGTTGTTGAGTGTTATGAGCGTTCGGGAGAGTTCTGTTTACGGTCAAAAAGTTTCGTGGATTGGGGGAATTGTGACACTCACTCTTCAAAGCACTTTCCGCTTCTCGCACTCGCAGATCTCGGGCTTGTTGTAGAGTGGAAAGCGATTCGTTTACTCGTGCAACTGCATGTTTATCAGGCTGGATGTTGAAATTCTCGATTGTGTGGCGGATGAGCTGCATTTTGTTAGTTATGCGCCGGGATATGGAATAAAGATACATGCAGTGGTGGGATCCTCGTCGAGAAGCATTTTGATTTTTTTTGTGTATGATGAGGAGCGAGATATGTTATGCGCTGTGAACTGGTGAAATGCTTAGTGAGGGTTCAAAATACGTTGCTGTCGCATGCGCTACAATTGACCAAAACAAAAAGGTCCGCGATTAGTCCTCCATGACAACAGCGGGGCAACAGCGACGTCACGGTGCGGAATCACAAGCCACACTTTCCGAACGCCACTCTCAGGCGGACGAACCTGAAAGACATCAAAAGTCAACATCGCAGCTTCCCTTATATCAAACCTTTTAATAACCCTACCAAACCTGGATACGCCTCGAATTAAGGACAGAAAATGGGTTCCTCTCTTCCATGTAAGTATGGAACGCAACGTTCTGGAGACGCCACTTCACACTCGTTTTGCTATTTTCCTGTATACTTTTCGACTGGAAACAGCCATACTGACAAAACGGGTGTATCTAGATGCTGCTGATGCAGAAAGGTAGTTCTACTGCAATCCTGCGCTTCCAACCCGAGCTTCTACCTCTCGACAACACGCATGTTATTCGCATAGCCATACTGACCTAGAAACAGCCCACTGAAACCTGCCGAGCTACAAGTCCTACGATCACAGTACGAGAAAGAGGGAGAACATGTTGGAGTACAAACGAAGTTCAACTTTGCATGGGTATGGTCATATGCGAGCTGTAATTTATACCGGTATTGATTCGCCTGTAGGGTTTGATTAAATCGAATACCCGTCAAGATCAGCAAGAAGGCGTCCGCCTCCTTTCAGACATCTTCCGTACCTCCCCAGAACGCAGACGAGAATGTCTGTATTATTTGGCACTGGGAAACTACAAGCTTGGAAACTACGCAGAGGCACGGCGCTACAACGATTTACTGCTTGAGAAGGAGCCGGCAAACTTGCAGGCGAGTAGTTTAAGGGGCTTGATTGATGATAAGGTTGCAAAGGAGGGCTTGATGGGCGTTGCTATCCTCAGTGGAGTTGCGATTGCTGCAGGTGTGGTTGGAGGAATGATATTCAAAGGAATGGGAAGGAGGACGAGATAGTGCAAGTGTGGTAGTGTGGCATGGAACGCAATTTGTATGAATGGACGAGTGGACTTGTTTAATATACCAGCTGTACTGTAAGGGAAGGATACTTAACGGGAGTGCATTCTCGGAAAACGGCGTGTTGTACACTCTACTCGTCCTCCAGTCAATATGGGCACATTTGACCCACATGACGGGTAACCTCAGGTACTCCCGAGGTCAATCTTGGAAGAGCGGTATCTGGTGGCGTACTACGAAGCAAGAAGCCGAGAGAACCTTTCAGAAAGCTAAGCTATTTTGACTCACGTTTGACCAAAAAGCCACGTCTTTAGACTCAATAACAAGGACATTTCTCCTCCATTACTTTTCCTTTTCACGATAGGCACATAGATTTGGAGTAGCCACAGGACAATTTGCCTAGTATTTGCCGTCACTTATTCGAGATCGCGCTTGTCAGTGTCAGCTGCACTTCATTGAACTAAGGTAGGTAAGGTTGTTGAAGGCCGAAAGTGCTATCGATTAGAACGACAGGGGTCTGCTGCTTTGCGTCACCCAACGGCCAGCCCAGCCCAGCCCAGCCTACCTGGGTCAGGACATCATCCATCGCTGGGAGAGCCTGACTCCCGACGTCGAGCCACAAGATCTCACTCAGATCGCTCTCCAATAGACTGTATCCTTCCTTTGAGCACAGCCTTTCCTCCTCAAGACTTGCCACAAGAAGACAACCTTAAACATCAACTTACTCCCCACACTCACTCCTTCTCCCTTCCACATCAGCGGCAGATGTTCATTATCTACTACCCCTCACGATTTTCGATTATCAAGCTCAAGGTCAACCGCGAGGCAGCTCGATAGCTTGCGCCACACCAGAGTGATTCCGATTCCGATTCCGCCCTGAATCTCGAGCCTTTGCCAGCAAACGACGACGGTTGCGTCGATTCATACACCTAAGATCCCGATACATATTGGTATTCGAATCCATACTTCAGTCTGGCGTTCAGAGCATTACAGCGGACGGGTCTGGCATTAAGTCTCGGACTGACTGCCCTAGCCGCCTACCAGGGCATCAGAGAGGCGATGGCCGACAATCCAAGAGAGGTTGGCAGCCAGGCACCGCGTCTAGATGCTTCCGGCCCACGGGACGTGGTGTTCTGTCACCAGTGTGAGCATGAATGGTACCAAGATGAAGCTGGGCTCGTTTGTCCTCGATGTGAGGGGGAAATCACAGAGATCGTATGTTTTGCTTTGGCTGACAGTGAAGAGCCAAATCTAACACAATTGCAGGTAACTCCAGAGAGTGATCCTCGTCCTGAACGCGAGTTCGATTATGCCAATAATTCCCGTAATCCAATCGAAATCGATTCCGATCCAGAAGAGGCAGATATTGAAGAACACGTTACACACGGACCAGGAGGCTCTGTATTATTCTCCAGAACAGTTAGGACCTCTTCTCCTCGCTCTCCATTTGGAATACCTCCCAGAAGAAGAGCAGACCCTCATGATGAACATCCAGACTTTGTCATGCGCGACTTTCATAACATGCTCGGCAATATTATGGGACCCCAATTCCGCCCTGGACAGGCTGGTAGATCTGGTGCTAATACTCTATTCACCCAGGATAACGTTTATGGTGGTCAAACATTTCGTGTAGGTGGGGACGGGAATGGACCTACAATCGTTGGAGGACGCTTCACTTTCGGTGTCCCTCCTCCAAGACAACAAAGAGGCGGAGAATTTCAGCAACAAGGAGTTCCACCACCAGTTCCTGATCTAGCTACGTACGATTCCCCCTCCCATCCCCTTAATGGCCGTTCTCTGCATGTTGTTAGTATAAGAGCACCACCTGACCAACTTGCCAGTATCATCGGATCTCTCTTCGCCCCAATGGGCCCCCCAGGTCAAAGAGACGGCCCTCATGGTGGAGGCTTACCACCTGGACTACAAGGTCTCTTTGCTGCCATGGCCAATCCAGCCAATGCACGCTCAGGAGATGCTGTCTATACACAAGAGGCTTTGGACCAAATCATTTCAACTTTGATGGAGCAGCATCCCACATCCAATGCACCTGGTCCTGCTTCGCCAGATGCTATATCAGCACTTCCCAAGAAGAAGCTAGACGAGAAAGAACTTGGGCCAGAGGGTAAAGGAGAGTGCAGTGTCTGTATGGACGACGTAACTATAGGAGTTGAGGTTGTGGTCCTACCCTGCTCTCACTGGTTCCATGAGGCCTGTGCCAGTGCATGGTTAAGCGAACACAACACTTGTCCCATATGCAGGAAAGGCATCGAAGCCGAGACACCACCAAACAGCCGAAGGTCATCAGGCCAAAGCAATCCGTCAACACGAAATGAACACCGTGCGCGGAGACTGAGTTCGATCAGACCAAGAATGGACAGATTCAGCTCGGCTTCTGCAGCTGCTCGTAATGAAGCAAGATTAGAGTCTATCCGCAACAGTGCTGGTATTCTACCTTCGCAAGAGTCCCAGGGGCCAAGACGATGGCATGTGGTCGGTGATCCAAACACATCACAGTCAGCAAATGACGATTTCACCCCTCCCATGCCAGGCTCCTTCTACAGACGTCAATCGGACATGAGCGACAGCCAGCGAGACAACAGGCGAGGAAACACTAGTGATAGTGACCGATCACGGGAATCTCGTCGAAGCAGCCATTCTGGAAATAGCACGCCTGGCGGAGGAGCGATGTCATGGATCCGAGATCGTTTCGGCTCGAATCGACGAACGGAATAAATTCTTCTGTTCTAATACCCGAGAACTACTTCTTTTCTTCCTATTCTACTACTGGTTTGGAAAGAATGGTCTAATGAATGAGGATGCGTTGCGTTGCTGGAATTTTAATTTGTCGCGTTGCGTTTAGCATGGATGGCGTTTGGCAGATGGACTGGAGCTGGGCCGGAGCTTTGCTTTTTTTTCATAGAGCAAGGCTATGTCGGCTAGGGATACCAGCAATGGAACGGTTAGGCATATTACAGTACTGGGCACATGTCTGTTACGTGAATGATAAATGAATAACTACTGTAGCGCGGTGAAGCGAGAGCTGCCATGGGTACATGTACTGATATATTATGCTTGAGGGCAGGGCAGTGGATTACAGATATGTACTCAATACAGAAACTCTTGTCAGCGCTACAGCGGACCCATCTTCGCCTTCGCTCATTGTGCGCATTATTTTGATCATTTGTACTGTTGCTCGTGTTAGTCAAGAAAACCTAATCCTCCCTCTCGCTAAGCCCCATCTTGTAACCAACAAAGAGCACACGACGGGGGGGAAGTCCAGAATTATGGAAGAAGTTGTAAGGAAAGCACTTACAGATATCCGCCTTCCCCCTCGCAAACAACGGATCTTTATTCAATACATCCTCCCCATTTGCCTTCGCTTCCTCATCCCTCAAAATATTGCCGATGCACATCGCTTCCAAAAATGCCCTATGATTAAATACCCACCATACCTTCGCCTCACTCGCAAATAACGCGAACAGTAAAAAGAATGCATTGATAGCATCATGCGCCGCTTCCAACGCACCGCGCACGTTGACAGGTACTTCCGCACTACCGCTTGAATGTAACAGCATCACGTTGTGGAAATAGTTGCTTGTTAGGAAGAGCGTCTGCCGGACGATCCTCTTGTTTGTTTGTGCGAGCGCGGTGATGGATTCCGTATCCCAGGAGCGGAACACGTCGGGGAAAGAACGGAACACAGCTTTGAAGTCAGAGAGGAGTTTGGCTTTTTGGCGGGGTGTCGAGGAGATGGGTAGGTCGAGAGAGCGGGGTGAGCATATCGTTTCTTGCACGAGGTTCGCGAGCGTCCAGCAGCCGCGGATGTATGCTGTGTCTGTGGGGTTGGAGTGTGCGATGCTGCTGGAGTCGTCGATCAGGTCTTCGACGTTGACGTCGGTGTGTGTTGCTGAGGGTGGGAGGGAGAGGAGAACGGTGAGGAATGTGTCTTGCAGGAGCACGGCTTGCCAGAGCTTGCGGCGCATTTGTTTGTCGAAGATTGAGGCGTTCGGGCAGACTATGTTGGGGTCGCGGTGTAGACCCATGGCGTAAGCTTGCCGGATTAAAATCCCTGCGAAAGCCCACCCGTCGGATGCATGGTTGTCGTTGATGAGGAAGTAGGTTATTAGAACCATGGCTTGGATGGAGCGGACAGAAGCTTTGTTGAGGTAGGAGGACATTCTGAGGGACTGGTTGGAGGTCAGCGCTGTCGTCATCATAACTGTAGCCATTGAGGCAGTGATCTGTCGCCAGGTTATTCAAGCACTCGAAGGATATACAGACCTGATGAGCAGCGGAAACATAGAACTCGGCTGTTTGTTGACGTTCTTTCGGGCCGGTGGTTGTGACGAACTGCGTACCCATCGCCAGCATGGCAAAGATCATGGCAACAAGAGTACCATCAACGCGGTCTTTTTCTGGCTGTGGAAGTGACCAGAAATGTTCATAATCGGCATAGAACGTCTGACGATGAATCATAGGATAAACAGGATCTACACATTCAAAGTACCTATCAAGAAGGATGTCGGCTTGTATTTTCTCCGGCAGAACCGAGATTGTTTCAGCAAGTCCTCCTTGGCAAGTCCAATAGTTCGCAAACGGATGTTCTGATCCGATACCGAAGACATTAGATGCAGTTGGGTGAGAATAAGGGACATTGGACAGGAGGCCGGTTGAAGATGAGGTTGATCCTCGAGATGCACTCCGCTGGTGTGGATTGGGAGCTTGTTTTGGTCCTTCGAATCCGTTTGCCATTGACTTCTTCTTTGGTGGCTTGGTCATCCGCATGGCAGTATTGCCAGCTGACCGATTTGTCTCCCTGAAAAAGGATTAGACTTGGGTACTCTTTAATTCAGGAGTAAACTGACTCCAAAACATTTGCGACAGTGGTGTATTTGCATTCGGTTTGACGCTTTATGCCTGGACACGGTTCATTCTGTGTACTTTTAAAGGGTTGACGATTACTTACAGGCTAAGCAGTTGGGCCTTCCTCGATCGCACTGTTACATGGATTTAGCATATTTAGAAGTACCTTGTATAGTTTCACAACAGAAATACGATGAGAAGTAGATCACAAATGCAAGCAGCACGTGAAGAATTCCAAAATCATGAAATACAATCCATGAATGAGAGTTGCAATTGAAGCTTAGCACAGGTAAAGAGGGGTTTCAACACCATGCAGTATCAAAACTATCGTAGGATCACTGGATCTTTGGCGGTGAAATTAATTCTCAATTTGCATGGATATCCCACTTCCGCTTGTACGAGTAACAAGGAATGCATTATTGACAACTCAACGAACCTTTGTTTTCCGTTCCACACACTCCTCACATGATAAGGTTGGCTTGTTTCTCTTCTGCTTTTTCCTGGGGGGCTCGGGAAAAGAACCTTCTTCATGCTTGATCGGCGTCCCAGCGAAGCTGCTGTCGGTTGTTCCTGCAGGTGAGATTGACGTGTTAAGGACGGGTGAGATTGGTGAAAGATGATCCGAGGAATACTCCATGTTTACGATCCCTGCATAGAGACGCTTGAGATGGCCAGGGACTTGAACTTTCGTTGCTGGGAATAACGCGGTTGAAGCGGGAATACAGCTGTGATATTTGAAGCTTCTGTTGGCAGCCGGGGGGCGCTCTGGGGGCGCGGGTGCGGGGTATTCAGCTTCCATCGTCAATTCCAATCCATTCGGAATAGGCTATCGGCACTGTGACTTTATCGCCGAAAAGTAGCCGCTGCACAAGGACGGGGACGGGGACGGGGACGGGGACGGGCCAGCCTTCTTGGCAGTTGAGTTAGCTCAGCAGGGGCACTCGGGTCTTTTGAAAGTGGTTCGCGTGTCGCGTTCAACGCGTTCTTCAAGGTCTTGTGTGTATAAGTATCGTGGCGGCCCGAAATACAACATTGAACACATTTCGATGGAATCAACATCGTCGCCATATTTGCCGCCAAATTCCGATCCGACACTCTACGACGATTGGGAGTCACACTTTAAACCAACGATATTTCCGTCCAGCACCAACTCCGACGAGTTCGAAGCGCTGCATCTCGTACAACAGGAGACAATTGCAAGGAAAAACAAGCAGGGAGAAGTGATCCAACATAGAGTGCGTCTATCTTTCTGGGCTTTCATATCTCTGTCATACATGGGTTTTGAATCAACCAAGTATCAAAATCTGTGGACATTGCCTCAACTGCGACACGTTGAGAATTGCAACCCTTGGAACCGCAGAGTGCTAAGTCAATATAGGCGTGGCCTCTAGGAGAAACCTTTCGAAGCGAACTGGATCATATTGATGGTTCGATTACAACCAAGTTTGGAAACTAGGGAAACCAATCCTCAGCTAGATTCCCCTCTGAAAACGCAGTCAATCCTCCAGGCAAGCCTCCACTTGACACCCTTTTCGTCCTCGCCGCCCAATCTCAGGATGCCTTCCGCGTCATCACCAGTTGCATATCCTCAGAGCTCTTCTCCGCCGGCAGTGAAACGGCCTCGAACAGATCAGACCTCAGATCTCATAAAGCCAAAAACTGTTGGAGGATTTCTTCTACAAGACGATTCCGATGAGGACGATGAATACTCCCACGCGGAACCTTCTCCGAAGAGGCGTATGCTGGACACTGGAAGATCGCCAAGTCCAGGTCTGCCAAACAACGGTATTGATGAGACATATGCGGCCGATATAGATGTTATTGTGGACAATGGAGGGCCCGTTGGTGGAATTCTGTTGCACAACGATACCTCGCTCGAAATCCATCTTGACTCGACACGGAGTAACAGTCCAGTGCCTGAACCGCCTCAAAGACTGAATTCTAATGCTCTGCCCTCATTTCTCAGCAAAGGAAGGACGAAAGTCACTGAAATATTGACTTGCTCGGGGAAATCAATTTCTATACAACAGCGCAAGAAAGGTGCGGCAGTTCCGTTCGAGCAAATGGTTGCAGCGAGATCAACAGTTAAGGCTGGTCGAGCGAAGAAAAGTTACTACGGAGTCGATATTCACAGCCTGATTGACGAAGCGGCCAAAGAAACGAAATCGAAATCGAGGGCGCCTGAAGATATACTGCCTTCTGTGGAGGACCCAGGCATGAAAGGGAAATCGAAAAGAACTCTTATGTGGAGCGAAAAGTATCGTGCCAGGACTTTCATGGAGCTTGTTGGAGATGATCGAACACATAGACAAGTATTGAAATGGCTGAAGGCCTGGGATCCATTAGTTTTTCCCAAGGCAGGAAAGACAAAAGTCAACGCTCCCAAAAGGCCTGGGCAAGAAGATGAGGAGAAGCCTCACAAAAAGATCTTACTTCTGACAGGTCCACCAGGTCTGGGCAAGACTACGCTCGCTCACGTCTGTGCTAGACAGGCGGGTTACGAGGTCATGGAGATCAATGCCAGCGACGAGAGGAGCAAGGATGTTGTGAAGAATAGGATTCGGACTAGTGTTGGTACCGAGAGCGTTAAGACTGGATCGACGATAACATCGAAATCTGGCCATGTTCAAAAGATTGCTCATCCTTTATGCGTTGTTGTAGACGAGGTGGATGGAGTAGTTGGAGGGTCTGGTGGGTCAGGAGAAGGAGGATTCATCAAAGCACTGATCGACCTCATTCAGCTGGATCAGAAGAACTCATCGGGTAGCCAGGCTAGCACAGACTTTGCCAAAAAGAAAAAGAAGGGCGACGATTTCAAACTGATGCGACCGGTGATACTCATCTGTAATGATGTTTATCATCCATCACTACGACCACTTCGCCAGTCCAGCTTTGCCGAGATCATTCATGTACGAAAGCCGCCCCTGGATGCAGTTGTGGCGCGGATGAAGTCTGTGTTTGACAAGGAGGGAGTCCCATGTGATGGTGATGGAGTACGAAGACTTTGTGAAGCGACGTGGGGAGTGAGCCCGACCGAGTCCCGCAAGGGCAAAGAGAGTGCGGGAGAAGGAGACCTCAGAGGCATCATGGTAGTTGGAGAATGGGCGGCGAGAAAGCTCAAAGCTTCGAAGAAAGACGGCACAGCCAGATTAACTCGGAAGTGGGTTGAACAAAACATGACCAGTGATCTCTCCCACGGTGGAGGCGGAGCCAGAGGAGTTGGCCGGGGAGGAGCCAAAGACCTTGTCAACAGGATCTTCTTGGAAGGTGCAGGTTTTCCAAAAACTGCAAATGCTGACCCGGTACCTGGAATCTCGGCAGATCAACCTCAAGCCCAGCTTGGAGTTGCAGAAATAGCCAAGAGAGCTGGTATGGACAGATTGAGAGAGATGGTGGACACAAGTGGCGAAATCGACCGCATTGTCACAGATATCTGGTCAAAATATCCTAGTCAACCATTCAACGATGACTCGATTCTGTCAAAACCAAACTCAGCATACGAATGGCTCCATTTCCACGACAGCTGCTCCACTCGAGTCTTCACTGCCCAGGAATTTGAACTAGCGCCATATCTCAGTCAGCCAGTTTTGGCCTGTCACCATTTATTCTCATCCCCTGCTCGTCACTACTTCTCCAACGAGAAAAAGAAATGGGGCGAAGATGAAGTAGAAGAGGAACCGTTACCGTTTTCTGGGCCCCGAGCAGACTATGAGGCTCACGAAGCAGAAAAGTCGAATCGTGCAACAATACTGGAACTACAAGCCACTCTAGATGCCACGTTATTGAGAAGCTTTCGCAGCCCTGAGGACATTGCCACAGACTTATTGCCATATCTTGTCAGGATGCTCACGCCAGAAATCAAGCCAATTATAGTGGGTGGAAGTGGAGATCAAAAAGGCATCGCCAGCGTCCGAAAGGAGGCTGAGAAAGCAATGGTCAAGCGATCAGTAGATATCATGGGTTCTGTTGGTGTCATATTTGAACGTGGTAAATTAGAAGGAGACTTTGGGAATAGAGCACCCCAATGGGTGTATCGTATGGAGCCGTGAGTAGCGACCAGTGCTGATATCCCAAGACATTTACTAACCAATGCCAGGCCGTTGGATACACTTGTGCTCTTTGAGACAGCTTCAACAATTGCAGGAGCTTCTCCACCCGTGCGATACGCAGTTCGCCAAGTTCTTGACCAGGAATATCAAAAGAATATCATAGTTCGCGAGAACGCTGCAAGACAAGCCCGTTACAAAGCCGGCAACCCTAATGATGATGTCGAATTCTCCATTGCGAGCAAAGAAACCAAGGGACACCAAGCCCTCGAACTCGTCATAGGAGCGAAGAAGGACTTCTTTGGCAGAGAGATCAGAGAAGAAATCATGCCCTTACAAGAGATTGATGGGAATGCAGAACCAGAAGGGAAAAGGAAGACGAAAAAGGATGCAAAGGACGATAATAAGGTGTGGGTCAGCTTTCATGAAGGTTTCTCGAATGCGGTCAGGAAGCCGATCACGATTGAAGAGCTGCTACGTGGACTTTAGAGCCCGTGGTTAATACCGGCCTTGGAATTGTGGCTAATGATCGTATTGAACGAACTTCACAAGCTTCTATTGGATTAGGTGGTGAATTTGATCCGATGTTGAGATTGTTGATTTGACATCGCCTATTTGCCTGAGCACAAAACGGAACTCATTAGCGACATGCTATGGCGGCTCCATTTCCAAACCATATTGCGTATGAATCTTAACGATTGGAATCCTTCGTTTGCTTCACTTGATAGAAAGTCGTTGAACATTGAAGTTACATGTTCATTGCAGGGAAGCCTAACAGGATTGCGATTACAGAGGGTTCACAACCTTTTTCTTTGCTCAGCCGCCTTCAGTGTTGCTCTCACGTGTAGAGGAAGCCTCATCGATAGGTCGGCCAAATATAAACTATTCACCGATGACAACATCTTTCTGTTGCATGTAGATCTGCCTCTCCCCACTTTTCCAACTCTAGTGTCTGTCGGCCCTCGGATCGTGCCAAACCTTCTTCTGTATCGTTCCTTCTTCTAGGAAGCAAAATCAAGGCCCATGGTTCCCCTCACCTTCCTATCCAATGATTGACCCCTATTACCGTTTCAAAGCATTTGAATGTTTTTAGTCAGTCGGCAGTTCGGACAATCCCAAGCGGTCGGTTGAACCCCTCCATCTTTCTCTGTTAGCTTGGCTCGGTGCACTAGTTTCAATCTAATGGCGTCACCTCTATATAAGTGACTTGTCTCGAATTTCTGAAGATGCATTTTGCTCATACAAAAAGGTTGCTACACAGTGAAATATACGTCAAACCGCCTCAACTTCTGATAGCCGAATTGAAATCGCAATCATGAGCAAACCCATCACTCTCTATAGCCACGGTTCGTTTCGTCTGGTCCTCGCTTATCCCTGATACCAATCAAAACAGACAAACCAGCTAACAAATATGACCAGCCACTGGGCCGAACCCTTGGAAAGTTGCGATTGTGCTCGAGGAACTGAAGATTCCATACCATACGAAGTTCCTTGGTCAGTACCATCACCTCCCGCACCCACCATTATGTGACTGACCACATGACTTTCTAGACTTCTCCGAGCTCAAGAAAGATCCCTATGAGCAGATCTGCATCAATGGTCGAGTCCCCGCAATCGAAGATCCCAACACCGGTGTAACACTCTGGGAATCTGGCGCTATTATCGAATATGTAATTCTACCTTTCCAACCCTCCCGGCGCTCCCAATGTCCTTTGAAGACCTCTCGCACACGAACAAAACACTTTCTAACTCCACCAAACAGCTCCAAGAAACTTACGACAAGAATAACACCCTGGGCTATGGCTCATCTCCAGAAAAGTACCTCGTAAAGCAATGGCTACACTTCCAAATGAGCGGTCAGGTATGTTATTCCAGCGGCGTCAAATCTACCCTAATGGAGGGTCTCAGGAGCACTTTACCCCAGATGCTCCAGAGAACCAGTGAACGAGCAATTGCTGACATCCCGGTCCTCGCAGGGTCCGTATTACGGACAAGCTGTTTGGTTTGAGAAGTACCAGCCTATTGGGGAAGCCAGAGATAGGTATAGAGAGCAGGTCAAGCGGGTTCTGTCTGTGCTTGATAGGCACTTGAAGAGGACTGGAACTGGATACTTGGTTGGTGATAAAGTGTAAGTCTCTCACGTCCGCCATCTCCATCCCACACACTATATTGTAGTGACGTACTTGATGACTGATTGGTTGTCAACATGTAGCACTATTGCAGATTTATCGTTCATCACTTGGAATGCGTTGATGCCGTGGTTCTTTGTTGATGATTGGGCGGACGTTGCGGTTGAGAAGAATTTTCCGAGCTATCATGCTTGGAATCAGAAGTTGCTGGAACGACCTGCTGTGGCGAAGGTCTTTAAGGACAAGGAGGCTGCTGTTGCGAAGGATTGAATGAAATTGTGATCTTGAGAGAAGGGGCTGTAGTTTGGCATTATGTAGGAATGTGTTCGTTCTAATATTATCAAGCGTATTCAGATGGATTCAAATGATGTTTGTGTTCAGGTCATGGAAATCTTGGCAACTGATTCGGTCCACTCCAGGATATCAATGAGCAAGGCTTGAAGAATTACAAATGAAATAAGACGTGTGGAAGTCCTCCCCGATTCAAAAGCAAACACAGAAGAGCCATCAAGCGCAGGGGTACCTTAATCGAGAGCCAGCAACATTCCTTGCAGGAGTTGTTCTGCTTCGACCCTCAGTTCACTTGATCCTAACTGTATTCCATGTATCCGAATGAAATCTCACTAGATCAGGAAGTGGGAACTGATTGAGACCAAGGTGGCTTCCGAACAACGCAGGTTCAGTACGGGTAGAAAAATATGTAGGTAAATATATCATACAAAGAAAGAGCAACTCTCCGGAATTCCAGACCGTACTCGAAGTATTCATTTCAGAATACCGAAGATACTTGAATGTCTCCAGAAAGGAAACTTAAAGCATTTGTAAGCACTTATAGACTCTACTCGTAGTATTCGCAGCCCTCTCCATCGTCCTCGATTGGAGCGCTCGTAGCGGAAGTAACTGCACTCGAGAAGGTCGTGCTTGGCTCTGGGGCAACCACTGCTGAGCTTGATGCGATTGGAGTAACAATCGGTTCAGTAATGGGTGTAGTTGGTGGTGATACCATGGTTTCGGATGTGGCTACAGGGTTAGCCTCAACAACAGGTGCTGAAGAAGTGGTGGGGACAGCTGCGACAGAAGATGAGGCGACAACGGGTGCTGCTGCTGTCGAAGAAGCTATTGGGGCCGAAGGGGCGCTGGACGAAACGACTGGGCTTGAAGCTCCTCCTGGGCCAGCGACGCTGAGAGTGATATCTCCAGACTCGATGTAAACACCGCTGAAGAAAATATCTTCGTTGACGAAAGGGAATCCATCTCTTGGCAACTCAAGCATCCCAAGATGCCAATCTTTTCCATCCGACTTGGCAGACACGGGGACGGCTGGGACAGTAAGAACAAGATCGTCGGCTCCAGTTGAGTGGTAGAAGGCAACAGAGCCGGCGGAGAAGTCGATTTCATATGCGACGTTGTGCCACACATCAGCCTCCCAGGTGACGTTCCACTCAGTGGAGCCACTGACAACCCATCGGAGCAGAGGGTCGGTCGTTCCAGTGGCACCAGATTGCCATCCGCTCTTCATCTCAGTGAAATGACTCTCGAAGAAAGCGATCTGGTGCTCGTGAGACTCGCTTGGTGCATTGGTAGCAGCGCGGGACATGCTGAAGTGGTAGAAGACCTTTCCGGCATTGATGGCTGCTGAGGTCTGGGGCATCAACTCTGTTCTCCTCATATTTTGGCCGTTCCAGAAAGCGTTCTCTGTTAAGCTAATCTTGACTCCCTTAGAGCTACCAGTGTCGGCAGGGTTCTTGAACGTGGAGTCGAGGTTGACGTAAGAAGCGGCTTTATCTGGACCATGCTGCCGAAGAAGTAAGTACATGATCGTCGGTCAAAAAAAAAAATTTGTGAATACTGACAATGTAGTATTGGTAAGGTCCAACTGGATTGCTAAAAGACCAGGCATCCAACTCGGAGCTTGAGGTCATGTCATTGAAGCGACCATCGAACAAAACGGTTCCCGCCAAAGCAAGGCTGACAGAGTTGAAGAGTGCGAATACGCGCATCATATTGATCGATATGAATGTCTTTTGAGAACTTGATATGATATTTTGTGTTAAAATAAGCAACTGGCCACGCAGGTGCTGGAGAAAGAATAAATAGCGGGCTTGCGCTGTGATATCGTAAAGACTGGATGTTCTGAAAAAGAATGACTTGAGAGGGATGATCTTGACAAGAAGGTCAAAAAAAGGTACTCAAGCTGGGCTATAAGGAAACAGTGAAAGGGAACAATTTCATCAGTCAAATGGGTTTGCAGGGACTGCAATCACCCCTTTCCATTGCTTGTCACGAATAAACACCTTGGCGGCTGCATGTTTCGAGAATGGACGGAATTGGTCAAGCATCAACCCGATATGCTTGTTCCTGGCCGAAATGTTTCTGAATAGATTGATAGTAGTGAAGTGAAGGAGGAAACGGGGCATGTTGTTGTTTCGAAATATATTATTTGTGGGGCAATATTCTCGGATATTGCCTTGTGTCTGAGGCGCCAACACCTTCCTCCATCATCACTGCATATCAACTTCATGACTTTCACACGTTTCCGCAAACTCTCATCAAGCAATCTCGATTTGTCCATAGATTTGGTACTAGGGGCTCCAATTGAGGAAATTCGGTTGTCGGGGATATGATATTGCGGCCCATTTTCCGTCGTCCACGACTTATCTTCCCCACGAAGACCATGAGCTCGAAAGCTGCGATCCACTTCGGTCCGTATGAGGTATCCAACGAGGTAAGCAATACTATTGCGGCTCTGAGTTCTTTCTTAACAGTCTCAACAGGTCTTCTATAAGACTCCACTGTGCTACGCCCTGGTCAATATCAAGCCGATCCTTCCGGGTCATGTGCTCGTTATCCCATTCCGTCAAGTCCAATACCTGAGCGAGCTTAACCCCGACGAAGTCACAGACGTCTTCATGACAGTTCAGAAGGTCCAAAAGATGCTTTCCAAGACGTACTCAACTGCTGATGCAAATGTTGCCATTCAAAACGGAGTCGAATCGGGGCAGACAGTGCCACACTTTCATTGCCACATTATACCCAGGTCGAAGCCAAACACGGAAGGTGATGGTTTCTACAACAGGCTTCAGGGAGAAGAGGGTAATATTGGAGGGGCCTTTTGGGACAAGAGTCGTCCTAAGCCTGTCGGCAAGTTTCCTCAACTTAAGGATGAGGATAGACATCCTCGTACTAAGGAAGAAATGAAGAAAGAAGCAGATTTCTTCAGAGAGCAGATGGCGATGTTAGACTAGGATTGTGCCGATTCGAACTTGGTTTGGTGCGAAAAGAAGACCCTTCTTGCATTCCTGCATCGTTGCACCAATTTGGCCATGCCCTGAAGGCCACCAAAAATTCAAGAGGGAGCCAGAGAATCAACGCGCCTCCATTCCCAGTGGAGCATGCACCAAGGAACGAGTCAAATCTCATTCTCGACACCTCATTTGAGCTTCTTCAAACCCGATTTTCGCTTTCAACTCCTTTGCTGGTTTCCTCCTTGAGTTGGATCATACAATCTCATAAGAACTCGGCCAGACTTGAGCTCCTGACTCAGATTCTAGAGGTATGATCTTTTGGCAAGGCGAAAATCTATTCTCGCAACAATGACTTGAAAGAGCAACTGGATATCATCTCCAGAATTTGAGCCTTCATTGTTCAATCCTTTTCTATCCGGTGGCAAGATCTCTGAAGACTTCCGCATTCTGGGCGATTTTTTGCTCTAGTAAAATATCAATGCCCTAGCAGTTCCAACATGTTCGAGTGAAGGGTTGTTAGGAATCACGTTAATCATGCCCGATTCGGTGAAGTATTAAACTTCTGACTTCCACCCTCACCACAATGTCATGCACTTGAAGTGGAAGAACAAATACACCTGGCCCCCTAAATTGCAACATTCTAATAGCAGCATAGTAAGTATTATGTATTATGGGAGCTCAAGGCAGACTTGAGCATTACATATCGAGTCAAGGCGAGGCTTTCATTTTTGTTATCAAGGCTAGAAAAATGCCTGTTTTGTCAAGGCTTCCAAACAGGCTCTTCGACAAAAATGAAGCAAGGCCAACCAATCATTGCCCATCGATACATCTACAAGCTGCCACGCCATGCTCGCTGCCGTGTGACATACTCGGTCAAGGATAGTATTGCGATTTGATTGGCCTTCGAGCTGCAGGCCATGCCAGATATGGTTATCATGTGCCAGCACTCCTCATCCTCAGCCTCGCCTTCAGGATCCTTAGTAACACCACCCCGCCTCATTACTCCAAGCTCATATTCATTTTCGACTTTCCTCGTCCCACGAGATACACTCCTTCCCGTCATCCTAACCCAGTGTAACGAGGTACTCGATTTAATCCAACTCAGCTTAATCTCCCAAAGTACATCTTTCTTCGACCAAAGACTCACTGTAGACAGGCTCGCTCGATCTCGGCCTCAGGAGGTTATTTCACCCCGCTTTCAGATCGCAAGTGCCTCAATATTTCTCTTCAGCTTGTCAACTCTCCCCGATCTGACAGCTCTCTCGAATCGAGATGCCGTTCCTCCGTCGTGTTTGTGCAATCTTGCACATCGGCAAGAACGAACCTGAGAAATTCAACTTCAATGAGTGCGGCAAATGGCTTGATATGTAAGTATTCGATGACAGCCTTGCTCCAATTTCGAATTGGATATCCCGCTCCCTTCTCAGCTGTCTTTCTCGAATTTCATCAGATCTGGTAGATGGCGAAATACACCCCAAGATTTGCCTGTAACAACTGGATTATAACAATTGCCAATACTCATATCTTCTAGGGGCTCCGAAGGATACATTACAGAAGGCTTCGTTGGATACTATACCTGCCCAACCTGCCGCACCAAAATCAACGCCTACCGCTCCGTTGAGCAAACCGAGACCACCACGATCGACTACCTGCGCTTCGAGCAAATCATCGAGAATGGAAGCGGCCGCTGCGTCATGCAAATGCCCATCACCTTCGAGAAGGAGTTCGTCGCTATGGAGAAAGGCCTGCTCAGTCAGAAGACCCTGGGAACGCCATGCGCATGCGAGGTTGTGAAGGAGAAGTTCTTTGCTAGCTGCAAGTGTGTGGGTTGTGGTACGACGATGAACTTTTATAATCAGGTGAAGAAGTGCAAGGATGTTGGCAAGCTGAGGTGGTTTTTGGCGAGGAAGGACGACAAGTCCATTAAAGAGAAGTTGAGCTGGGAGGAGTATGCTTTGGAGAAGTAAGCTGGGTGGCTTACAACTTGCCAATTGTTGTCGGGCGCCACCTGGCGGATGTTTCTTACTTCCTTTCTTTCATTTTGCAGCGGATCTGAAGGTGACAACAGACGGGTGGCAATCTGAGATGAATCATGCTTGGTACAGGTGCAAAGTATGGGAGATACCATGGATTCATACTTCAAGATTGTCCAAATTGTACTTGCAATGATGATGGGAACCTGGATCCAGTTTCCTCTTTGGATGTGACTGCTGCATTTAGAAATGAGGCAGCTGGCAAATTTTCAGCTCGAGTCATGGATATTGTCTGGAAACGCTACTTCGTCATGGGAAAAGCTTCGCAAGCACCCACTGCCAGATAAACGCCATAACCGCACCAATCACCCTTTCCAGAATGAGATATTCCAGCCCTAAACACCTCTATCCCAAGGCAGCCAGAAGAAAGAAGAGCCTGGTTACTCCTCGCATTGCGAAGCGTGGTGGACTTGCTCAGAAAAAACCAAGCAGCCCATTTCCCCTCACTTCCCAGCTTCCCAAACGTTGACCCCATCAAGACCAATATCCTTCATCAACAGGTTTGGAAGCTTGGGCCTTCTCAGCCCGTTTCCTTTCCGCTGCTCGTCCACATGGCTACCCCATGTCAGTCATTGTTGAGATATGGACATAACCCAAGTAGATTTACCTCACACAATCCCTTGACTTTTGCCAATTCTTCTCTCAGAAACACAGCTTCACAGTCGCTGCTTAGTTCCTTGCACCGTACCACTTTGGGTTCGCTACTGTGCCCGCACTTGAAGATCTGAATGACTTGATGGCACATGCTGATAGGCTGGGAGGAGTGTCGCAATAGGGTAGTTGTGATGCCAGAATTTCATGTGCTGGGTTGATAGAGCAACTTGTGACGTGAGAGGTGGTGAGTAGGGGCAAATAAATGCTCTTCATCGACAATTAGGACACCCTGAGGGTCGATGTCACCAGCTGCTCTCACAAGCAAGCAGGCTAACGACTTCAGACGGAAGTGGTGACTCTTGTGGTGGTGAGAACACAAACATGAGAAGATGAAGCTCCGTCGAGTCCTAGCAATCACATAGAATGGACTTCAGTTGATGCCGTTACCCTTCCACGTCAAAAGCACCTCCTTCTGAGCAGCATCACCACCCGTATACTTCAAGTTCACTGTGATTTCTTCCAACCCTTCAGCTTCTGCTCTCCTATTCCACACCATCTGCAAGATCTTCCCCTCAGGTGTGCAGAGCACATAACCCATCGGCCAGCGACTCCTGCCAAGAGCCTCCCTCACGCCCTTAGTAACTGACTTCTGCGAGACAAGCAGGCCTAGGACACCTTTACCTCTCCAACCCATAGGGGCACCAACAAACGCGCCTTCCAACTCTCTTGCTTGAGAAGGTTCAATCTTGCGGGCAAATGCCTTGCATTGAATTAGCACCTTCAGGGGTTCCGCGGCAGACGGCAGCGACCATGTTCCTAGCAGGTCAATCCCGTAGTCTGACTTCCCACCGATCCGTTTGAGGGTCATGCCTAGCCGTTCCAGTGCCGACTGAGCGGTATATTCATAGTGGGTACCCACATAAGTGGTACTCTTCTCATCCATGGAAATGCGGGAGGCGTATTCTAGAAAGCTCGGAAGATCATGGTGATTGGGACTTTGTGACTCAGGATATACCAGGTCTGAGGTCGCTGAAGCGGCGTTTGTAGAACTCCTGCATATAGATTGCTGTGCAGGTCGGATCAACTGCAGATTACGTGCTGCAAACATGAAGATGTGTGCTCAGTTGAAGGTGTTTGCAAGATTCAACTCATAGGTCTCGTGCTTTAAGGCTCGTTTGAAGTGCTATGCCAAAATCGTCGGCAATATATAACTTAGTTAAGCAAACAGCTATCACCGAAGATTCCAGATTGGGTGAATGCGAGAAATCGATACATTGCTGTAACGTTGTAAACAGATGAACGTCCAAACAAACTTGAATTCAAATGGAAATTTGTCCCAACCGAGGTGTATGCTGATTGGCCAGCCGCTCGGTCCTCTTTCTGGGCTGCAGGGTGGAAAGCTTGAGAGCTTCAGCCTCGTCAATCCAGGCTCTTCGCCCGAATAACCTCAAACCCGTATGCCACCATGACAGACCGATTAACGCAACTGCAGGATGCTGTTGATCAGGTAAGCTCTATCTTGCCAGTCTGGCCTCAGTGCTGACCCTCCAAAGCTGGCAAATCAATTCGTTGCATCTCTTTTCTACGTCCACAAACACCACGATTATGCAACACTCGGGCCAAACGACACTGTACGACAGGATGCAAAGAACGATGGCGACGCAGCTGGAAAGGAACCAGACGGTATATTTATACGATGATCGTTACCTACTGGTTCTCTGAGCTAAGCCCCGTTGCAGTAACTCCAGATCCAGCCGACGTCTTCAAAGCAGCGCAACGCGAGCTCGCGCAGGACTTGATCCTCAAAGAGCAGCAAATTGAGTTCCTCATCTCAGTCCTTCCCGGTCTAGAAAACAGCGAAAAAGACCAGGAACGAATGATCAGGCAGTTAGAGCAGGAGATCAAGGCACAGGACGAGATACACAAGGTTGCGCTGAAGGAGAACGAGGAGATTCTAGCAAGGTTGGAGAGTGTTATTAGAAGCATCAAGAGGCCTTAGGGATTAGCTATCAATTACTGGGTAATTTTAAGAGGCTTGGGTTTGGGATGGAGTTTGGGAATACCCTGGATGATGGGAATGGCGTTAGGATTCTCTATGAAGCCAGCACACTTCCCTTTGATGAATTGAATCTTATTATGTATGAACCAGCGGCGCCTTTCTACAGGTGCTCTATCAACCGTCTATTACCAAACTTGCTGTGTAGCTCCGCCATGTCGCGCAAGATTTGTTTTGTCTCATTGCCCAGCCATGTAGTAGCGTAACACAATCCTTCGACCAAGCATCAACCTATGCAATAAGTCCCGTCTATGAGCTCTTGAAAAACTGTGGAAAGACGTTTCTGAGTTCTTCCAGACTTCTGATCTGGTTCTTACACGGCTTGACGGCAGGCAAAGGGTCACCTGCTTCAACCAGATGCACAGCAGACCAGCCGAGTTTCTCAGCCTCGGTGCAGTTCAGACCAGAGTCATCTAGCGACGTCAGATTTGTTGCAACATGATGCCAGTAAGATTACATACCAACGAAGTAACAATCCTTGAAGTCTGATACTCCTGCCTCCTTCATCCCTTTCACATACATTTCTTCACGAGGCTTGCAAACGATGGGATACTGTCCGTAATCGCAGAAAGTCATGCCTTCAAACAGATCATCGATACCGAGGATTCGAACAACCCGTTTTCCATGAGTGATATAGGCGTTGGTGAAGAGCCAAAGCTTAACCTTGGTGGTGTCGATGTCTTGAAGTAGTTTCCGAAGGGATGGATCTGGTGAGAGGATGTCCTCGAGGGGGATGGCATCATCGACCTGGCGATTATACTCCAGAGGATCAATTTTATGATAGCGAGTAAGTCCTTCAATTGCAAGACCATAATTTTTGTAGTACTCTTGGTGGAGCTTGTATGCGTCTTCTTGAGTGAGATTCAAGTGCTTCATGAAGTACTCGTCGATCAATCTGGACATATGGTCATGGACCTTTTTGCCTGGTAAGACCAAGTAAATATACGTCATGGAGTTTCTTTGAATGATACATACTCTTAGGATAGAGCTATCATTAAACCATGTCAGTAAATCGCACCACTCTAGTAGGTCGAACAAACCTACACAATTGTCAATGTCGAAAAAGAATACTGGTCTATTTGCTGCCATGCTTGCTGATTTCCTGAAAACAAAGTTGAAGCTACTGTGACTGAAATTAGCTCTGGGCCCAGGTCTTCTTATTATATACCGAACTGAATAGGGAGCAAAGGAGAAATGCAACATGTATTGTGTTGACATGTAAACGAGTGAGGGTCTCATCAAGCGGGAGTCATCTACCCAGCCCTGTTGGCCAATCAGGGAGGAGATGCAGGAGCCCCCTGAGCACCGAGTGCTGTAAGGGCCTTTGCCGAATGAAACTCCTGTAGCCCGCCCAGCCTCTTGCCGGTCACTCCACGTCTTCCATCCTTCTTTTCTTCGAACATCGCCCTCGACATCCTCAACAAGCTGTTTGATTACACGTACTCTTTACTGTAGAATTGTTTTGCCTTTGTGCTATTCTAGCCAGCGACCATTTGTTCCTCTCATTTACTTGCCCTCTAACTAATCTGCAATTGCTGGCTGCGTGATGGCACAGGGTGTCGTGGCACCTCCATTGACAAATGGAGTGTCCTTGACAGCAGACGAGCTTCGTGAGATTTTGGAGTATGAGAGAATTGTACAGTTTCGCGATGCTGTGTTGGCGGGCACGCATCCTCGCATAAAAATCCCGCCTCACCTTGCTGGCAAGCAGATTTCGCGAGTTATATCTTCGCCCAAGTCGACTACACCTCGACCCAGCCTGACCACACCCGCAGCGCGCACGACCCCTAGCACGCGCGCAGACGACTCGACTTTCTTCAACAGATCCCCAACCAATCTGCGACCCACTGGTGGCGCGCATATCTCAATGCCTTCCAAGTCAGAGATCAATCCTATTCTCTTGGAGAAATCCGATGACCTGATAAAGGCTGAGATACAGTTACAACGGCAGAGGCTGGAGAGGGGCCTTAGAGAGCAGATTGAGCAGCAGCGTATTACGGCGAAAGCATTGCTTCAAACGTCCGAGTCGCTGCCCAACTTTGACCTCTCTGAGGTGCTGTCAAAAGCGCTTGAAATCGTACACCCTTCCACTGCCCCAGAAGTTGAGCCCTCTGCTGCTGCCAGTGACTCGTTTGATGAGAACACTTTCTATTCTAGTCAGCATGATACACCAGAGCCTTCCAGTCCTCCCAGGGGCCAGAAGGGCCCAGCTGAGGTGCAGTCGCAAACCGCGTCGATACCTGACCAGCGTCCTGTTGAGAGACATCCTACACAAAACCAGGTCGAGCACCGAGCAGTGGTCATGACTGGTACTTCGCTATCCAATGATAACAATCTAGCTTTGCAGGCTCGTCCGCAGTTGCAATACTCACAACAGCAGAACAGTGCTTCAAAGCCGCGCGAGGAGCAGCAGCGTATGGAGATAGGGAATTCAGCGTCAAGCAGTTCAGGAGAAATCATATCCCATCGTGCTCAAGGAACGGTCAACGTTAGCATACCCCCAACCATTTCTCAGAATTCAATCCAGGGACAATCTTCCAATATTGGCCAGTTTACTGATTCCATACTTACTCAGGCAACTACACAAGATCTCCTCAAGCAGGCATTTGACAACATCCCTACCTCGCCATTAGTTCGTGCTCACAACCTGTCTCCTATTGCTCCCCAACCTGCCCGAGTATCCCCACTAGCCACAGCCAGAGATCCTCCTATACTTCGAGAACATGCTGCTGTTGATGAGATGCAGCCTGCGCAGGTTTCTACACTTCGCAACCAGCCCACTGGTGTTTCAAGCACCGACAGCTCACCCAAAGGCACGAAGAATAACGAGAAGAAGAGAGAAAAGGAGAAAAAGAAGAGGAAGAGGAAAGGGAAAGAGGCGGCTGACACCCCAGATTCACCATACATCAAACCAGAGCCTCGATCGCCATCCCCATACACAGCAGTAGCGCCCTTGCCTCGGCCCCAAAAGAGACCAAGACAATCAGGCCAGTTTGCGGCAGAGCTCAACTACGACGAGCCAAGACAGGAGCCCCTCGAAGAAGTCCGAGAGAGAACTCCGGTGCGACAGTACAGAGAAGTACGTGGTTCTCGTATAGTTGAGCGTGAAGAGGTTCGCTATGAGCCAGAGTACCGCCGCGTCGAGCCTGCGCACAGACGTATGGACAGAGAAGAAGAAAGGGGATATCGACGTATCGCTGATGGGCAGTATGAAAGAAGACCCCAATCTCCCGTTTTCGCCCTTCCTTATGCTCCAGGCGAAGTTCGTCAAGTCAGAGCAGCCTCTCATGCAGTTGTGGAGAGAAGAGCCTACGATGAGCCACACTTTGTTAGAGAACCTATCGTGAGAGCAAGTGTCCGCCCTGATGCAGATCGTGAACGCTCAAGATCTCCCATCTTCCGTGAAAGAAGATCACCACTTCCTATGGCTCCTCCACGGCAGTCTATGCGCATTGTCATTGATGAGTTTGGTCGCAAATACTATGAGCCCCTGCCTGTTGCACCTCCACCACGTTACCGCGAGCCAGAGATCGTCTACGAACGAGCTCCAACTAGAGCAGTGTCTAGTCGTGTTCCAGCTGAATTTGAGGAAGACGGTATTATCTATAGAAGAGCATCTCCAGCACCACTTGCTCCACGCCGAGTTGTCACCCAACCAGAATACGCCATTCCACCCCAGCCAGACTACCGATCATACCGTCAAAGAGAATACTCCGTTCGTCCAACTGCAATGGGACCTCCTGGCGAAGAATATATTCAGATCAGAAGCCGACAACTGACGCCCGAAGATAGCCGCAGAGAATACATTCCCAGACCAGCGAGTGTGTATCCAGAAGCTGTCAGATACGAGATCCCCCGCGAGTATACTAGAATGCAAAGTGTTCGTCCTGAGGGACCACCACGGGAGTATGCTGCAAGTGTACGTCCAGAAGCACGCAGAGAGCTGGTTCCACAACCGCATCGAGAGTACAGCGTTCGCCCAATGGACCCGCCTCATAGTGCCATACCTCAGTCACAACGAGAATATAGCGTCCGACCAGTGGAACCGGTCATTCGTCGAGAGCCACCCGCCATTCCAGAAGGTGGAAGATATTACGAGGAACCAGCTGGTCGTCAACCGGCTGAAATTGCGTTCATCGAGAGGCCTAGGGCGAGAGAATCATCCGTGATGGTTTATGCAGACGATGTTAGGAGAGAAGTGTACAGATAATTGGGCTGGAAATCCTGCAGTTGGTCGTTCCTTGGCAGCTTTAGTTGGTTAGAAGCTATTCAGGACCTCAAACTTGCGTGTATTGATTTAGAGAGAAAACATAACAAAAACCTGCCATCAAACAAACTTAAGTTGCTTTCTAAGCTGTGAAAGCCTGATGTGATATCTAAACTCCAGCTTTATCGACTGTAGCTACCGCCCCGACTTTCTCGTTCATGTTCATCTCCACATCCCTCTTTCGATGTTCCTCCTCCACGACCTTGAACAAGACGTCCATCTCTTCCAAGCTCAAATTCTGCGTCTCAGGGAGAAACCACGAAAATATGGCCGCTACGATATTTAAAGTGCCAAATATCTACATTGCATCCAATTCAGCAATTAGCTTCACAAGAACTGGGCTTAGGAAATGTTCTCACCATCCAAGTCTTCCACCCAATGTTCAGAATTGCATTTGGCGCGATTTTCGAAACGACGTAATTCATGAGCCAGATCATCATGGTGCACATTGCCATTCCGTAGTCTCGCAAACGGGTGGGGAAGATCTCGCCAATGTAGACCCAGACTAGAGGACCCCAAGAAAGGCAATATGCTACGACGAAGAGGTAAATGAGTGCCATCTGTCCGTTCGAATTTCAGTCTTTGCATGAGTAGAAAAAAAGGGCGTTATCAAAAGGCAGCTTACCATTCCCTTCGCAGCTGGAGTACCTGATACATCGCCAGCAGTCGGAGGGTAAGCTTGCAGCACTGCACCTAGACCAAGCAGGAAACCACCCATAAAGAAAGCTCCTACACAAAGCATTGTCTTCCTCTTGAAAATCTGCACGCCACTGACCAGAAACACGATCGTAGAGATGAATTTAATGCAAGTAAACACCCCACTTGCGAGTAGTGACGAGTTCTGTGATGTAAAACCGATTTGTTTGAATACTGCGGGTCCGTAATACTTAAGCGAGAAGTCAGGACTCATGAATTCCCTCACCTTAACTGGACTTGTAGTAAGATGAGAGAGAATAGAAGAGAAACTTGGCTACTTACGAGAATAGCATTATGACCACACCACATCGTAAAGAATGCCACCGATAGCCCCCAAAGTAGTCTCTGGCAGTTCCTCACCTTCAACATCTCGCTGATTCTTCTACCATTCGTCAAAGCAATCTCCTCGTCGATCTGGGCCTTCATCTCCGCCAGCTCCTCCACAATTTCTACGTCACCTTTACCTGCTCCCCTCAGACTACATAACGATTTCGTAGCTTCGTCCCAACGTCCTTGTTTTGCTAGCCAGCGTGGAGACTCACATGTGATGAGAGAGCCGGCCATGACAAACACTGCCAAGATGATTTGCAAAGATAACGGCGTTCGCCATTGCTTAGATGTAGGCCGCATATGAAGAGAACAACCGTAAACAGACCAACAAGCCAGCATTCCACCAGAAACAAGGAACATCTCAAAGCACCCATCATAATCCCTCTCAACTTCTTCGGCGAGCACTCAGCAACGAAGACCGGAGCCGTAGTGCTAACAACACCGACACCGAAGCCAGCTAACACTCTACCGCCATAAATCATAGATAGAGATGGTGGTTGAGCGGCTGTTTGCAGAATCCCACCTACGAGGAAGAAGCATCCTGCTATGAGGAGGAGATGGCGACGGCCTAGATGGTGGGAGATCAGAGCGGGGAGAAGAGCGCCGAGGAAGGCTCCGAGATTAAGGAGTGCTACTATGTTGCCGGATGTTAAGGCGAGTTTCTTGGGCGTTGTGGAGAGGTGGAAGTCTGTCTTGAAGCTGTACAGGCTGTGAGTCTGTTTTTAAGAATTTTCTTGTTTGGTCACTTACCTTTGAAGGGCGACTACTCCACCTGCGACGCCGGTGTCGAAGCCAAAGAGGATGGAGCCTATATTGGCGGCTGCTGAGACAGAAAAGGCACCTTTGTGCTTTGTGAGGGTTGAGAGGAAAGTCATTTTGCTGGTGTTGACCTTTGGCAGCCGGTTTGAATCCTCAAAGATGGCCTGTACACTTGACTCTCCTCCAAGTACAAAATGGTGAAATGCTGCCAGTTCGCAGAAGTAATTGACTTCTTATACTTCGAAAATGCAGCCGACATCCCATATGTATATTTAGAGAGTGAGATCTCAAGTAGTACTTGTACCAAGTACCGACGCAGATCCCCGGTCGGTACATCTGTATGCCCGTCCTGCCCATCCAACAGTACACCTTAGCACTTTTAGGCTGTACACTTCATGCACTCAACAGCGCATGCCATGCACATCGCGTCGTGTATGTTGTTTCCTCCGCCTTCGACATGCACTCTTATTTTTCACATGCTTTAGACAAGGCCTAGTGAGCTTGCTTAACGCCTTTTTGGCTGGGATTGAGGGGATGAATCGCCAATGAGGGTCGGTGCCAAGTTTTGGTTTTACTTTGAGACTACAGAGGTGCAGTGATGTAAGATTTGGGAGCGGATGGTTTGGCTTTGAAGGGGAGGTGATTGCTGGTGATCGTCGTTCGCCGCAAGATTCGCGGAGTCCGAGTTTTTGTTATGGAGATTCGAAAGCAACGAGGCTTTTGGCTGCTTCGGTAAGAATTTACAAGCCTTTCTTGACGACAAATGCTTCCATCTCTGGATTGTCGTTTTCATTATTCCAGAAGTCCTTAATGATGTGTTTTCAGCCAATAAGAACACTGTTATCATAAATATGATCCAGGTTATTGCGCGTTTGCTCTCTTTTGAGATATAAAAGGGGAGTAGCGGAGTTGCTTGAAAGAATTTCAAGTAAAAGAGGGAAATCAGAGTAAAGATATCCTCCTGCAACCATACCTCTCGTGGCCCTCCTGATTATTCGCCCGGAGAGTGGGGCATAAAAGAGCATACGACACTTGGGCTTCCACTTCACCTCATCTAAAGTTGAAGACACGCATTCGAAGAATTCGTTCCCTTAAAATCCGATGATAGTTCCCATGGTTTATGTTGACCAAGGCCTGCGATTCAAATTTGGAGGCGTCCTCCACGGTATCGAGATGGAAAAATTTGAAGTGCAGACAGATACCCCAGACAGCGTCAGCGTTTTCTAGCATTCTGCAACTATGAGAAATGATAAAGAGTAAAACGACTATCAGAGAGACGTTTTTTTTTTTTGTTGACATAATTTATGGAAAGACAGTAGAGAAGTTGGCTCTTCTGTGTGTTTCTTATCTTGAGGTTCTTGTACTTAGATGTGCAACTATCCTCTGCCATTCTTAAGTAGTACGAAGCTCTTTGGATAAGACAGTAAAGTGTATGAACGTCAGGATGGAAATAAAGCTGTAAGGAAAAGTCAACTAGCTTGGTGCAATGGTATCGTTGAACATGAGATTGGGCAGCTTGAATCGATCGAAGCACGAATCAATTGAAAGTAGTACCAGCTACCACCAAGAAAACATAGTGAATTTGCGTGGCAGGCCACCACGGCAGAAAGATATTAAGAGATTGAAAAAAAAAAAAGAAAGAAAAAAAAAAAAAAGATCACGTGGATGATTCAAAACGATCTCCTCTCCCTCTTTGACTTTCGACGAACCTAAGTCAGCAGAGTGCTGTTTTTAAACAGAGCAAATACAGTAATGGAGGAGTCGGGCCACGATGATTTCTAAAAGCCAACTGTCATTTTATGTCAATGAAGTCATCATTTACAGAACCAAGCTTAGGGTCCATTCTTGTGGACGGGAGGGGCTAAACCGTAGATCGATTTCCATTTTTAAACACATTCTCAAGGGCTGGCCCTGGCGATCAGATCTCTTCCCGATGCTGCACAGATCAGCTGTAGAACATGGCAGAGAAGACGATGGAATTTGCTTTCTCTTCAAGTAACAAGTCAAGCAGAAAAGGAGTTGCAGAGAGAGGAAACCAACGCACTGAAGAGACAGCTTGTCTTGTAGCTTTCTGGCGGGGCCTTACTTTAGAGGCCTCGGAGGCATAGAATTGTTTCCTGATTCTTGTTTCATGATTTGGTCCGGAGGACCGTGACATCTTACCAGATTCATCCTCGACGAGCATTTTCAAGGGCAGCGACGCACCAGTCACCAAGGAAACTAAGAAAGCTACTCGAACGGCACGGAGTTAAGTTGGTGGTGGATGAGAGATGGGGAAAGTGTGAGAACGGTACGCTAGATAAGAGAGGAATAGATTCATTCCATTCACCGCGGATACGACAGTTTCCCAGTGGTTTCTGTAGTGGTCTAGAACGTAGACGTAGCAAACCAGACCAATCGATATGTGATGACTGTCCAACATCGATTTCTGCGGCAGAACGGATGGAAATCTTGACGGCACTCGTGTGCCGATGGGTAAAGAATGGACAGATTCATGAGATGCAGCTTCGGGCTGACTGCAGAATGGATATATGCAACTGTTATTGGCCACGGGCAGTTTTTCGGTATGTGCTTGGTCAACCTTGCCTTGTTCCATGGCAGGGTGAGTGTGGTATGCAAGTGTAACTTGGCCGTGGATATTCTTGCTTCTCTTAACTTCATGACGGGCTGCCATACAGTATTTCTCGTCAAGAGTTTTTACACACCGGCCTGGCGGGCTTGGGCGACTTTAATAGCAATTTTCATTACTGAGACTTCCCGTCGTCATCCAAGTCTGATGATTTTATGCCAAACAGACGAATTATTATAAATTTACTGGCAAGTCCCAAACAGGTTAACTGGTTGTGCTCGGATCTGTCGGTTTAGCTGGACCGTAACAATTCACACCAGCATGTCACTGGCCTGTCGGTATCCTCCCTGGGCACTACTGTACAGTATCATACCTAGATCTGCGCTGCGCTGCGCAACAAACGACACCCACCAGACAGACACACTTCCCTGGCATTCCATTACTTGACTGGAGCTGACTACTGCTTGTCCTGTCCTGCCCTGTCCTGCCCTGCCCTGCCCTGCCCTGCCCTGCCCTGCCCTGCCCTGCCCTGTTCTATCCCGATGCATCCACATGTGGTGCTTCGATCTTGATACTTTTGAGTTCCATGCTGCTGCAACACAAGTTCCACATGCTGCCAAATATTTCACGTCGTCCCTAAACCTTCTTGGTCTCTTGTTTCAAACCTTCTGGTCAGACATCCCCGCCAGTGACGGCCGGGGCAATTCCTCCTGTTTGTCGTCCTTCTACTCGTCTGCTGCCGCGGGTCCAAGGGTGAAGCTTTGTGCAGCTGCAGCTTTCACCACACCACACCACACCATCCCGAGCAAGGTGGTCCTGCACATGCCTGCACAGTGCACTCGACGTCTTGCCTTGCTCCCCTGCTGTGCTCGCTTTTGTGGAGTGCCTCGAGTCCCAAGTTCTACGGTAGGGTCCTCGAGACTTGAGTCCTTCCCAAGTTGCCCAACGGATCCAATCCGGGCAGTCCGCGCGCCTCTAAACTCGACCCCCAGTTTCTGAATTGGTTGCCCCTGTCATAATCGGGATTTTGAGAATCGTGGCAGCGGCAGCGAAGCAGGACATAGCAGACGTGACAATAGGTAATTACTTGAAGTGAGCTTGGAGGAGTGGATAATGTGAGTGGTAAGTGGTAAGTGGTAAGTGGTAAGTGGTAAATGGTAGGAGGGGTGAGATCGAGCCAGCCCAGCCCAGCCCAGCCAGCCCGTACCCAGACCGGCTAGCTGGCGTGGTGTCCGTTCTTCGCTTCGTGCCCCCTACTGTACTACTGTAGGATCGCGCCAGTCCAGTGAGTGCACAGCACCGCACCGCACCGCAGCTTACCTCACCTGAGCCTGAGCCCAAGCACCTGAGGAGCATGTCGTTCTTCGGCCTGGCACAGAAGACATCACCACAACACATAGTCGCCGACAACCTCGACGGCCCACGATTCAACATGAATAAGTTAGCAAATATGCGGCATTGGTCCGACCGGATGGGCCCGAACTTCGGTATGGGACGACCAAATATGACCATGACGCCTGGTCAGCCTCAGCAGCAGCACAAGATGAACGGCGCCTCCCCCATCCTTTCGCCCACCCAGGCCGATACGCCCATACATTACTCCTTCAACGTGCCATTCGCCTCTGATCTTGCTGGACCGAATATTGAGGATATCCTGTACGCAACGAAGGGTGCAGTCGAACGATGGACGCACCCATCGGACGCGCCTGATGACGTGCCGATCCATGAGCTCCCAGTCCACGCCCAGAACGTCACGACCTTGAGACAACTCTGCAAAGATCTCACCAACGGCCCGCTACCAATTGAAGCTCATGTCAAGTCTTCAGAGCCCAAGAGGGTGAAGGGACAGGTCACCAATGTGTGTCTGTCGGGAAGCCCGGAGCTGGTACACAAGAGCAGAGAGACGATCCTGAATGATACGCCGTTGGCATTGGTAAGACTTGAATGAGTCCATCTTCAAGCAAAGGTGATTATACTAACATTTTATAGCGATGTGCTATCATTGACATCAATGGAGATCTCGTTCTTGACGAAGCTAAGACCGCCCTACAAGTACACGTCATTGAGCACCTGGATACCGTTGCTGCCTTCTGTGGGGTCGACATCTTCCTCCTCGGACCTAAATTCGTTCTCGCAGACGGACAAAATGCTAGTGGAGAGGCTGGACGTGACCAGAGATGGAGAATCGCAGTTTACGGAGACATGGAGAGCGCTGAACATGCGAAGACAAGAATACTCATCTTCATTGATAGACTCGTGAGTGTTCCAAAAATCGCAAAACCAAACACATCTAATCTTTCACTAGCTTGGACGCGTCGTAGATGGAACTATGCTCGAGCTCTCCCTTCACACAGTTGTTTGTGGCCGATCTCGAAAGAACATCAAGCTCATTGAATCAACCACAAACACAGCTATCTACTTCCCACCCCCCTTCTCACAGGTCTACAGATACTGTCCATCTGGTGCGGAACGACGAAACCCAGAAGAAATCTTCATCACTGGAGAAACGACACACAATATTGCTATGGCCAAAGCTAAGATCCATGAATTAGTCAGCCGCACGAGAATCTTCATGAAAGATGCTGTAGTTGCAGCTGCAAAGCTAGATAGCATCTTATTGACCAGACTGGATAAAATTCGAAAGATCATGGAAACGAATGGAACCTTCATACAGTTTCCAGCTTTAGCATCACAACGAAACATGATCAGAATCCAAGGTGTGGAGGGACTTCACGTCGAGCGGACTGTTAGGGACGTTATGGCTTTGGTAAGTTGAAGTGAAGAATCTAAAGCTTCCGTAAAGCTAATGATTATAGACTGGACAATTCTACAGTGCCTCCTGGTGGATTCAGCAAATGGACTCAATGCGTTTGCCTAATCCAACTGACATTCGGACTATGCTCTCCGATATCTGTGCAAATTCTGATGCCGATGTGGCTTTCGACAAGCTTACGTTTTCCATTACAGGGTCCGATGATTCCGTCAAGGCAGCTTTGATGGTCATTTCTGATATCAAATTTGTGGCTCGAACATCGTACCAGATTCGAGTCAAGATCGAACTCGCCAACGAGCACAAGGAGTTCGTCAGTGGCAAAAAGAATGGAAAGATCAATAAGATTATGGGCCAGAGCAGCGTCCAGATTATCTTTGACGGTTTCAACGAGTACAATTTCAACATCGATGTCTGTGGCAACAATTACGAAGCGATGCGAAATGGATTGTCCTTGGTGGAACAAGAAATGCCGGCTTCGATCTCGTTCCATGTCCCGGATCAGTACCACAAACGAATCATCGGAATTGGTGGGCAACACATCCAACGAATCATGAAGAAGCACTCTGTATTCGTCAAATTTTCCAATGCCATGGATCGCGGTGGCATAGGTCGAGAGGAAGACGATATCAAAGTGGACAATGTTATCTGCCGTACTCCAGCCCGTAACGCCCAGAACCTCGAACTGGTCAAGTCGGAGATCTTGGACATGGTGGATCGAGTGGACTCTGAATTTACCACCCAAGTTGTCAATGTCGACCGACTCTACCACAGACAGCTCATTGCTCGTCTCAACCAATTGGAGGAGCTGGAGAAGAAGTGGAACTGCAAGATCATCTTTCCCAGCACCGAGCAGGCCAGTGACGATGTTACAGTCTCAGGACCAGAATGGCAGGTACCCCACTGCGTCGACGAGTTCCTTGGAATGGTCCCAGATAACCACGACTTGGTTCTTGCTCGAGCACCTGAGTTGACTGAATTCCTCGAATCCAAGAAATTCAAGAACGAGCTTGTTTCCAAGCTCAAGGCACAATATGTCGTCGAGGTTCAAGTTAAAGAGGACGAGGAAGAGCTTACGGAGGACGGAAAGCCCACTATCACCTTGCACTGGACCTTTACAAGAAACAATGCTGGCGGGGTCAGGGACGCCATCGACTTCCTCAATTCCAGCCTCGCTTCAGCTGGTATCGAGACGGTCACTGTGAAGGGAGCCATTCCTCGCCCGAAATCCGACTCATTCGAGGAGTCTCTCCAGTACTTTGACTCGAAGCTTCTCCAGCATGCTCCGGCTCCTGTATCCACAGATTCACCAACCAAGTCTACCTTTGGTGATGATGTTGCTCGCGAGCGCAGCACCATCTTTGACAAGCTCCGCAAACCAGGCAGCATGTCATCAATCTCTTCATTCTTGGATCGTCGCAAGAACAGCTCCCAGTCTCCAGGCAGCTTCTTCAAAAATGGATCCAACAACGTTTCGAAATCTTCATTGATCTCCATCGAATCGACCCGAAGCTTCAATGCTGACCGCAACCCTTGGAATGACAGTGGTGTCAATCTGGCAGACGACGAGGGAGCAGCTTGGCCAACTCGTCACCACTTTGGCAGTAGCAGTAGCGGCAGCAATGGCAGCAACGAACATAAGCCTTCTCAACTTCAGCATCCGGGTGACGCAACCCCACGACACACCATACGAGCTTCGACCGACAGTGGTCGCCCTTCCACTTCCCATTCTACATCAGGATACCCAGGCCCAATTGGGCCACCGCGTTCGTAAATGATTTCCCCCTTCATTTCCTAAGAGTCATTGTGCAGTACACTGGCTGGATATATACCCTGGCGCGCAATACCCGAATACCTCGTGATTTTACGGCGAATACTTTGATTTCCGCGTTGTTGTTTTCCTTTTCGTTTCCGTAATTCAGTTCTTGCGTGTCCAAAGATGCGTCTTTAGGGCAGGAGAAAAGCATGCGGCGTCCAGCAAATTTGAGATACACAACATAGAAAAATGCGCGCGTCAACGAAAGAGGAATACCAATTTGCTTTTGAAACTTTGGGAGGTGCAAGGATGGGACTTTTTTCACGTTTTCTCTCTCTCTACTCTTTCTGTGTTTTCTACATGTGGGATGAAGTCGGGGGTGGTACAGGAAGGGGAACTGATGATGGGTATGGCGCGGAGAATGGGAATATCATGGGATCGGTCGCTGTGTGTGTTATGATACCCATGCTGATGAGAGAAAATACAAAAGTTCCTTTGACTCGCTGTTTTTGAACCGGAATGTGATTGTGCTGGAGAAGTTCCTGCTGTGTCAAGGAAGATGCTTGCCGTTCAAAGGTGCTCAAGTATCGTGCCTCCCTGAATGTCGTTGCGGGAAAGGAAAATGGCGGGTTACGGAGTGACGCCTCGAAAGGTGAGTGATTCCTTATTTACTTTCTTCCGAGCAATATTTGGAAGCAACACGTTCCTTTGCGCTCTATTTAGGACCTTCCACAATTGGATTCAAGCAGCACTATTACAAACTGATACACTCTCTGTCACTCAAACGAACGGGATACGAAAAACATTACCCCGACACGAGCCGCGATGTAGCCTCTAATTGGTCGCTGGAGACGACATATCCACTTTGCTGACAAGAACACCGAGGAATTTGTATCCGAACCCCGCATTCAAAGCCGCGAGCAGAAAAGACTTTCCTCATTTCCCCAATTCCTGCACCCAAAAAGAACCTCAGGATCTCCAATTCCGCCCCTGGGCACCGACTCAGATCTCGGTCCCTTATACCGAGCCTCTCAACGCACATCAATTCCATTCTATCCAGTCAATTGATCAGTTATGTCTTCCAGCCCCGGCCTTCTTAGTCCCACTGCTTTGCCGCGACGCCGGAATGGAAAGCCACCTAGTTGCGAGCCATGTCGACGGGCAAAAGTCAGTTGCGATCACACATTGCCTGTCTGTGATCGTTGTCGAAGAAGGAAGGTCGTCTCAAAATGCGTCTATTTGACTGCGCCTATGACCCGGCCTGTCCCGGATGGCAGGAGGAAACCTATTTTGCCGCCAACGCCTTCCAGCGGCTCAGGGGATAGAGAAGCTGAAAGGGAAAGGGTAAGTATCGATGCTACCCCGAGAGGGATGAATCGGTCTACCTCTGGGGGCTTGCTTGTTGATGTTGCTACTAAACCTACTCCTGAGAGTGGGCCATTTATAAAGTCTGGGGGCTTCTTTGGTAAGTGAGTTTCCTTGCGTTGTGGTAGTGCATTGTGAAATTCTATGAGATTTTGTACTCTGTAGTCGGAGCGGGATAAGTGAAACATTGCTTGTTTATCTCATCCCACTCTCTTATCTTGTACAAATCTCAAAGCATGTCGTACCTGAGGTATTTGTTTGTCTTTATCTAACTCCGATGTCCCGATTTACCTGACACAAGTGGGGGGCGCTGCAACTGCATCACGGATATGGACAGCATGTTGTTTCGATCGCTCTCAATTCTAGAGACTAATGCCTCGCAGGTCCTACAAACTTCTCCGCAGTATTTATGGAAAATAGAGAAAATCTCGGCAATGACGAAATCCAGATATCTGTTGACTCCGACCTGCACGTCCCTTCATACGAAAGTCTCCAGTCCCAGACCTTCCTAATGTTAGCGGGGAAACAGCACTGCGGCTCTCCTCGCGTGGCCCTGGGCACGAAAGTCCTAAATGCAATGCCAGACGAACATACGTGCAAATTCCTGTTAGAGTGGTATTTCGAGAAATGTCACGAGAGCTCGTACCCAAAACACAGCGTTCTCGCTCTGGCGAACTCTTTTTGGAATTCCAGTTTTGCTGCCGCGTTCAACAGAGAAACGAGGAATACGGATGAGCTTGAGCAGGTGTCTACTCTGTTATGTAAAAATGCTGAGAGAGCACTTCAAGAATTCGAGGACTTTGACGATTGGCTGGCATCGTGTAGCGGATCGAATTTTAGATGGGAGTCCCTCGGTGCCGTTTATGGCGCACTCACGACATCAATCCTGTCGCTGCCAGAGAGAGATGCGTTTTTCGCTACACAAAGAGGTGATAGGCGGAATAGGAGGGATTTTGCTGTTGAGATGAAGGATTGTGTGCAGGCTTGCATTACCCTGTCAAATTATATGGATCTGATTAATGTGCCAATGGTGGCGCTTCTTGTTAAGAACTTGGTGTTGCAGACTGTGTTGAGCGGTGATGCTAGTAAGTTGGAAGCCTAGGAACTTCGCCTGTCGTGTTGATAGCTGACATGATGTAGGTCTAATTGTTTGGCGCCAATTGGGAGATCTTGTCAGCTCTTCCACCGCCCTTGGATTACATCGCCAAATCGACACAGGTCGTCCTCCTTCATATCTTTCGGAGACCAAAAAGCGATTATTTACAGTTGTATTTTGTTTTGATAAAGGATCAGCTCTATTAACTGGTCGGCCACCAGCACTCAGTTATCGCTACACTCGTTTTGAGCTTCCTCTGGATTTAAGCGAGGAAGTCTTGGTCCAAGGGGGAGAAGTGCTTCAAGAGGCGGTGGCTAATCTGGACGAGAATGGCTGGAATAAGGATGGTCAGATTTATAATACTACGGCGACGAGAGCTCACGGGATGTTGGCACAAGTTCTGAATGAGGTGCTGGAGTTATCGCTTGGTGATAAGGATATTTGTACTGCTGAAAAGATTGGGTAAGTTCTGTTTCTACTCTTTATAACCCCATTCTTTAAATGCAATACATTCAGTGGAGCAACACTACTAACACACCCAGCTATCTCATGGGCCGTATCCAAAGCATTTACAACAACCTTCCCTCCTTCTACCACTTCAAGCTCTCCGACCTCGGTTCTCCAGAGTGCAACGACCGCAAATTTTGGCGCCGCCTCTGCCTTCGCCTAATCATGCTGGAGCACCGCCTCCTCCTCGAGCGCCTCGCTCACAAAGAAGGCTTTCTTGATGGCCAATCTATGGTCGACTGTGCGCGCGAGATGCTTGAACTCACCGTCCTCCTGTGGGTGCAGCGTGATCGCTTCACAGAACACCACCACGACTTTGACTGGATGCTGATGTGCTGGGGCGTGCCCTCTTCAGGCGTCCTCTGCGTTGAGTTACTGAAACAAGTAAAGGCGCCGCATAGTACAAAACTCGTACTGCCCAGAAGTGAGATTGTGCAGAATTTGAGCCTGCTGATTGGGTTCTTGGAGTGGGTCAAACCTGCTGCGGGGAATTATCAGCTGTGTGGGAGGATGAAGCTTATCATCAAGAGAATTCTGGACCAGATTCTCAATCCAGGCGCTGCTCCGCCCTCGAGCTTCCCACCTATCAGTTCGCAGGAGAGTAATGGGACGGGTATTGGGACCGGGACTGCGGTTCCAGGCTCGCAAGTGGGATTCGTGGATACCGCAAGCGTTAATGGGTCGACGATTGGTTTTGATGGCAGTGCAACTGGGACGGTGAGTGGTGGTGGTTTCGACCAGCAGCAGCAGCCACCTGGACAATTGCTGGGGTTCGAAAATGATGGAGATGGGTTTGATTGGTTGAATAACGTGGATTGGTCGAGGGGACCATGGTTTGATCTCGGCCAGGACTTTTCGGCCGCAAGGTGGAGTTGAGCTCCCTCGAGACTCGACTGAGAACGACGTGGAATAGCCATGAGAGAACTTATTAATTATAACCTCGAGACGGACGAGGGACATCGGAGACAGGAAGAAAATCCATCCGAGAACGGAATATCTCAGATCTCCGATGAGCGGTGGCCTATTGACACTACAAGCGAGAGTGCAAGATAAAATAAGTGGATCTCTGTAAGCGAGAGTAAACATCAATAGAGGCCAGAAAGAGTACTGAAATGAAGAAGACGACATCTCTCCACTTCAGATTTCACGAGGTGAGCGATTTCGATTCCCTTTGTTGTCGTTACCAGCTTGAGCAATTGCGAGGTGGTCGACGGCTTGGAAGAAATATTTCTTGTACAGCTTCGTATCACAAGCGTCGATATCAATGTTTACGACGAAGGGCCAATAGAAGAGGAGCCGAATCCCGGGATCGCAACGACTGTGAAGATCTGAAAATGGACAGCGCCGTAAAACCCCAACCAGGAAGTTTTCTGCACGAAGAAGAATCAATGCGATGTTCTCATAGACTCACACCTTCATCTTTTGACATTCTCTAATTGCATGTCTGCACTTGCCGTTGGATTGCTTACCCCTCCGGCCTGCACTTTCGGTCTCCATGGGCCCTTTCTCTTATTCCGATAATGGATGCAAACGCATGTACTCAGCAAAGCCACAAATACGACTGGAAATGTGATAGCCAGGCCATATATTAGGGCTGTGTTGCTGCCGCCACTCCCGCCGCTCCCGCCGCCTGGTCCATTTTCGATACTGCAAGGCAGCGAGCTGACCGATTCACCCGGAACCCATACACTCAAAGTTTGGCTGCACCCATCTTTGGCAAGGATCGGAGGCGTAGGAGAAAGCCTGGTCCTATCCGTGGCATCCCACGAAATTTGGTAAGCGTTATGGATTTGCACACCATTTGGGAAAGAGGGTGCCGCGGTCATAGTTGTTGTTGGTGTCGGTGTTGCTGAAACCCCGATTGCGCTGATGCATGCCAGTGTATCGAGGCTTGTCAATTCCACACCTGCATCCCCTAAACTGTAGCCACTAAGTTCTAACGTCAGCACAAACATTGGCATGCATATGGTAAGATAGACAAGATTCACCTGGCACAGCAGTAGGCAGTTGTAGCTTTTCTAGACGGTGAGAGCGTGTTTGTGTCCACATAAGCCTCCCTGACCTCGTAGGCAGTCCACTGTTCAGGGCAAACGGCAGGACTGAAGTGGAAACGGCTCGAAGAAATTACTCCATCCCATCCAGGAGGCTGGCAGGCTGTGAAACGTGAATCTTCAGGGTCGGAATAGACTATGTTGAGGGCAGTGGTGGAGAAATTATTCCAGTAGTAACTTGTGATTGTGCTGGTAGTCGTGAATATGCTGGCGCAGCTCGGCGCGGGGGGAACAAAAGGGGTGGTGAGCGCTAGCAACGATATTGGTGATATCGTTGCAGGAGCTGATGTGGATGTTGCTGCGTCTTCTGAAGTGCTTCCTGAACTTGCTGTACTAGATGCCATTTTTCTGGATAAGCCTGGTCTTAGATCTCGAATTCGCTGAAGTGAGGCAAGTATGAAGACAGCGAGAAATCTTTCAACTACACTTGAGGAAGTGCGAAGTTGACGATAGTGTCGAGTAGGCCTGGAATAAGGAAGCTGTGCCACACGGTTAAATTAACCTTAGTTGCTCGCCAAGAGTTCGTGTTGATACCCTGCGCTTAACCGTGATGGTCCAGACTCCAGATAGAACCAGGTAAAAGTTGCAGGACCCTCGTCCAAGGATTGCTTAGCAAAAGCTTACCCTACCGTCCAAAAAAATCTCCTCTAAACTCTTGGACATATCAGGAGAGCCAATGAATATTTTTTTCAGTTTTCCTTGTACCTGCAGCGCTTGCGGGTAAATGTCGTCGAGAGGCGCGATCTCACTTTGGATAAAAGTCATATGATTGCGAGGGCGAAATAGTCGACTTGGCAATTCTTCGATGAGGAAGGTCCTCCGCTATATATACCATGACTGGCAACGTCTGATCAGATAGCTCTGGTCTCAACGAAGAGAAACCCCTGCAATAGCCATAGAATCATACACGTGGGCTCGGAGCAAAGAGTGTAAGTAATTGCCTGACCTAAAAATGAAGATATACCTCCGTAAGCCACTTCCACGAGTAGTACAGAATGGCCGACGATTCAAGGATACAGGTAAATTGTAGGCCAGGGGGAGAAGTAAGCTTATTATGTCCTACACTGGAGTTCTAGAACGACTGTGCCTCTCGAGCTCCTAGTCTCTGTTGCTGCAGATGTGTATATAGAAGATGGCCGCATGTATTCAATATTGCAGTACGACTTCGAATTTTGATTGTCGGGAGTTTCTTGCGTCAAGATGTTTCTCAGTACTCGCGCTTGTCTTGCCCTGATATGGGCATGCTTTTTTTCTCATGTTCTTACACTCTCTAGCTCGGTCCACTCAGGACATTCTACTTCTGTTAAGAGACAAGATACAGTCACTCCCTTTGCTACACCTGAAAATGCAACAACGAGCGACGTCGAAGCAGCGCGGTTAATTGTCAAAAATGCCATCTCTAAGATGACTGAGCTCAATAAAGCCCGCCTCGCGATGCCGGCTAGGAACAACTTCAATTTGAAACCGGGCACCAGAGCATCAAAGCGAGATGTAGAGCAGCCCCCTCCCCTGTTGAACATCACAGACCAAATAGCTCAGGCAGCTGCTCTACTGGCTGAAATAGACACCGACCCAAGTTTGGAGTCAAACTCGACTCTCAACCGACGAGCTGGAACTTTTTGGATGGAAGCCCTTAGTCGAAAAGGCACCTTGCCATGGGGAAATGATAACACATACAAGGCATGTGAAGCTTGTTGTATACTAAATGGAATACAAAGTAACTGATGGAATAACAACAGGTCTTTGTGAATGTGGTTACGGACTTCAAAGCAGACCCCACAGGGAAAACAGTAAGAAACTTCCGAAAATACCCTGAATTATTTTAGTGGTTTACAGCTGACAAGCATGGTTCTCAGGACTCGACAAAGGCGATTCAGGACGCCATTGATTCAGGCAAGAGATGTGGCGCAAAGTGTAACGGATCGACGACCAAGAACCGGATCGTGTACTTTCCCCCTGGGACATATAAGGTGTCTAGCTCCATCAGCGTTTATTTTGGTACCCAAATAATTGGGGACGCAAACAGTTGGCCGACCATCGTTGCAGCGTCAAGCTTCGTTGGTCTTGGAGTTCTATCAACCGATGTTTACGTGGAAAATGGTGGCGTTGGCCCGGACGGCAATTCTTTGCAATGGTACATTAACACAGCACGTTTCTATGGTCAGATTCGCAACATCAGGATCGATATCCGGGCAACGGATCCAGGTGCCTACGTATGCGCTCTTCATTACCAAGTAGCTCAGGCGACTACAGTTGAAAATGTTGAGCTCATTGCCAACTCAGCCACAGTGTGTACTCTCTCAAGTTCGAATCCGAAAGGATATCTGACTGACACTATCACAGACTCAACAAGGCATGTTCGCAGAGAATGGGAGCGGTGGTGTCATGTCAGACATAACTTTCACTGGTGGCAATTTTGGGATCTGTAAGTTCCCACAAACTAACCGATCTTTGAACACACTCGCTAAGCTGCCATCCTTTAGATGGCGGTGCTCAACAGTTCAGTACATCTCGTTTAACTTTTAACGGATGTAATACCGCAGTCCAGATGATCTGGAATTGGGGTTGGGTCTGGAAGAGTATTACTGTCAACAATGCCAAAGTTGGCTTCCGACTTTACAACGATGCGGACGGTTCTATTCCGGGCTCTGTGACTATTATGGATTCCGTCTTCTCAAACATCGCCGAGTCTGCAATTGAAATGGCAGTTTCTAAGGATGTAGTTGACAGCGGCTTCACCGGGCTTGTCTTGGACAACGTTCGGCTTGGAGCAAAGATCAAAGATCACTGGAGTTCGGCCCAGATTCTTGCAGCAGGTTACTACAAATACGTAAGAGATCCTCACTTCTGCTTAGATCAACTACTGACAAGGAATTGAATGCTAAAGTATGTCATGGGCTCAACTTACACGAACAATAAACGGTCGTGGACGGTCGGATCCATGGACTACACCCGCGAGGCCACTCTTCTCGGATCGACTGTCTCTGGTCTTACCGTGGCTCCCTACTTCGAGAGAAAGAAAAACCAATACACAGACAAGACCGCTTCGGACTTCGTCCATCTCAAAGATTTTGCTACTGGCGATGGCTCCACAGATGACACAGCAAAGGTCCAGCAGACATTCAACACTTATGGCAGCGGCAACAAGATTATATTCGTCGATTCGGGCACTTACATCATCAAAAATACGGTCACAATCCCGAAAGATGCCAAAATTGTAGGAGAAGCCTGGTCGCAGTTTGCTGCCAGTGGCTCTGCGTTCTCGGATGCAAGCAAACCTATCCCTATGTTCAAGGTATGCATTTGTTGACAAGCTCATTTATACTTCTCATTTGTTTTCATGCTGTGTAACTCGCAGGCGTTATTATGATACACGACTAGCTTCAAATACCCGATCAGGATTCGCTAACACAGTCATTCAGGTCGGAAACGAGGGAGATGTTGGCACAGTTGAGATGCAAGACTTGATTTTGACCAGCAAAGGTCCAACTCCGGGTGTCATTCTGATGCAATGGAATGTCCAGGCCTCTAGTAAAGGATCTGCTGCTTTATGGGATGGTGAGTCTTTTTCCTATTTATTTCCATCCCCTATCACAGCGTGTCTGACGAAGATTATGCTCTGTGCCCTCCTCCTCAAATAGCTGTTCAGCCATCTGGATCATTGTGGCATATTTTACCTCTACCTAGAAGCGGCTTACTGACTTCGAGTTCTCCATTAGTACATGTTCGCCTTGGAGGTGCCACAGGTACACAATTGACACCAGCTGAATGTCCACCGATAAAAACAGGGACCAATCCGTCTAAATGTCAAGTGGCCAGCATGCTTCTTCACGTCACAAAGAAAGCATCGGGGTATTTTGACAACATGTGGTTGTGGGTAGGCGACCACCAGATTGACGATCCTCTTCTTAACGACGCGTTGAACAACATGGATCAAATATCGGTATACAGTGCCCGTGGTGCGCTTATAGAAAGTCAGAAAGCTACTTGGCTATACGGCACCGCTTCCGAGCATAGTGTGTACTACCAGTACAACTTCTACCGCGCTCAAAACATATTCACGACTTTTCTACAGACAGAATCCGCCTAGTAAGTTGCTCTGGCGCAAGCTATTTACCTTTCCCCAGTCTGCGTTTAGAAGAAGGAGATGAACGACTGATCACTGACTATTCGATCATATAGCTATCAGCCGACACCAAAGCCCCCTGCTCCTTTCCAGAACGTAGTTGGCACTTTCGCGAACGATCCTGATTATTCTTGCAAAGGCGGCGATGCCGACGGTTGCGATGAATCATGGGCTGTCATCATGAAAGAATCACAAAATATACACATCGGGGCGGCAGGTACTTACTCGTGGTTCAGCAGCTACACCCAAGACTGCATTGATAAGCATGCTTGTCAAAAGGCTCTTTGGTTGATAGAGAAGAACTACAACAACAACAGAATCCAGAATATCATTGGTATTGGTGCCAAAAACATCATTGTTTCCACTTCCGGGACAGCCATCTCCGCGGTGGATAATTTGTCGGTTTCCAAACATCCCGCCTGGTCACACATCTCGGTGTACAATGTACCCTCTTCTGGAACGGCCCCCCTTCCAGTAGAGTGTCTGGACTCGAATCGGATGTACAGCTCAGAGAACGTGCCGCAAGGTGAAATAGAGATCTGGACCAACGACGGCACGGTACTGAATCACGCCGAAGACACGGATGGTCACCAGTACGTATCATTTTCATACACACACACACTAGTTCATAACCACCTCAACACTATTTATAAGTACCGGTTTCTGATGGGAACTCTTCTAGATGGGTAACTATTGTAAATCTCACACCATACAAGATGATCCATATAGCTAGTCCAACACCATATCAATTCTCAGCATGGGACTTTGGTGATATACCTTCAGGGAAGGCAAGGAAGAACGAAGCAACCTACGATCTCGGTCTCAACGTGGGTAGCTTTGTAGATAGCAACGGCTATGCCAATTATCAACGTAAGAATTACCAAAGCAAAGTATCCAGTTGATTATGATGGTCCTACTGACTCTGAACATGCAGTCGAGGGCACGAGCAAAACTTTCCAAGTCCACGTCACAACGCACATTCCCGACTCATATGAGCGACGGGTTGTTTTCGACCTTGGTGGAATGGGTATGGGCTGGCGAGAACTGGGGTTCCCTGGTGAGAGGGTCAGTGTCGCGTTGATCATCACTGGAAGCGAGGATTTTGGCTACGTCAACTCTCTCCAGCTTAACGATGTTGCAGTGAGTATTTTGATCCTTTATGACCACTTCCCTAAATATTCCATGCCTCGAAGATCATCAACTTCCACGACTTTCTGCCCCTGAATCCTGGTTCCTGCCGCAAGAAGTTGTACTGATAATTCTTTACAGTGGATGAAGAAAATGTACAACATCATCAAGGATCGTGACCTCCGTCATGTTGTAGTCCCCGGTTCTCACGACGCTGGTATGAGCCGTATCTCGGTCAACTCCGGATGGAATGGACTTGGTACTTCTGCCAACACAGCAACCCAGAGCTTGGACCACTACAATCAACTGAAGGTTGGCACGAGATACTTTGATATGCGTATCGTCACCGTCAATGGAGGAAGCTTCTGGGCTGCCCATGTCAACGAGGAAGTTACCGCAGCTCCTGTTGGCGCGACTGGTGAATCTTTGGACGGTATGTTAATCCATGGCTTATACAAGCTTTTACTTTTCAAAATTTCTCCCGACGTTCCTCGTCGGAACACTCCTTCACGAGTCCATGATTTTCTAGTAGCTATGGTGACTGACAACTGTATAATTCAGACTTGATAGCTGGCGTCAATCGTTTCACGACTGACTACCCTGGTGAAGTAATTGTTTGGGCCATTAGGTCCATGGTTGACCTCGACAATGGAAAGCTGACAACTGAGAACGACCGGTACTGGAGCGCAGACAAGGTCAACGAGTTCTACACCAAGCTAGAGTCAATCAACAACCGATGTATAGGCTTGAGCAGTAGCCCATCTCTGGACCAGCAGCCGATCAAGAACTTCTTGGATAAGAACGGAGGCAAAGGTTGCGTTCTGCTCCTTACAAGTGGGAGACTGAAGTCTGGTCTCCCGACAGACCGCGTTGGGTCTGGTATCTACAGCCGTGGTGGCTATCTGAACTACGATGATTATTGGGCACAAGAACAGTACACTCAGCAGAATGCCGACAAACAAGTTGCCAGGATGGAGGGTCATTCCCGCGACGATGGGAGTCCCACTGGAACCACCTCAGACAACTATTGCATCATGCAGTGGCAATGCACCCCCTCTGCTATCGACGTCTCGATCCCACCACCAACTCTACAGCTGATTGCAAACCAAGAGACCAACCCTGCTCTCTACCATTATGGCGTTCAGAAAATGTCACCCGAGCACTTCCCCACGGTCATCCTCCACGACGCCGTTGGCCTCTTCCACGTCAGTGACCTCGACGAGTCGGCCTACAATCCGATGATGCAGACTCTCTCTATCGGTCTGAACCTGTACATGGTCCCTCAAAATTGCAAAGTCAGCAACATCAAACACCCGTTGCTGGCAAAACCACAGCAGGCACTGGCGAAGGTAATGACCAACAACGGATTTACGGTCTTCACTGGCGTTATCTTTGCGAATGGTACGGTGCTTGAGGATACCCCCCCGGACTTTTGCCGCACTTGTACTTTCAACGATACTTCGGCCATCGATCATCCGCCTTCCAATGTGACCTCGAACAGCACAAGTACGGTTGAAAATCGGTTCCGCAGAGCTACTCTCTACTGATGAAGGATGATGATGGATAATGAGTCGGGATATTTCAATCTCGTGTCAAGTCGGGTATATGGATGCAGTAGGCGAGCCTCTTCCGACTTCTAAGAAATGTTTTCTTTTGTACCAATTTGCTTCTCTTCACTTCAAAAGTTAACTATAGTGTATTAAGCTACTATATGTTTCAAGCTTGAGACACGAAATTGCACGATATGAATATACTGCTACATCATTGACACAAAAACTCCCCTTAAAAAATCATTCGTTCAAAGTAATCAGGTGGAGGCATACGAGATTGGGCACGTGATGTTTACATCGGGTATTGGGTCCATGGGTCGCTGTCACCGTGGACCCTCTCATTGATAACTACTAGAGCTGAGGCACCAGAGAATGAGCAACGCAGTGTGTATTTTCTTCTACATGAGAGCCCTTTACGAGCTATGTCGTTCAGATTCAGCAATCAACCCGGAAATGGAATCAGATGCAGCCGTTGTCGATGAAAGTATTAGACACTTGCAACCCCTGGCCTTATCGTTGATAAATTTCAAAACAAGTCACGACTTTTATCTCCGATCTCTTCGTTTTGGTCTCTCTTTTGAATCCCCTCAATTTAAAAGGCGATGAGCGATTATGATCATCGCGTCCGTCAGATCCCAGCTTCAGATAGGAGATGGTGCGAATATCACCACATCGCACCCAGCTTCGGTCTTGAACGAAACTGCTTCTTGAACGAAACTGCTGCCAATTTCTCTCTCTTGGCTTTGCCAGAAACGTTAAATCGGACCCTGATCTTCATTACTGGCATCTTTATTCTGCCACCAGAACCAGGTACTGCATTGTCTGCTTCTGTGGGACTGGACGCGCACTCCACTCACTCACCGACCGCCGCGTTTCATAGAACCCTGGATCATACATAAGTTAGCAAGCAAGCCTGCTCAGTGATCGCGGGGTTATATCCGGGCGCCCTTCAGCGATGACGAGTGTTGTGCACGACTCAAGCACCACGAGCTGGAATGTGGGAAAGTGAAAAAGGCATGCTGCCGTTTTGAGCCCCCGTATGCCATACGCATCCTCTGCGGGAACTTTTCCCTACCTCGCTGTACTACTGGAGTTAGTTTGTGTTCTGGAAGAACTTGGTGGATGCTCGGCTAGGTGGTTTGGGATGATATGGTTGGCTGGGGGGGATGCTGGGCTAGACTGGGGAGAGGATGGGGCGATTCGAGTAATGCTGGTGCATTTTCTTACACTTTGTTGCTTTTCGTTTTTGTCGAGTTCGGATAAGGAGGGTGGGTTATCAGATGGAGCCTGGAGATGTGATGTGAGAGTTGAAGGCGAAGAGGAAAAATACTTCGCCGCAATTGAACCTTATCAGGAACGGGACGTCCACCGATGACATGATCCCGAGTATGGCCCTTCGATCGGTTGATATTGAGGTATTGTAACTTATTGTAGATTGTGTATCCGGATTTCAGGATTCTACTTTCATAAAGGGCTCGATGGCGGTAAACAGTAGTCCTGGGCTGGCTGATTGTTTTGCCCTCGTGGCTCCTCTTCTTCCATGCCATGCCATGCTCAGTCAGGGCTTTGGCTTTGGCTTTGGCTCCGATGCATCAAGGCGATTGAAGCTCGATGGTCTGTGGCAGCCAAACGATGACGTCGGTGTGGAAATCGTGGGATGGCATTCCCCATCCATGGATGTCTGTTCTGTCTTGTCAGGTCTGTCCCACTGAAGGCGCATCGCCGCCCTGAGCAGCCATATCCTTGTTCCTCTCCGAGGTTGGAGGGGTACTTCGTAATGGGTAGGAGTAGGGAGATGGAATGATGGGAACGTCCAGCTACCTTATGTAGGTATTCGACAGATCAATTGATGAATAACTGTTTCCAAGGCTCCAAGATGTTTGTTCATGGCCACATTTTCTTGGATGCAATCCAATCCAATCCAATCCAATCCACTCGATTCCTAGCAACCCATATATTGTAGAGCTCAGCCTTGTATTTACAGGTTCCCTTGGAGCCTTCGCCTTCTTGAGCTGTCCATGCCTCCTCGGCAGGCTTCCCAGCTGCAAAAACAGCGGCGATGAGGGATCGCAGACCCCGGCTCTTGGACTCCTTGATTGCTGCTGCAAAAGTCGAGGAGCTTTGGAAATACATAAAACTACGGCCCTTCCCTGACCTGCCCTATGCTCTTCCCCCTACGTACTTCCCTCCCCTTCCCGTCCATCAACGACCAAGACGAGATCTGCAGAGAGACGATCGTGCCAAAAAGTTAAATCCAACTTCAACTTCAACTTCACGTGCAAGAGCCAACTCGTTCATTCACTCCCGGTACCTGTACCAGTACCAGTACCAGTACCAGTCCAGTCAAATCAACACAATACAATCACACCGCCCGCCAACGGCGTTTGCTTGGGATCACCTACTACCGACCTACTTTACCTTACAATCAGATCGCTGGACGGCACCTTTTTCTCTGATTCTGGTCTTGTTGACACTTACCTGCCTTTGTTGGCGTTGGACTTGTTGTTCCTGTGCACTTTCACTGAAATACCTGGCCGGATCCCTACCAGCCTCCTACCACAGACACTCGTTCTTGGGCCGCTACCTGCTCCTAGTCGACCTCCGGATCCCCAAACGATAACCCTAAGCAGATATTGATTGAGGCATATTCGCCGGCAAGCCGAGGATTACTGTCAACTCAGGTAAGCACATTCGAATCAGCTCTTTCAGGTCAGAAATTCTGCAAGAAAAAAGAGACTCTTTGCTGGGAGAATATACTTGGAAGGGAGTCAGTTTATGGACGCCGGGAATTAAATCCTCTACTTTTCCTCCCTCCCCTCCCTGTTCGCCTCTTGTTACGCTTGCCTCACTTGCCCTGCCCTGCCCTGCCCTGCCCGGCCCGGCCTGCCCCGCCCAGACTGACTTCTTGCGCCGTAGGACTCGATTTGACCGTACCGTACAAGCCTGGCCCTGGTCTGTTACGGTTAGCGACTGCTAGACGATTAGTACGGCGAAAACAACCCCCAATCCCAAATCCCAAATCCCATCATATCCCTCCCTCCCATTCCATCCTATACACAACAACCACTCTTTTCACCTACTTCCTCCGCCGGCGACACAATTTGAATTCCCCACGCTGCACCTCAACACCTACCACCAACGACTGTCTTCTACTGCCATCGCCAGTCGCCCAGCTTCGCCATGGCTGAATTCGTACGAGCACAGATCTTCGGTACGACGTTCGAGATCACGTCCAGGTACGGCTGCGCGGGGTACGCCACCTAATTTGCGACGGAAAGCTGATCCTCACAGATATTCCGACCTCCAACCGGTAGGAATGGGAGCTTTTGGCTTGGTTTGGTACGATAATCCGCTGGAGATTGAAATATGGCAGCTGACAATCGTGCAGCTCTGCCAAAGATCAACTCACCGGTCAGAATGTAGCCGTCAAGAAGATTATGAAGCCCTTCAGCACCCCCGTCCTTTCCAAGAGAACATACAGAGAGTTGAAGTTGCTGAAGCATCTCAAGCACGAGAATGTGCGTTCGCCACTATCCTGTTGATTCACGCAGCGCTAATTCAGCGCAGGTTATCTCCCTGAGCGATATCTTCATTTCGCCCCTTGAGGATATGTATGCTTGGGCCTATCCCTTATCTGGCGCGCAACGGCTAACAACCTCTGCAGTTACTTCGTCACCGAACTCCTAGGCACCGATTTGCATCGCCTCCTCACCTCGAGACCGCTTGAGAAGCAGTTCATACAATACTTTCTCTACCAGATCTTGGTAAATATCCCCAGCATATGCGGTGGTTTGCGGTGGGGCTGACTTTGGAATAGCGGGGTCTCAAGTATGTCCACTCTGCTGGTGTCGTCCATCGCGATCTCAAGCCCAGCAACATCCTCGTCAACGAGAACTGTGATCTGAAGATCTGCGACTTCGGTTTGGCCCGTATTCAAGACCCCCAGATGACCGGATATGTCTCAACGAGATACTACAGAGCGCCGGAGATCATGCTTACATGGCAAAAGTACGATGTTGAGGTAGATATCTGGAGTGCGGGGTGCATTTTCGCGGAGATGTTGGAGGGCAAGCCTTTGTTCCCTGGAAAGGATCACGTCAACCAGTTCTCGATCATCACCGAACTCCTCGGAACACCCCCAGACGATGTTATCCACACTATTGCTAGTGAGAACGTAAGCTTTAGTAAGGCATACTAGTATGCGAGATGCTAATAATTCTCCAGACTTTGAGATTCGTCCAGTCGCTGCCAAAGCGCGAAAGACAACCACTGAAGGATAAGTTCAGAAATGCCGACCCATTAGGTAATTTGCCTACGCTACCGTCATATTCTCAAGTCTAATATCTCGTAGCAATTGCACTTCTCGAAGAAATGCTGGTATTTGATCCACGGAAGCGAGTTAAGGCACCGGAGGCTCTTGCACACGAATACCTCGCGCCATACCACGACCCTACAGATGAGCCTGTAGCTGAGGAGCGGTTTGATTGGTCATTCAATGACGCTGACCTCCCGGTGGATACGTGGAAAATCATGATGTACGAGCAACTTTACGAATACAAAGAAGAGCAGTCTTGAAGGAATAGTGCGTTTTCAACGGCACTATCTTTTGGGATAGGAAGCAGAAGAAGTGTGACTAACTTGGTTTGTTTCTTACAGGTATTCCGAAATCCTTGATTATCACAATGTCGAAAATGGAGGTGATGGACAGGCAATGGAGATGAATGGCAACTAAGTCATCGTTGGGGGAGGGAGAGTTATCGATATCGGAAGGTGTCAAAAATACTATTGCTTGGGAGGAGAGTCTTGAGCCTTGAGCCTTGCATGGAAATGAAATATGATACCGGGTCAGAAGACGAGCAGCGGATTTCTCCTCTTCTTCGTCTTGTGATTATTGCTCTTGGGGTTGGGAGACTGGATTGGGAACTTTGCAACCTCTTTATTTCTTCTTTTTCTCTACTACCACTACCTCGATTTCTGTTGCCCTTTGTCTGTTCTTTCTCTGGCGTCAACGAACACAAATGCATGGAAACGTGGGCAAACCAGGTATCACAGTAGCCTTTTCGTTCTCGCTTGGCTGGGCTGGTGGACTTGGCTGAGTTGGAGTAGACACGAGAAATGGAATGGAACGATGGATGATCGAATGAACAATGAAGCATCCGTCTAACCTATCGTTCAATTTGAATCTCCAGTCTGAGTTATCATTTGAGGTTGAGGTCTGATGTGGCTACCTATTGACTGACGGATGGCTTGAGCTGAACTGGGCGGTGAAGACATGAGCGTGCAAACATCGCTAGAGGAGAGGACATTCCATCCGACTGGGCGGCGGACTGGGCGAATGAAACCAGGATTTTGTCTTCCGCCTTTTCTATAAGTCTGATCCGTTGGCGGAATACGAAACGATAGAAAGGAGGTGAGGTGAGTTGCCGAGACTTGACTGCAGTGTTTCGCTCAGCTGAGTAGGTCTAGCTGAGGTATATCTTTAGAGGTTTTATACAAGAGAGACATGAGAAATTTGCCACTTGGTGATTATCTAATAGAATTGACCCCTTTCACTTAGGTATTGTATCTTCAGCTATTACGGTACGGATATGCAGATTCCGCTCTCCACAGACTCTCGGTAGCTACTCCTATCCTTCCGTCCTCCACCCACTTAAAGGGAACATCTCAACTCATCCCTCCACGACATGACTTGCATAATCGCCATCAACCATACAAAGCATCAAAACCCAAGCCAATCACGTGGATCTCAACGACCCGCATCCCGGTCTACGGGTACTGCATCTCTGATTGGGGCTGAAGTCGAAGGCAAGGAAGCATGCGGTATGTATGTGAGGTTCGCTGGCAGCCATGCAACTTAACTGCACGGAAGCAAGCAAGCAAGCAAACTCAACGGGGAGTTCTCGCCTTTCTGGCGGTCAGCGTATGGATCGACCAATCTAGTTTCATTGTATTGTTATAGTTCGCAGATTGGATATTTACTGCAAAGAGGCCAGGGGGGCGAGTGAAGAGCATGCAGGGGAGGTAATGAGCAATTATAGGCCATAGAAATAGAACATGTATTCTTGCACAAGCCGATGCTGCACGTTTTGACAGATACGACCTGAACAGGATATGGTTACCTTACTTTGGGTACTGCATGGAAACGTGGCTGTTGAATCGCCCTGTTGAGGTGGATCGCATGGCATGGCATGGCATCCGGGTCCGGCAAGCAAGCAAGGAGGACAACTTTATTTTTGATCTGATCTGATCTGATCTGATCCGATCATATCACCCTCATCTCGTCTCGTCTGCACTCATCTGATTGCCCGCCTTCCGCTTGCACATAAACCCCGCCCACGAATAAATGATAAAAAGATTTAAAAAGGACGAAATTTGAGAACCGCGACGGATAACTGCACGACAGGGCGAAACAATTTGAGGGGACCCGCTGGAATCTCGACTATTGCAGATCATTAGGAAGCATGTGTTAAGCCGGGCAAGACGACAACGAGGCCAGGCAAGACAAGACGGGCAGGGCAGAGGACACGATATTGGAAGGCCAGCTTGGGATACTCTCTTCGGCACGACTGCAATTGAGAACGAGGAGTTTTGATAACGAATTGGCACTGGGCTGACTCGAGATAAATTTGGCGGGAGGACACAACCACGGAAGCAAGCAAACACGCAGAAAACCCAGACAAGCAGATCGCAACCATGGAGGCGGACAAGCTGGAGGACAAGATGGAGAATATCGACCTTGATGCCCCGACGCCGAAGGAGAACGAGATTCCTGCTGCTGCTGTTGAGCCTACACCTGCGCCTGAGCTTGTGGCGGGGTCTGGAGCTCCTGTTCCTGCTCCTAGCTCAGAAGCCGGGCATACGTCTACGGTACCTGTGAGTTCGAAGGAGAGCAATGGAATACCTACACCTGCACCAGCAAAGAATGGTACTGCGGGAAATGGAGTGGGGAATGGGTTTGTGCCGCTTGTTACGGTGGTGGGATTTCATCATGCGAGGTGAGATATGGCTCTCTAAGCTCTGAGTTAGGACCGAGGAATGGGAACTAGGGGGTAGGACCTCGATTACGACAATGGGCTGACGAGTACAACAGAGGCCCAGAAGTAGAGAGTTGGTTTGGGGCTCCTGAAGGCGTGGATCCAGCTGTGGACAATGAATGGCCTTTATTACCATTCATGGCGTTGAGTGATGGTGCTCATGTGTAAGTCCATTTCTTCTCCTTCCAAAATACAGCTGGAGCTGTAGGAGGTGGCACTTCTATTGCAACTGCTAACAAACTACCCCAGGTCCACAGAAGACTTCTCCTACTTCACTCTCCTCCGCCCAGCACACGGCGATATCCCCTCCACCTCCCTCTTCGGCATATCCTGTACAAGGCAAATGGATGCCTCCGCTCTCATCAACCGACCTGCAGACGTAACACGTTCAACGGTTCAGAAAGCCGTCGTCGTAATAGCCGACTCGCCGCAGTTCTTCGGCATGCTGCGAGAACGACTGAGCGTGGTTACGAAAGCTTGGTTCGCGCAGAGAGAGTTCACAGACACGGAGATCTTGAAGAGATTCCAGGAGAGTCTGCAAGAAGAGAAAGAGAGGGGTGTGGGACAGGCGGAGGAGGATAGAGAGGAGTATTTAGGCATGAGTTTGAGAGAGCTGGTGAGGGAGTTCAAGGCGCAAACTCTGGTGCTGTTCAAATGTTGTTTGTTGCAGCCGAAGGTATTTTGTTTTTCTCTCCCTCACATTTATGACTCCCTAAATAATGGCTGACTAATCTTGGTGCAGATGCTCTTCTTTGGCTCGAGATGTGAGAGATTATGCATGATGCAATTCTCTCTCATTTCTCTGATACCAGGTCTCATTCGCAATTTGCAGGATTGTGCAGATCCTGATATGGATGCCTATGAACGGCATTTAACGAAACCTACCAGTTTGAAAACCAGTGATCGGAGCTCGTTATTGTCTTATATGGGTTTACCATTACAGATTTTTGGAAAGGTATGTGTTGCACATGACTTGGACTGTAACTTCCTTTGGTGCTTTATATACTGACTCGAACTCAGGGGAGTTTGTTTGGCCCTTATACCCCTTTACAACAACTTGACATATTAGCGGATTACGGAACAAAATCATACATCGTGGGATCAACGAATTCCTTATTATTACAGCAAAAAGATCGATACAGCGATATTCTCATCAATCTAGATAACACAACAATAACTATCACGTCAAGCTCGCTAAGATCAGCATTAGCCCTCTCCGTTGCGGATCGAAGATGGATCGATTTCATCACTCAATCCGTCAACGATACCTGGGACGATGCAAATCCCGGACGACCCAAGACAATGGGCTACGTCGGCTCTGAAGAGTTCATCCGTCTCCAATTCGAGGAATACCTCCTCTCCCTCATCTCGGCAGTCAAATGCCACAATTACCTCCAACACCACGCCAATAACCCCAAAGTCATGCTGCCACACGTCGAAGGCGACCCTGCTCATGATTTCGGAATCGATTGGGTAGAAGCCTGGAGTCGGTCCGAGAACTACCGTATTTGGGACCGCTACACAGACAGCCACCTCTTCGACATCGTCGAGCCCAAACATCCCTGCGCCGGTGGCCTCACAATCGAAGACGTCCAGCGCCGCATGATGGAGCAGGTCAAAGAGTACAAGCTTGACGAGCGCTTCGCGACGGGCAAGGAAGTCCTCGGCCGAAACCTCCAAGCAGGACGCGAAAAAGCTAGCACCGCTTTCAACAAACTGTACGCGGACATTGAAGCCCGGCGTGAGGCCCAGCGGAAGAAATACGAAGAGCAGCGCCGCGAAGCAGAGAAGAATGGCACGGCGCTCCCAAGCCCGGGGTTCACTGCCCCGGATCTGAATGGCGCCAAACAGACAGTGCAGAGCGTAGGTAGTAAAGCAGGTGCGTATATTGGCAGCTGGGGGACTTGGATGGGCGAGAAGAGAAAAACAGGCTGGGGACGCAGCCCCTCTACTTCCGCTGCGCAGCGGAAGGAGAAGGAAACCGTATCTACCTTACCGATCAGACAGCTTGGAACCGCGGGCGAGAAAAAGAGACCCGAGCCCATCAAAACGGACGACAGGCCGAAGACCATGGAGAGTTACGAGGAGAGTCTCTTCGATGCTGAGCACACCTCGCCTCCTAAAAACTTCGACGCAACAGCTTCATCCGTCAAGAGGAAGTCCGTACCTCCGCCGCCTGAAACCTCACCCCGAAAATCAATATCTAAACCTCACCCATCACCCAGAGCAGCCTCTAAATTCCACGAGGAAATGGATGATAACGGGCCGGCTGCGGCGCCTGTTAATGAAGAACATCAGGTTTGGGGCGAGGAGAGGAAGGGGAAGGAGGAGACGGAGGGTGAGAGGAGGGAAAGGAGTAGTGCTGTTGCGGGCGCGGTTGTTGAGGCTACGAAGACGCCTATCTCGCCGTGAGTGTGTCGTTGAGCATGGGCGTGCGTGTTATGTGCTGTATTACGAAGAAGAGACACTCGAGAGTTACCCAGCATCGAAGAACAGTATGGGAACATCATTGGGATGATCCTAAAGCCGTAGCAGGACTTCAGGGGTAAGGAATGACCGACACGGAGAGTCTGGCAGACTGGAAAGGCACTGGAAAGACCTGCAGATATCTCGAAATTGCGGACGTGACAATGGAATCGGTCGGAAAAGGGGGAGACAGAGCAATTAATCAGCCAGCCGGTCAGCAAGCCAGTCGGTAAGTTGAGTTTAGACGCAAGCAAGCAAGCGAGCGAGCGAGCGAGCATTCTGCATCATGGACACGGCGTTGGAGTTGGAGTTGGAGCTCGAGCTGGAGCAGGCGCTCTAGGATGTATGTTTGTTACTGCTTCTTCTAGGCCTGGGACAACCTAAGGTACCTACGCGAGGCAAGTGATGATGGATCAATCAATCAATCAATCAATTAATGAATGGAATCAAATAAAATGAAGCCCCAAAATCCAGACCCTCTCCTCTGATTTCCGCATCTACCTTAGCCCACAGTGCCTTGGATGGTGGATGTGGATGGATTTGAATTTGGAGAAGTGATGATGATTCAGATCTGGGGTATTCAAATAATAACAATTTCCCAGTCATGTCGCTACATTCAGACTTCTTGAGTGTCAAATAAGTAAAGTAACTTATGTCCACCATTCGAGGGCTCAATAAGTTTTTACTTTGAGTCTTCACTTTGATAAAGTCTCATTCTCAACCACCTGCTTTAACATTCATGTCATCTCGATATCAAGTCTCCAAATGCGAGGATTCTGTATTTGATAAGTTTCGAAGAGATACTAGACATTCAAAAACTTCGCATTCACATTCTTACATCCCTGGCTCTCATTACAAGTAGTCTTCCAGAACCCTCCAGATATTGAGACGATATAGAACTCTTGAGGTGTTAGCATAGTCACAAGCAGCACAATCGTTGGACAGAAAACTTATTTGACGGCCGTAAAATCTTTGTGTGCTCATTAACCCCTATCTGCCCAATAACTACCACCCCAATGTCCCAAGTCGTCGAATCCAACCCAAGCCCACGTCATTTTCGTTCCGTATACTCTAGCTATATCTAGATGCTCTATTCTACCCACCACATCTACAACTCGCCCTTCTGCAACCCGGAACCACCTGACTGTCCGGGAGTCAACGGCTCAATATTCCAGATACTCTCCGCATACTCATTAATGCAACGATCACTGCTGAAGAAACCCATGCGAGCCACGCTGGTAATGCACTTGGTGAGCCACTCATCTTGGTTCTTGTAGGCCTCGTCAACCAGAGCTTGGGTCTGGTTGTAGCTGTGGAAGTCGTCCGAGACGAGGTAGTAGTCGCCATGCTCTTCGATAGCTCCGACAAGAGCACCGAATGAGTTGGCATCTCCGAAGGTGTTCTTCTTGATGGCCTCGAAAACGGCGCTGAGATCAGGGTCGAGAGTGTGGGAGCCGTAGTTGTGGGCATGGCGAAGATCCTCAACGTCCTCGGCCAAGTTCCCGAAGAGGAAGATGTTGTTCTCGCCAATTTCACGGGTGATTTCGATCTAAATCTGTCAGCATAATACACACATCGGGACGAGTTAACTTACGTTGGCTCCATCACAAGTACCGATAATCAAACCACCGTTCAAGACAAACTTCATATTTGAAGTACCACTTGCCTCAGTACCAGCAGTCGAGATGTGCTCACTGATATCACTCGCGGGGATAATGATCTCAGCCTTCGAGACATTGTAATCCTCCAAGAAGATGACCTTCAAGAGATCTCCAACATCCTTGTCATTGTTAACGACAGCACCAACGCTGTTGATGAGATGGATAATGGTCTTTGCCATCCAGTATCCAGGTGCAGCCTTACCACCAAAGATCGATACTCTTGGTGCAAGCTTCTTTCTCTCCGCTGCGGTCATTGACTTGATTGTGAGATATCTGTGAATGACACCAAAGATGTTCATTTGTTGACGCTTGTACTCGTGTATCCGCTTGACTTGGATATCGAACAAAGCAGCTGGGTTGACTGTAACACCAGTCGTAGTCTGAATATGCTTCGCAAGGCGGACCTTGTTGGCGTACTTGATCTCTGCCCATTCCTTCTTGAAATCTTTGTCATCAACATACTTCTCGAGCTCGTTGAGATTGTTGAGATCCTTGAGGAATCCAAGGCTACCTCCAGTCTTGCTTGCAATCAACTCAGAAAGTCTGGGGTTGGCTTGGTGCAACCAACGTCTTGGGGTGATACCGTTTGTCACGTTAGTGAACTTATCGGGACCGAAAACCTTGACAAAGTCTCTGAAGATGGTCGTCTTGATCAGATCAGAATGCAATTCTGCAACACCGTTGACCTTGTGGGATCCGACAATAGCCAAGTAAGCCATGCGGACCATCTTCGGCTGCGATTCCTCGATGATTGACACTCGTGAAAGAAGATCTCTCTCATTGGGGAATTTGCGCTCAACGCTTTGTAGGAAGAGCAAGTTGATCTCGTAAATGATCTGGAGATGTCTTGGGAGCAAGTTCTGGAAAAGTGGAACAGACCACTTCTCAAGTGCTTCCGGGAGAACTGTGTGGTTGGTGTAGCCGAACTGAAAAGGGTTAGCGAGATTACAGTGGGAAATCCGTGTTTACTTACAGTCTGCGAGACAATGCCCCATGCCTCGTCCCATTCAAGGCCTTCTTGGTCAATGAGAATACGCTGAAGCTCAACAATAGCAAGTGTTGGATGGGTATCGTTTAACTGAATGGCAACCTGGTCGGCAAATTCGCTCCACGCACGCTTGGACTTCTTGAATCGGCGGACAATGTCGTACAACGATGCAGCAACCCAGAAGTACTGTTGCTTCAAGCGAAGCTCCTTACCACGGTCGAGGTTATCGTTAGGATACAGGACAGCGCTGATGGTCTCTGCGCGCTGTTGGTCTGCAACGGAGCTCTCATAGTCACCGCTGTTGAACTTCTGGAAATCGAACTCTCCACTGGCGGCTTTGCTGGACCAGAGACGCAAATTGTTGGTAGTCGCAGTGTCGAAACCTGGGACTGGCACATCATAGGCAACAGCCTTGACGATCTCTCCGCCTTCCCAAGAAACCTTGCTAACGCCTTCCGCGTCCTGGTATTTTCTGACGTGACCGTAGAATTGGATCTACGAAGGGTCAGTCCACCAAATCACAGAGCTGAGGAACACTACTCACATCTACGACGATATCGTGTCTGGGAAATTCCCAAGGATTGAAATCAAGCCAGTAGTCAGGAACTTCGACTTGGTATCCATCCACAATTTCTTGCTTGAAAATACCATATCTGTATCTCAGTCCGTAGCCCCAAGCTGGGTAGTTGAGAGAAGCCATTGAGTCGAGGAAACAAGCTGCCAGTCGTCCAAGACCACCGTTTCCAAGCGCAGCATCGTGTTCTTGGTTAATGATATCTTCGATACGGAAACCAAGGTCGGAAAGTCCCTCTGCAGGACTGTTAGCAAGTTCCGTAAATACTGGAAACAATGAGAGAAATCATACCCTTAGCAACATTCTTGAGCCCTACATTCAGCATAGCATTGTCCAAAGCTCTGCCCATCAAGAACTCCAAGCTGAGGTAGTAGACTCTCTTGCTATCAGCAAAAGTCTGTCTCTGTTGTGTGCGATTCCAGTCGGTGATGAGACGGTCTCTGAAAGCCAAACTAGCAGCGGCGTAGGCGGCAGTCTCGTCGCAATTGAACATGCTACGAGCAAGTGTGGTTTCGACATGTCTGACTACCTCTTTCTCGAAGTCCTCCTTGTCTTTGAAGCCGTTGGGTGCGTACTTCTTCCATGCTGCACGCTGGGGTTCGGGGATGGAAGCTGGCAAAACATAATCGTCAGCATGGCACAGGGTTGACAAATGACAAGTGTTGGTTGCTGGAATTCAATATATAATACGAATCCCAGAAATTGTCCTGGAAAGATCGTTGGGATGGGAATTGTAGAAGCACATGCCAACACCAAGCAAGCTCCATTCCCGCCAAAATGAGGGGAAAAGCTAAATCGTCGGAGGAAAGAATGAAAAGCAAACTCACCCTCAACAGTCTTAATCTCACCAGCTCCGAAGCCAGTAAATGTTCTCTTGTGCTTTGGTCTCGAGAAACCCGGGCCAACCGGTCCCTGGAGCTCAGAGATCGGCGCACTGGTCGAGGGACGACGCTCTCTCATGCCAGGGAATGCACTCGCCATTTTTGGAAGCTGCTCGTTGCAATTGTAGCTTGATGAATCCTTTCTGGAAAGGATATATATGTTTAGGAAGAAGGACGAGAGGGAGAGCAAGTGGGAAATATGTTGAGAGGGTCGAGAACTCGTAGAGAGCTGTCTGTGGGAGCTAGTTGCAGACGCGGGATAGTGGATTGGGATGGGGCTTGTAGGGTATTGCTTGGTGTTGGTGGAGCTGGCCAGTGGCAGAGGTGCGGGGTCGAGTCTGGAGAGATAACGGCGATCAACGAGGGGAAGGGAGAAGTTGTTATTTATAAACGAGAGGCGTGGCGGGCACGCAATTGAAGGGGGAGGATGAAAGTAGAGTGAATAACCTCGTGACGAATGTTCTGTTAACGATAATTGTGAGTTTTTAGGAGGAGGTGATTCACAAAGGAGTAGTTGATAGGGTTGTTGATATGGTTTGCCGGGTATTATGAAGGAGGAGTGAAGAAGAATGTTTTGGAGGGAAAAGCTGGAGATGAAATGAAAGAGAAGAAAGAGACAACGACTACAAGAAGAAAGCAAGACACAGAGCTCTTTCCTCCCCTGCGTGCTTTCCCCTCGTATGACTTTGGGCAAGTGCAGGCACATTTCAATTCAGTTCCCTTAGCTAGCTAGTAGCTACCTACCCACTTTCCTACAGTAATCGATCGCTACCTTAGCTGTCTCTGTGTTCAGAATGTCCATGGGCACGTTCATGTTCATGTCCGGGATGCGGGTTCGCGCTTGCCGCCCACGGCCCATCTCTGGTGGGGTTGAGTAGTTGGCTGGAGCTTCTCGGCGCTTTCAGCCCATAGCCGTAGCCGAAGCCGAAGCCGAAGCCCAGTCCAGCCAGTGAACCGCCCGCAAGGAGGCACAGGCGAGACAGGCGAGACACGGCACTGGAGCGAGCCGATGCAAAGACCAGGGAGAGGCCATGCCTTGAGTCCTTGACAGAGGTGGAGGTGGATTGGAGCAGGGTCCCTACCATTGGAGAGCTCAGACAGTACAGTACAGAATAGGACAGGACAGGAATGGCAAGAGAGACAGCCTGTCAGAAGTGGCCTGCTATGATACCATACTGGTGCTATTCCACGATATACTTTCTTGCTTGCTGACTCTCTTTCACACAATCCATGCATCGGTCTTATCCCGACACCATACATGGGGTGAATGGGCAAAGCATGGGCAGAGGATAGCTCACATCACTCGACAAGTCGGTGAGATGAGGTCATTGGTTCCATCTACCTTGCCGTCCTTCAATTGGCATCCGGCATGCGGAATAGATTGAATTCTCACCAGCGAGAATGGAATGCCATCCATCGCACGCAATAATAACAGCGAGGCGGGTGATACAGTAGGTAGGTATTCGGCTTTCGCCAGTTCACCGTGCAGTTGGTTGCAAGCAGCCTGCGCTACATCTGAGTGGATCCTCTCCACAAGGATGCTGAACAACCAGACTGCAAGCAGCAGCAAAATGTCATGACTTGCCTAAAGTCCTGATTACCCCCCTTGTAAGCTTTTATAGTGGGTATAGACGGACGATGGTGGTTGAGAAGGTAGGTGGGCGAGGGTATCAACTGGAGGAGACGAGAAAGACGGTGTAACAATGGGATTGAACCCCACTTCGAATTGACTGGCTGCAGGGCTGTCTCTTCACTCGAGCACATTAAATCCGCCGGTATGGTGTCAGCTGTAACTAATGACCTTGTGTACGTTTCTCTGATCCTTATCCTCTTTTGTCTTTCAATAATGCTCATATTACAGCATTAGATCTGGATCAATTTACCATCCACCACGAGCGAAGTCCGCCACAGTCGAAAGATATCACTCTTGAACTCAATCTCACGAGCCTCGAAACGAAGCCGACCAGATCAGACCACGCCTCGACTTGACATTCAGTTTCGTATTTACATGGATAGTTATCCTATCCCATTCCATTCCTTTCCTGTTGCCAGTATATCTTCAGGTGTGCTTTTAACCCGCAATAGCTTTCCTACTTAAATTCGTCAACCCTCGTTGCTTTCCTGCTTCGTTCCTCCCTCCTCCCTCCCTCCACACTCTCTTCTCGAAAATACACATAAAAAGAAAAGATACTAGTTGTAGGGGGAGACCCGACCAACGCTTTCTTCAAAACAACAATGCGTAGATGAGCAAGTGAGTGAGCACATAAGATAGATGTATGTGCGACAGTTGTAACTATATAGCTCTGTCCGTCCATACGGCACTTGTAGTAGAGACGAGCTAGTACACCCCATTTGGTTGAACGAATCCTCCACCGAGTAAATAGATACGCTAGTTCAGGCCAGACGCATGCATGCATTTCATCCATCCATCCACCGTCCAACCAAGCCACCCACCCTTCCTCCCATAGTGGCCCAAAACCCACGCGTGAAACAAAATAAACATTTCGACTCAATTCGATTCGATATCGTGGTGAGACAGCCACTCCATCCATCCCAGAACTCCCGTAAACTCCCCAGCGAACAATTTCGAAAGCCAACGCCGGCGCCAATGACGTGTGAGGCCTTATTTCCAGAAGACAGAGAATGACATAGACGATAAAGGGAAATACTAGGGCATTCATGATGATGTCGTAAATTACGGTTTCGGATCAGAGGATTCCCGAATCTTTAAGTGCGTTTTGAAGAATCGTCTCCTTCACCGCTGCGAAGACAAGCCGGATATTCGATGTATCCGTAGCTTGTGTGAGACTTTATTGGTCAGCTCCTGCTTGTGACAAGGGAAAAGGAACATTTTGACTTACTGAGGGTAGAGATTCAGATGTGCTCTATTTACTTGGTTGAACCTCCAAAGCAAGTATTTCGATGCTCTGTTGATATCGTTCCCACCCGAGTAATCAGGGAAGTAATTGCTGAGAGGTGACCGTCCCAGCTTTTGCCGGAAGAGATCCACCTTATTGAGGAAAAGAATGATACTTGTCCGCATAAACCACCGTGAATTGACTACCGAGTCAAAAAGGACTAGACTTTCCATCATGCGATTCTAAATCCTGTTAGTGGGGAGCAAATCAATCCTGCGGTGGCACCTACTTGGTTGCTCTCTTCCAAGAGAACTTGATCGTACTCGCTCAGAGCCACGCAGAAAATGATCGATGTGACATTCTCAAAGCAATGAATCCACTTCTTTCTCTCACTCCGTTGACCCCCAACATCGAACATACTAGCCAGCCGTTAGCCCGAACTCACTATGCAGGTTCTTTCTACTCACTGTATGCTCAAGGACCCCATTGTGAATCTTGTCTCATATATACCCGTCGTCTTCGTTCTCGCTCTTAATACATCCGCCTCTATTGGTATGTACTCGGGTGCCGAAATTCTTTCGGCCTCTCCAAAGAAACTGGACGGCGTTAATATTGCTTCGCCAATATATGCCGAAATGACCTACTATGGTGCAGAATCCATCAAGTAGAATTCGCTTTGCCTCTCCATTAACGTCTTTATGCTTGGGTCCTGCCATAGTGAAATGACTGCAACCCCAACCTGTGTACTGAGCGGCGTATGTGGATCCGAGACGACTTGGTACTCCATCAAGTAGTCGCTATATTCAACATTCGCAGGAGTTGTAGGCTCGATCCCAAACTGCCGCATCGCCCCAATCAACGCTTTCGCGCAATCAATCAGATTCTTGTAAATGGTCAATCGATAGAGCGCCAATTCGTCCACGGTGTATCCGTTCTGGTGGATAATCTTCATCTGCTTGACAATAGTCGACTTCCCGCTCTCTCCGGATCCTAGAACAAATGTTATTCAATGGCCAACTCCTTCGTTCCATGCGCAATGCATACCCAGAAGCAAAATTTTGCATTCTCGTCGGAGCCTTCTGGAGTCTTCCTCCAGCTTCTTGTCAATCATCTGACTCCTCTTCTTCTGCTCCGACTCGTCGCCATTCGAACTCATGCAAGCACCCATTTTCCTGCTTCTCTAGCTGCCAGCGCAGCCTATTTTTTGGGAAGCGTATTACAGGTGGCGGATCTGCAAACGAGCCTCGTCAATGCCGGACTCGAATCGTGAGTGTGCCCGGGGTTTAACGTCGAGGTAGTGAGGGAACAATCTCTAGGCAAGATTCCGTCCGGATTGATCCTCGAAGCTTCGTTGAGATCAAGTTGAGAATGGCCATCCAGGGTTGAGGGTTTGATCAATTCCCGGGAACTCGTCGTGGCGCGCGCAATAATGATTCCGAGTCAGTCGAGGGTAGCAGTCTGTTCGCTGGCTGCCCAGACAATGTTCCGTAGGCTGCCCGCAGTAAGTGATGCCGTGAAGCGGTTGATATGGAGAAGCGGTTATCCGAGGCAGCAGGATCGCGAGGGTAATTGTCGAATGGCGTCCAGAAACAGCCAGCAAGTTTGCGCCTTGTAACAGGATAGGCGACGAATGAGCCCGGCGTATATAGTGGCGATATAGATGGAATTGCGAGAATCGACGACGAGGTCGAAGGTCGAGGGAGGTGAGGTGAGGTGAGGTTAGGATCGGAGGTCGAAGCTCTGGGGTAGGAAGTTTTGGTGACGGGCTGCGGAGTCAAACTACAGTAGTATGGTTGGGTAGTGGGTGGGTTGGTCTGGTGAGTTGGAGGTAGGGTATGAAGAGAGAAGGGCGCCTGAACGAATTGGGCGAGAGGCTGAGTCGGCCGGGTCCACGTTTCCTTCTTTTCCAGCGAGCTGTGCTGTGCAGTGCAGTGCAGTGCAGTGCAGTGCAGCAATCACAGTAATACTATTATGCCAGCACGGAAGAGCTGGCTGTGGTGCTTGAGGGAGGATGTATGGATTGGATAATTCGCATTCGGCGTTCGCAGATAATCGAAGACAGTGGCCAGGCCAGGCGATGGCCAAGCTGTTGGAGGCAGAAACAGAGACACAAATGTCTCGAGTCTAATAGTAGTCACTTAGTGGGTGGACGTGGAGGTGGAGGCCACACCAGCCAAACAACCTTGAAAAGAACCCTACCAGCAGCCAGCAGCCAACCGCAGCAGATGAGAGAGGGCAACGGGGAAGGCGAGGGCGAGGGCGATTGCGATTGCAAGCAGCGATAGATTATGCGGTCTTCTCTCGTCAGCAATAGAGGCGGTATAAGTATTCTTAGCCGGCGCTTCGTAAACACGCAGGCAGGCAGACAAGCAGACAGATATGCAGTCAGGACGACAGTGCAGTCAGAAATGGGGTAATTGTAATTGGAGGCAATTGCAAGCCGGCAAGGACGCAAGCAGTGATGCTTTGCAGTAGGGAATAGTCTAGTGGAGTGGAGTCAGTCGAAATTGAAGCTGCACAATTAGGTGCAGCTCAGGAACAGAACAGAGCAGAGCAGAAAAGATTCGGAGAATCCGGCGAGAAGCCCGCAATGGTGTTGACATGAGACGAGACTGCTACATCGTCGGACCGGGAGAACGAAGCAGAGTAAAATCAAAAGCCAGTAGTCGTCCAGGCCAACAGTGCTGTAAAATAGACTTTGCTATGAGTTTGGTTGCGTTGCATTGCATTGTCCGTGAGATCCTGGCTGGGCTGAGGAGTGGCTCTGGCTGTTGCTCCGTGCTGGCTTCACATCAAAGAGTCCGGGCGCCTGTGCGGGACAGTTCGTCTCAGAGCCACGGCCACCAGCGAGTCTGAATGCGGAAGAGCTCGAAGTCTGGACGGCGACTCTAATACTGGGCGACGCCGGCACACCAAATTTGGCATCTCGGGATGAGCTGGCTCGACGAAGATCTAAATAATAATGAAGTACATAGGGGACAATCCCCATTGTCACCTAGAATCATTCACACCTCACGACTTCTTGCACTTTTAGGCTCTTGATACACCGTCGTTGCACACTGGCTGTACGCAATTAAAGATAGTCCGTCAGCACCTCGATTTGCTCTAGGGACAGACAGTAACACGGAGAACACCATCGGAGGTAAGGAGGTCTGACAGACCCTCTCACAGATTGTGGCAGCACATGAGGCGCAGGTGGGAAGTCAACGAGCGATAGGAAAACGCGAACACTCAACCCGGCGACATACATCTGACAGGAAGATATTCTGGTTTGATCGGCCTCAATTGACCTTCAGCTCCTGTCATAACAATGCCAATGGCTAGGCGACCCCCAAATGTCTAAGCCCAGTTTTGCGACACAGAAGGGCAGATAGCCGTGCCTCGCAAAAATGTTGAAAAGAAGCATATCAAAAGTATATTTAACCAACTGGCCCCGAGCCAAGGGAGTGGTGTATGCGCCAATGCGTAGTCAGTGATGGGCTGTCAACATCAGCACCAAGCTGAAAGAATATGAGCTTGGAATAGAGCCAAAAGTACCGCGTCTTCCCCCAATAATCCTCGAAAGCCTCAGAGCAGCAGAAATGTGCAAGGCAGATTTCGTTTTCCATCGATCTGAAGACGTCCCCGAACTTCCACGTGCAAGTCCAGGATTACTCGTTCTGGGGATCGGGGCATCGTGGCACACAGGGGTTCACTTGGCGCCCTGCATCTCATTTCTCATGCCTGCCCGTACCAAATTTCTATTCTTACCATCCTGGCGGGTCAACAAAATAATTGGCTTGTTTACCTCTCATATGGTTCGTTATTGACTTGAAACGCTCAGATCCGGATGTCAAAACGGCCCATCACACCGAATTCTCTGCGAGCCCTCGGGAATTACCCAGGGAAGACGCTGTACGAAAGTACATGAAAGAAAGCCTTCTCGTCTCCAAACAACACCCACCTCAGCCCACAATCATAGCAATGTCACACGAAATATCCTCTCCCACCCCTCTCATCAACAGATCACCAACCACCAAATCAGCCAAGGCAACACAAGCCGCCGCCGAACAATGATCTCCCCCAATAATCGACCGACGATCCGGTCAGAAAAAGGGGTCCAGTCGTCTCCATCCCCATCCATCTCGATTCTCCAGTCATCGAATCACACCCTAACCCATGTCAACCACGCGGCTCCGGGCTCGCTTTGACCTACGGAGAATCTGGATCATGAAAAAAATCGGAACGACTCCCGGAAAAGCAAATACAGGTCAACACAGACCACCGTTCACTCTGCAAGCCTCCGACGAGTCTTCAACAACTCAGAAGAGACATAAGAAAGCCGCCGTCACATTCTTACTGCAGAAAGATACACAAATAGCAAAGATCTCCCTTCCTTCGGTCTGCATCAAAGCAAGCCACAACACAGCTGATCTGAATCACACAATCACCATCTGCCCAAGCCTAAAGAGAAAGGAGCATAGAAAAGACAGGCCTACAGTAAAAAGAAAAACGAAATAGACGCCCATTCCCCAGGAACCTGTCGTCCCCTCCCAGCCCCCCAGCCCCCCATCCCCTCACATCTCAATCAGTCCCTAAACCTAGATATCAAACAGCAACACAACCGCTGCACCTCTCCCCTTTCCCCAACAAATCAGTCAAGCCAGCTAGCCACTTGGTCCTTGCCCACTGCGCAGGAACGTTCCGAAAGCATGGTTCGCAACGAGGTCCTCCCTACCTACCAGCTACCTACTACAGTACCTATGCAGCCCCAACCTTCCTCACATCCATGATCCATCCCCACCTCAGTAGTCCCTCCCAGCCTCCCTCACATGAGACTTCTCGCTTTAAGCTTGACCTCCACCTTCCTAAACACCACGTTGCGACAGGGAAAGCGTTTCATCTGTTCTGTTTATGTACTGTATGTAAACTTCAACTGCGACGCGACGCACGACTCGCGAGGTAGTCCGTCCGACAGTGGTGGTGCTCAGACCGGACGTTTATTTAATTGGATTTCGGGTTCTTCCTTGTTTACTTACATGTACTGTAATGCTTTGGATTCTCCACGTGGTAGTGTCGGACTCATGCTCATGCTCATGCTCATGCTCATACTCATACTCGCACTCGTACTTCCTACAGAGATAAGCCATACTTCTCTCCCTTAATCACGCCTCTCATTGCAAAATAAACAGCGAGACCTCATTTTATGAATCTCGCATTTTTTATGATCCCGGGTCTGGGGGCTGCATTGATAAGGTGCAATTCCCATCTTCACAAAATAAAAGAGACGACGGTGACGGTATCTGGATTGGAATGGGGGAAAGTGGACTGAGTGCCGGCCAAGGTATCTACCGTAACAATCAAAAGAAGAGTAATATGTTGCACAACTCCTGCTATCCCTTTCCTCGTAGTCTGTCTGTCTGTGTGCCGTGGCCGTCCCCTCCGTTACCGCTACTACCCTTAGAGCAAATGCCTATTTTATTCGTTCGCGTGCCGTAAGTCATTAGAGAGAGCAGTTTCCCTAAGATTTTCATGTTGTCCTCACACGCCACACTACCATTCATCCTCCGCTGTGACGTGACTGACATAAAGAAAAAAGGGACACTGCTTTGCTCATGTTCATGATATGCACTGAAAAGAATAGCAACCGCCCATATGCAAATCGCAGAAGAGAGACCAGTTTGCGGGATATCCTTTCCTTTGGCGGATGGTCCACGCCTCCCAAATAATAACTCCTCAGTCCTGATGCTGCCTCGATTATTACACGGCAACATTGTCTAATGAACCAGTAGCAGTGATGTGGAAAACAAGAAAGGAAACGTTTTCATGCGAGATAACCCAACTCATCGTCGTCGAGACGCTCCAGATACTCCTTCTCCAGTAAGATATCGATACACTTCTTGATATCTGGGATCTTCGGGATGAAGCGGGTCTTGATTTGGTTGATGCACTCGCTGACGAGCTGGGTATGCTTCATCTTCTTGCGGGCCTTCATGATGCGTACGATGGCAGACTATTCAGGGTTAGTTTGGGCCGATATATTAGGATCTTGTCACCGCTTACCTGCATGAGTAGCTTTCTGTCCTCTTCAATGGTCTTGTGGGTCTCATCAACCTCTTGCTTCTGCTCAGACTTGACTGCAATGTTCAAGTTGACACGGATCTTCTTGCTCTTGAAGTCGTAATTAAGCGCGAATGTCTTCCCTGGGCCTGGCTTATCCCCATCAGGTGACATTGTCAGAACCTTGGCCTTCAAGAAGATCGCTAGCGAAGGATCGAGGACTTCGGATTGCAGTTGGGTGGCTTTAACAATATCGTCGTAGCTATTCTTGTCGCTATCATTGAAAAGGAGCAAGACAGCCATTTGATACGTTGAAACTTGGAAGGTGTAAGGGGTCTTCATGTTCTTGGGGTAGTTAACCTTAACTTCTCCCTTGCATAATTGCCAGAGCCAGGTAAGCTTTCGGCCGTTGTGCTTCTGGCTGTAGAAAGTCTGGAAGCGCTCATAGGCCTTAGAAATCTCTGCTGGTGGCGAGAAATCAGTATTTGGAGGATTCAATGGCCAGAAACCGGTACCCAAGATCGAGTAAGTGGCATCGACTGGCTTAGCATCTCCGGGCTCCTGCAACTTCCCTTCAAACTCCTTGAACCCAGTGTTCAAATCCTTGGAGATCTGGATATCCTGGAACATGCGTTGGAGCTTGTTGGTGTACTCGTAACCACACGCCTCTTTCAATTTGCTGATCATGCTAGTTTCGGCATCGTCAGATGACGAGCTGGTGTGAACGAGTCGACGGGCCAACATTCTGGAGTAGAACTTCTGGAAGACGTCCTTGTCCTCAATATACTTGAACACAGTCATGATCTGCGTTAAAGAATTCTCAAGATCGCTCTCTTCAGCTCCACTGGCACTCTTCTTCAAAAGGGCATCAGCATACTTAGCAAGCAATTCTGGCGATTTATTTGATCCAGATTTGCAGACCTGATTGCGGTTGACAAACTCTCTGCAAGCATTGTCGAGAGATCTGGTAAACTCGGGCTCATCCTTGAAAGCTTGCTTGACGAGTCCTTGATATTGAGTGTGGATCTCAAGGAGGGCGTCGACGTATACCTTTGGCTCCAGCTTGTCCGCATCAACAGAAACCTTGGCAACAGCGGCGAGTCCAGCCTTTCGGACATGAGCCTCGAATTTAGCCCGGAGAGGGTCAAGACCGTCGGGTATTCTGTTCAGTAGGTTGTACATGCGCTGCATGTCATCATATCGATCATTGTCCAACAAAATCTGGAATTCGTCTCGCAGGATAGCTGAATGGTCGGCAATAAGGGCGGTATTGCAGCACTTCTTCAGTGGCAGGATGATGTCTTGGTGCAAATACATATTGACGCGCTCCTCCTCTTCATCCAAACGGGTCTCGGCTTTCTTCATATACTCCACGATACTGTTTTCGGCCACAAACTGCTTCGATTCCGCCTGGTAGAACACCTTCGTGGCTTCTAAGAACGGCTTCTCAAAGTTGAATCTGTACACGTCCAGAGTAGATTTCGTGGGGTCGGCCTCGTCCAAACCAAGGGAAACGAACGAGTCCACGATACTCTTTATCTGGCTGTGCTCGATTGTCTCACCGTGACGTTGTCTCTCAACCATCTTCAACACAGCCTCCATAACCTTCTCATGAACCTTTTGGAATAATGTAACCCGCCATTGCACAAGATGGAGTGTGTAGACGTCGTAGATATTCTTCTTTCCCTCATCCATTTCCCGCTTCACCCAATGTCTGTTAAGGTATCGGAACAAATGGTTGATATATTTGGCAGCTGTAGTGTAGCGGTCCCATTCGCGAATGTAGAAGGAGAGGAGAGCTTCATCGGTATGGGTTTTCGACTTCTCCACCAGATCTTCGAGGTATCCCGTCAGGTAGGTGATTAGGTTGTTGTACAGATCTTCTCCAAGAAGGTGGGCTGCACCATGTTAGCTAGACGTTGAGGAGGGAAAGAGATTCGGGTTGACGACGAGGAAGAATCTCATACTGACCTCCACGGTGTGCCCCTCCGATGAGACCTTGGTTTGTGTTGCTTACGGCCTTTTGTGATGTGCAGAAGTTATGGACGGCGCTGAGCACATTTTAGCCTTACTCCGAACGCAGCGCGAATACAACTTACGTGTAAACTCCCATGTATGTTTGCATATCCATGCCATCCTGTAAGTTACTCATGATCTTTGAGACTCCGGCTTCGAGGTACCTCCATCTGCAGCCTGTCAGTATTCACCTTCAGTCAAGATGGGGGAAAGACGTACGTTGCTGCCAAATCCTCTCTGTTCGGAACTGGAGGCATGGTTGCCGCACTGGGCGTACGAGTTGCAACTGACATCTTGACACCCTGCAAGCTGTTGTAGTCTGTAACGATATGTCAAGGGTAGAGATGGTGGTTGGTTTCCTTTTCGCGTGGTGGAGTGTGGGGTGATAGAGGGGTGAGGTTTCCTGATCGGCTTGACGAGGAATTCAGGCAGAGCACCAATATCTGTCACCGTGAATCCACGTATTCACGTCAGGAAAAGTGAACAGTAAACTTCCCGCCCTCAAGGCTGCACGCTCAAGGATCGCGACAATCGGGCAGGCAGGCGAGCTCGGTTCAAACGCTGAGGGAGGAACTCGAAGCCGGATGGCACTGTAAAGAGTGCAATGGGAACAAGGATGCGGCGGAGGGAGAGTGAGAGCTTGTGCAGGTATGTTTCCTACGACAGTGTTCTGGGAGAGGAAGGAGGGAGTTTTCTCGAGTTGGCTCGAAAGATGATGGGGAATCACGAATATGATGACCTGGGCAGCTTGAGGCGGCAGCTACCTAGTACCAGGCAGCCCTGAGTCCTCAGGCACGCGATTTTAGCTTCCCGCCGGAGTCACTCGCCATGCTACCTTATGACCACCTGCACCGTGACTTTCATGACAACAGGACCCTTTTCTTGTCCGTCGGCAAGAAATATTTACGGATATCAGGCTTTGTGGATTTATGTAATCACTTAATATTCTTACCTAGGGGCTAATGACTTTTCTTGACTCGTCTTGCACACTATTTTTAACCATCTAGGTGTTCCGACCGTTTCTGCGGAAGCTTCAAGCTCTGAGCTCCTCCTTGACCCCTTGAACCCTGAAAAAAAAAACCGTTTTGTTGTTGTTATGGTCACTACTAGTAGACAAGCTCTTTGTTTCAGCTTCGCTTGGAGTGTTGATGGTGATGTTTCAAACCTGATAACCTCGTACTCTTCGCCTAATTTGGCACCCAGACAAAGAGTTGAAACGCATAGAGAAGCTTATTCTAGCATATGGTTTCCATGCTTGGCTAGATTGAGTTCGGAGCGTCTCAATTGTTCAATTTTGCTGTCCTAAGCTACGACGAATATAATCGGATATGCTCCCGCCAACTTCAAATGAACTTTCTCCTTCTAAGAAATGCGGTTCGTCCCATGAAAACCCGCTCATGTTCCCACACAGCTCATTATTAATTTGAGAGTATCAGCTCTTCGATGGCGCAGCTTAACCTTACCCCCATTAGTTATCTTCAGGTCTCCAAATATCATATTCCTCGCCACAATCTTATTCCGAATACATCGATCCAGAACAAGCCTCTTCTCATCTACCACTCATGCTTTCCTGTCACAGCATCCGCGGCTGCCATCGAGGCCCATCTGGAAGCTGTTGGGGTTGTCATTCCTCAATGGAGGTACACCTTGTAGTATGTTCCTTGGTGACCTTTCCCAGCACTCCAACCAGCTCCACATCAGATCTCATTTCCAGATGCATGCTTCTTGAGGACTCATCTCACTTCTTGATGCAGCTGGCGGTACTGACTCGTAGACTTCTGTAGTGATATAACCCATTTCCACACCACAACCCACGAGGTATTATGTGTGTGTTCTGGCCGTGCTAAGCTATGTAAGTTTATCAAATCCTGCTAATGAAAGAGCAGAACTGGTGTCGAAAAGAACTGACAGGCTGTAAGGTTTTGGCCATGAAGCCAACCCGGAAAAATTGGAAGTCATGGTGGAGAAAGGAGATGTCCTCATAATCCCCGCTGGCGTGGGACACCGACTTCTCGACGACTTCCGGAGCGGTTTTGAATTGGTAGGAAGTTATCCCAGAGGAATGCACTGCGATATGTGTTGTGGGAAGAACGGCGAATCTGGTAAGATCAATGGCATAGCTGGCTTGCCGTGGTTCGAAAAGGATCCTGTGTATGGAGATGGAGGTCCTCTGCTTAAAGCCTGAAAATATAATTGCCAATCACCTTTCAACTTTATTCGACCAACATCTGCTTCTGACTCTGAGGGCTATTTTTATGTGGACATAATTTCCTGATCACTTTTGTTTCTACATCATGAGCAAATGCTCTGGTTAGAATGCGCCCAACTCCTCGCTTGATGTTTCCGACGCCTGCACATCAAGAATTTCTATTCTGTCCATCAGTCTGCCTCCTCTCTACCCCCAACTCTTTCAACTAGTCTAAAATTGGTTAGTATACGTGATTGACGTGGAGCGAGGACCTTTTGGTACCTGAATATGCTAACGGCGAATGTCAGACTCCAAGCGATTAAGGCTATCATTAGAATTGCACAGAGTGCTTTGACCCTCCCACAGACAATGCTATTGGTATCGGTATCAGGCCCTACCCTGCATGCCCCAGAGCGGTCTGTTAATGCTGTAAATGAAAGAGCCAAGTTTGCAGATTCGAATATTATGAAAAAGAGATCTAGAAGAACAAGTCGAATTTTGGCCTTGGGAGATCGCAGGCCTAAAGGCTTCCCAGTGTATTCGTCGTAAGTGATGTACAAGATATATGGAATTGCAACCACGTCGACCACGATCGCCATGGTTGTGGAAGCGTTCTGAGCATAGGTATATTTGTTGGAAAGATGGTGGACGGAAGAGGAAATGGCCAGAGCGACTATGGATGTGGTAAGAACTGTCACTCGGAAAACGAGAGGTACGAGTGCGTGCAAAAGAAGAGCACGCTAAACAAGTCAATGTCTGGTCCTCAAATGGATCTCCATACATACCTGGAACCGCACTAGTAAGCTTTTCCGCTTCTTCTTACTGTAAATGAGTGCAGAGAATTTTTCGGAACCTTCACCTTGCTCCAAATCACCTCGCCATGGTCTTTCGTATCCAGGTGTCTGCTGCTGGAGGAACTCGGGGGTAACGATTTTCCGATCTTCGTTTGGTGCTGGAGCATACATAGACGATCTGATGAAGGGTACCCAAGGAGAGGCGGTTGGTACATCGCCTCCTTGCATGATCACCGGCTCTGCATCTCTGATATGGTCCCATTTCCGGCCTTTCACAGGTTCCCTATGACCCCCAAAGAACCCTGTCTCCGGCTTCTTCCCATTTGAGCCCTCCTTTACTGTCTCGACAAAGCCATCCTGGGATGTTCGCCGGGCGACGGTTGGTGCAGGTGCATAGTGGTGCTGCGCAGGATGGGCTCTAGGGAGAGATGATATCATTTGAGCCGGGGCTTTCAGATTGCCGTCGTCTTCCTCTTCGTATGAGGCTACCCAGGCTACCAAGAATCAGTGACTTGTGTCCAGTTATTGGAGAAGGTACCTACGAGGAATTGATTTGACAGCTCTTTGAGCGACGACATTCTTCCCATGAGTACTCCCGGAGCCTTGGGTGTTCTGCGAAGAGGAGGAATAAGCGGCAGGCCGAGTCTGGGAACTTCTCTTCGTTCTCATCGCCGCTTCGCCCGACGAAGCGCTGGAGGAAGACGGCTGCCTCTGAGCTTGAGGTGAAGGGCCATATTGTAAAAGATGGTGCGAGTCGAGTTGGGCTCGCGGAGCTGAGGCTGTCAGGGATCCATTGTCGGAGGTCGCCATGGAGGCCTGGTAGAGTAGACAAAGTAAATACGAAAGTGTACGAGCGAAGCCGAACGGGGATTGCTGGGCAAACGCCTGAGTGGTGATATGACCGGAGCAATGGGTTCAAGCCGTGAGAGTACCAAAGTTCGTGCAGCACAGTGGCCGCGCGGGATCCTAGACAATGCCCAACGCCATATCAAGCCTGTGAATCAAAAAGAGAAAGAGTTAGACGGACGAAACCAGAGCAGCGAGAGAAGAGAAGGAGGACGTGGAGGTGGAGGTGGGCGGAGGTGGGAAGTCGGGAGGCGGGGAGAGCCTGAGGAGGAGTGAAGTGGTGAAGTGATGTAGGTACTGTAGCTGGATATGTTCCGTTGACTTGTCGGTCGTTCCAACTTGGCAAGCTGCACGCATGCGAGATGTGGATTTTGGACTGAACACCACGCCTGCACGCGCTGGATTGGATCGACGGGGCATCAGATTAAACTTTTGGCTCCAACAGGGATGTCTCCCGAGCAAGTGCCATGCGTCATATCCACCTAGCTCTGGATTGAGCTTGGCGGCAAAGCTGGGTGGATTGCCAGAAACCAGGAAAGGAGAATCGCATCTCAACATTGTCCTTGGCCTTGACTACGACCTCGATCTCAAGTTATCTGCAGCACACTCCTTTGTAGCAACGACGTGTTCACACCTCCTACCGCCAATTCTCTTGCGCCGGGTCTGATCTTTACCAGCAGCCAATGGAGTAAGCGGGGCCGATCAGCTTCCACCAAACATCAATACAGCGCGCTGCTGCTCTCTACACCATGCGCCTCTTCCTCCTGCCCATCTCTACGCGTCGGACTCTCATATATTGCCAGCGACTCAACGTTACAACAACAGAGAAACAGAGCTGGCTGGACCGAGGGACTACAAAAGCTGCGAATCTCTGGGCGGGGTGGGAGAAGAAAGAAAGTGGTTGGCAGAAGAAAGTCGTGGATTATGGCAACCAGGCCTTGAAGAGGATACCCTACGAGGAGTGGGGACTCAAATCGATTCCACCACTTTCGAAGCGCAAGGAAGTGGAAGATTTGTCAGGCAAGGAGAACGTCGAGGTTTCTTTTCCTTCGACGCTGATACCACAAGAGAGAGTTCTAGAAGTTTTACGGACATTGGGCACCGAGCGGCAGTCGTTGCATAAGTCTAGGATGATATACTCCTTTATTGGAATGCCGATAAGTGCGCCGTTTGCGCTCGTACCAATGTAAGTATAACATGTTCGCTTTTATCAAGCCGTCCTTTAACAAAATTCAGTGTGCCCAATCTGCCCTTCTTTTACCTCGTCTTCAGAGCTTGGTCGCATTGGAGAGCTCTGTCCGGCGCAAAGCATATAGAATTTCTACTAGACAACAAGCTCATAAAAACTACGCCATCAAAAGTTCTGGACGATTTGTATTCCAATGGAAGGCAGCCTTTCGATCCTGCATTGATCAAAGGCGCCGAGAAGTCATCAAAAACATCGGATGGAATAGACTTGGAGGAGAGAATGGTGTTGCACAAGTCCAACGGGAAGCGAATTGCGGAAGCTTTGGAGATCTCAGAGCTGGACCTCGAATTGGATAGAGCTGTTTGGCAGGTCGAGAAAGCACTCAGAGAAAAGCACGAGTTGAAGGAAGAAGAACGGGATCTGAAAGCAGCGAATAGTAAGCCGACAGAGAAGGAATGAACTTTATGCTACCACTGGATGTTACGATATTGTCGTTCTATGTACACTAGGTAAAGAGGGTCTCAGGGTCCCAGGGTCAGATATTGGCTAGACATTAGACTCAACTCAGTCGGCAGAAATGAAATGAAGTAATGGAATGGAATGGAATGGCAAGACGGTTCAGGTCTCCGGAATTGTAGAAACATGGATTAGAAGAGGAGCCTAAATCCACCCATCGGCTGGAAAGCACAATTGGCTGTAATCCAGAATCTACTAGGTACCAAACTATGCGGCCCTGGCAGCCTCGCCTAGGAGATCACCGGCGATTCAACTGTCTATGATGCTGTAATTTAGTCCCTAGAAGACCAGCGGCAACAACCAACGACTACCAGCATTGAGTAGAAGAAGTGAGTGACACTGGTCCTGCCTAGGCAGCTGTACACGACCCAGTGCCTAGAATTCGGCGCAGTTTCATGGTTCACCAGGTTTAGCAGTGGACGGCTGTACTGGGAATGTCCACACAATAGCCTAGAAACATCCTTTCTGCAGTGACGTTATCACAACGGTAGTCGCAGGCTCGCTGCATCTAGCTTTGCCTAATGGGCAGCAGCTTTACTTTACTTAAGTGCCGCTGTGTGCCGGTCGGTTACTGCTGAAGAAAGCACCTGTGACTGCAAAATCAGGCAAAGCAAGACAGCGATAGGCAAGCTCAAGCAAGCCAGAACACGGCAAGTCGTCGGCGCAATAGCCCAGCCCACATCCCCAACACCAACCCGGAGCGCCAGCGCCAGCGCCCCCAGGCCCAGGACAGCCTCGACAGGCTTCAGGGGTGGTTGTCCAGGGGCCCCTTCGATAAGATCATAAGAGCCATAATTTAACCTTATCGGTACGAGCAGGGATATTCACCACCTCAATTTATTCTGGACATCTAGAAGCCGGGAAGCGTTCCCAAATTCCATAATATCCACGCGCCATTCCTTGTGCATTCCTGCTCGCACAACAATGCGTCCTTCTCCAGAAGGGGACGACGACGAAGAATACCAAGGCGACACTATTATTGTCAAAGGCGATTTTCGCTGGCAAGCTGAAAACAAAACCGATAGCATGAGTAGCCCCGGACTAGACCTGCTCGCGAAAATCAACACTCCTCGACACCTCGAAAGCCCGGAAGCTTTTGAGGAAGACATCTCGGCCGCGAATTTCACGCACTTGGATACTCGGCCACAACAAACACCCCAGCGGACACCAAGACCCAGGAACAGGATCATCGCGACCACTATGGAGGAACGGCTCCAGCAGATGCCCAAACTTCGAGAGCTACCTTGGAGGGACGGGGTGGAGGACGGAGCAGATAACGAAACTGGAGGAGAGTCGCGTCGGAAACAGATTCGATTTGGATGTTTACTGGCTACGCGCGGAGAGGTACAGGAAGTTCCATGCCAGAGCTGCGCAAATGGTCGGGGCAAGTTTAATGTTTGTGTCGCGCTGGATGGGTACTTCAAAGGGGCATGTGCAAGTTGCCAGCTCAGTGGCAGACCGAATCGCTGTAGCATCAAGAAGAACGACGGTTCGTACCAAAAACCAAAATTTGCTTTTGAAGATGATGGCTGATCGTTGTTCCTAGCAGGTGAAATTACAGGAAGTCCCACTCTCAATCCACCACTACCTGAAGACACCAGTCCACTGAGGAGTATTGATCATCAGGCACCTCATAGCAGTGCATCACAATTGTCAAAACGTAGGAAAACAGATAACTCAGTGCCGGAATGGGAGAGTGCACGACCACAGTGGGAGCAGGAGCTGGGCGAGTCAACTAGGCAACACATGAATCAGATTGTGGATAGGTCTTGGGCTCCAGTTAATGTCAACTCTCCAGCAGGATTGACGGGTGCACATCCAATAATGAATGGTATGAATGGGGCGGCTGCTAGGCCACAGGGCGGAAATAATGACCGCAATAATTCTTTGAACTGGTCATCTGTGAAACAGCCAATTCCAATGCCAGGACAGCAGTTCGGGAATGGTGGTGAAGGAAACGCAGCAACTTTCCGGCTTAATATGGAGCAAGGCCGAAGGGAAGACACTGTCATCAACGAGGATGGCTCATCGGCTCTAATTGATGCTTTGCCGAAGCAGAAGCAAAGACAGGTTTATGGTTTGGTGAGCGGTTTGCAAGGTGGAATCGAACATTTGCAGAGGGAACTTAACTCCCTGAAAAAGGCACTTGGGATCGACGATGGGAACTAGTCTGCTGGGGATAGATCTGGCTTGTTACCCTGACTTATTTTTATCTTTAATCCTAATAAATGATGATGACTATAGTAGCTGAGAGAAAACCCAAGTATCTCATTCATTCCTTCTTAACACTTACTTCACTTGCATAAGATTTGCAGCTGTACAGACTTGGCCAGAGTGTTGTAACCTCTGGCTATTGATTGGTTTCGGACTTTGTCCAAAAGACCTTCTCAATATAGGTCATTGTGCTATGTATCAAATCCAATGTCGTGGTCAATCAATCAGGACTCAGATTTGTCTAATAGCTCGCGTTTCTCTACAACGTATATTTGGCATATAACTAGGTATCTATCTCTGACTTTCATTCCTTATTTCCGACAAGGTTACAAACTTTCTTGGGAAGGAATCACGCCAATAGTTTTGATTTCGACTATTCATATCTCAGGCTGGTATCAAATTACGTACTTGACAGTTCCAAATAAGGGCTAGACAGCTCGCCAGGACAGGGCATAGCGTGTGGTCTCAGTGAGCTGCAGGCGGATAAGAGATGCGGGTGGGTGGGCCCGAACTCCTCTTGTTTCAACAACAACCATAACATCCCCATTATGCCTCCCACAGACAGCTACAACACCATCATTAGTCCCGGAGGCAGTTTCTTCCACAGCCAGTTCGATGAGCTCAATACAGGTACCAGCCTGCAGAGCGGAGCTGATTTGAATGCGAACACTCCACGACAACAAACACTTCCGAAATTGAATAGCAATTATGTTCCATTCCTGGAAAGATTAGACATTCTCAGAAGTACGAACCTCGATACCATGGCGTCCAGGCCAAGAGCTTCCCCCGGAGTAAGCAATCGATAGCCCTCGCGTCTAGCAACGAGGTGCATTTTGCTGTCAACTCGCGGCGCGGTCATGCCGAGTCCTTGCGAACACTGCGCTGGTGGTTATGGACGGTTCTCACTTTGCGTGACTTTGCGGCATTGGTTTCAGGGGGCTTGCAGTAGCTGCATCTTTACCTCTAAAGGCAACAAGTGCAGTCTCAGGACCCAGACGTCTGGTGAGCCGCCCATGTATATGTAGCAACCGCTGGTTGAGATGTGTAGCATCCCATCAGAGATTGGCTACAACCTGAGACTTCTATCACCGTATTTATATATATGAATTTGCCTACGCCATGCCCCTTCAATCTTGTGTACGCCAGTGCCGTTAGTTTCTCATTGGAAGAACAAGTTCAACGAGCAGTGGATAGTTAGATCGAGACTAAGCTGTTCCTATTCCCTTTCCGTTACTGACGATACAACAGGAACGGCAGATGGGAGAGCCTTAAGATACCATGCTGACGATCCAGAATCCCATGCTAATAGTGCAGTCGAACAAGGAAAGAAACCAAGCAAGAAACGGAAGAGAAGCTCGGTCCCAGGGTCTGTACTGCTGCATGCTCAAAATGCCCCACACACAATCGCCTGTCCCCAAGTAGATATTCTCCGGCCCATATCTCCTCCTCTAGACATGTTACTGCAGGCTGATATTGCTCGCGAACAGTCTGGGGAACCGACCTGTCCAATTCAGATCGAAATCCAGCCGAGCCAGCGGCCGTCACAGCCAAATGTTGCAAAGCCTCGAGTCCTAGCGAAAGGCACAGCGGCTCGATCTCCGTATGAACGTTTTTCCGCGAACCAAAGATCCAATCCAGTTCCGCTGCAATCACGAGATGCGGCTTCTATATCTCAAACAAGCAATGAGACTTGGGCACCCTTCTCCGCCATGTGGCCAAACCGTTCCAGCAATGATATGGGGGAGGTTTTCCTTGTCTGCTATTGATTCAATTCCAAGAGCCAAACAGCAGGAACTAAATGGCATCATCAGTCAGTGCCAGGTGGCGTTGATCATCTGCAAGACAGCTGAATTCCTTGAAATCGTTCTTTGGCATAGATGATGATGATTAACATAGCAGAGCATATTTCAACCATACCTGTCGAGCGACATGAGAGGTTCAGCGTTATTTTTGACGAGTCTGCAGGTATGTTATCTGGCTGGATGCGTGGGAGCAGCAGAGCGTCTATCAACCTGTCTGTCTCTCCAACTTGCACGCTTTCGTGGTACCTTTGGAACGAATATGTCGATGACAGAATCGCTCCTACTTTTCTCTGCCGCCACCGCGTGCTTATTGATCATTTGCTGATTGGAGCTTTTTCGCGATATGATCTGAGATAAGCTCGTTTGTCTTGACGCTTGCAATGATTCAGTGCGATATCCTGCCGCCAGGGATATCCACCGGATCAGTAGCAACTACCTTTTCATAAGTCAAAATTCTATCCATGCTTCTGCGAGAAGCTGTCGGCAAGTTGCCCACTCCGGATCAAGCCTGGGCGGTAGTTGTTGGTGGGAAGATTTTAAGCTGCTCCGGAACTGGCTGATTTCTGATTGTTGCTCTTTCAGTATGAGCATTAGCAGATCAGATGGCATTAGCAAAACCCGGCCTAAGATCCAGTATGAGAAGCATGGTAGCTGAACTTATTATAGTGGACACTGATTTCACCAGTTTAGCGTGGCCACGGATTGTGGACTCAAATCCCACGTTCAAGTATGAGCGACTCATGAATGTTTTCATTCGCATTCTTCGTCACGTTCGTTCTGGTGCTCAGAAAGTCATTGAACTTATCTATGAAACCCAATTTGCATGTTCATTTCTCTCAGTAGCACAGATGACGCACCACGCTATCATACGTGCTGTTGGCGTCATAGTGAACATTGAATTGGTTTCCAGCGCTATGTCTTTAGGACCCACCCAACCCGCAGACCATCTCAATAGCGTTCGCCTAGACCTGGTATGGTTGCCAGAAATCGCTCCTTTATGTATGAAAACCACGGTCACTCAAGCATCCTATTATGGTTCATCGAGATGGCGTACCCGCCGACTTCGACTATAGCTGCTGCCATGATGTCTAATTCGATTCATTTGAATGCTAGCGCTCAGTATATTCTGATAGTCTCACTTTCTAAACTAATTATCTATCTATCATAAATTCGCTCGTGTTTCGCTGCCAGTTTTCCGTCCCATAGTTCAGTCCGTCCCCACACACGCACAAAGCAATGTTGGATAAACTCCTTTAGATCAATTAGTTGGTGCTTGTCCCTGATTTTGATTGAGCGTTGGGGCTTTGTACTCCTACACGTCCCGCCTGCGTCTTTGACTCGTTCCTGTCAAGCATTAGAGCCTCTGACTTCTTGTCGCGACAGTTCTCTGCCAGCAGAGACATTCTATCTTCATACAGGACGTTTCTTGTCATTCCCAAGGACCTTTCGGTCGACGGGATGTATTGCTGTCCTGCTTCCATCCGATAGATCACTATATCTACTCGGCGATCGCATAAGATGGAGCCCTTAGCTTCCCCTGTTGCAGACCGGCCCCGTGAGAAGGTGTTTGCAGAATCATCACAACTCACAAGATGGGAAGCAAGTGTGCAAGCTGGAAACAAATTTCCAACTGTGCAATCAAGAGATCCTAGCCCAGCACCTCCAAATGAATACGACCAAATACTTCGAGGGAGGGGTTCTAGTCTGTCCAGGTCTAAAAGCCCAACAATTCGTACGAGTACAAGCACGAGCACTTCATCAAACACCCCAGCTATACCGTCTCGTCTAAGATACTCCTCCTCGAAATCGTCTGAAGTAGCAAGCGAAGCCAACGGAGACCACGCAATTTTTGGCGGACACTCTACGACAGCTTCACAGAGCTCCTCAGATCTGCCACGGAATCGAAGCTCCAACAGTATACAAAACAATGAGAAATGGCGAATTGGAGGCACCCGCAGACCGACTCCTCCGGAACAGATACTGAGGAGGAATTCTTCGCGTGCACTTCTGCCAGGACAAGTAACTACACCGGGCACACCAAGACAGATCAGAGATCTCGGTCATGATTTTTCTCGATACCCATCCAGTGCCGATCTCAGTGTCAGTGTAGACAACGGGATATATGTAGTGGCTGCGGAAGCCAATGACCCACTTCTTCGGGCGACGGAAAATAATAATCTAAATGAATCTCAACCGAACCTAGAGAAATGGCCAGACGACAGACTTGGAGTCCTCGATCCTTACAGCGGTGGTGATAATGGCTTCATTCTGTACCCGCACGAGGAAGAAGCAGACGATAAGTTCCATCTTCCCGCAGATGATGATGACATTACTTTCAGACCAAAGCTGAGAGACTACCTGGATCGGCGGAATATAGTATCTACCTGCGGAGCAATATTTCTGATTCTTGGCATCCTCTGTGTCTTCGTCGTCCTTCCTGTGTTGACGTATCGGACACGGCTCCTGCTGCCAAAACGAGACAGGGCCATTTATCGTGCAAGTTCAACTTGGGCGCACGTTAATAACAACAAATATCGACTTCTCAATAACGTTCGGAAAGGATTGATAGATCCAGACACCCCAGAAATCGCCAAGACCAGGAAAAGTACATTTGATGGCTCGGAACTAGAGCTTGTTTTCAGTGATGAGTTTAATGAAGACGGCCGAACATTTTACGAAGGAGATGACCCATATTGGTATGCACCAAATTTCTGGTATGGGGCAACGCAAGATTTGGAATGGTATGACCCAGATGCTGTCACAACGAGAAATGGCACACTTCAGTTAAGATTGGAACACTTTCGTAATCATAATCTTGATTTCCGATCTGGAATGCTGCATTCTTGGAATCATCTTTGTTTCAAGGGAGGTATTATTGAAATCTCGGTTTCGTTGGCTGGACCCGCCGGTATTCCAGGATTGTGGCCTGGCGCGTGGACAATGGGGTGAGTTGTCATCGGAGAACACTTTCGATTCGACCAAATGATGGCCTTTTATGCTGATAGAATGCTAGAAATCTCGGACGACCAGGATATCTAGCTACCACGGATGGAGTTTGGCCATATACTTACAATTCCTGTGATGCGGGCATAACTGCCAACCAATCATCGTCAGACGGGCTTTCCTTTCTGCCTGGGCAAAGACTCAGTTCATGTACATGCAAAGGCGAAGACCATCCCAACCGCGGCACAGGCAGAGGAGCTCCGGAGATCGACATCCTAGAAGGATCAGTCGCAAACCGAGTCGGCGTCGTCACTCAGAGTTTCCAAGTGGCACCCTTCGATGTCTGGTATCGCCCTAATTCCGAGTTCATGGCTCTCCCAGACCCAACAATAACACAGATGAACACCTATTGCGGAGGACCCTTTCAGCAAGCCATCAGTGCAGTCACAACTTTGAATAACTCCTGGTATGACGGCAACGAGTATCAGAAATACGCCTTCGAATATGTGCCTGGCACAAATAAAGGAAAGATTGCCTGGTTCGTTGGCGAAGACCCAACTTTCATCATGGATGGACGAGCCATTGGGCAAAACGGTAACGTCAAAGCACGACAAGTCTCTGAGGAACCCATGTCCATTGTTCTGAATCTAGGGATAAGCCATTCGTGGAGTGAGATCTGGATGGAGAACTTGACGTTTCCGACTACCATGCATGTTGACTATGTGCGAATATACCAAAAACCAGGTCAAAAGAGTATTACATGCGATCCGGATGGGTATCCAACTACGGAGTATATCGCGAATCATCCGAAGGCGTATCAGAACCCAAACAAGACGGTATGTTCTGTAACTTTTTCTCGAGTTTGTATGGCATGAGAATATTTTACTGACCTGACCTCTAGCTTTGGAGTCAAACGGGATATGAATGGCCAGCCAACAAATTAGGTGGATGTCCATCACGAGGCGTATGATCTGGTTGATCTCATATTGTTTGGGATATAATATGGTAGCGTATATATTGACAGGCGTTCGGTGAAAACATATATGGGTTTGGGGTAGATTCTATCTTGCTGATAGATCCGAACTGGACAGAATGTGGCGCAACAAAGGTTGAAAATGGCGTTTAAGTGGATATAATGCGGAGATCATGTCTTATGAAGTGATGTATGGATAGGCGACGCTGCTTTCATGTCCCGATGCTCTATCTTCGGAGAATTACACGGCATTGGCTATTTGGTTCATCTGTCTACTTTAGAGATATTCGCGTTCGCGGATAGACTTTGCAACACACAGCCCTTAGAGATTTCGTCGAGACTGGTCTATAATTCAAAGTTAAGGCAATACTCACTTTGCCATATTTCGATCTGGGCTTCAATCGTTCCATTACCTATACGCGACTTAGGCTCAGATGAAGGGGTTTGGAGCGTTGCAAAGCCAAAGGAACACTTGAAAAAAGTATCTTCGCTTATAGTGAAACCAAAAAATCATAGCATTTCTCCAGACACTTGATCAGAAATGTAACGATCGCATATCGTTCCTCCAGCATTGAAGGCCCGGTTGCCTCAAAAAACATGGCCATGGAGAAGGCAGTTCGGGGCTAAGAGCCGAGCCGAGCTAGACCTCCGAGCAAAAACAAAGGCATCGCCGAAGCGTCAGCCAGAAGCCCCGAACAGCCATGCCCCGACCCCCACAATAAAGACTCTGGACGACAATCAAAGGATCTAGCGTTTGCGGGGGAGGTGCCGCGGTCGCTAAATACAACTTCGGTAGTTTTTTGCGGAGTTAAATTGGTAGTTTGAGGTTCTGTTAGCATCAAATAGGGGCGGTATTGACTCTTTCTCGGCTAGCAGATGCAGCCTTGGCCCATGGTCTCCGAGTCGTAGTGTTGCCCCGACGTGTTTACCCCGCCATACGCAGGGTTCACATGCTTGAAGACTCTTTGATTTCACCTGGATTAGATTGAGATTCGAGATAGCTGCGACACAGTTCAATCTCATTCCTTTTCTTAGATTCCTTGCGTCAAGAATACATTTTCAAGATCGCAAACATGGCCATCAAGCCAGCCGAATCCGAATTTCGCATTCTCATCGTTGGGGGCGGGATCGCAGGCCTAGCAACTGTAATTATGTCTCAATTATTCTTTTCAAATCCCTTCAACAGCATATTATAAATACATTTGAACTAACCACTCTGCCAGGCAATCGCCCTCCGCGGTCCCAACCGTCAGATCCTCATTCTCGAACAGTCATCTCTCAACCGCGAAATTGGCGCCACAATATCTCTACAGCCCAATGCCTCAAAGTTTGTCGAAAAAGAATGGAATCTCAGCTCACAGCTACGCGCAAGGGGATCGATGGTCGATCGAGCGTTTCGCGTTTGCGCAACTGATGGCACGGAACATAAGCGTATCGACCTGACTGCAAAATCCGAGTATGGCGGTGACAGGATGCTGTACCATAGACAGGACTTACATGAGGTTTTGAAGAGCGCTGCTACCAGCGTGGATAGAGAGGGTTTATCTGCGACGATTCTGGTGAAGAGTAGAGTTGTGAAATGTGATTGTGACGAGGGATCCGTGGAGCTAGAAGACGGGCGGGTGTTGACAGGATTTGACCTTATCGTTGCGGCGGATGGAATCAGGAGCAATGTTAGGAAATTTGTAGTTGGCAAAGAGGTTAGTTCGGTAAGGACGGGCCAGTCAGCTTATCGCATGATGGTCGACGCGTCAAAAGTTGAGGAAGATGAAGATATCCGCAAGTTCTTGGATCCTAGGGAGGCTGTCACGACAATGGTGATGGGACACAAAAATCGCTTGATAATGGGTCCTGCGAGGAACGGGGAGGTGTACAGTATTGTGGCCATGGTTCCAGATGGTGAGAAAGCCCTTCATATGTGGCAGGTGTGCTGACTCGATGAACGCTCAGTATCCGACCCTGCGATCGAGACATCTTGGACGACTGAAGGCAATCGAGATGATCTTTTCGAAGCTTTCAAAGAGTTTCCTGACTGGTGTAAGCGGTTATTTCGACACGCACCGGAATTAGGACTTTGGCAGTTACGCGATTTGGTTCGGAGCTCTTTTCGTGTCTTTTCGTGTCTGTTCCTTCCATGGAAAGTACTGACAGAAGCATTTGCAGGATCCACTCAAGACTTGGACGAAAGGAAAAGTCATATTGATTGGCGATGCGGCACATGCGATGTTACCAACACAAGGTCAAGGGGCGAGCCAAGCTATCGAAGACGCTGTAGGGTCCCTTAGCTAGAGCGAAGACTGCTTCGAAGTTCGAGCTAATCGTCCATCATAGGAAGCAATAGGAACTTTTTTCCAAGACGTCCATGGGAAACCATCAGAGGCAACGGTCTGGTCGATGTTAAGCGTTGGTATCACACTGTCCAACACAATTGCATTCATACTAACTGGTCTCTTTAGCTTGTTGCTGAAACACGGCGTTCACGAGCAATACAAATCCAGCTCTTAAGTCGGGAAAGCGCAAAGCCAGCGACTGAAAAGGGTGACAAGAAGATCAAAATGTAAGTGCGACATTTCAAATGGAATTTTGTCTCTTTGGAAAGAAGAAAACTTGACATTCTACTCCCAGATCACCGGACCAGTATATGGACTACTGCTGTACATATGGAGGGGCAAGGGCGTGGCGAGAAAAGCAGAAGAGCCCCGATATGCTGGAGGAGCTGGGTAATTTGACGATATAGAACCCACCCATCTTGGGAACAACGTCGCCTTTCGTTGACCCTCAAAAACCACTGCTATATGGCATTGTGAATTTGGTATTGCCTTTCATACTTTCTAAAAGGACCCTTGGTAACTGTAGTTGTCGTAATCGTTCATGTTTCCCATCCAATCCCACAATTCTTGCACATCTAGATTGTCAAATGGCAATTCGCTTCCATTAGAATGAAATTGTGGTGCGTAGTTGTTCATTACTGGACCCGACGCATCATAGCTCACATGAAAGCCACCTGTCTGGTTTTGATGCGAAACAGTGTCAGAAGTGACGTCGAAGGTTCTTGAGACCGTTGAGTCTGATATGTGGTCGCTAGAAGCTGCAAAATGATCGTACGAGACTGTGTCCTTCTGCGAGTGGACATTAGATTGAGTTTCTGGTGGATTCTGAACAGCTCTGCGAGAGTGCTCATCATCACTGAGAGACCGAGAATCTGTTCTGCTAGATTTTTCTGCCTGGGACCGGTCGATGTATGATCGTACTTGTTGATATATGCTCAACACCCCTAGACCATGTCAGCAACACTGATATCTAGTAAATAATGCTTTGCTACCTCGTATGAAAAGATCATTGTGCCCGGATCTTGAAAACTGGTCCGCCGTGTATTCAACACATGCTTTTAACAACTGTGTGATAATGCTTAGCAATATCTGCGTGAAGTGGAGGGGTTATTGAGACTTGCCTCAAGATCAGCAGCCATGCTTCGGCTGCCTACATTTTTGATACATGATATGCCTAGAACGATGCAAGCCATCAGCAGCGGGCCAGCCGTCATAATTCTTGACTGCACATTCCGATCAGAAAGTTCAATCGTCAATCTCGCTATTGATCGCGCACTATTCACACAAATAGCCTCGCCTGCCAGAAGTCGAAGCTTGGAGGAATCATCGAAGGTGTACTTCGCAACTTCTGATTGGAATGTAGATGAGGGTGCAATCAGTGCAGCCCGATGGAGAGCAATGAGTGCTTGATAATATTGGATGGATATTAATGCCGCAAAATGGAACTCATGATTCGAGCAAAAGAGGCCGTTTCCCGGACGAAACTCTTCTGGTATCTCTCTAGCCCAAGACAATAACGAGCGGTCAAGTCTCGCCGTGTCGGTTAGGATTTCCTGTGCTGTTCGCTCTCCGGGCTTGTGCCCGTAGATATGTTGACAGATTAGACCTTGATGCTGAGCCAGAACCATGTGCCATTGTAGGAAATCGGGGCCAGGTGGTCGTTGATCAGGTCCGATCATGTGGTCGCGATCGACACTGAGTATTGTTGCAGGCCGTCCAGATTCCAACTGCATCATTTTCTCCAAAGAGCAACATATAGCCCAGATGCGAGCATGAAATAGCCTCTCTGGCTTATTCTGAACAGCGTGCTGATTGGATGGGCTTCTGTGTGAATGTCGATGAAGACCCAGTGTAAATGCAATGCGAATCGCCATCCCAACTGTCTGCCATCCGAGACCATCCCGGTTCCTTCCTCTGTATGCGATTGTGAATAATAGAAGTGCCTGGATAGCATGAAGATAAGGCATCACAACAACGTGCCCAAGAAGACTGGCTGCTGCTTCGAGATACTTGGTCCCCACCGCTGTAATTACTTGCGAACTTTCATCAGCGCCTAAACTCAGAATAAGATATGCAGACACCAGTAGAGGACCTTGCTCATGAGACAAGGATTGAAGCGAAGGAAGGGCCGCAAAATTTTGTACAGCAGCTTTCGTTTTGTCAATGTCGAAGAGAGGATATATTGGATGGATCTTTTCGAAGAACACGGAGACATAGCTGTCACACAGATTGCTGTGTGGAAAATCTGGTAAAGATGTACCGAGGGGAATGCTGAATTCTTCAGCATGACGCATTCCATGCTGGAAGTTATGTGATAGAGGCTGAATGTGAGCTGACTCTAGGTATACGTCGAGAGACTTCATCAGACATTGAGAGCTGCTACCCCCCATCATCTTAATCCGATTGGTCTGAGCGTCTGTATTGAATGTCATATCATACGGCTGCTGAGCTGGAGATATTCCGACTTCATGGCTCCGAGAATTAGATGCAGCCGGGCTAGCTTCAAGTGGTTGGCTGACATCAGGTCTTCCACTTGTCGACAAGGATCCAGGTGAACGAGTGGAAGTCTGTGGCAGGATCCTTCCCTCCTTTTTTTGACCAAGGGATGAATTCGCCTGTAAAGATTCTGGTTGAACTATCCACTCCCGAATTACTGTGACTTCCGGCATCTTGGGGTCAGTGGTGGTGCAGGTATCGTCTCTCAAGCGACAATTCCGACATTTCGGATAGTCGGTATCGCATTTGACTTTTCGACGTCGGCATGCGTTGCATGCCATCGACAGCCGCTGCCGCTTTGCTACAGGAATATCTCCATCCATGATGAAGCTTTGGTGAATGTAAAGCTGTTCTGGTGAAGTAGCGTCTTGTATTGTACTGAGCCTCCCCCCTGACTGAACGCCCAAGGCTTTCCCCGCTTCCCCGCCTCCCCCTCCCCCACTCCAGCCGAGCAGGCAGGCTCACCTCAAACAGATGAATCCAATCCAGAAGTTCTCTTGCTTACGACTTTAACCGCGTATGACACTATCTCAGAATACACGGTCATTCCTCAGACTCCTTGAAGACACATTTCCCAAGTTTTTCTGTCGTGTCAAATTTTGTCTACAGTGTCCGGCCAATTTGTTCCCCGAATTAGCGTGTAGCCCTGTTACTATTTCGCTCTTTGAAGTTGCCAGCCCATGTTTCACACATTTACAACAGCCTCTAAAGAGTAAAACCTCTAAGGACAGTTTTTGTTTTTGATTACAGAGAACGGGTTGCGATCATTTGGAACGAGATGAAGTGTCATTTAATTCTTCTCTAAGCATCGTTTCATGAATTGCCTCGAATTATAGAATGAGTTTGGTCAAGCAGAAGAAGTATTCTTGGGTAAAGATACATTGAAATACGACCAAATGATCTCTCAAAATTCATCCTATACATCGATGTACGGAATTCCTGTCAGTCTGAAAGCTCTCTCAGTCAATTGGGGTTCTACTGATGGACGTGAGCGATTGTGTGGGCAATCAGCACCGTTTCGCTTTGCGATATTGGTTCCCAAGTGGCGAGCATTTGGCCAATGAGTAGTGCCCAGGCGCTCTACACCATTGTTAGTAACCTGTTGATGTAGAAATACGTGGCAATTACCTTCAAATGCCTGCTTCTTGCGGATCAAATCCTCTTGTGTTGCCTCCGAAACAGGCATGTAGCACGTGTAGATTGCCATGCGATCTTGCTTGGATGTTGTGGGAACATTGTAATGAGGAGTTCGTGAGTCCCAAAGGATGAGATCACCCGGTTCTGCGCACACTTTGATCCACTCCAGCCCGTGGTCCTTAAGCCACTTCATGCCATTGTCTGTAAAGCCGTACCATTCGGGTGTCCAGGCTGGAATGCGAGGCTCATCAGCCATGTCTCTGTGGAAATCCTCACTGATAAGATGGCCGCCTTTGCATACGATGAGACCTCCATCATTTGGCCCACAAGGTTGGAGGTTCACAAGACCTTGAAGGCATCGAAATCCGGGCTTGGCAGGGTCTTGATCCTGATGTGGCCATGGCTTGTTAGCAGGAAAGTCGGAACGGTCGTGGAAACCAATGTTAATGGCGTCAAATGACACAATAAGATCCTGTGTGCCATGAACCTTCTCGAATGTCTCTATGACTCCTGGCTCAGAGCGAATCTGCCATACAAAGTTCTCATGTGGGGCAGCATAGTCCAGAACCATGCCCTTCTCGTTGATAACTGGTAGGTTGGCTCTCTTGATAGTGCTTGAGTCGTTTCGATCGAACCCAAGGTTGCTGAAATGAGATTTAGTGCTGATTTATGTTTATCTCTAAGTGCTATGGATAACTTACAAGCTTTCGAGAAAATCGTAGAAGGCTCTTCCGTAGCCGTCTGCGCGATCTCTAGGTACAGCGCCCTTCACAACAGCATATCCGTTCCTTACGAGGTCATCTCGGAAGTCGCCGTAAATAGGTTTGATATGAGCAGCAGTGAGGCGACCGTCGCTGAGAATCTTCTTCACACTGGGAATAGTAGAAACATCAACAGGACGCTCAACCTCGATTGCTGAAGGAGCCATGTTCTAGCGAGAGTTTGTAGACTTTTGACTAGAGCAAAGTAATTCTTAAAAAGATGTGAGATGAAGGTGACGGGTATGGAAGCAACAACGCGTAGGATACTCGGTTGGTCCACATATTATTAAATTCACGCCTTAAGTACTAGAGTCCTTCACTACCAAGAACATGCATGGCTCGGTCTGTTGATCAAACACATTGGCATATTCCATGGATTTCAATCGATAATCCCAACGACCGAGGACGCAACGAATCGGTGAGGGAGCCTTCCTGGAGAATTAGTGTATTTCGGAGGTTTAGCGCCATTCTCGGCTGGCCGCTGACCCACCCACTATTTGTTTACGGTACCCCGCCTCGCTTGGGGCCGAAAAGGGGCTTCGGGGCAACGACCGAGACGGAAAGCTTTGTTCCCACCCCGCAAACCCCACACTTTCCTAGACCGCGTGGCATCGCTGTATCGTTGTTGAGATCTTACTGGCATAGACACGGTCGAAAACAACCATTAATTATAAATTCAAATAACGTCTCAGGACTTTCATCACGTCCTCAGACTTCTCCCTCATCACCTAAACCGCCTCTAGTCGAAAACATCACAAAAATCTTCACTATGTCGTCAACTCAAACAGAAACCGTCACGAAGACGGTGTCCCCGCTAGCAAAATTCTCCACACCAAAGGACTTGGTGGACTTCTCCGGAATGAAGTTTGGAGACTGGAGGGACGAGTTCCACAATAACGGCTGTGTTGTACTGAAGGGTGTCATTACACCAGAGAGGGCTCAGTATTACCGAGAAAAGCAATTGAAGTGGCTTCACAACTTCGAACTTGGTTTTGATGAGGACGATGAGAGTACTTGGACTGCGGATCATCTTCCGGTCAGCTTCAAGGGAGGGTATGTCTCTACAGCTAGTCTAGCGCACTATCTGCTCACCGATTTCCAGCATGTACTATGGATATGGCGCCCCACACGAGAGTATGGCATGGGAAGCGCGAACAGAGCCAGCAGTTGTAGAGATCTTTGAGAAGCTCTGGGGGACCAAAGAGCTCCTCACTTCGTTCGATGGCATGAACATCTCTCTTCCGCGACGCAAAGACTTGGAATGGAGCCAATGGCCACATTGTGACCAGAATCCAGCACGCCAAGGGTAAGTCTTAAGCACCTTGTTGACCACAAGGTGCAAATACTGAGCACAGTATACAGAATGCAAGCCGTCCAAGGGCTTCTCAACTATGCACCAAACGGCCCCAAAGATGGAGGCCTTATGTTGATGAAGGGTTCCGCCAAGCTCTTTGAAGACTTCTTCTCCACTCCCCGTGAGTTCTACGCTCATGAAGATGCTCCCCCGCCCGAAATGAAATACATGGACCTCTTCCTATTCAATCCAAAAGATCTAAAGTGGTTTGAAGATAGAGGCTGTGAGATGATCAAAGTTAACATGGAGCCCGGTGACTTCGTGCTTTGGGACAGCCGCACCATGCATTATGCATGCCTTCCAGAAGGAGACCAGATTCGTCACGTTCAATACATCTGCATGACTCCAAAGAGATTCGCGACTGAGGATCAGCTCAAGCTCAAGCAAGACTGCTTCATCAAAATGATCGGAACTACTCACTGGCCACACTGGTAAGCATTTGCACGATGTATACATGAAAATAATTGACACGACCTCTAGCAATATCCGCCCTGCGAGTGACCCACCCATGAGGAATGGCAAGGTCTGCCCGAAGAATAGGAGTGAACCCTTTGAGAAGCCGAAGCTCACGAGGGATGTGCTGCGGCTTGCAGGGATGGAGGCTTATTGAGATAGCATATACTAGACAATGAAGCAGATACGTCAAGTCATTGTATCATTTGAAGTAATCTGTATAAATTGTTAACTTATACCTGTCTGATCAATTTGATGGCTGGCCTATTGTGTGGATAAGTAGGATGTAAGTATTAATATGCGGCCCTAAGCGAGAACATGGAGACCAAAGATAGTTGTCTCGATGATAGATTGAGACATCGAAGTGTTATGATAGCCTGACTTACCTTAAGTATATGAAGACTATGTCCCGACCCCCTCCACCCACTTTCCCTTACCCCACAGAGTTATAGTTCGAGACACAAGGACTTTATTTTCTGATTTTGATTATAAAAGTGTCGGGAAATTGATTTTCATTTGGTTTCAACTTTCTAAATTGTCTAAAATTGAATGTAACACTCTAGAGGCCCGCTGAGTCTCATAGCAAGACATGTACCTGTGCTCATGTCATGCTGTCTAATGTTTCTCTCTTACCGCTTCCTTTTTGGCTTTCCTTCGCTCATGCTCCATCTCTCGCTTGAGCTCCTCGGCCTCAATTCCTGTCTCAGTAACAGTATGTTCCTTCGCCAGTATCTTTCCCTTTGCAAAAACACTGCACATAATCGAAACTCCAGCAAAACATGTATACATAATCCACATACCCAGCATAGCCTTCAGTAAAGCCTTTTGCGCCACCTCTCTCTCCATTTCTGGCAGCATTCCTATAGCCTCCACATTAGCTGCTGCATCCTGGCCAGTGAGCAGATCGGCCATCTCAGATCCAAACTTCTCAGCAAGCGATTTCTGTTGGCTCTGCATGGAATTTTGAAAAATAGCTGTGCTGATGACGATAGTCACAGAAGCGGACAAATTGTTGAGGAAGTTGAAAGTCGAAGCCGCGGTCGCGTGATCGCCTTGTCTCGAGGATGCTTGAACAGCTAAAAGTGGACATTGAAAGTTTGGCCCAATACCTATACCAGCGACGATTTGGAATGTAATTAATTTGGTCCAATCGTAGCGTTGAGGTAAACTTATGAAGAGGCCGAACCCAAGGGTCATAATAAGTGCACCAAGGCACATGAACAAAAGGTATTTGCCCGTTCGACGGATAGCGAGTCCCGTACAAATATTGGAAATCGAGAGGGAAAGTGTGAATGGAAGCAAATAAATGCCAGACATCAATGGCGAGGCACCTAGAACGCCCTGAAGGTAAAGTGGCAGAAAATAAGCGCCTCCAATAAGGCACATGCTATGGAAGCAGCATACACCCAACGCGGAAACGCTGGTGCGATTGTTCAACACTCGGAGCGGCATCAATGGATATTGAGCAAATTTCCATTCCCAAAGAAAGAAGAGCATTGCTAGCATTGTGCCGATTATGAGAAAGCTGAGGATGATGGCGCTTTTCCAAGGGTGGTCAATGCCAGCCATCTGCAAGCCTAGCAGGAGCAGGACCGCCCCCGAGATCATAAGTGTACTTCCAACCCAATCTATTCGCTTAATACCTTCGCGAAATTGAGTTTTGGGTGTATGTACGTGAAGTTTGAAGAGAACTATGAGTCCAGAGAGTGCTGTCGGTGGGACTGAGAAACCGTTAGAACACATGAGGACCGCTTGACGGGGGAGAGAAATGAAACACACGGTTGATGTAAAAGCACCATTTCCAGGAGAGTTTGGTTGTCAAGACTCCCCCTAACAACGGGCCAATGGCACTGGCGAATGCCCAGGTCATCCCGATGATACCGAAGTATACTGGTCGCTCTCTGCCTCTTGTCAACAATCTTGCCGTCGTAAGCGTACTCTGGGGACAAACCTCATTGAAAACGAATCGGATATACAAATAGATACCAGAATACTGATACCACCACCGCCGGCTCCCTGAAAAGTCCTTGCCAGAATTAGCCATACCATTGTCCTTGCTGTTCCGCATAGCAGACTGCCAAGAAAGAATATGGCAATGGCGAGCAACAGCAGCGGCTTTCGTCCAAAGATATCACTGACTTTGGCCCATACCGGGACAGTCACAGCCGTTGCAAGAGAGTAAGCAGAGCCAATCCACGCATACCCAGCTGCTGAATGAAGAGATGATGTTATTGCTGGAAGTGCCGTGGTCGCAATTGTTGTGTCCAAAGCGACCAGGAGGTTCGCTATCTAAGTACTGTTAGCAGGTATTGGCTTCGTTGTCTCAACGATCTTCCTTTTCGAAAGAGATCAACATTTTCATGGAGCCCTCTTGTATTCTTACTGATAGAGCTGACATTAAAAGTACAGTCTCAAACCGCTTTCGTGGAGGGACTGCTTCAACGACAGTCGCTTGCGCCTCTTCTTTGACAGTATCGGAAATGCTGGCATCATGAGCCACCACATTGCTGGAGCCCATAACGATCAAACTATTGTGAAAGGTCGGAAAAGAGTTTTTGGGAAGAATCAGCTTTGATAGTATGCTGAAGAAAAGCGAAGGCTTAGCTCGCCAAAGACGTTACTGTGATGCCTTCTGGCAACTGATCTGTGTCCAAATCTGACAATACAGAGACTCCTTTCATATCGAGCAGACTAGTCTATTCCAATATTGACGCACGAATGATACCTTTGATGCAGCTCCGAAGCAGATTCTTGAGGCCTTCTGTTTCGGGGGCCCATACGGAAGCACAAAAGCTCGGAGGGTGGCTCGGGAAGGGCCCCACAAATTCGGGGAATTAGCTCCCTTCTGGTCTGGTCAGGACCCTGCAAATGGAGACTTTTATGTCGGTGGTCTTGTATCAGTTGGAAATCATTGCTTCTCGGCCGACTTGATCTTCATTAACATGCGAGCGGAGACCAACGAAAAAGTCGAATTTCAAGGAATTATCATGGTTGGTAACACACGGTGAACGCTTTGGAAGTTTGGATACAAGGTTCAATCACAGAGGTCGTTGAAATTGGCGTTACAGCTCGATTGAATATAACACGCAATGATGTCCTGAAAGCTTTCTGACTTGCCAATCAGCACTGACATATTTGGCATGAGTATACTTCGCTTATTTATTTGTCCTAGATACTTAAATGGTGCGTTGATTCTCGTTGTTGACACTCTCGAGACCTGGATAATGACAGAGGTAAAGAAGGCTTCAACATTGACCGTTATCCGGGTTCCAGATGTTCATTTGCTGTTGTCCAAAATTCAGTATCAGTTTGCCTCTGCAAAAGTTGTCTCATGTGCATTTATTCTGGAGTGTAAAGCAGTAGTAATCGATCGCAATACATTCAAAGACAGCGTATTGGGGCTAGACTCAAGCTACAGTACTCTGATAATCCATTCCAGCATTGCGAACATCGTCTCATCTCCGCCGTCCACTTCTAGAATAGTCATAGATCTACCCAATCAAGCTCAGTTTCTCCGTCCAGCCATGTGCGTATCCCCAAACGGCTACTCTACCCCATAGCTGCTTTGGTAGTATCTTCAACCTGGGTCCAAGGACTAACCAAGTGTCTGATACGCTTCCCAGTAAAATAGACAGCAATACCAAGAACTCCAAATACAGCAGTAATACCACCAAAAAGTCCAAATGCGCCATCATAACCGTGCTTTGAGTACAAAGAGACAGTACCATAGCTAAGAGCGAAGCTGATCACCCCGCGCATTGCGCAGATCATAACGAGACAGGAAGCACCACGTGTTGGGTACGCGTCTAGACAGTAGGTAATGCCAGCTATATTGGCTCAATGAAGGTGAAGAAATCTGTAGGGAGTCAGTATGGATCACCATGCTTATACGCGGAAACGTGACTTACAGCCATTCAGTGTAATAACGATTGCCATCCAATGATACTTCTCCGGGAATGCAGCAGCTTGGCCATAAATTACAGAAAACATTATACCAAGGATAAGTGGAAGGATAAGTGTCAGAAGTCGATGTTCCGGCTCATGAATACCACCTTTACGGCGAGCCATGAACTTGACGATGAAGTCAGAGCCGTAGCCTAACATTGGAATGCAGACGAATGCAACAATGATCTGTCCTGCCATTGCAACACTGATGTATTTGCTAGCCCAGTGATAAGCCTCCCCAAGGATGTTGCCGTAGGTAAGTCCCATAGCGATGTTCACGCCCAGGAATACACCGTTCATACTAAATACCCAGAACACGTCAGGGAAGAAGAACAATTGGCATTGGTGCTTGATGCAAGAGATTGCCTCGCTCCAGTCTGCTTTGTTGACAAACAGTCTCATATCCGATGCACGTGTTCGTGGCAGGTAGTTCACGGTGTCGAGGACTCGCTCATCGTGGACCGTTTTGAAATGCTGGACTTGTTTTGGGTTCTCAACGTCGGATCTCGCAATACTCGACTCGGAAATATCTGGATGGGCACCCATTCCTTCATATGCTGCAAGCGATCGGATGTATTTCGTCTCCGGGACGAAAAATGTGGCTGCGAAAAGGACCAAGCCGCTGAAGCCAGCAAAAAGATAGTACCATGCTCTCCACCCAACTGTGGTAGCGATGTAACTTGTGAGAATGATGAGTGTACCACTAATGATGGTCTGGATAGAGGAGAAGAGCTGTTGGTATCTGGCACGTTCGTGCAGGAAGAACACCTCCTAATCAGAAGTCAGTATTTAAGATCTCCGCTAAGCTACCAGCCCTTGAAGCTACTCACCGAGATCATCAAAGGACAAAGAGCTTCACTCTGACCAGCAGCCAAGCCAAGAATACATCGAGCCGCGAAGTGCCATGTGTATCCTTGATTGGTAGCGCAGAGGACCAGTGAGACAACCTGCAGCACACAAGACCCTAGAAAGACTGGACGTCGACCAATTGCTAGAGCAAGAGGCATGGAGATCATGTTACCGATACCCATGAAAAGAGATGGGACTAAGACAGTCAACGAGAAAATCTTCAACTAGTTGTGGCTGACTTACAGGTCATCAGGTTGCTTATATCTGCGTATGTCTTCCCTTGAGCTGCATAGGTTGGAATGAACTCTCCCAAGATACCCCCAAGACCGGAAACAGCAGTGAGACCCATTGTTGAATCTGCGGCGGCATCTACTTAGCATGTCTTCAAACAAGTCACATTCGACAACGAGACTTACAGGTGCATGTTGTGGCTAGGATGACCAGCTTCTGCCACAATGGAATATTGAGAGGGTCCCTAGGATCAGAACTCGGAGTTGGTATCAAGATGACACCTTGGTCGCTGACCAACTGGACGGTGCCATCTAGATTCTTTGCCGCCGTGTCCGTTGCGGCTGGTGTACAAGACTCGATCTGCTCGATGGTTGGGCCTTTGATGTCCTGCATGTTGACAAGTATTTTGTGGTAAGCCCTGCCGACTGTGATTGAATTGGGAGGCTGAGATAATGAGGCAGATTGATGATCAACTTTACTCGTTTGACCCGCTCCTGGCAAGGAGCTATGAAAAGAGAGCAGAAGTCCAAACAGAGTGCGGTAGTTTCAAGCTCGATGGTCGAGATGAAGAGAGCCCTCGTTGTGATGCCATCCACCTCTGCTTTAAATGGTTTCTCTGCGTGTCCAAGACGTCTCTCAAGTCCCCAAGCGACACCAACATTACAACCAAGACTGCCACCATCAAGGGCCTGGGCACCAGCCCCGTGCATGTGGCAGAGTCAACGCTTCATGGAAAACCCCGGATCATAGTTTACGCTTACGCAGCTGTCAAGCCCCGAACACTGACCCTCCCCCGCGTTTCGGTCGATTGCGGGGTAGTAGGCAGAGGGGGGACTGCCACCGAAGTGTTACAGGCGATAGGGAGTGCCAATAATAGTGGGGGTTTGAGGTCGGCGTGAATATCTATGTAAAATTCCAGCACAAAAAAGAGTCTAGATCCGGGGTGGCCGGCCATTAGATCTGGGGGAAGATCTGGGTTTTCCCCTCGTTCGGCTCCAACCAGACGGAATGTGGAGGTGCATCAAAATCTGGGGGGTCAGACTTTCGGCCGCTAACCACCGAATCAGACATACAGCCCCGAGATAGTACCCATGGCTTATTCGAGCAAAGAGACGACTGAACACAGCTGTCAGTCATCCACTGCCAAAATTCGGCGACGTTTTCGGGGGCCACTTGAGATTCTCGGCTAACCCCCCTTTATTGACTCAACTGGCTCGGCCATCGCTTAATCAGGATCCTGGGAGTGAGAATGCACCCTCCAAATGCACCTCTTCGATTTCTCATGATTGGCCCACATGAAAATGATGGAGTGCTACCCCTCTTTGACCCTTAAACGCGTCTCCTACTTTGCAGACGTGAAGCTAGCCCCTCCATCTAACAATAAAATAAAAATATTATTCTCACCCCAGAGTGTGTTCTTGCTCTCGCAAAAAATAAACTAAAAGCCGCTCGAAGATATCACCAACACCCCATTCTAAATTAAATTACCTCAAATCTATCTCAGAGCTTCCTCCAAAATGCCTCCTCCTTGCCAGATCGCACGGAAGCGCATCGCAGAACCTGTGATTGGCGAGAACGGCTATCAAGGTTTCCAACCAGGCAAGACAGTACGTGTTGTGCAATATCATGATCCCTTACTTCTATGATCTGCGATTCTTAAACCTCTTCAGACTTCCTCGATGAAGCAATTGCTGAGTCTCTCACTACATAGGAAGTCCTCCCTGCCGGCTGGAACGGTCACAATGCCAAAGCTCTCAAAAGCCCAATCCGTGTTGACCACGATGTCTCCATCGTCATGCGAGACGGCTGCCGTCTCTACGTCGACATCTATCGCCCTGAAGGTACCACCGAGAAGATCCCCGCCGTTCTCAGCTGGTCTTTCTATGGCAAGAAGTACAGCGCTTTGGAGATGCTGCCCATGTGTGTGTGGAACTGCTGCGTACCTCGCTCAGATCTTAGCGGCATCGAGAAGTTTGAAGGCTTGGATCCACAAGAGTGGTGTCCAAAAGGATATGCGATTGTCAGTGTTGATACCAGAGGCGCAGGAAACAGCGATGGTGAGATCTGTGTGATGGGACAGCAGGATGCCGAGGATGGGTATGATGTTGTGGAAGCTATTGCGAAGATGGAGTGGTGCAATGGAGCTGTTGGAATGGCGGGGAATTCGGCACTGGCTATTTCTCAGTGGTTCATTGCTGCACAGCAGCCGCCTTCGTTAAAAGCGATTGCTCCATGGGAAGGATCTGGGGATATCTACCGAGAGCAGTTCTGTCGAGGGGGTTGGTTCTCCATGAGTAACTTCGACTTGATTGCCAAGGCGATCGTGAGAGGACAGTCCCATTCTGGGCTGGAGAACTTCGAGGAAATGTATCGCAGGTCCCCCGTGTCAAGTCCGTTCTGGGAAGACAAGAGGGTCGACATGACGAAGATCAAATGCCCAGCATTTATCCGCGGGTCAGATGTGAGCAGTATTCACACCATGGGCTCGATTCGGGCATGGTTGGAGCTTCCGCACAACGACAAATGGATCTGGTGGGGAAGTAAACAAGAATGGTACGAACTGTACAGCATACCTCACGCTAGAGATGAACTTACCACATTTTTCGATTTCTATCTGAAGGGCAAGAAGAACGACTGGCTCAAGACACCCAAAGTCCGCTGGTCTGCCCTACAATTTGGCGACCGAGAAGCCATCGACGACATCCCACTCGAAGACTTCCCTGTTCCAGGGACGGAATACCGAGAATTTTTCATGCAGAACAACAACAAGCTTCTCTCTCAACCTCAGCTTTCAGCAACGAAAGTATCCTACGACTCAGAAAAACACACTTCCTTCGCCGAATTTACATATACCTTCCCCACCAAAGCCCGACTCATCGGTCTCCCCAAAGCGATCCTCTACATGTCCTGCCCCAACCGCGACGACTTCACGGTCTTCGTTATACTCCGTAAAAAGGATCGAAATGGGAAAGATCTCATGCATTTGAACTTCCCATTCTCCGCTACGCCCATCAAGTCCATTGATGAGATACCCGAGAAGGACCAAGCGAGTCTGAACCTGCATCTGGGATCAACTGGTATTCTGCGAGCATCGCATCGTGCAATTGATCCGAAAAAGAGTATCCATCCGCAATTTCCATTTCACCCACATACAAAGCAAGAGAAAGTTCAGCCGGGGACGGTGGTGAGATTGGAAATTGGAATCTGGGCGATGGATGTGGATTTTGATGAGGGGGAGTCGATTAGTCTGAGAGTATGTACTATTTCCAATATCTTACATCTCTTGTCAAGACTTGCTGAATGCTAACTATTCTTGTAGGTTGGTGGCCAGTTTCCCAGCTTAGCTGAGTATAAGAGCTTTTCTGGTCCGAGACCAGAGCATGAATTGAACACAGGGCAGCACTTAATACACTGTGGTGGAGAATATCCCAGCTCGGTCATTTTGCCTTTCACCCCTGTCAATTAGTCCATTCCATTGTTGCTTAGAAAAGACCATTGTTTGCTATATTTAGTTGAAAATTCGTGCCTATGATTGGAAAGTGATCCGAAGACGATGCCTAGGAGCTTGATAATGCCTAGCAATTCCCAAGTAGAATCTGCGCTCGGATAATCCCTCAAAACCATTGGTGCCTTCCCAGAAACACCAAGGACCATGTGCCCAATTGCCTAAAGTCACGGCAAAATTTAAGTAAATACTTAAATCAATTGTTTCAAGCGAAGGTAAGATAAGGGGCTGCAAAACCATAGATAAACAAACCGATAAGAAGGCGAGGGAGATAAGGCTGGGGTAGCGCTTGCTGAAAGTGGGGTAAGGGGGAAAGATAAGAATTTTTCTTCGAGTCATGTGGTGAGGGGATTTTGAAAGACAGTGTGTGAGATTGCGGGTTGAAGATTATATTGTTCGTTATCGGGGGTTTTGGGGGGATATGAGAAGGGCTGTAAGGGGATCTAAATAATGAGAAATATTATCACCTCCGGAGCATGAAATGTGCAGACCAATTGAGTTGAGCGCAATGGATAAAATAAAAAAGAACGGGCCAGAGCGGGGGTCATGCAATCATGTAACTTTTATTTTCGTGTTGTGCCAGAGGTGCGTGCGAAGAGCAGCACAATGGGAAAGCATTCCTGTAATTCCTTTCCCTCCTGTCATTTCCTCCATCCGTTACCCACGCCCATCCAAATCTACTCCCACACTCCTCCCGAGATCCCTTGCCTACGGTCAGCTATCAGTGTCCTGGCCCCAGTTGAGACAATGACAAAGCGTAACTTGGGCGAAATTAGACCGACATTGACATCCGTCGGTATTTTTTGGTGAAAGAAAAACATGCAACTGGCTTCAGATCAGGTTGGTGGTAGTACAGTGCTGAATTTTGGATAACCCAGCAAATTCTCGGCAAAGAAGAGCTCGCGCTGTCGGCAAAGGAAAAATTCGTTATTGGTGGTATCATCGACGTAGAAGCAAGAGAGAACCCACCGCCATCTCAGTAAAAAGATCCCTTTGCCTGAGGATAAGGAAATATTATGTGACTGATTGTGGTGTTGAAGCCTCGCTGTGATCTCCAACCATGTCTGCAACGCGCATCTTCTTCGCTCGTGGGGCACCATCCCGGATTTCGGTGAGCTGTTGTTCGACATCATCAAGTCGGTGCTTCAGCTGATTCTCCCTGCGTTGTGATTCCTCCAAGCGTCGCATGAGATCTTGTTCCGACTTGTGGCGCATCTCTTCTCCCCTTCTAGCATTGTTCTCATCCTGCTCAAGCTGAGCGACCCTTCCTCGGAACAGCTCGTTGATAACTTCGAGTTCACTGACGCGAGTTTTGAGCGATGAGTTCGAGGCGATAAGTTGCTCGTATGTTTGAGGCACTTCTAGACCATGGTTCCCATTCAATGGGGAGGTGGAACGTCCAGGCGATGGTTGGCGAAGGTGCATCGGTGGGAGGGACGGGGAATGATGATTGAAGTGATCTTCGAGCGAGTGGCCGTTGAACGGTGGCAGGTGGTTCGCATACATAGACGGCGTACCCGTTCTTGAAATGGGAGAGTTCGAGCCATCAGAATGTCCATTCGCGGATTTTTGAGAGGTGCGACGATGTCCCAGTGATCCTGGGGGTGGTGTTCCGGCTTGCGACCGCGCTTGATCGTGACCGTTTGTGTCAAAGGGGTTCTGCGACCACACGTTAACATTTGTCCTCTGCCACACATCATTGTCCTTCTGCGAAAGCTTACTTTCTTCTTTACGCCTTGTGCCGCCCCAGAACTCTTGACACGATTGCGACTCTTGATAACATCTGTCTTTAGGCTTATCGGCCGAGGTCGTCCATGCAGCTTCAAGAACAGGCCACAGGCATTGCACAGCACGGAGCCAACCTCATCGCGTCTCCATAGAGGTGTAGTCGAGGTGCCGCAATTTCCGCAGATAGGTGGCTGTGATGTTTCATTAGATACCATAGAAGAGGCCATCGGAGCGCAGCGCGGATGGATTTGCGGATGGGAATGTTGAGGTTCGGGAGTTTTGTTATCGAGGACAGGATAGGGACGATGCGATAACTACGGCCTGAGCTTATCGAGCGAGACGAGAAAAATTGGGGTGGAAAAAAGGTGAAGCCTTACGGGAAGGCTCGGCCAATCACAGCTCGCGCCGGCCGCCCTTGCCCCAAGACAGATAGGGGCAACAACCTTAATCGATAAAAGATAGAAACGGAAGGTAGGTAGGTAGGTAGGTGTGGGAAGGGAACGGGATTGGGATTGGAATTGGGATTGGGACAGTCAACAAATAACAGAAGCAAATCCAATGGTGATGTATGGGAAGTGCATTTGTGGTTTGTTGCTCTTTGCCCGTGTAGTGAGTGTACTGCGATGATGGGGGGATTTGGCAGCAAAGTGAAGTGAGTGCAGTGCAGTGCAGTGATATGGTCGGCAGACATAAATAACAGCCAACATACCTGGGAACTGCTCTGCCCGCCGCCCGAAGTCGCCGATGGAGACGAATAGCTCATTCCAGTTGGTCCTACGTTGAACGCCCTGATTTGCATGTTAGCTTGTCGTTGCCCAATGGTTATGATACTCGTAAACTTTGCAGAACGCCGATAAAAAAGACTTTGGAGGATCAATCCCGGGAATTGCTTGCAGGATGGCCCCAAGTTATTCCTCCATTGCCCCTCCTGATACACAGGATGCACCATCTCCATGGCATCATCCCCGGACCTTCAAGGAATGAGGTCTTGCAACATCTCGTCAAGCTTGGCCGTACTTCCCAACCTCGGTGATCTCTTGGACAGGGCCATCGAAAATACCGGCGACTGGGAAATTTGCTGGACAATTTCGAATTCCGTGCCAGATGTGTCGCCCAATGCCTCCTACCACAACTGATATCCAAGCCAGGATCGAGTTCCAGTACCATGCCACGACAATTAAGAAATCCAAACGCACCTCATTTGGGGAGAGTTCGACGAAGACGCGAGAGATGCCAGAGCAGACAAGCCAGGAAGCTGAGGTAACGAAGCGCTGTGATGGAGTGAAGAATTGACAGTCGAAGTCGATGATGGGCGAGATATCGGGTCCACTAGAGAGGGCATTGAATGCCTGCCATCGTCTGCTGAGTGTGCCGTAGTGAAGGAAGGCAGGTCCCGGACCTGCTCCCTCGAAGATGGGTGAGGGATGGGCGAAGCCCGATAGTGAGCAAGTGTAGAAGCCGTTTTGGCGGTTGGAAAGGGAGCTATTAAATCGCGTCCGAGAAGGAACGCGAATGGTATATGAGGGGGATAGTGACTATGAAATGTCTCGTGAAATTAACTGTGGTTTCGCAGGTCTGTCGTGATGGAAAGGGATTCGTTCTATTAATCGTGGTAAGGAGGCCGGGAAAAGGGTGAATGAAGTATTATTCGGAAGGGGCTCAAAATGAAGCAGACTTTTTCTAACGCGCTCAAACGAGTGACTGATGGGATATTGGAAGTGGTGAGGGTGTACAAGAAGACAGCGAGTGTGGTGGATGAATTATTAGAATATCATCAGAGAAGAAGGGTTGGAAGGAAGATGGAAGAAGTTGCAGATTGGATTGGAGCTGGGTTTGTTGCTTGCTTGGACATGGGGCCGCCCCTTATCCTCGCGCTATGTACGATAAGTTATGGATTGCAGATCTATAAAAAGAGCAGCACTCGATTTGCACAATTCTCTGCTCGAGACCTAATGGAATGCTCACTCATGATTGCTGCATGAAGAATGCAAGTTGAGATGAGAACAATCATACGGCCGGATAAAATGAACAATGACGATTGCGCCGTTGTTGAATTGTGTGTTTTGTTTGGCTTCATCTACAATCCGTTGTTCACAAATTGGTTCCATCGACAGCGATGGCCTGCCTTTCCAGCCCTGAGCAATGGCAATGCACGAACCCGACCGCTTCACAATTTGTGATCCGTGAGATAAGAAAGAAGAAAGTTCTATGCTTCTACGGGCTGGAACACCAGTTCGTGGCAACAGAGACAAATCCCGTTGTCAAAAGGAGAAGCACAATAATCGTCCAAGCATGCCACGAAGGATCTCTGGGCAGATTCATAAAAACGCCTTCACAGCTCGACATCATCTGGGTGCTAGGAGACGCGGATCCGGATTCGGTGATCCGCGCTGGGGGATAAAAGTTGGGATGGCTGGTGATGGGATGTGGAGATCTGACAAGGGCAAGGCAGGGGAGTAGTGGAGCAATATCTCCCGATCATCAAATCGGCAGTCGCTGATTGTCCTGATAAACAATCAAGCCACCAGGGGTAAGACAGGGCTGAGGATGCGCAAGAAATATGAAGCCAGGTCGCGACCAGTGTGGCTTGATAGATGTCTTACCCCTGAGTTCCGAGTAAGATTGTTTGCGAGATGAGACGTTGAACAAGAGAAGCGCGTCGAGAAGAGAAGCGTTCGTGAAGCGCGATCTGAGGTGGCGTGTCTGAAGCTATCATACGTGGGGTGGGAGATTGAATGACAGATTGAAATCTGAGCATGTTCAAATCGGGTCCTTGAATTTGGATCTGGTAAATAAGATTGGAGATCGTGAGTCCGAGACCCAAACCAAATTAGATTGACGCTCGGTTACGAAAAAGGGGCAGATAATACTTCGACTGGTCACGTGCTCAATTACCGGGAAATAGTAAGACCGCGTCCGAGTCTAGCGTCCCGATAATTACGGTAGCCATACCAGAACTGCGTTTCATTCTGAAATTCTTCATATCGAAACTTTTTTGGACACCCAAGCTCTAAGCTTGCCCAACCCCACCACAATCTTCAAGATGCCTTCCACACACAAGAAGGAGAAGCCTTGGGATACAGATGATATTGACAAATGGAAGGTAAGCTTCAATCTCAACTTCCCATCCCTTAGAACAAAGCTAACTCATTACAGATCGAAGAGTTCAAACCAGACGACAATGCCGGCGGGACCTTCGCAGAAGAATCCTCATTCGCAACCCTCTTTCCTAAATACCGCGAAATTTACCTCCGTGAAGCCTGGCCTCTAATCACCCGCTCATTGGAGAAATATGGCATAGCATGTACTTTAGATTTAGTCGAAGGATCAATGACCGTCAAGACTACTCGGAAAACCTACGACCCCGCCGCAATACTCAATGCGCGCGATCTGATCAAGCTGCTCGCACGTAGTGTGCCCGCTCCTCAAGCAGTCAAGATCCTCGACGACGGAATGGCCTGCGACGTGATTAAGATCCGGAATCTAGTCCGCAACAAAGAGAAGTTCGTCAAGCGGAGACAGCGAATCCTAGGTCCGAACGGCAGTACACTGAAAGCGCTTGAGCTTTTGACGGAATGCTATCTGCTGGTGCAGGGAAATACCGTGGCGGCTATGGGACCATATAAGGGATTGAAAGAAGTGCGGCGGATCATCGAAGACTGCATGAACAACATTCACCCGATCTACCACATCAAAGAACTCATGATCAAGCGTGAGCTCGCCAAGGATCCAGAATTGGCTGGCGAATCGTGGGATCGTTTCCTCCCGCATTTCAAGAAGAGGAATCTGAGTAAGAGACGTGTACCGCTCAAGGTCACGGATAAGACGAAGAAGGTTTACACGCCCTTCCCACCACCACAGGAGAAGAGTAAGGTGGATCTGCAGATTGAGAGCGGAGAGTACTTCCTGGGCAAGCAAGCGCGGGAAAAGGCGCAGAGGGAAGAACGTATGGATAAGCAGCGGGAGAAGAAGGAGGAGAAGCTGAAGGAGAGGGAGAAGGAGTTTAAGGCGCCGAAGGAAGAGGGCGAGAAGAAAGAGAAGAAGAAGAGGAAACGGGATCGCGAGGAAGGTGAAGATGGAGAAGTCAAAAAGGACAAGAAGAAAAAGAAGAAGAAGGAGGTCCTCAAGGAGGAAGAGTAACACCGAGTACGTGTATGGCTTGTTTGGCATTTTGGCGACGGCGTTCATTTTGGCTGGCGGTCTGATCAAGGAATTCGTGCGTTCTGGGAGAAGTTATGTTCAATAGCCAAGGGAATGATCAAGATACCTCAGAATTCAGCTAATGTCTGCGGCTTCCTTCGTGAGCTTCGAGGAATCCAACATAACGGGTTGCTGAGGAGCAGATGGTCAGAGGCAGTGTCCGTAACTGTTCTGCCACTCGGTTAGGTACATTACAAATGTTGAGACTTTCTCCAGGCATGTACTGTCCAGCTTCCGTCTACCAATCAGGGGAAACGCGTACATTAATCTAGAGATATCAACAATACCCACTAAGCCAGAGCGCCGAGACCCATACATTGATACAGTAGGAGTGTACCCATACGTCCATACGATCCGACCGTTCCCAAGATCATAATGTCCATATGGTTCGACCCAGCCTATCCTATCCCATACCATAACACCTGTGTCTTATCATCCCAAATTCCCAACCGATTTACAAGCCCATACACTGCTTTCCTCTCATGAACACCAATACCGACCTATGTACATACCCAAGCTTCATATACCTTTGTATAATAGACTCTTCTCTTCTCTCCTCAGTTCTCGTTCTTACTATCCTCTCAACTAACCACAGCTGTGATTCCACTCTCCCTGCTACTCCCTTCCACAGCATCCCGCTCCTCATCTCCATCCCGCTCACTCTCATGACCAATCCTGAAAACCTCATCACCACTCGGCCCCCTACTCAAAACCGGCGTCTTCAACTCATGTGAGTACTGGCGAGAGTGTGCGCCAGGAGTCCTCGGTCCAGGATGTGCAGGGTACGACTCGATATGGTGATCATGATATAGTGCTTGTCTTTTACGGCTGGACTCGCTAGTGAGTTGGAGATGCTCTGGGGAGTGGATGGTGGATGTTTTGGAGTGCTCGAGGTTGTGGCGTTTAGTCTGTTTACTGTTAGTCTAATTTCTGGGTTATATAGATGTAGAGGAATTTGTGTAAGGCAGGAGTAGAATATTGAGAAAAAAGACCTACATCTCGCGCCTGCTTCCTCGTGTACCTATTCAAACTCTCACACAACCTATCCAGAATCCACTCGCTCTCACTGACATCTGCCAACATCGGACTATCCTCACCAATCCAGTCCCACTCGATGAGCCCCTGCTCTTCCTCCTCCTCATCCACATCCTCTGGCCTCTTCGAGCTACTGAATCGAATCAACCGGGTAAACTCCACCCACTCTTCATAACTATATTTCTTCGGCGTCTCAGACCGTAAATCGTTTGCTGTCCTCTTAATTGCAATCGCCAGTTTGCGCGCTAGGTCATGCTCTGTCACAGTCGGAGGCTCTTCAGCGAGTTTGTCGAGCGTAGGAACTCTAACGACATCTTCTTCCGCGTTCCCAGTCTCAGCTTCTTCATCATCAGGGTTCTGAACGGTGAAGCCCTCCTCAATACGTTTCTTCTCCTCCATTTTCTTCGTTCGACGTTCAAGCCAATCTTCCAACTTCGGATGCTTGAGAACGAAATCGTGCCATACGCCTTCCTTGGGCATCACAGTCCAGTCCGCGAGCGTGAATGTCCCGCGGTTGATGGCTGACACAACTGTATTGCCCATATCGGAGACGAGGATCGTCATTGTAGGGACGGCGACTAATGACCAGACGATAAAGAGCGGTTTGCCGGCGTTGGAACGAGGACTGAAGTCTCCGTATCCGATTGTCAAGAGTGACACATAGCAGAAATACAAAGCGTCGAAATAAGACAGGTTCTGGATCCGTCGCTCAGCATACATGAAACCGAGTGCGCCGAGACACCACAAGATCCCGAAGGCGAAGACGGACCAGGCGAGAGCATAGTACTGCTTGAATCGATTCGTGTGTGCTTGAATGTCTCGCATCGCATCAAATCTGTCTTTCTCTTCTTTTAACATGATCAACTTCTCTCGGCGACTTGCTCGCCTAATGTGTGGCTCTTTGCCAGCAGCTCTCTGTTGTATTTTGGCGTCACGACTTAATGGTGGTTTGGGTCTGTGATTTCTCCCAGCTCCACCGCGCCCACCACCTTGAGCTGGTGCCTTGCTCTTGTGTTCCTTGAAAGTGATATTCTTACCCTGGACATTAAAATGTCCGTACTGATCCAACGAGGCCCTTCGAATCGGTTCGAGATTTGATGGGGTTCGAGTTTGACGGCGAAAATCGGTATTTTCTCGTTTCGGAGGTAGACCGAGCCGTTCTCGCAGTTCTTTCTCGCTTGTTACTGTCCTGCTGAAAGTTCTTGCTCTTTCATTGAGGGTGTGCTTTTTGATCACATTGTCCTTTGACATGCCCGATGCAAACTTCCTGATACTGTTGATCATGAGACCAAGGAAGATAATACCAATAACCGAGTACGGAAATACCAAACCTCGACCAGCACTATTGTTAGCAACCACGTCTCCAAACCCTACAGTGAGAACCGTGACATCGCAGAAGTACAGTGCATCCGCATAGGAGAATCCACAGACTTTCGAGAACACGGCTGCGCCACCCGCTAGCCAGAAGAAGAACATCATCGTTTGGAGAATAAGCGTTCTTTGATCATCATCGAGTTCGAAATGCTGAGGATAATGACCAAGAAAATAGCCAAGCATGTTGATCATCAAGATCATGGATCCGATCAAGTACAAGACCGCAGCGATGATAGCATGCCAAAACCCTTGCGAGTATGTCTCTCCCGGCCTTATGGGAGGGACGTACTGGTTCATAGCGGCCGTGATGGCAATGAGCTAAAATTCATGTAAGCTTGAAACCACATGATTGGGAGTAGGAACTAACAATGCCAGTAGCAAAGTACCAGGAAATAATCGTAGCGGGTAAGGCAATGATATAGCGAATTCTCTGTGTGAAATTCAAGAGTAAACAGAAATTACCAAAGAATCCACAACCAAGAGAAATGGCATTTAAAATGATCTCCCTGTATGTCCACTCATCAGAATCTTAACTACGATAGCTATTAGAAGGAGTAGTTACCACTTAGGATCCGGGATATTCGTTCCCAATGCATCCAGGCCTCCCGGTAATTGCCCATTATCAGGCAATTTGACCCTCCATTTCGACACCAGGGCAGCAATCGAAAGAACATTTGCAAGTGGTCCTATCGTCGCCGCCAGAAGCGGGATCGCAGTGCTAGCAAACCACCAGTCTTGAGGTAAATCATCGGTCTTTCCCCTCAGTTTGAACTTTCCAAACGTGAGGATGGTGTCGGTCTTCTCCAGAGTAGCCATATCATTCATCACGGGTGTGGTGCTTCCATTCCTCGAGCCGGGACTGCCGTTGGGGGCTGGGTCTTGTCTAGTTTCAGAGGAGCTGGACGCCATGATTGTTATTGAGGACCGGATGGATTGCACATCGTGGCTTGTGGAGTGCCGAGGCTTGAACCTTCTATCTCAGGTCTGCTCAGTGCATGAAAGACCCCGTAATACGAGATTTACGTTCCTTCTGAGATGCCCCTTTCAATATGATCGAAGCAGAAGCTTGAAGTTGTGGCGCTGGAAAACGTGCTGTTTCGAAGGTCAGGGTTGCCGGATGTAGCGGGGTGGGATGTCGTGAATAATCAGCTCCACTTCTCGATCAACACGAGGAACAATAATTACAAAGTCTATGTCAATATCTAAACCAAAAAATTCCGGGAGAGTCTGTTGTTTGTACAAATGTACACGAGAAGTTAAAACGATATAAGACATTGAGGAATGAAAGAGGGGACGTGATAAGAAGTCGGCCTAGCCGTCCTCGTGCAAGCCACAATTCGATTAAGCATGCCAGCCGACTCGCTCACGAGGCATAGCGTGGGCTTGGCGATCTACACGGGGATCATCCACCTTAAATTGGCGATGAATAAGGCCTAGACCAGTCGAAATATTCAACAGGTTGGTTCGGTAGAACGAGTTTCTTGAAACGTATTGATTTTTTGTATTAACATCAAAGTGGAAACTGTGGACGATACGCGTCTCTCTTGCATCGGTGCTGTTCTTGTTCACGTCGAACTCCAGTAAATTCTTCGAGTTCTTGAATGCAGGTGTGTGGTAATCTCATCTGTATTCATGTGCATCTCCTCACATAATCTAAAGGTCCAAAGTCAAAAAAACTCCTGCTTGGGCAAAGCCATTGCTTAATAAAATCCGAATAACGCCTTGGCCATCATGGAGTGGAATGAGCCAGAAACTTGGGTATCGGCCCTGTTCTAATCGTACATTCATGAAGAAGAAAGCAATAGCAATGTCGCCAAAACGTCGGAACTTAAGAAAACACCAGATGCAGTGAACTTCTCGCTAAACTCCAAGTCTTCCAGCGATCATCGAGGGGAAATCCGACCATGAGTCTGTCCGTCAAAGATTCATGCACACTGCCAAAATCGTCATGAGAAGTGAAATGCACGCTAAAGTTGTCTCCATCGTATGAGCCCATTCAATCCTCTGGATTAGCGAATACCTCTTCCTGAATTGCAGGAGTGCTTGGAGATTGCAGAGGACTAATAAGGGACGAAAAGAAGTTGGCGCCGAGGCTGCTATTTTGGCGATGCAGAGTCAGGGGAGTAGGTCGGCAACGACGAGAGGGAGACTTCATTGTCAAGCCCAAGTCCTCATCGTCCTCTTCCTCTGCTTCCACATGACCGAAGAGGGTGGAAGTGGATTGGGCTGAGATATGGGAAAGATCAAGTGTTGATACTGGTCCTTGGTGCTCCCACATGGCTTCGAGGGTCATTCTCTCTTGAGTCTTGCCGTGTGATTCTTCATCCTCGCCCTCTGTATTATTGTGGCCAGGTCGTCCGTTGCAGAAGGTACGGAATTCAGTTGGAAGAGGCACGGTGCTTGGCTTCATCATGGTCTCTCTGACCATTTCCAGGGCGATTTCTTTGTCTGCTGAAAAGTTAGCAATTTTTTTTAGGAGATATGCTGAAATTGATCTCGAAAAGGTCCCACGAGCCATGGTGAACCGGCTATGATGCACTTGTGATTCGGTATCAACATACCTTGCTGGCCAACTCGAGCCACGAGCCCTCTAATGAAGCATCGTAGCTGCCCTAAGGTCCTCATGGCCGCTTCCATCGTCTCAGTGTTGGGGCGCTCCACCTCGGGAGGATACGTAACATGGCACTCCTGGCAATTTCGCTCTGCTCGAGGAGCATTTGGGCCAGTTCGGCATCGCCACCATCCTCCACCTCGGTGGCCCAGTGCCTTCCAAACGGGGTGCTCCTCGTGATGTACCTTGTCCCAGACCTTCGGCAACGTAGTATAGCCTCTCTCCAGGCTCTCCAATCTGTGAATCTCATTATTCAGATCGGTGAATGTAACCCAAGGAAATTCGAAATTTTCAGCTGGGAACCCTAAAAACGAGAAAGTTAGCAAAGCTAAATTTGTCTTCAAGAGGCGCATAATTCATGCATCCAACGGTTTTAAAAAGACAATGGTCCTGGGACGTACAATCAGGTAGATATGCACCACAACGATCGCGATCTTTCAGAGACAAGTGAGATTCAGGGGGGATGTGGCGTTTACCGCACTTTCTGCAGAACATAAAAATGGTGTAAGGCGAGTAGAATTTTCGAAGACCTCCCGTATCACTTGCTTCCGAGTCAGTACTATCTGAATCAACCCAGTCATCTGCGTTCTTAGCGTCCTCAATATGCCATTTTGGCGGTTGTAGCAGAGGCTGAGGCGCTGTATTTCCAAGAATCACCTTAATGCAACTTCGAGGTATCATTGTGGAGTTTGCTTGCTCTATTCTATGCGCGAATTTGGGATCATGGCCAGTGGATGTAAGCATGTAGCCGCGATTCGAGAGAGGAGGAAAGGTTCTAAATGGTTCGGACAAGACTTTGGGACGGACATTCTCTTGGGAATGAGCGAATCCACCACGTATCACCTTGCAATTGCCAGAATGATGTTCATAGTAGCTGTCGGAGCTAGGTGGCCCGGAGCTGGAGGCTTCGCGCGGACTGGGATCGGGAGGGTATTGTGGGATAGATGGGTTCTCGTACTCTGGATTTGAAGATGGTTGGAATTCGGTTTCAGTAGGCGTAGGCATTCGATCTCCGCTGCTCTCGCTGTCGTTCTCATCGTTGGCTGTAGCGTCTATCCTCCGTCAGCAGTCGAATGGAATATAGAGTTAAATTGCTACCTTGGTGGTTGCTCTCGATGACAGGATCTCTGCGGACGGTAACGTTCTGGGAGGATGGAACAGAACCCAGAAGTTGTCCCGACAAGTCTTGGCCCTGGCCGTCCATTCTCTTTGCGTAGGTTGCACGTCGCATAGCAACCCAAGCAGGAATTCCACCCTCGTCCTTCTCATCGTCGCTGCTTTCAATAGCGTGTTCGTGGTGCTTCAGCATCGCCTTGTAGACGGCATTACGCTTTTCGTCTGGTCCAACGTCACGCGACGACAAGTCAAAACTGTATGTACGAACTCGATTTGCGGGCTTGAAGTCATGCTCTGACGCCATGTCTTTGAGTTTGCGGATCGCGATCTTCGTGAGCTGAAGTTTCTGAGGTTGTGGTTGTCAGGTGGGAGGGAAGAAACCGACCCGCCTCTTGCTGCCTTTGATGTCACTGTTTACAGTGAATAGCGCCCCATAAGCGAACTCCGCCTGAGGTAGGCAACGCTAGAGACCTTTCAACCGTTGGTGGCGGAACTTTCCTCACTAGTCAGGAGCTTTCGTCTGAACAAGATTGAGTGTCTGGAATAATTTTGCAACAACTTGGGACGAATGAAAACAAGTTCCGGGTATCGTGGCTGCATCGATCAAAAATATCGTCCTGTTGGAGACCGTAGCCTGACCATAGGGACTCGTACAAGATTCGAAACGCCTGAATGATTTCTCTTGTACCTTGTATGTGTCCGGTTGATGGAGTCAGATAAGTTGATTGCCCAATAAGACGTCGAAGGTTGCAAGAATAGGAGGATGCCACAGCTCTTAAACGGACACATTCTGAAGCTGAAAGCAATGCAAAGAGAATTTTGACAGAGAAGAATGAGAGCTTTGAGGCAACGAAAACATAGCTACCCAAGCTGCAATGTACTGATAAGAAGACGATAGGAGAATGTGTTAATTCATGCCATGAAGATCTGTGACCAACAGATAGACAGAAGTTCTTCAAGAGCGGGTAGAGAGATCAAAGAGAGAAGGTGTCCTCCCTCATTTGAGCAACGCGTCACACCTCGTCCAAAATGTCTTGTCTTAGGATGACGAAATCGCAAAATTAATATTCCATTCAAAGCACTGGCTTTGTGCCTTGGAAAAATATTTGGTGGGGATCTGCAACGCCCGTCATAAAGTGGTGCTTTGAAAGAACCGATGGACTTCATGGCCATGCATCTAGCTCTTAGCTAGCATATTACGCTGAGATTTCAGAATTGTGCAGATAACCGTACAAAATAGCAAGATCGTGGCCGAATGAAAAGAGACTTACAGTTTGCAAATATAGAATTGAGTCGTGATTCTATGTCTCTATGGTTCCACAGCATGTGCCATTCCTCAGCTCCTCTGCAAATATATGATCAGTGCAGCATGCCTATCCATTGCTGAAATGAGGGACCAATGCTGCCTGGTTTATCAGAGCAGGGTGTCGGAAAGATTTGCTGAGTTATTGGCAAACGACGAAACAGAGGTTGAGACTTACAGGTCAGAGAACATCAAAGCAAGTACCATCAAAACGGACTCTCTGCATCATAAAGACCATTTTCGCGGAAGCTGGTCCAGCATGATAAAAGGAAATCTTTTGATATCACGAGACAGAATAGGAGCAGGTTTACACACATGGGCTTCAGTTTCTGCCTCAATCCAAAAGAGGCCCAACACTAACAATCTCCCTTTCCTTCAACGCCTTCTCCTGCTCAATTTTGAGCTTTGCTCTTCCTTCTTTCCTCCTCTCCGCCTCGAGATTCGCAAATCTTCCACGAGCACCATGTTTGATTTTAGTAATCATATCCCCGGCTTTCCCCTTAGTCAAGGTCTCAGCAGTCAACTTGTCATCTTTAAGCCTGAGCTTATTCAGGAAGGCAAGTTGGCCATCAGTGGCGGGTCTATTCCTCCAAGCCTGATTCCGGGAGATAAATTGAAAAGGGTATTTGGATTGGGCGAAAGTATCCGCGGCGTGGATGGCGTCAGGTAAAGTGAGGGCTTTTGCGATTTGACGAGGTCGCATGAAAGGTAGTTGTTTTAAACCTGTTCGATCTAAAGCTACTGTCTCCGTAACGACATATGCCTCCTCACCAGGTTTCGGCTCTGCGGCTGCCTCTAACTTGATGTAAGAGCCGTTGGAATTTGTAAGAATGTACTTATCCTGGGCAACACAGACCCAAGCATTTGGAGAAAGCTGTCTGATATGCCTCTCTCCAGAGGTATCTTCAATCAGGTCGAAGACAGAATCATAATCCGTAAACGTTACAGTCGTAGGGACAGCCGGTCCGTCCTTCGGCTTTGGTCTCTTGGCAACGAGATCTTGTCGAGTTTCTTCTGCCTCCTTACGATCTAACATCGACTTCATGTCATCGACGCCAGCGCTTTCAACCGTTTCTGCAGGATCCAGGCCGAACAAGGTTGGAGTTGTGACAATGCCTGTCTCGAGACTTGCCACCATATCAATGATATGACAATCCTTCTTGCCAGGGTATAATCTCATTCCGCGACCAATCATCTGCACCAGCAGATTTCTTGATTTCGTTGGCCGTGCCAGCAATACACAGTCAATATTCGGGATATCCGTCCCCTCTGTAAATACGCCACAGTTGACAAGAACGGGAAACTCGCCACTCCTAAAAGCATCCAGACGAGCACTTCGTTCTGACTTTGGAGTGTCTCCCGTTACAAACTGAGCATCCAGCCCATGCTTTCGAAATGCATTCGTCAAGCCTGCGACATGTTCAAGATCTACACAGAAAACCAAGGTCGATTTCCTTCCCTCTGCCTTGGACAACCAGCTTCGGACAGTGATGTCGTTGATCTGCTCAGTATTGACTACGCGAGACAGCTCGCTTGGCTGGAAGTCTCCATTCACACCTTTCTTGACTCTCGAGATGTCGGCTTTCGTTTGAACAGTCGTGAAAATCACATCGGAGAGCCATTTCTCGCCTATCATATCAACGTAGTCTTTGTGATATACAATCTGATCGATAGCAGCACCTAAGCGTAGCCCATCAAACCGTGACAGGGTAGCTGAAACCCCAACGAGAGCAGGAGAGCTAGGTTGGGCTTTAGATAGTCCAAAATAGTCCAATGTCCTCATGTACCCCGGAGCCACGATATGGTGTGCTTCGTCTACAAGTACTAGCTTAAAGTCATCCGGCTTGAACTTCGATATTCGGCTTCCAGAAACGATGCTCTGTATGCTAGCAACTGTGATATCTGCCGACCCGCTGGCGTGCATAGACCCCATCTCAACCTCGACTGTCTTCGTTGGATATGCATTTGTACAATGTCGAGCGGCTTGCTCGACTAATTCTTGTCTATGTGCCAAAATCAAAGTCTGGTCCGCTCTGTTCCGTGGTGGGACCCGATCGATGAGTTGGGTAAATATGACCTTGAAATCATTAACAAACACCTCCCAAATCTTGCATATGTCTCAACATACAGTTTTACCACTTCCAGTCGCCAGGGAGACTCCCAAGCGCTTATGACCCTGATCCAGATGAGAAAGCACCGCTTGTATGCATTCTTCCTGATATTCTCGCAAGCGTATTTTCAGGGGAGGTGCAACCGGATTGCCTGTCGAGGCAGTCGCATATTGCCGCAATAGCAAAGATTTCGTACATATGCTCCATGTCCGCAAAGTTTTCATCCATCCTCTCGAAGCTGGGGGCATGTTGTGATGTCGATGTGGCCATAGACGTCTCCTTGACGCCAACGACGCGACTGTCTCCAGTTTAGGCGCGCCAAGCGACCTCCAAATCCCTGCATAAATTTCTACTCACCGATCCAAATCTCGAACCTAAAGCTTATTTTCACTTTTACGGAACAGTTTGCAATTTTTCAATATAAAGTCTCAGGTCGTTGAGAGAAGTCTCTGCCTAACACTTCACGTCTCCTAAATCCACTGTTTGCTCGATATTCTGTTTTTGGGAAGGTCTGTCTCGCTTTAACTGCTCTGTAGAATGATGTGGATTGCTGAAAAAGACTGCACATTTCACAAAAGTCGCCTGAAGGGCTAGTAACGACGGCATCATGGATCTGGATGAACCGGAGACTATGGGATGGAATGAGTACCCTGACGAAAGCTCAGGATCAGCATATGAGATCTCAGACGATGAGGAATCACATGATGAAGATGATGAAGAACTTCCAGCTTTGAGAGGAGGATCTGAAAGAGGAAGGAAAGCAATCAAGAGCCACAGCAAAAAAGACGGAAAGAACACGCCAAATCTGGAAGTCAGAGAAGACGCCGCGGGATGGGCTTCGAGCTTCCAGGCACCCAAAGCAGAGGACATCAAGGCCCCTCGAAGACAGTCTCGCGGAGGAAAGAAGCGAAGGGCTCCTAAACTAGCAACAGAAAGTCGCATCAAGCGTCTTAAGAGTTTCTATAGCAACCAATACCGGGAACTCTTGAACTGTGAAATCCAAGATGCAGCATCAAGTGTGGCTGATAGTGATGGGCTCAAAGAGAGTCAGATTGGATCGTCAATCTGGACAGCAGCCGAGAAAGGCATCCTGTTCAATGCTCTGCAGAGCCTGGGTAGAGACAACGTTCCGGGGATTGCAGAACGTATTGGGAGTAAATCACAGCACCAAGTACAGGAGTACGTCAATCTTATGCTGGAAGGGGTCATGAAGAGGAAAGAGAAATACTATCAATTGGTCGCTCCCACGGATTATCCAACTGCTGTCGAGATCAGCGATGAGTGTTGTGCCATTCTGGAACGAGCTGGTGATGCTCTTGCCGCTCATCAGGAGCTCGCGGAAGAGAAAGTAGAGAAGGCCAAATGGGGCGATACATGGTTGATCAACGAGGATGTTGCTCTCCAAATCGAAAAAAAGAGGAAGCAATCATCCGATGAGGAAGAAATGGAAGAAGTTTTACCAGCCGCCGTCCTTCTAAATCTCAATACATGGATGGAACTTGCAGATCGAATCTTCATGAACCCAGGCTTCCCTCGGGAAGAAGATAATTGGCAAGCCATTGCCGAGCCCGGAGAAGAACCAGCAGTGAGAGCCACTGCATTCGAAGATTTCCATTCTCTTGCCTACAATGTCACGAAACGACTCGTGTCGACTGCCCTGTTCTGCTCAATGTCTCGACAGCGAGCGAAAGGATCCAACAAGGTCAAACATGCAGAAGTTAACACAAACGATGTGGAAGCAGCAGTCAATATCCTGGGTTTGAAAGCAGATAGCCATGAGTACTGGATGGGAGTCGCCAAACGATGTTCTTTACAGGTTATCGACGATGATTACGATGAGGCACTTGATATGACATACAAAGAAGTTGAAAGGGCGCTACGAGAACGGCATCCAAGAACCCGGTCTCGTTCTATGAGTCGAGCTCGAAGTCAGAGTCGAGTTCGGAGTGAGCCTCCAGAGCGCATTGCAGTCAATTCCGAGAAAAGTCAGCATACAGATTCTGAAGACGACGAGGCACACACTGATTCCGAATCCGAATCCGAACACGAATCTATCGTCCAGTCTGAAGAAGAGTTCATGAGCAGCCCGCCACCCTCAGATAGCAGTACATCCGACTCTGAACCGACACCCGTAGCGGTCCACCCCAAGTCTCACCCCAAACCAAACAGCCCGACAAGGCAACAAAGCCCCGAAGGAGCGCAAGACGTACATACCGAAGCACACGACATGTACACCAGCCAAACAGAAGAAATTCGTCTATGGAATCTCCTCGGACAGGTTCCTCCATTTGACTTCACGTTATCTCCTGTACAGGAGAAAGCACCCAAGTCTGTCAGAGATGTATTGGTGGACAGAGAGAATTGGAGAGACTATGTCGGGTATCTTAATGAATGGGAGACTATGGATAGTCCAGTTCTGAGGGAGGAATTCGAACGGAATCGGAGGAAGTCTGAGAGGAAGGCGAGGAGGAAGGCGGCCAAGGCATTAGAGGAAGATAGTGGAGACGGAAGTATTGAATATCAAGTCGGGGAAGAGGATGCGCAGCAAGATGGTAGCAACGATGAGGTGGAAGTCCAGCACGAGCTGTTACAAGTTGAGAGTCCACGCCAGCACAGTCCTGAGTATCAGTCTTCTGATCCAGAATCGGAGGCTTCTCACGGTGACGGCTCGGTGCGATCAGAGAACGAGGAAATGGAAGAAGAACAAATCAGGTCAGAGTAGCTATATAAAAGATCCATTCCAACAGTTCTAAGTGACACTTGCAGATCTACAATTACACTTGAGCAGAACCCGAGTAAGAAGAAACGCCCCATCAGTTCAATAAGAAAAAGACGTTTGCCATACACGTGCAACAGAGGCACCAGATTTTTCGCGCGAAGCATCATGACCAGATATCCCTTATTCAACCCCCTAAGACGCCTGATGATCGATTTGATTACACTCCACACCCATTCCACCGCTAGCCTCAGATATCGTAGCTCTTTATGGGTCCCTCAGCGCTCAATGGCTGTACACTCCCTGGTGCGGGAGCTGGAGCTTGGAATGATAGCTTGTCCCCCGCACCTCCCATCATGACATCTTGCGCCATCTTCAGTCCTTGGTCACCGCCAGTGCTGGCTGCCAGTCTCAACGCTTCTTGTGCATCTCTGACACGCTTCTTGAAAGCAAGGCGGTCAAGGTACAGTTGTTGACGGCCGCGCTCCAATTCCCTACGCTCGGCCTGGATAATTTGCTCCATTTCATTGAATTGCTTCAGCTTGAGCTCCATCTTCAAAAGGGTCGCGTTGACAGCAGCAGAAACAAGGTGGGTCATCTCTCGCTCTTCATGTGATGCAAGGCCGCCAGCTCGCGCAGCAACAGCCGCAAGTGGTACAGTGGCCAGAGCATTGACAGTAGTTGTGGTGGTTGTTGTCGTGGTAGTAGTCTGTTGCACATCGATTTCCATGGAGTCAGAATTGTCCACCTCCTTGCCCTTGTCGGAAGACTGTGGTCTTTCAAGCGAATCTCGAAGACTCTTCTTCAACACGTCAACGGTCTTGCCTGCTGCTGCCGCTGTGACGCTTGGCTCAGTAAGGCCAGCGAGGAATCCAATTACAGACATGACTGGGTTATCTGCTTGGCTGAAAGGTAGCATGCCTGGTTTTGTGCCGAGCAGGTTCAGACCCATTGCCTTACTGACTGGCTCAGCATCGAGGTACTTGTCTTCGATCTCAAATTGCAAGAATTTGACCACGCATTCCTCCTTGGTTCTCGTCCCGACATAGTCCGCGATCTCGTTCCAATCCTCATCATACTTTTCCAAACCCTCGATCAGCTTGAGAACTTCACCGTCGCTCCAGGGAGCGTCACGGTCCGGAATCGTGGAGTAAGTCTCATTCTCGACCTTGATGTAGTTTGTGCTTTGGTGATTCATAGGCATTCGTCCTTCCTGCTTACAGTTGGGGCATAAATCAGCCTTAACTTTGGCTGTACCCGTGGCTCCTGTATCAGCTTGGGCATTGTGATAATATACTCGTGTGCAATCAATACCACATGCGAAGCAGTGGACTTTTGTGATGGATGGCTTCACAGCGTCTTCGATAGTCTTAGCAACCGGGTCTGAGGTACCATTCGTCGTAGGAGCTTCTCCATTCGCCTGCTTCTCTGGATATTTCGAATTGAGCTTAGATTCCTTCGCGGTAGGCTCATAAATATTTCGTCCAACTTCGAGGTTCAGGTCAGCCTTTGAAGGGGGTGCAGCAGCGGCTTTCGCATCAGTATCAGCACTCTTCTGTCCCTCGGTAATCAACTTGTCTGCGGCAGGTTGCCAGGGTTGGAGTCCACGGGGAGTGTCGCAAATGACCTTGAAATGGCCTGTAAATGGAGGTCCAATAGCGGATGGGCGATTATCTGCGTCAACCTATACGTTGTTAATTTATACTCCTCTCCCATACCGCCATACATACCTGATAGTTTATCAGACCCCATTGCTCGAGGAAAGAATGTACACGCATGATGGCACAGACATCTCCAGCAAGATTCCTCCTGCATGCCGTAACAGTCAGGTATTCAATTGGGTTGAGACGATATGTGTTGATCATGAAGTCCCGATAATCCTTGTAGATGGCGGGGGTCTTGCTTCGATTCCGATTGTTGAAGAATTCTGGCAGAGCCTTTCGTTCGATGTTGTTGATCTTGCTCATGTCAAACCAGGTGCTGTAACTTGGGAGAATGATCGAGTGGGTTTGTGAAATGAGGTGTTCGCGAGCAGCCGACTCGATAGAGGCTTTCGTCTTCTCCACAGTGCCATTTTCTCCCACAGCATCCTCTCCTGGCGCAGCGCTTCCTTGTGCTTTGGGTTCCTCTCCAGCCTCGCCCATGTCTTCGTCCTTGACCTCGTCGCCCTCTCGTCTCGGAGCATCAGGTGCATCAAGAGGATTATCAGACACAGCAGGAGTCTTCACGGCAGATCCAGTATCAGCACCGCCTTCAGCCATGGAGACATCAGCTGTTGATTCTGTTAGTTACCCGCAATCCGTCTAATGGAGTTGTGTTGTAAGCCCTCACCAGCAACTTCACCAGGAGTATCCTCCCCTTGTAGCGGGGGCTGGGCGAGAATCGAACCTGGGGTCGCGCCACCGGCATCCGAACCAAAGTTTACCGAGTCGTCATCCATATTGGAAAATCTAGAGGGTTGAAGCAATTTGAGTTGGCGCAAAGGGTAGTGGCTTTAGAGGCCTGGGTATTTGCGCAAAGCAGACACCACAACCTCAATAGTAATTGGATTATTGATGGCGGTCCTGCTCAAAACGATCCTTACGATGCCGTTAGTGTTGAAAAGGTTGATAATGTTGATAACTCAAGTCGCGTTGGCGCGCAAATTGACTCTCGTTGATAGATTTCAAAGTCGCGAGAGCTTCAGGTCGCGACTTTCACAGCGTGCCCAAATGCAGAATTAGAAGCCTGACCAGTTTCCTGCGGCCTGAGGATGCATCGGCTTAGGCGATCGACCCCGGCTTTGCGCTCCCCGCGCTTTACCGAGGTCGGGTGTTTTCAGAGTCAATGATGCTGATGCTTCTTTCAAGATCAATCTGTTGCTTTCACAAGTAACGACATTCACAATGATTTCAAGGTCGGGTATTTCAGTCCTACGCCAAGCGCGCACACAATTGAGGACAACAGGGCCCACGCCAGTCGCCTCCCTCTCAGCCCTTGCGCGACTTCTCTCATCACTTGCTGTTTTGGAACAGAAGGATGGGAAGCTCAATCACGGCTCACTGGGAGCAGTGACTGCTGCCAAAAAGCTAGGAGGATCGATCACTGGATTCATCGCAGGTGGAAACATAAAAGGAGTTGCGGAAGAGGCCTCCAAAGTCTCAGGGATCGAGAAGGTCATTTCGGTGGACAATGCGGCTTATGACAAGGCATGTTGATTGACTGTCTGGGTACTCTCTGTTGAATGCATGCTAATTGTGCTTGCAGCAATTACCAGAAAACTTTGCTCCATTACTCGTCGAGAACATCAAGAAGGGAGGTTATACGCACATCATAATGGGCCACACAGCATTCGGCAAGAGCTTGATGCCCCGCGTGGCAGCACTACTCGACGTACAGCAAATATCCGACATCACTGCGATCGAGGACGAGAAGACTTTCGTGCGCCCAATTTATGCTGGAAATGCAATTGCTACGGTCGAATCATCAGACGATATCAAGATTATCACAATTCGAGGGACAGCGTTTGCAGCAGCAGAGACAGAGGGTGGTTCTGCCGTAATTGAGGATGGCGCAGACCCAAAGGCCGAGAGCACTACAGAGTGGGTTTCAGAGAACCTTGCAAAATCAGATAGACCTGATTTGGCAACTGCTGGCAAGGTTGTATCTGGTGGACGAGGATTGAAGTCGAAGGAGGAGTTTGATAGAATTATGTTGCCACTTGCGGACGCTTTGGGGGCAGCCGTTGGAGCCTCGAGAGCAGCTGTTGACAGTGGATATGCTGATAACAGCTTGCAAGTTGGTCAGACTGGAAAGGTTGTGGCTCCACAATTATACCTATGTGCAGGCATTTCTGGAGCCATTCAACATTTGGCAGGAATGAAGGATAGCAAGGTCATTGCAGCAATCAACAAAGATGCTGATGCGCCAATCTTCCAAGTTGCCGATGTTGGCCTGGTTGGAGATTTGTTTGATAAGGTGCCTGAGCTTACCGAGAAGCTCAACAAGTAGTGTACATATATTTACAAGATTCCCACGTTCTAGTCTAGTACTGCCAGCATGTCTTCGACGTTTGTGAACTTCTCCCTCACTTTCCCACTCTTCTGACCTTCACTTCTCTCCACTCCGTCGATTTTCTTCCAATCCTCCCAACTCACTCTTCTACATCCTCGCTTCTCGGCTTCATCTTTCACGCCATCCCATCCCAGGCTGTCTCCTCCTTCGGCGTTCAAAAATGGTACCTTCCCATACCAGTCCATGGCAATGGAATCGGCCGTTGAAAACGCATCATCCATAGTACTTGCAATGACTCCTGTAGGCCCTCGCTTGACCCATCCAGCACAGTACATTCCAGGTAGATGCTTCGCACGCTTCTCATCGGTCCAATCCTCGGCATCGTTAACAACGCGACCTAAGTAATCATTGGGTATGATACCTGAACGGTCATTGAATGGAATGCCTAGCTCAGCAAATTCGGAGAGAGCTTCTGACTTGTACCCGATGGAACGGAATGCCATCGATGCAGGTAAATCGACCAGCTCGCCTGTTCCAACCGCTTTGGCATCTGGAGCAAAGGGATCAGGGTTCAGTGTGGTCCTTTCGAACGACATGCTACCAAGCTGACTTGCTGAGTCAGTCCTGGGAATGAAAGACTTTGGCGAGAGGCAGAAATCTAATGCCCATGATTTCGGTGCCGTCGAAATAGATGCTCCGGATCCTTTCTTGAGAACTTCCATGATTCGTTTGGTTGGCCTCCGCAGTTTACTGATGTCCTGTGGTATGAGTGATGTATCAACAGGATGAAATGCAACCGAGGGGAACTTCATCAATTCTCGGGCTTCCTTGATCGTAAAAGCCCCCTTGTACTCCGTTAACACACCAAATCAAGCACTTTCCGGAGTTGACTGACCTGCATCGGACCTCTCCTTCCAACAACCCTGACTCTCTTCACCTGGCTCTTTCTCAGCGTCTGTATAGCATTGGTCGTGATATCAGTCTCCTTCAGAATCTCTGGATCCTGCAAAAGAATCCTCGCCACATCCAAAGCAACATTGCCCTGACCGATCACGACAGCCTCTTCACCCATCGTCAAATCAGGCGCCAAATCCGAATACTCAGGTAATCCGTTGTACCATCCCACAAACGCCCTTGCCGAGTAGATACCCTTCAGCGCGTTCTCGCCCTCGATACCAAGAGCCCTGTCCTTCGAAGCTCCATAGGCAAACAGAATCGCATCATAGTGCGGAAGTAGCGTTCTCAGAGGTAATGCGCCCGGTTGGTTCCCAATGGAGACATTCCCCACGAAATTGAAGCGTGGCGACTCGGCTACCGCTTCGAATTTCTCCTGGCAATTCTTCACCTCGGGATGGTCTGGGGCGACACCAAATCGTACCAGACCAAATGGAACTGGTAACTGCTCATACATGTCGACTCTTGAATTTTCAATCTTTGACATCACTTTGTACGCAGTATAGAAACCGGCAGGACCTGATCCGATGACTGCCATGCGAAAGGGTCGTTCATCTTGAGCATGTACTTTTGCCGTGTAAGCTCGACGATGTTTAATTGTCGTTATGCTGGGTATGGTCGATATACGCCTCGTCAATAAATTGGTACATCTCGTGCAGATCCACGGTCTGGCAATTTTGTCCATTTGGTCGTTTGCACGTCATCATGAACAGTGCAGTCTCGGACAATTTTGTAGTTCACCCGATATCTTATCGCTAAACAGCTACCCCTGTCTATTTTTAAGCGGGTTGTGTTGCGGGTGTTGCCCCAGGCGATGAGCTCCAGTCAACAAATGCCCCTCCAACTCGTGGTTCCCTGTACGCCTTGGAGCTTCCCTGTTCATATCTGACAACATCGCATTCCTGGTCGCATTGTTCAGTGTTCTTTTCTGAATTCTTCGCTCGTTGCTGTCTCATCGTCGCCTCAGTCAGATCAGTCATTCTCTAAGCAATAATGGGCGGTGTCAATCCTCCATTCCTCTACGATCCCATCAAAACAGAGGGACCAGGGTCTCCATACCGGGAATTTGATCCCAAGGCCGTCACTCGCGCAAGTTATACACCTAAACCTCCACGGCCGAAGCATGAGGGACCGTTGGTCAACTTCAATCAGCATCCTGAGTACAACTTTCCCTCATATGTCATTGCTATGGTCCAATTGAATTGCTGCTAATATCTGCGCATAGTTCATATCTTATCCTCCCCTACGGAAGCTCAACTGCGACACCTATGAATCCCAGTGTGAAGAAATGGATAAAATGGATGCGCATCATACAACTGGTGTTGCGATGCCTCGAATTGCTTACGGCACTCGGACTACTGGCCTTGATGATCTTGATCAAAGGTGTTGACGCCTCCACTGGCTGGGTCATGAGAATAGTTGTAAGTCTGGCTCCCCCTTCTCAACATTCAGTCGCTAACATCTTTCAGCCCGGAGTAGCCATTCTGCACACAGTCTACGGTGCATACCACCTATGCCGTAAACCGTCAGGACGAACACCCGCATCTTCAGCATCCTACATGCTCTTCGCTTCCTTCTTCGACGTCTCTATCGCTCCCTTCTATGGATTCAGCGCACTCGTAGCCATGACCCGACAATCCGGTTGGAAAACAATACTCTCCAATCCTACTCTCATAAACACCTTCTCTAAATGCGTCTTCTATCTCGCAGCTGTCGGTGGTGGTTTACACCTTATCTCCCTCGGAATCTCGATTTATCTAGCCGTGACCTTCCGCAAGATCACAAAGCTCCCGCCCGATATGAACCCATTGGAAGACCACCTTACCACTCGCCATAAACGTAACAAATCCTCCGTCTCCACGGTAATGTCCTCCAACTACTCGGAGAAACGAATCTCGCTCCCATTGGAAAGCAAGCAGGCATCCGGCGCCGCATACGAGGATCTCAGCCGCCCGCCCACAATCCCCTTCTTCCACACACGCACGCAATCCACAACCTCCTTCTCAACCTACAAATCTACACCCCCTCCATCTCGAGACGCACGCTCCGATCTCCCACCACGACAATACCAAGCCGTCCCCTCCAACCGCTCCTCCCTCGCCGCCGACCAACTAAAGAGCACTCCAGGCTCCAACTTCAGCACCCCACCCCAAAACCAATACACCCCACCGCCCTCCCCTCTAAAGCGCGGCCCAGCACCATACGCCCACGAAATCCTCCAATCCGACACCTCCTCCCTCCGCACAACCACGACCCGCAACGTCGGCGCCGTCAACGAACCCTGGTTCGCAAACGACAGCATCGGCCGCAACGCACGCACGCGGTCCTCTCCAGCCAAGAAAGCGCAATACCAACGCCTGCACCAAAGACACGATTCCGAGGAAGATATCTCCATCGACGTAGCGACCGACTATGGCTCGTCGTACGATCATCCGAATCCGTTAGAGGCGAACCCACCTACGCCGCGCCATATCACGAATTTCAATTTGAGAGAGAATTCAAATTCGCCGCTGAGTGAGATTAGCAGTAACAGCCATCGGTATGGGCGTAGTGTAGTCGATCGTAGTAGGAATTTGGGGATGGGGATGGGGATGGGGATGGGTAATGTGAGTGGTGATATTGCGGACATCACATCGCCTGAGCTTGAGCGCGCGAAGGAGAGAGAGCGGGAAGCGGAACAGAAAGATCTTGCGTTCAAGGCGAAGCACTATGGGGAGCTGAAGCCGGGGACACCGCCGATTATGATAGGTGGGTCGAACAGACAGGTGTCGAGTGGGAATTATTTCGGTAATAAGGGTGGATTCCGAGTCTTGGATAGACGAGATGTGAGTGGTAAGGTTGCTGAGGAGGGACGAGGTGGTAATAATGGGGGAAAGGGATGGGGGACTCGGTTTAGGAAAGTGAGTGGCTTGTAAATGGGTCGGATGATTGGTTGGATTTGGAAATGAGGGAGTTTTGTTTATGATCGATTGATTTGTTTGACTGTTTGCTTGTTGGTTCTATGGCGCATATACCAGGAGAAAGTATATGGACAATGGCTAGGAAGGGGGTATCTTGGATGGCAGGGGTGTTGTCTGTACAAATGTAGAAAAGAGGAATGGAAATGGATACCTGGACCAAGAACGCCTTCTTGTGACCAGACCAAAAAGAACCGATCGCCTCGCTTCAGCCTTCAGAAGTAAATAACCAGTTTCCCACGTTTGCCCGTCCCAACATCTACGACGCTTCTCCATCCTCTGAGATGTCCTCACCTTCCAATGACTACTCCATCTCGCCCTCCTCTTCGCCTGAATCCCCCCCATCGTCTTCCTCCTCTTCCTCGTCTCCCCCGTCCTCTTCCCCAGATTCATCCTCAGCTTCATCCTCCAGATCCGGAGAAGCAGAAACACCTCTATTACTCCTAACATAAGCGGCCCAATCCGTGCCAACAGTTTTCTCGCCCTCCTCATCAACCCTCACATCCTCCTTCCAACCCTCAATGTCCCACTCGCCCAGTCCACACAAATGTCTCATGGTCGGCCTTCCATGAGGACAATTCCATGGCTTATCCAGCTCACCCAGATGTGTGACAACTTTACCCATCTGCTTATGTGTCAAGGTTTTGCCAATCATGATACTACTCCTACAAGCTCTCATGGCAAACATTTTCCTGACTTTAGCAGGACGTGGTACTGTTCCGGGTGGATGCTCTGCCAGGAGAGCTATCAATTCTTCGAGATCTGTGAGCGAAAAGGCGGTTTCGCGACTGAGTGGTAAGCTGACGAGCTGGCAGCGATTTCCTACAGGTGATTCGCCTGATTCGTCAACTGTTACGATGAAGCCGTTTGTTTCGAGGGCTGCAAGATTCTCCATGACAATCTCTTCTTCGAGTGCTGTAAGGTCGAGGGTCTTGGGACGAACCAGTCTTTGAGACTGTACGATTGTCGTAGCTTGTAGACGCTCGAAGTTGTACTTCTCATCTGAAGCATGCTGGTCGATGATGAACATATCATCGGCAGTCATGACGCCTTCTTCAGTGCTTGATCCGGATGCCCGAGTCGCTAGAATGAAGCCAAGATTGAACTGACCGACGACTTTCATTTTTGCAAAATCCGCCTTGGTGATAGTCAGGGAGAGCTTCTCTTCCGCATGCTCTGAGTCCAAAGCCTCGTCTTCTGCTTTTTCCGACACAATCGTCTGGTATGCAGCCAAAGCCTCGTCGAGAGCCTGATTCTGTTCGGCAATTTTATGGATGTCGGTATCCACCAATCTCAACAAGTTGAGGGTAGCATCCTTCTTTTTCGAACCGCCCTTGAGGAGAACCTTCGTGCGCTCCACGTTCTCTTGCGACGGAAGTGCAGCTGACTTCTCTGCTTCCTCGATCATTTCCTGGACTTTGGCCTCGTCAAGAGCCTTTTTCTCTGCTTCGGCGACATAATCACCATCGTCTTCCGCTTCGGGTGAGAGAAGTGAAGAATCCAGATCCGGCTTTGCGAGCTCGTTCGGCTTATGTTCACTCTGCATTCTTTCGTCGTTTTCATTGTCGTCAGGCTCCACTAAACCCTTCACAGAGCCTGTAATCGACCGAGGAGACGATCGACCAGCGTGCTCATCTGATTCATCTTCAATTTCATCATCAGGATCAGACTGACGGGCAGTCCCAGGAGCAGCAAACATTTGGCTCAGACTCTTTCCAAATGTTGGCAGCGTGGGCTTCAGATCCTGGGCAGGATGACTATCACGGGCCGTGCTTCGACTATCTTCGGTTCGAGCTCTCTTAGGACATGGAGTTCCTATGGAGCTGGTCACAGTAGAGTCTCCAATCGTGATAGTGGCAATATCTGGCGCTGGTCGCTGTGTTCTCGGTGTGCTTGAAAATCTGTCTGCGATTGACGGGGTTGGCTTTGGGATTGGCTGGAGTGCAGGGATTGGTAGCTCAGGGTCAATAGAACCTCTATCGCTGCTGATCGTTGGAGCTTCGGAGAGCTGCCTGTTGAAGTTAGAGATGAGAATAGGTGGTGTGGCGGAAGGAGCTTGGGTATTTGTAGAAAGATCAGTCGCAGAAGGGCTGCCAACCTCCTCAGAGGAATCGGGTGCTGCTTGTGCCTCCTCGCTTTCTCTTCGTAACTTTCCCAGAAGTCTGCGCTTCTCTTCCGAAAGACCAACAAGCGTCTTAGAAGCAGACTTTGTCGTATCATCATCTTGCTCATCTGGCTCTACTCGATCTGCCGATTTCCTGCCTACCCATTTTGCTATTAGACTAACGGCGCCACTGTCTCTTTTCATAGATTCTCTGGACACAGCGCTGCGTCTCAGCTGAGGATTGGACTTTTTCCCCGACGTTTCATCATCATCCTCACCACCATCTTCTCCGAGATCTCTACTAACAGACCTTGACCCTTCAGATTCTTCGGCTTCAGTCACCTCAGCAGGAGTTTGGGATGTCCTTGTGGCTCCGCTGTTTTCACGACTGATAGTAAGCTGTTTATACGTCGGTTGTTTCTGTGCAGGCAATTGCGAGATAGGCACTGTGTAGTCTTGTGATTCGAAGAGAGCAGTAAGAGCTTCTTTCAGGTTCTCCAACATGCGATTCTGATCATGCAGCAGAATGGTCCGCTTATCTGGACTGACGTTGACATCGTACAAATGGGTGTCTAATTCGATGTTGGCAAATATGAATGGTGACTGAGTGCCATTGTATGCTTTGTAGACCTCGTTGAACGCTTTGGAAACTTGTGGCAGACCACATGGTCTGGCATTGACAAAGAACATTTGCCTATCAGGGGTTTGGCGGCCTTCTCCATACGCTGGTCGTGAAATATGGCCTACTATCCGGATCTCCTTGGAGCCACCATCATCATGGGTACTCCATCTCTGACTGGGAGCACTGGTGGCTTCCAGCTCAAGATTCAAATCCAGAGCAATCAAAGCCGTCAACGTCTTTGCCCCGAAAACATTCACAATGTTCTCCCTCGTCGACTGATTTCCTTTCGTAGAGAACAGCGTGGTCTTCTTCCCCTTCCCAGCCTGCTGAGACACCGAGAACTTGATCCCAGTTTGTATGCAAGCATATTGGCCCAGCACTCCCACCACCTTATTCCACTCCCTTTTGATGTTCCTCTCAAGCTCTCTTCTCCTCACTGGCAGATTGTTGAACAGATTCTCCACAGACACAGTCGTTCCCTTCTGCGCAGCAACGACGCTCGTCCCCTTCAACTTGCCCGACACTTCGAAGTCGAGTTTCGTACCTTTCGGCGCATCCGCCGCCATGCATGTTACAACTGAGAACTTCGAGAGTGCACATAACGAGGAGAGAGCCTCGCCTCGAAAGCCAAAGGTCTGCAAGGTCGTCAGATCGGCATAGGTCGAGAGCTTAGAGGTGTGGTGTTTGAGGGCGAGAGTATCGTAGTTATGCGGGGAGATTCCATCGCCGTTATCCTGAACTTCTATGGCGTCCAGCCCTTGGTTCTTGAATCGGACATCTGCACGAAACTTATCAGCATTGTTATCTCAGACTTGCGTTGCTGGGTCATTCAAATATACCGATGGTTGTCGCTCCTGCGTCGAGGCTGTTCTCCACCAATTCCTTAACCACGGAGCAGAGATCAACGATCACCTGGCCAGACTGTATTTGATGTACCTTTATGGCATTAGCTTAGCATTCCCCGTTGTAGAGGTAGTGTACTGACCGTCTTGCCTTCGATCGCCTTTATGGTGGCCATTTCTGCATCTTTGGTTTGTGGAGGGGTGACGCGATTGGCACGCGAGATTCTCAAAGTAATTAACGCGAGCGTGACTTCAGTATCGTGACCTTCAGCGAACATGAGTTGACAGGAAAGTAGTCTGTGGGCAGGATCGATTTAGTACCATGAAGGTTCATTACAAACGGCACCCAACTATAATAGGGATTTGAATCTCACTTCATTTGGAGTCGATGATGGTTTCAAGTATTAGGTTGCATTTTGCAAAGCTCAATGCAAGTAGTATAAACACGACACGACTCTATATTCAAGCTCTCATTGATTCACAATGGGCCTTTACTTCCAGCTTCCACCAGCACGCTGTCTAAGTCAGCGTGCTGTCTCAGCAAGGCTTCTTCGTTTATCAGCCCCAACCTGTATTTCAAACCAACTCCAGCCAGCTCAGCAAAAGCCAATCAAAGATTCAACCGGAACCAGCCTCACCCAAAGCTCCAACCCAATTATACAACCCTTTCCATCCCCCTCTTAAGCCGGCTGCTTATCGTCACCATCTAAAGAGGTATAGACATTAAATGTGTCCCTAGCAGCAAGTACCTCTTGGATTTGCTGCGGAGATTGTATGCGAAAAGCAAAAATGTTAAACGTCCAGCGCTCGCGGGTGCGAGTATGCGTGCAGAAAAGACAAGGTCATCGCCTGAGAAGGTATGTACAGCAAAAGTCAGACGCGTATGACTCCTTATCCGAGAATCTAAGAGGTTTCCCGTGGGAAACAAGAACCGCTCATGTATGCTGTTGCGAATGCCGAAGGATGTAAACTTATGAATTGTGTTGGAAGGGAAATCTAGCATGATATGGAAGTCGACACTCCTCGATTCGAAGAGGAGAAAGTGCTGCGTCGTGTCGTGGAGTCGTATTTTGTTGAATCGCTAGGACGAGTGGTCATTTTTCAAGGTGTCTTCCCTCCCTTCCGCGCGCTCTCAGTCCCTTCTGGTTCGAACATTGTGCTTATTCCTGCAAATGTCCATGATGAAGTAGAGCTGTGGATCGCGACAAGCCACGCCGCGACAAAGTTGACCAGGTAATGAAGCATATAAGCATATGTGACTCCATACACCGCAGCGTATATGGCAATGAAGAAAAAGAACACGCTGGTGAAATGGCGGAGACGCGAAGTGACCCGCGGTACCATTTTTCCACTGGTTAGTGTCTCGACTAGAAGGATGAATGGCATAATAGAAAGGACGTTGTGATGAGACGAGAATGGCGTAAGCCAGTGGACAGCCAAGTTATGTACCCAGACCACGAGTATCGGAAGGTTGATAGGAAGAATCCAGAGCATGAGAATGAGGATCGAGTGTGCATAGTTGTGGAAATTGAAGTTCGTATTGGATGGTGCTTCCCTTGCAAAACGAAGTGCACGAGTACACGTGGCGATTTGTACAAGACATGCTACAAGATATGCGAATTGGTACGGGATAACAGTGGAGACCAGAAACAAGAGTATAGCGGTGGTTAAGATACGTCGACGTGGTGTTGATGGCGCAAATGCTGGAGATGCTGCTCTTCGTTTGTCTTCGTTTCGTAACCATGCAGGCTTCACGCTAATGAAAGCGTACACAATACTCAAAATATGCGTAAGAGTGAGTGCTGCGTAGTTCAACATGACGCAGACTCCCACACAAACGAGACCTATGAGCGGGACCATGAACCAGAAGAAGGGATCTGGAGAGCCGACTAGAAGGTCATTCCTCGTAAAGTCTATCTGTGTCTCGGTTGCATTGCTGCCCCATCCCCAGAAACCAGACGTAGCAGGTCGAGGCGGAGCTGAGCTGGTCTGGGCCAATGAAACCGACAAGCAGGTAAGCGCCAAAAGTACCAGCGGCAGAGATTGACGCAGACACAAGTCGAGGCTCTCGGAAAACGACATGAAGAATCCTGTCTCATCATACACCCGGAACTGTTTGCGCAGGACTAATGCAACGATCAGCAGTGGAAATGCTGCGAAGACTGTCCGGTATCGCATGTACAGCTTGCCCAAGCTTCCAGGTATATCAACTTTCAGAGAAATCTTGACACTTGAATTGCATGTAGGATCCGTCCAAAATTGAAGTGTCAACCCATCTTGGGCGGTCTTCGCTTTCAGCGCCGGCGGCATGTAAGGCGAAACCCCGTGGAGATTGATGTTGGCTTGCTTGACGTTGACAAAGTACTTGGATTCGTAGGGTTCGGAGATATATTGTCGGAGCAGCGGCGTGAACAGCTCAGCGTCTTCTCCGCAGATCTGATTCCCCATCTCAAGCTTATATGCAAGCAAACTCGAATGCAAAGAGGGGATCTTGACCTCCGTAACCATGGGCCGGTTTGGTGGAAGCTTAATTTTCAATCCCAAAGTCAGAAGTCGTCGAAGACCTAAAGATCGGACTCGATGTGAATGCACGTTGTCGCTAAACTCGGCAACGACCCAGCCAGGTGTGGGATCCACCGCTTTGTCAACAATGGCAACAAATTGATGGTCAAGTACATCTTCCAGATCATATTGCAGATAAGAGAAAGGGATCACTTCCGGTTCTTGGTCCAGGTAAAACGGTCGCTTGGTTGTTCTCGTTGAAGCCGGAAGCACAATTACGTCAGAAGCTGCGTTTTTACACGCCAATCTCGTAGAACCAGAGCTGTCGCCTGACAGATCCATATTCATGGAGAAAAGTGTTGCTGACTGTCCAGGGTGGAGCGGGAAAACACTGCAAAACAACACTTCCAATTTTCCAGAATCACCTGGTTTGTCGAGCTTTTGGTCTGTCAAGAGTGTAAATCGCTTTCCTCCCGGTGTTCCTTGAGGAGGAATTGGCAAAAGGTGCGCTCGCGGTTTGCGGCTCTGTCCAAACTTTCTCAAGGTCAATCGTTCTCCTTGCGCTAGTATCGAGTTTGAATTGTCCTCCAATGTAAGCAGAGTTGTTGGTTCTTTTTGCGACAGCGTCTTTTCTGCAATAGTCTCCATCCCAGTCAAGTACCACTTCTTGAAAACCCGCATCCTATCTGCTCTTGGCTTGGTTTGGGCGGGTCGGTTAACATCAATCACATCGTAGAGTGATCGCACAACCACTTTCCGGAACTGGTCACACCACAAGATAGCTTGATGGTCCATACCAGTCCATACATTCGGAACAGACGTAGTGAAGACTGTAAATCCATGCGTGTCTGGTACCAATGACTCCAAGCTGGCATAGTCCGAAGGGACCACAGAATCAAGTCCTCCACCAGCAATGGAAATCAATGTAACATGCCACAAAGGGTTGTTGTTTGCCCACTTCTGTGAATATGCCTGTCTCCAATAATCGTTAATCTTCTTGTATGTTCGGACGATCTCGGCATCGAAGGAGACAGGAGGGCGTGCATGCGGAGCAGACATGGTAATAATTGTGTTGATCGAGTTCGATTGGTAGTTCGGCATCACCAGCATGGTTCGGGCCACTATTCCTCCCATCGAGTGCCCCAGAATTATAACAGATGTAGGATCTGGGAGGTCTGGATCTCTCTGAGACCTTCGCGGGTCATGGTAGAGAGACAGGATGTAGGCGATTGCCTCATTCAGGTATTCTGCCTGGTCCAGCATTGTCTGGCCATGGAAGGCCGTTATATCTTCGTTGAAGTCGACTGTGAAGAAATCGAGGTTCCGAGCTCCTGCATTGATCGCACTTTGGTCGTGTCGGAGGACATCGTGGAAGTAAGTAGCCCCTTCGGCAGCAATAGGACGCACTTGCTTGTAAGATCCAGCGTTTCCGGGAATGAAGAGCACTGGAACTCCTTTCACCTGCAGAGCTATGTCAGCAATGTAATTTTCTCCTGATTGCAATATGTACCCTGGTATCCTCGTCAACCATTCCTTCCCTGTACAAGTAGACCGAGTATTTGCTGGCAAACCGTGTATGCTCCGTATCGAAGTCGGACAGCTTCGCAAATGACGGCCTCATATATGACATACGGCATCCTTTAGTATCCAATTGTCGGCTTGAGAACGAGTGTATTATGGAGGCCAATGAGAGCAGGGCCAACGCTGTTGTAATTAAGGTGAGGAAAGAGATCGACCAGGGGCTTCTCAGTCTCGAGCGACGAGGATTTTGTCGAGACTCGGGCATCTTCTCAGACTTCATATCCTCTTTCGAGGACACGATAAGAACTGAGCTTTCTGTAGATCGGTCCTTGTCTAGTTCGCCATCTCGTAGCTGTGAAGGCTGCCAATTCGTACTGCTGCTTGGCCGGCGACTCCTCGCAGTTGCGTGCCTCTTATCAGTGCTTTTCCTTCTGTCGAGCTCGTGCGGAGTCTGATTGATCTTAGTATCCGGTCGTCGAGCTGCAGCTGTCGTCTGAAGACTCCTGGGCTCCTTGTTCGCGTTCGACTCGTCGGATTTGGAGGAACCCCCTGCTCCCTCAACAATCGCAAAAGCTATGTCCGCATTCGATGGCGCAGGTGTAGGGTCGCCTTCGGCCTCTGCGGACGGTCGCCTCCGCATCTAAAAGACTTTTGAGTCTTGAGCGCCGTTCGCGACAGTGCAATCGCTCCCGAGGCGAGGGCGTTGCGTTGTTGTGTTGAAGATTCCGGACGGGTAGAATTTGATTGCGGCGATAGGAAGTGATGGCAGCGAGAGAGCTGCGCACTGAGTTGCGTTGCGTCGGCAGTGCAGCCAAGCGAAAGTGGCCTGGTTCCCTTGGCCGGCAGCGCAATCCACGACACAAGTCCGCTTTCCAAGACAACTGACTCTTGACAGTCTCAAGGCTGGAGATCCCTTTGGTGTAAACGACTGACTGGGCAGCAGATGCCGCGAGATATGGGCTCGAAATTTGCTGGCGACTCTTTAATCGCAGCTGTGGCGTCAGTGCAAATGTTTCATGGCGATCGCGCCCGCAGTACAGGTGCGGTGCGTTTTGTAGGGTCAAACCTTCGACCTATTTCAACCTTTCCTACCTCTCCCTTCTTCACAGGGCGGACAATAGCAGACAGAGCGCACAATAAAACGAACGAACGGACAGAGGGAGTAAGCGACAGTATGGGTTACAGAACAGAAGAAGAGAGAAGAGGGAGAGGGGAGGAAACGGGCGATATGTGATCTTCGGTCTAAGAACGGTGTCATGGCATGCTGGGGGGCTGCAGCCCGTAGCCTTGAGCCTCTAAGAGCATCACCGATTGAGGATGGCAGCTCCAGGGGGTCAAGCCAGGTCCGATTCATGTCACTCTCACTTGTCACCCACAAGCGAAGTACCGATACCTCCGGCTCTCCAGCATGATGAAAACAGCCAGCGGTAGGTCACTTGCATCTCTGATAAGCTTGCTATGCTTCGATTCGTGCCTTGATCTATCTCCTGTTTGCCCTGTACTCTGACTGTCAGGTACAACATCCTCGCTTACTGCCTGCCATACAGTAGCATAGCTAGGTAGTGTCTAGGTGGTATATCATTTTGACATGCCCGTCACAGAGTCATTGATTGATTGCCAACAGTCTGTTCCAGACTTTGGAGCATGGCCCGCTGCTATGATAGACATCCCAGCCTGAAATGCTGAAGACTACTGTGGTCCAAGACACAGCATGAAGCAAGCTGTTGAAGCTCTTCAAGCTACTGAATGCACAATCCCTGGTTGTGCGGTAGCGTGTTTACTCGACAGGGAACAACGCCATAAATTCTCCATTCATCACAATTTTAGGAATGCGGCAGACGTTTCGATTGTTTGGTCGAATCAACTCAACGTCATGTAGCCGCCACGAGTTATCATATCATATCATGGTATGGTGCTTTCATGAAAAAGAAGGTGGCTAGGCGATGAGGACGAGCCAACAGGGCAGCCCTACAGTAAAAATATAATAAGCGGTGCTCGGAGCATGTGAGGGGAGAAGTCGCTTCTGGGAGGAGGCTGGGAAGTGGTCAAGGCTGTGGGTGCGCATTGCCCGGAGCTCACTACTACTACTCGTAAGGTACCGTCTTTGAGGTACAATATTGAAGTCGCTGCACGGGGTGGTGACATTCAAGCAGGGGCCTTGCCATAAAATTGCTTCATCTAACCACTCCTCACCACCGAATCATCAGCCTGTCAGTCATTTCAGCCAGCGCAGAAATAGCGACATCCGTCCATGTTTTTGTCTATTGTGCTTTTCTCGTGCATGGCCTCTCTCGACGGAGGCGCCTGCACTCAAGAAAGCCCACCTGCGTTCCTGGGCTTTCGATCCCACCACTATGCCAGTTCTGAATGTCCGGGCCTTCATTGCACACCCGGCTTTGGTGTCAAATTTGCAGTAAAATAGAAGCTTCTGACTGGTGAGACTGTTCAAGCACGAGGCTGCAGCTGGAACTTCACTTAGCTTCAGAAAGTGCAAGGCCGTGCTGGGAATAATATGTAGCAGACCGTGTTCATGACTTTCCCATCTTGAAGGTTCGGGAACTTGGCGTCTGCTTTATTCTCGTGGCAAGGATGGTACAGAAGCGCCCTATCAGAATCAGAATTGGTCAACGGGAGCATCTGCATCGTGGTCTGCAACACACCTGCCCCTGTCCTGAGTGGCGCAAAAGCTGCATGCAAAAAGCTTGTGACGTTTTCGCACACCTAAACATTGCAGTTCCGCCTCCTCTCATTCGCTGGTTGGCCCATGAGGCTGGCTGCTCGGTACGCGTTGTTATCTCGACCATTAAAGCTCTTATAGTAAGAGCACAAGCAAATCCTACGAATATGGAATCCCGCGCCTAGAACTCCCCCAACTCTGGTAGATCTTGGCCTCCTGAGCTTGGCATAGAAACCTTGTTTCTCAAATCTTGAGGCGGTGGAAGACCGGTAAAGACGGCTGATACCACGCTTCTTCAAGGACGGCGCGAAGAAATACCAAGCCGGATGCAAGGCAGAGACGAAAGCAGGGTTGCGATAAGAACGTATCAATATCGATACAGCCGTGGACTTTAAATGGACTTCCTGGGCTCTTGTCAATGATTCCTTGACTTCTATGACAGGGAATGCAGACATCTCTGTATCATACACAGCTGCTGTGGTGCCACTCTCAACAAAACGCCTCCGCCACTGGAGGGTTGCACCTCCATGAACACGAAGCACACGGCCGCGTAATTGAAAAGCTTGAGTCCGCGCCTGTAGCGGGAATCTATGGCCAGATCTTGCACTGTACACATATGCGCTGGCCAGTGCGAGGCATTGTGTTTGAGTCCAGAACGAGCAAAGTTTATTTCAACATTGAGAAGTGAGGCAAGGGTTCTGCTCTGAGAGGCTTAGTGAGTTTAATGAGGCAAAACCTGGATCGCCGTCGCTTCGACTGTTGATGTTGATTGGAGATCGCTTATGGGATTCTTCGTCTCAAAGCAGTGACTTTTCAAGTGGGAAAACCAGATGACAATCAGCCTTCATGGCTATTCTGTCTGATTGGAATTCTCGGGTTCAAAACAAAAATAATTGTTCCCGATGAGCGAAGAACGGAGACTCCACCGGAAATATGGCGGGCACACAACCCCGCATCAAATCACGTGGTTACCCCTCATGCCACTCTTCCGCGACCAAAGTCTCTGCTGATCATTGTGTTTTCCAATTCTCATAAGAGTTCAAAATACTCTTCTTGTGTCTCCAACATTCTTCATTCCTTGTTTATCTAAGAAACGATTCAATTTCTTGTTTTCGTACAACCACAATTGAACATCTTGCCGCATTTCATACCCAGACATCCGGGATCAACGAGTCGTCTGTTTGAACTTTCTCGACGTCCACTTTCTTCACCTCTGTCAACATGTCAGCAGAACCTAAGATTCTAGGTAGCCGCCTCAAGGGTAAGGTGGCCATTGTTACTGGAGGAGGCTCCGGATTTGGTGAGGCTATATCCAAGCGGTTCGTGGAAGAAGGTTGTAAAGTCGTTGTTGCAGACATGGAGTGAGTACATCTTCAATGTTCTTCTCACTCATTCTATGGCTTTCAATCAAGCCAGATTCATATATAAAGACCGTATTACATGTTCTGGATCTTTCTCAGTTCTCAACACAGCTACGTTAGATACTCTAAAGAAATCTTTACCCCTGTTTAAATAAGTCCTAACAGGGAAATAGTCCAGTTGGTGGTGAAAGAGTAGCAAACTACCAGCCAAGTGCTATGCACTTCATCAAAACCAATGTCGCCCTTGAAGCTGACTGGGAGAACTTGATGGAGAACACGCTCGCTAAATGGGGCCGAATGGACATCCTGATCAACAATGCTGGAACCAGTTACAGGAATAAGGTACACAGCACTTTGGTCTAGAACCTCAAATCAGCAAGTTGTTTTGACAAGCAAATAGCCAACCATCAACGTCACTGAAGACGAGTTCGACAAAGTCTTTGCTGTCAACGTTAAGAGCATCTTCCACTCCGCCAGACACTTCATCCCCAACCTCATCAATCAAGGTGAAGGGGGTTCCATCGTAAACATTGCATCGATTGGTGCTACCAGACCCAGACCTGGCCTCGTCTGGTACAATGCCAGCAAGGCCGCTGTTGCCAATGTACGGATCCCTGTACCATAGCTCTTCTCCGTGTCTATCCGTCTTCTGCAAGTATGAACGAGGGATTGCTGACCATTTCCCTAGGCTACTAAAGGTCTCGCAGCTGAATACGGCGAGAAGCAAGTACGAGTGAACTCCGTCTGCCCACTCTTGAGCGCTACCGGACTGTAAGTCTCTCTCCAACAGTCCTTCCTTCAACAGCTCTCGTTCTACCCTCTCCTGCCCCTCTCAACTGTGAAATACAACACATCTCACGCATCCAAACCACAGGTTCGAAACTTTCGTCGGCGTCCCACCAACCGAAGAGAACTTCAAGAAGTTCCTCTTCAACGTCCCACTGGGAAGACTCACTCATCCAACTGATGTCGCGAATTACTGCCTCTATTTGGCGAGTGACGAGGCAAAGTTCATTACGGGTACATGTTTGGAGGTTGATGGTGGGAGAGGCATTTGAGAGGATCATCTGTGCTCGTTTGAGATGGCTCGGAAAGAATCTGTATTACTTAGCTTTAGCTTTGATGAAGTGACTTCAACGCTCTGAAAATATATACTGTAATGACTATGAGTGTACTCAAGGCGCTGTGGTGTGAGCGCCTATCTGTTAGCAAACGACTGAGATTTGAAGATGGCATGTCCAGTTTGAGTGAGGATATGCATTACCGAAGCGAAAGCGAACTAAAGTCTATAAACGCATGGTTTCCAGTGTCTAATCTTACACATTCCATATGACATGTAAATAAAAATCTAAATCTCTCGTATAGATTCTAGAAGCATGGATTACGGGAGCAATTTTAGTTTTTGACTATCCTTCAGTAAGACAAGCTAGCTAGAAAAGTAGATGATGCTTTCAATACGAATCTCATACATATCGGAAAGCTCCGTACGATATGCAACAAAGAAGGAGAGCGCCGTATGTTCGCATTTAGATGCATTAGCTAGGTACGTATAAAAGAGTTCCTGGTACCCAATTAGGCGAGGTTACCACAACAAACACGAAATGCCTAGTGCTAGGGTGGGTCCAAACTACCTAGACATAAGGGTATTTGTCAAGTGTAAGAGAGTGGCACTAAAAGGTGGGACTTTCCATGCGATATGCAACAGTTATCTCAGGATATCATATCTAGTTAGTACTTTATTTGATGAGTTTGAATATGACGATTAGTTTCGTAGGATCTGGTCAAGCGCGGCCAGCCTAACGGTGAAATTGTCACTTCGAAAAGGTCCTGCCTAGAAGGTATACTGGGACAACACTAAAATGTGGGACGTTCCGTGCGATTTGCAACAGAAACTGCCACCAAGCCTGATCAAATGTTTGGAACTCTTGTTTGGGCACTTGATGTTCAGCACCTTACCTATCATTGCCATACAACACTGCACGGTCATTACACTCGTGAGAACTTTCACCCAATAAAAACAGAATCCAGATTCTATCCTGCTCATGAATTGATAACATGTGCAGTAAATCCAGCAAAAGGACTTTGAGTGGATGGTTTTCAATACACAGTTCCCCGCTTCAATATGGATATAAATCTTCAAACGTCACGTCTGCCCCACCAACGTCAGCGACACCCGACCTTCCAAAACTCCCTTCGAACTTTCGAAATGGCCCACGGCGCTAAAAGGTGGGACATTATGTGCGATATGCAACAAAATGGAAAAGTTAGGTACCTATACAGACAGAAAATAAAGGGATGGTATGGAGAGGAGCAAGACTGGTAGTCTAGGTGGTGCTAGTCAGCTTTGTGCCAGGGCACTACTACCTACCTCCGAACCAGACCTATATTTTTCAACGGCAACAGAGAAGATGAGATAAACATTGAGGTGAAAGCCAAATGGCTGTATTTATAGCATGCGAAGAGAATGATATGTATCTAATATAGTAACGGTGCTAGTACAAGACATGAAAGGTCCCCCATACACCTCACGTCGAAATAGCTCGATTGCTACTGCCAATATAACAAGATATTCCGCAATGTCTTGAGACCCCATATCTTAGAAACCACTTGCGAGATATGCATGACATTCAAACACGGAGAACTATGCAGAATACCCATCTGCTGGAGAAAATGTGGTGGTGCCAGAACCTGCTCCCGATATTTCGGTTTCGCCTAGCCTGGCCCATCTAGACACTAGATCCGGAACCAGATATCTAAGAGATGACAAATTAGACGTTTTGCGATATGCAACAAAGAGCCTCAAGAAGCTAATGATTTGAATCTGTGCAAGCTAATTTGGGTGACTTTTGGTGGTGGCGAGGTTGAGTAAGGTGCAGAAGGTGACTCGTGCTGAGCTGGGCAGGCTAGAGAATGAGCTACTTCGCAAGAATTCCGTAATAGCAATCACGCATTATGAAACAAAGGAAGAAAAAGAGCACAATTAGACAAATGGAAATGCAAAATCTGTATTCCAGTCGTGAGTATGATATAAAACGCCCTTCCTCCAAAACAAAATGCAATGACCGCCAATTCCATGCAATAATTACCTAATACAACACTTGATTATCAATCTCTCACCAGGCCATGCAACTACACTAATCCGAAAAATCGAATCTATCAGGTAGCACAATAGGCGCTACGAGAGTCCAAGTGTATATTGCGTAGCAAGCCCAGGCACTGATGATCTTTACCCAACTAGCCCAGTACGTTCTGCCAACTGGTGCAAAATCCTCCAATTGGCCGGCCGTGGTGGAATCTTCGAAGTTCGAGGTGAGAAGTGTGGCGACCCAGGCGGTGGCAAGGAAAAAAATAACATGAAAGAGAGTGTAGTTGTATTGAGTCGAGGTGCGCTCGTCGTCCTTGGGGCTATCGGCGCCGGCCTCGCTGTCGCTATCATCGTCGAGTAAGGCGTCTGCTGGAAGACTTCCTTCGGCAACTGCTTGGCGGAGTGCTGCTGCACGCATCTCGCGGCGGCTGTCCGGCTGCTGAGTGACTAAGTTGTGCTCATCCTCATCTGGCAGTCTGATGCTCTTTCCTTTGCCTCCTAGAGCTACTCCTTGGGTAGCGGCTCTGGTGGTGGTATATGCAACAGTCAACATGGTGACAACGGCGCCGAGAACGATCGAGGTGGTACGTGTGCTTTGAGCGCGGCGGATGAGAGGGTTGCAGTGTTTGTCATCCGGCTCCATAGAAACAGCGGACATTGTTAGATATGTGCAATACACTGCAACAATGGCGGACTGGGCCAATCCTGCTTTAGGGTTGTATTCCTGGACTGCAGGGTGGACTGAGATTCCAGATACTACCAAGAAAAAGATGAGGTTGAGCGTGATGGCGGTCTGATTCATCGAGCATCCAGCTTTTGCGAAGAAGATGTACTGAACGATTGTCATAGCCACGGAAGCAGCATACATTCCCAAAGTAGAGCCAATGAGAATGCCCCTCCAAGCCCGAGAATCCTTTGCCTCGATTTGCTCCAAGCAGTATTCGGCCCAAGAGTGAGCAAGATCGACCAAGAGAATTAGCCCAAGAAGAATAAATGCCGTCGCTGCTGCGAAAGAGATATAGTTGCCCCAGACCATGAAAAAGCCATCCGGGATGAGGAACGAGACCACGATCAAGGCCAGCCAAGCGATAATCTTAGGACCCCAGAAGCCATTCTGTATCGCTGCTCGCGGATTCTTCGAAGAGTTGACGCCAAGTAAGATAAAGCCCATAACAAGGTGGAATATTCCTAGCGCAAAGTTGATCCGATGAACTGCAACCCAGCCATAGCAGGGTCCATTCGGGCAAGAAATCTCCATATAATCCAACGTCAAGTGCTGTAGCTTCTTGATCGCCCATGGCGTGAGCATTATCCATGATAATATTGAATTGATGAGGAGGATGAGGGCGTAGGCAATACGAGTGGCAACACTACAAGATGTTAGACTGGGTGCTCCCCTTCTTACAAGAGCACCGACCTATTGCCACATTTCCCACATGCGCTGCATACTGCAGAGCAAGTAGCTGCACCACAGCAACTTGCCATGAACCCGAAGATCTATTGGAGTCAGTGTCTGCCTGTCGCCGCTTCTCCAGAGCCTTGACGTACGGTTCCCATGCTGGGCACTGCCAGCAGTGGCAGAGAGAGTAAAGCGCCCATAATATCGAATTATGTTGTTGTACAGGTAGAGATGGTTTTCGTGGTGATTCAATCACTGGTTGATATCCAGCTCGGGAGTGATTGATGAAGGCGCATGCGATGCGATGCGATGCGATGGAGTGAGGAGACTTGTAGTTCAACTGCCAGAGCCGCGCGGAAGATGATGGCTTGGCTGATGGTCAGGCTTCTAGCCTCGCCTGCAGGTTCCGTTGCCGATGAGTGTTGAATGTGACTTGGGCAGCTGCCCCGCGCCGTAGCTGGAGATGCCGACATCCACCTTAGATAAGACCGGTCTGGAGACAATGCACAAGGGTACAACATACAATTACGGTTCCAGATATCCGACCAATGTCACACTCAGCTTTGGACATAATCGAATCCCATTTATGATTTTGAGATAACCACTGTCACCACTGTTGATGTACGATGTTCTGACCGCAACGATCACAATTCTCTATTCGCAATGATCAACAAGTGACACGCCCCTGAATCTTTCTACTCCGACAACGCTCCACGCACTGAGAGAGCTCCGATAGAGCATCGCATCTCGCCACCATGGCAGAGAAGTCACTTCATACAGCGAGGATTGTCTCGAGTATTGCTGCAACAGCAATCTCGTTGGCATGCGGGTCCAATGTATGCCTCCTGGGTCATTTCAGTAATTAATACTCACCACAATAGTATGTCTATTCAGCATGGGGACCTGCCTTCGCGGAGAAGCTCAAGCTCTCCTCAACAGAGCAGAACCTGATTGTATGACGATCTCCACTTCTGCAGGCCATCTGCTAATATATCCAGGGGCTTTCTGGTAACTTGGGAATGTATTCAATGGGCATACCTGTCGGAATGTTGGTCGATTCGAAAGGACCACGACCAGCTGTTGTAATTGGGGCTCTATTGCTGGCCGCGGGTTATTTTCCTCTACACCAAGCATACGACCGAGGATCCGGATCTATGCCCCTACTATGCATGTTTTCATTCTTCTCTGGATTAGGAGGATGTTCTGCATTTGCTGCAGCGATCAAGACATCAGCCCTGAACTGGCCACATCATCGCGGGACAGCCACAGGATTTCCCCTAGCAGCATTCGGATTGAGCGCGTTCTTCTTCTCGATGTTCGCACAGTTTATCATGCCAGGATCAACGGGAGACTTTTTGATGCTTCTAGCATGCGGAACTTTTGGAATCGTCACTGTTGGATTCTTCTTCCTTCGAGTTCTACCCCACCCCCACTATACAGCAGTTCCGACAACGGCTACCCGTGCTCGAGCAGACTCGAATCGGCTTCACAGGACAAAATCAGAGGAGGCGAAACATCGGGCTCAGCAGGGACTTCAAGAACCAGGTAGGCCTTCCCGTCCCATCGCGAGTCCAGAGGAGGCAGACGCCCTAAATCATAACGATGTAGGGGAAGAGGTAGCCGAAGGCGTTAATACCGATACGGAAACCTCCTCCTTGATGTCCAAATCCACATCGTCGAGCCTTGGGGATGACCTTGAAGAAACCAATATTAAGGACCATGCTCATCGTACAGATATCCGAGGACTAAAAATGCTTCCTATGATCGAATTCTGGCAGCTTTTCATGCTTATGGGTATTTTGACCGGAGTTGGTTTGATGACTATCAAGTGAGTCAAGTATGCGATTATGTGGGACGCTATCGCTAACAGTCTGTAGCAATATTGGGAACGACGCAAATGCGTTGTGGCGGCATTACGATGATTCCGTTAGCGACGATTTTATCAACAAGCGCCAAGCCATGCACGTCTCTATTCTGTCTGTGTGCAGTTTTGTTGGGCGCCTTTCAAGTGGTAAGAAGCAATCAGTAGCTCTTGGGTATTTGGTACTAATTGCAGCTAGGTGTTGGCTCGGACTTTCTTCACAAAGTTCTACACGCCTCACGGTTATGGTGTCTCACTATCGCTGCCACCATCTTCCTTGTTGCCCAAGTCCTCGCACTATCTGTCGAAAACCCTCACTACCTAAGTTTAGTATCTAGTCTTACTGGTCTAGCCTACGGCTTCCTCTTCGGATGCTTCCCTTCGCTCGTTGCCGAAGCATTTGGGGTTCATGGCCTGAGCACAAACTGGGGATGCATGACGTTGAGCCCAGTCATCAGTGGAAATATCTTTAACCTATTCTACGGGTTTGTCTTCGATAAGCACAGTATCGTCAAGCCTGGAGGTGAGCGTGAATGCACAGAGGGACTGGCATGTTACCGCAGTGCATATATCATCACCGTATTCGCCTGTCTTGCAGGACTCGCCATCAGTTTATGGAGTATCTGGTATACCCACCAGCTTCGCGAGAAAGAAGAGAGAGATCTACAAGAGAGAGAAGCTTAAAGCGGAGCATCAGATCATCAGCATGGACGGGCCAGAGACGAAGAGGATTCTTGACACAAGCGAGCAGGTGCTTTAGACATGGAAATCGGGCGTTTGGCATAGATTGTGTTTTATATCTTGATGGTAATTTTGCCTTATATACCATATCAATTTTTTATCCTTGGATCAAGTTTTGCATGCCTGCAATTTCTGGGACCGATGTTTTGTCCTGTCATACTCACGATTTTAGTGCCGAGTAGTCTCGTCACCTAGCACAACCACTTACTCTGAATAAAGATTCATCTACCTTGACTTACATTTGTCTAACCAAATTGGATGTCTTCCACTAATTTCATATTCTCAAGCGAATATTTTGGGGGGGGGGGGCAATTGTACCCTTAAGTTTCCCAACTTCCGCCTGCTTTATTTTTATCACATTGATTATCATCACAACAGCAATCTCACATCCTCGTGCACCTACTATACTGTAAAGCAGAATCGTACACCATACTTCGCATACCACTCGCTAATCACTGTACTGAGCGACATTTGCGCTATAAAAATCGAATCCAACAGGATGTCCCTTCCTGCCCGTTTCTCCCTCCTCCCACGACCCCATTTCTCGAAACATAGGCCTAATGGCACACTTCGCACAACCCTCAGCACAGCTCTATACCTCAAGACTGCCGCCGTAGTAGGTGTTTGTATTTACCAAATCTTGTACAGGAATCGAAAAGATGCACAAGGTAGCAGGAATTCGACTGCGGATATGAGTAGGAGGCAACGAACTAGATATATGAGAGAATTCGTGGGTGACAGAGCAGAGGAATGGTGGGCTGTTGTGGGGAAGGGGAAGGGAGCAGCTTGTGAGTTCTTTCTTCTTCTGTTGTCGTTTCCTCTCCTCTTGCTGTTACTTTTCTGTCTCCCTTCTTTCGTCTTCGGTCTTCAACGGTATGAATTGTTTATACTTGATTCGAGAGGAGGAAGGGGAAGATTCACAGTGGAAGGTATAATGGAACCAGAATGAATGACTAATATATTGTGATGCCGACAGGGATCGAAGCACGCCGCGAGATCAAAGCTAGATGGCGGGCAGAGAGGGAGAAACACAGGAGGGCGATGTGGAAGGAGAACATCAAAAGGAACGAGAAGGAGATTGAAAAGAAGGTTGGAAATTTCGAAGAAAAACAGGCAGATATAAGTAAGAAGAGTAAAGGAACGATTCTGAGAGTCACCTTCCCGTGGGGTAGGAGTGGTAGTGGCCGGAAGCGGTAGATTCTGAAAAGGCATACCATTCCTGGGATCTTTGCAGTTTGAAACCTCGAACATATGGTAAACATTCTTCTCCTAACTCTAGAACAGTACGGTATTACCTACAATACATAATAAGGTAAGGCCTTGCTGAATGTTTAAGGCTGAAGATAATAATAAATCAGGCAAAGGTCGGCCTCGGCCAACCAAAATCGGCCCGTCCCACGCCAACATGCTCGGCCACTCCACCGTCGAAGTCCTCCCCCATTGGCTCGCAACAACATCAGTCACAGCCGTCACATCCGTACAACCAACCATATCGTGCACACTGCAGAGAAAATTTGCGGTGGCTGCCACTGGAAAATTCTGGAGTCAGCCTTGCGCTCACTGAAATAATCCTTGCGTGCCGACCGCCGATAGCCGGCTTCGGTAAAGTGGTTTTTGTTTATATATATATACATATATCTCTCGCGAGCCTCTTTTTCTTGATGTTGGATTCAGATATCGCCACTGGAAATATATATGAACTCTAGACCGGAGTGCAAGAAGAACGAAACACGATAAAAACAAAATCACATTCGCTTAAGATTACCATCTATTCAACAGAAAAAACAAAAGCACTAATCCATTTTCGCCACATCACCAAACACACCTCAATTGAACACAACAAACCATAAAACTACGATCAGCAACCAAAATGTACAGCACAATCCTCAACCAAATTACCGCCCGTCTTGCCGTCGCCGGGACATGCACTTTTGCGGGGGGCTGCGGATTTCAGATTTTCCGCCGGGGAGTGGCGATGCAGATCGAGGAGGCGAATTATGAGCGGAAAACGCAAACCTTGAGGAGTATTGAAGAGGTTAGGCGGTTACGGAAGGGATTGTGAGAGGATGCAGGTCATCTCGGAATTGAGAATGGAAAGCAATCAATCATGGTCGACCGAAATCCTGGGAAAGAGAATGGGGCAGGGATGAGTCAAAATTAAAATAGGGGCATTCCATAGATTCTAAAGAAGGGAGGTCGGTGTTGGATAGACAGGCTTCGGGTGGGTTTTGTGTTGAGATGATGGAAGGACAAAGAGGAAGCGGTGGTAATGGATCGACTATGGTACAAGAGAGATGATAGATGGCTTTTGAATTTGGAGTCTCGGATGAGAAGACTGGGAATAGACGGTTACATGATTTACGCAATCTAGATGTACGAATTAGATGGACGGGACATCTTCTACAGGACTCCCTGGCTGGCGTTTGGATATCGAGTGGCGTGGCTGGAGACCGAGCCACTTGGTTGGACTGACGGAAGCCGGGCTTTCGAGATGGCAACCACAATACAATCAGATTAAAATAAGTGATGTTTGTGCATCATCGCGCTACGCTTCAAACAGATCAAAAGTGTCTTGCATCGTATGAGGCCGTATTGCCGGAGACCCGAGGTCGGGGTGAGTAAGAAGCTTTAATTCCGCCGACCATGATGTAGCTGGTTTTGGTGAAGCAGAATAATGATGACGGAAATTCTTTCCTTGAGTTGCAGGTAGGTGTCTTGTAGACTAGTTTTCATGATTTGGACCTGGTTGGTATTATCATCAAAGACTGTCAATACCGAGTCATGCTTTGTCCCTTTTAATCCCTCATCTATTTGGGCTCAAAACCCCCTGTCCTGCGCCTTGAGGTACCTCGTGTCGCCAGCTCTATTATCGGAGTGGTGAGATAACATTACTGTCAATTCCCCATCAAACTGTCCAGTGGCCACCATAGCTCGGGGCATAGTTGAAGAAAAGTATCGTCATTTTTGTAGCCACTCGTTATTTTCAGCATCAGCAAGAATCGAATCATGAATGATTCGTCCGATCCGAGCCAGCTCAGCACGAAACCAGGCTCTTGGTTTCACCGCCATACGACCAAGCCCTGCCGCGATCGACAATGGCCATACAATTGTCACAGTGACATGTTGCTCTTCCTCTTCGCTCGCTTTGTGGTTGATAGTGAAAGGTTTTGGGCCTAAAGTTGAGCCCTGGTTATCTGAATTGCAAATGATCTGGCGACAGAACGGAATGCTCGACGCGAGGTCGGTCGCTGCGTTGTTGATAATGTTCAAGCATTCAGTTCGTTGCTTATTGTTATCATGATCGCTGAATTCGAGAATACTGAGGCGAGTGCAGTTGACCAGGATTCTTGTTGCGAAATATAGATTCCATACAGCGGCGTGTCCAAGGCTTTGATAAGTAAGGACATTTGATGAATAAAAGTCTTTCGTCGGGTATGAAAGTGGGTCTTCTAGGGTTTGTCGCTGGTATGCCCAGGATTTAGGGAATCGAGTCGCCCAGTCTTGCAATTTCAAGTCAACCTCTTGTGCTTCTGTATCCAGTTCCTTCGCCAAGGATATGAATTCTGGAGACAAAAATCCTCGCTGTATCTGTTCGTCCGCAATTGTGGTCAGTCGCTCACGAACTTCGACAAGCCGCACCATCAAACGATCATACTCCAGCTCTAAACCCCTCTCCCCAAACTGTGAACCATCAACAATCCATTGCGGCAGCGCAATATTCCGCAACAATGCAGACCTAATCATACCCCTCCTAACACGCTTGATGACATCCGTAGCAGGCAGCTTCTCACTCGAATGCTCCTTCCAACTCTTTAAAATCGCCAGATTCCCATCATGATGCGAAAAACTCTGGGCACATGAATGCAGTGGGAACTTCAACTGCAAATGTGACGGTTCCGGACTGTGGACGACTTGCTCGTAACGTCCCATGAAGAAGATTGCCAGCAAGCAAATATCGACATTGCTCTCGTCCAGAGAGAAAATGGTTTGCTGTGTAAGTTTTAAAAGTCGGTGGTAGCTTTCGTTAGCCTCTATTGAGGCTGCTGGATGGTCCTTTGCACGTGAGAATACGGCAAGTGCTATTGACGAGATGGCGAGGTCGAGGATTGGGTATTTCTTCAGGGAGATCCACAGAGATGGGAAATCGTAGACGCCTTTCACGAGATCAGGTGCGTCTTCGAATGTGCAGAGGTGATGTTCCATATAGTACTGCACTGCTTGGGTTTTCAAATCGAGAGACATTTGTTTTGTAGATTCTTTTCTAGGGGCTGTAGGCTGAGCTGCTGGGGTTGGTCGTGGTCTTGGCCCTCGAGGCCGTTTCTTGACACCGCTTGCGAAAGCATTTTCTAGGTGATATACATGATCGGGCTCGCCAACCGTGGGCATGCCATAACACTCCCGATCTGCTTTTAGGCATCTATTGCATCGCGGCCGTGTCTCATCACACTAGAATAAACTCATCAGAATTCAGTTCGGAGTGCGAGTGACATGACGGGATTAAGGCAGTGTACCTTCACTCGACGAGCCTTGCATGTCTTGCATGCTTTGCTTGGGAACGGCATGGTGTTCTCCCGATACGCCGGGAAGACTTCCCATGATAAATCATAAAGAGAAGGGTCATATGAGTGTTGTGACACCGTGAGCTGAGTCTTGGACAACGTCGTCTCGGGCTTAAGCTAATTCCGCCTTGCCTCGCTCGCTTAGGTCTACTCGTCTTTGGAACAACAAAATTGTCCGCGGACATTACAAGTTCACTGTTCGCGAATTGATACTGCGGTTGATGGGGGTCCTCAGGCGAGCATATTCTATGGAAATGTTGTCGAATAGTGTCTTGGCTCTTTCTGCAAATTGAGGGTGTTGTTCTTATGTCCTGTAACTCCTCGGAAGAGACAAGAAATGGGCTATGCAACGGACGACGGAGGACGTCACTATCCGCAGTAACGGACATTCACATCAGGATGGCTTAATTTGCATCTAATAGGTAAATGGGTTCTCACATGAGGTTGGGTATTCCGAAAGTAATTTATCTATAGTGTAGGATGCCCATGGTCGACATTTCCATATCAATCAACCAGAGCAACCTCGATAATTCACCCACGCAATCCAAGGTCATTTCAACAGTATATTGTAATATTTCAGGAAACAATTATTCAAACTTTCCAAAATGCCACCCAGAATCATCCTCATCACCGGTAAGAGCCATCAGTGCAAATACCCAAAGCCCTAGCTAATTTACTTCCAGGAGCAAACTCTGGAGTGGGATATGCCACATGCAAGGTCATCGCATCAGCATCCAAAGATTTCCATGTCATCATGGCAGCTCGCAGCCTCGACAAAGTAAACGCAGCGAAGTCAGAGATAGAAGCAATCGGAATTCAAGGACAGCTGTCCACAGTGCATCTTGACATCACAGACCAAAAGTCCGTCGACAAAGCAGTATCCTTCGTCGGATCTACTTTCGGACATTTGGACGTCCTAGTCAGCAATGCAGCAATCGCAGGTCTCGGCCTTCCAGATTTTAGATCTCGTATCCAAGCGGTCATGAACACCAACGTTGTCGGTACAGCAGCAACCGCCGAGTCTTTCCGACCTTTACTCTTGAAATCGCCGAAGCCGTACTCAATTTACGTCTCGAGCGGACTTGGATCCATGACTCTTGCCACTGATCCGAACAACCCGTTGCATAAAGGACTTCCTGGCGCGGGAGCTTACCGTGCAAGCAAGTCGGCGCTCGATATGATTGTTCTGCAGGAGCATTATGATTTTGGTGAAACGAGTGCGCTGAAAACATTTGCTTATTGCCCCGGCTTCGTGAGATCGAATCTTCGGGGTACAAGCGAGGAGGCTATAAGTGGTGGAGGAGCAGCTGGTGATCCGGAGGTTGCTGGGAAGGGTATCTTAGGTATCATTCAGGGTGAGAGGGATCATGAGGCGGGGAAATTTGTCAATTCTGAGGGTGGTGTGTATGGCTGGTAGTGAGAAGAGAGCTGTAAACTTTGAATGGTACGCAAATGAGTGACTCTATTAGAATGAAATGCAATATCGCCTGTTTAGAAAATATGAGAGCCTAAAACTTCCTCTTCGTTTTGGTCCGGCTGGAGATTATGCCTCTGCCCGCTTCTTTTAGGAGAATAATGGCATCGAAAGTAAGCCAGAGTATCGCACTAATCACTCCAAATAAGACAAAAGGGATGATGCTGTAAAATGTGAGACCTGAAGTTTGGTTAATATAGTCATCTCAGAAGGGTCAAAAGTACTTACAAAACCACCCGCCACTATTATTGACAACATCATACAGCTCATTACTCATGATCTCCTTAGCTCCGTCCCACTGCCATGGTCCCACCAGCCGGAACTTGGTATTGAAGTTGGAGCCAAATGCCCACGTAAAAGCTGTTCTGTAGCCGTGTCGGAGGACTTCTGTGAATGACGGCGCAGAGCCCATGTCAAGCGCAAGCTGGTATGCGTAGGCCTCGTGATCAACCCCGAAGTTTTCGTATTCGCGACGGCCTGGTTTGAAGTGTAGCTTGTAGTCGATATCTCGCGGTGATGCCTTCGGTAAGCGGCCTAGGATTGAAAGAACCCACAGCTGGGCTTGCAGTTCAGACACTTCTCCAAATCAGCTCCTACTTACAAATAGACGAGCATTGTACTACTGTCTCTTCTATACATGCTTGTAGAACTTTGAAACTGAACGAGGGGATAAAACAAAATGTGAACTTACATGGAGGGATGGCACCAAGTCCAGGTCTGACGAATCCAATGAAGCCAACACTGTTGTCACCAGACCTCCAGATACCACGCTGGTTGGCTTCAGAAGGGGTACCATAACTGGCTTCGAGAAATGGGAAACTTGGATAGTAGCCCGTGGCGAAGACGACAATGTCTGGTTTACACACAGTTTTGCGCATCATCTCTGCTTCGGGACGACCATTCTCAGTGAAAGTGACAATTCCTTCTGAAGAGATAGAATCGGGCCATGGAGCGAGGTCGATTGTTCTATTTCTTGTTTCTGGTATCGGAACGTTGATAAGAAAAGCGCGGATGCGGTCGAGAAAGCTTCGCTTCCGATATGGCTTCGATATATACGGCATTGCTTTTCCAGATTTGCAGAGGAAGACTATGCACGCGTGTCAGTTCAGAATGGAGTACAAGGTCAGTGGTAAGCACTTGACGAAACATGGTATCGATCTTTGGATATCCCTCCTATCCACTGATCGTATCCTTGCACTGTGCCGGAAATGAGCTGAGACATTCTTTTGACGAAAAGGTCATAGTAGCTCCAAAGCAACATTGATTTCTGAAGGACCGGATGCACATAAGCAGTATCAAACAAGCTCATGACATAGGTATCAATCGGCACATTTCGTTGAGCGGCGGGTGACTTCTTGAAGTACCCAAGAAGAACAGGGACAGGAACCACCTAGATCATCAGCAACGCTCACTCCTAGAAGTAGGGCATTACCTTCGGTGCGAAGAAGAATCCATCGCGGTGACAGAGAGTGACAGATTTGGTTGGGGAGGTTACAGCCAAGTACGACACGTCCATGGCCGTCTCTCCAACGCCAAGAACCATGACATTCTTCCCGACACCAAAGTCCTTGCGTGCCTTGAATTGGGAAGAGTGCATTACCTGGGGTATGTTCTCGATTCCCTTGATCTTCGGAATGTACGGCTCCACATGAAGCCCAGAACAAATTGCCACAGCATCGCACTCCCACTCTTTGTTAGTCTTCTCTTCCATATATCTGACCAAATGTCCGCCATCTTTTCGGCGAGTGACTGTGTCCACAGTGGTAGAGAGGCCTAAATTGCAATCAGCACCAGGTCCCGAAGCATTTCCCAAACCCAATTGATTGGTCCCTGGGCATACGAGACACGAAATTACCCGATAGGCGACTTCAAAAGGTACATGTGCTTAAGGGATATATCTGTGAGACTCTAAACCTACGAATATGGGGCCACAGCTTGAAATGTGTTGCATATGCCTCAAGGTAAGAACAGAACTGGGAGGCTGGGAGGAAGTCTGGGTCATTACGTGTGCAGCGGAAGTCGGAGAAGGATGTCAGGTATTTTGATGATACGAGCTGGTCCTCAGTCAGAAAGACAAATAGTTGCAGAGAACTTCCTCAATGATGTTCACCTCAGCATCTTCGTAAACGCGATACTTGAACGTGCCTGAGATCGATTCTCTTGACTCAAACAGTTTGGCTTCGATGGGCTCAATGTCATGGAATTTATGAGCTGTGATTAAGTACTTCAGGGTGACCAGGCCCGATGGACCACCGCCAATGACAGCTACGCGCATTGTACTCAGCAGACGACGACGAAGTTTGTATAGTTTTCTTGGGAGGGCACGAAAGCTCTGAAAAGCATAGAGATACAACAAAAATATCGGAACACAGAGAAACCATAAAGCTTTGTTCAGAAGTGCTTACGGCGTGGTAAATCAAGACTTGTAAGACAGGCATTGATAAGCACAGCTTCAAGAGCTAGCTGGACTCATCATCCAACAGCAGAAGACGGAATGAGGAAAAGTAACCATGCGAGTAAGCGACTATCCTCAAACTACTATTTTCGTCTCAAAGCGACCAATTGTGGTCCTTCTCGACCGAGATATGGTGGCATCCTTGTCGTCAGGGTGTTTAATCCTCTCAGTCTAACTGTCTGGCTCTATCGACGATACACTTGCTGCTTTATAAAAGGAGCAAGACTCATGCGGCATTAGCCCAATCAGAAGGGCCCGTTTTGGTAATCAGATTTCCCAAATGGACGCATACTCTTGAAGAACAGGGCTCGAATCGTTCAAGCGGCAATGTCCTTAAAAGAAGCTAGACAATTGAACCAAGGAGGAGACCATATCTCCTCCACGCTGGGTGGATCGCCGCAAATCGCCTGAATTAGACTCGTTAACAATCTGTCATGCAGCTTGTGGCATAGCGACCTCTGATCTGATGAGTAACGCACGGAAAGCTGCAGGTGTGCATTTGCACAAAGTTTGGTCATTGGTGGGCAAGGAAGCAGGAAGAGTTGTCCCAAGCAGCTACCGGCGGTTCAACTAGATTTGACTGTCAGCGCTAGCCTGTTGTGGAAAAGGAACCACGTGCCTCCGTCTCAACTCCACCCTGGAAGCGAGCTGAACCGAGGTGAGCCAGGGAGGGACGTTGAGTCAAAGCATCGCGGCTGGAAAATAACCTCGATCTTGATCATTGCTCCATGCAGCACTGCCGTGCCCACCAACACATCAACATACGGTCAAACAGATACCTGAATCCTGCTCGTGCCTTTGAGCGTGTGCAATAGACATATACAGCTTTAAAAGAATGTCGAACAAACTCGGATGCGTTGGGAAAAGGGGCAAGAGACAGCTGAGAGAGGAGGGATCTCCACAGACTGGGGACACCAATGTGCAGATCCTCGTCCTGCTAAATTCTTCCTGCATCTGCACATCTGCATATCTGCAACCCCTGGCGAGCCTAGCCTACGTTACCATGGATTTGATGCACTATTCAAGCTCTTGGCTTGACAAAATGGAATTAGACGAATGCTCAGTATCAATTGGCTAGTATTCCTGGACCCCAGTTTCAAGTGGGAAGCTCTTGCTAGCTTCAATTGAGAATGGCCGATTCTCCTCTTGCATCTCTGCTTCTATTACAAGTCCTTTTTTCTTGTTGCTCGATGAAGTCGCACAGTATCAAACAGACTCGGAAAGCGAATTGGCCATCAACTTGACAGATGGCACAACCCATCCAAGATGCATGCATGCCAATTGCAGTCATTGGCATGGCATGTCGCTTCCCAGGGGATGCGACATCTCCAGACCATTTGTGGGAGCTTCTTGCAAATGGTCGGAACGCCTGGTCGGAGTTTCCAAAGGACCGGATTAACATTGATGGGTTTTACCATCCGAGTGGAAATAGAGAAGGCTCTGTATGATGCACAGTGACTTTAATTGACCATTGCTAATCTTTCGACAGATATGCTTCAGAGGAGGACACTTTTTGAAAGAAGATATAGCTGCCTGGGATGCTCCTGTATGTCACGAGATCTACGTGGGTGTTGCTTCAATCTAATTTATCTCAAGTTCTTCTCCACTACTGCCCATGAGGCAGCTGCTATGGACCCTCAGCAGCGAATCTTACTTGAAGTTTCGTATGAGGCTTTTGAGAATGGTATGCTTTCGTCAGCCATTTTTATCTCAGCATATGTCTGATGTATTCAACGTAGCCGGCATACCGATTGAAACACTCCCAGGAACCTCAACAGCTGTCTATTGTGGGTCTTTTGTAAAAGGTAGAGCCACCATCCCCACCTACGTTGCCGCAGTATCTTGTATTCATACTCTCAGATTACGAGCAAATTTGCCTGAGAGATCCCGACTTCAGCCCGCAATATGCCGCCACTGGGAATGGCATTGCAATCATGTCGAATAGGATCTCTTGGTTCTACGATCTCCGAGGGCCAAGTATGACTCTTGACACAGGATGCTCCGCCAGCCTAGTAGGTGTGCATCTTGCTTGCCAGAGCCTAAGAACAGGAGAATCCACGTTGGTGAGTATCCTGTATTTTCCTTTCGTACCCACTAATTCTAACATGGCAAACTAGGCAATTGCCATGGGTGCCGGCATGATTTTGACTCCATCCACAATGATGCCAATGACTGCCCTTAATTTCCTCAGCCCAGACGGGAAGTGCTTCGCCTTTGATGAACGGGCAAATGGGTATGGTCGTGGCGAGGGTATCGGTGGCATCGTTCTGAAACCCCTCGCCGACGCTCTCAGAGATAATGATACCATTCGCGCTGTCATACGTGGATCAGGTGTCAATCAAGATGGGAGAACACCAGGAATCACAATGCCAAGCAAAGATGCTCAAGCTTTGAATATTCGTGCAGTCTACAAATTAGCAGGTCTGGGATACAACCGCACAGCATACTTTGAAGCTCATGGTACTGGGACTCAAGCTGGAGATCCCACTGAACTTGGGGCAATCTCAGAAACTTTTGCTGAGACTCGCGATCCTAAGGATCCAATCTATGTCGGTTCAGTCAAAACAAATATCGGCCATCTTGAAGGCTGCGCCGGTATTGCTGGTGTAGTTAAAGGTGTTTTGATGTTGGAGAAAGGCTTGATCCCTCCTAATTTATATTTCGAGAATGTGAATCCAAAGATTGACCTTGACGCCTGGCATATCAAGGTAAGTCCAGCCAGCCCCCAATTTCCTCCTTTTGACTACCACGTAACCCAAATACTGATTATGACAGATCCCACAAAGTGTGACACCGTGGCCCATGGTTGGCCTTCGAAGAGTTAGCATAAATTGTTTCGGGTTCGGAGGGACGAATGCCCACGTTATTCTTGATGATGCCTTTCACTATCTTTCAGAGCGAGGTATGGATGGGAATCACAATTCCATCGAATTGTCTACATCTGCTTCTCCTGCTACCACTGATTCGGGAATCATTATTGACACGCCACCCTCGAATGCCGGGACCTGGGAATCCGAGTCCAATACGGCCAGAGCGAGACTCTACGTTCTATCCTCACATGAGCAAAGTGGCATTGAAAAGCTGTCCCATGAGTACGCAGAATATCTCGTGGGAAAAGAAAGTTCCCTCAGCTCATCCCACGATGCATCAAAACTTTCTGCAGATCTTGCCTATACTCTAGCGTCTCGCAGGACAAGGCTACCCTGGAAGGCTTTCACAATTTCGTCATCTCCCGAGAAGCTCAAAAGTCAATTCGTCCAAGGCGTGACCAAGCCTGTCAGATCATCCGAGGCTCCCAACGTAGCATTCATATTCAGTGGACAAGGAGCACAATGGTATGCGATGGGTCGAGAATTGCTCCAATACCAAGTGTTTCGAGATAGTGTTGAAGGAGCGGATACCTACTTGAAGTCTATCGGGAACGACTGGTCACTACTTTCCGAACTCCTGAAGAATGAGAAAGAGTCAATAATTAACCTTCCCAAAATTAGCCAGCCGCTTTGCACTGCTTTACAAGTCGCTCTGGTGGATTTGCTCCATGATTGGGGCGTAAAACCTTCCGCATTGAGCGGTCACTCCTCGGGCGAAATTGCGGCTGCGTACGCTCTCGGCGCACTTTCAAGACTGGATGCTTGGAAGCTTGCATACCATCGGGGTCGCTTGACGAGTGACATTGCATCTTTGTCTCCTGGTCTCCGCGGACGCATGATGGCTGTGGCACTCTCGAAGGATGCTGCCGAGGCTTTCTTAAGGGAGGGTAAGAGTGGTGTTGCTATTGTCGCCTGCATCAACAGCCCCGAAAATGTCACAGTCTCTGGAGATGAAAGTGCAATCTTGGAACTCGAAGATCGCCTTCTAAAGGAAGGTGTGTTTGCACGCAGATTAAAGGTCGAAACCGCCTACCACTCCTCCCACATGCGAGTGATTGAGAGCCAGTACTTGCAAGCCATCTCAGATGTTCGGACCAAAGAATCATCAGCTGGTAGAACCATGTTCTCCTCTGTCACTGGGACTTCGATCCGGTGTGAGCAATTGGGCCCCGAATACTGGGCCCAGAACCTGGTCTCACCGGTCAGATTCTCGGAGGCAGTCCAATCTCTTTTGCGGTCGAAAGCCGTCAAAGCCAATGTAATACTCGAAATCGGTCCATCGGGAGTCTTGCAAGGTCCATTGAAGCAGATTCTGGCTGGAGAAGGAAAGCTAAAATCCAGACCCATCTACATTTCGATGCTTTCACGTGGTAAAGATGCAGTGGTTACAGCGATGGAAATGGCTGGGACATTATTTACTTTAGGCCACTCCTTGGATCTTGGAAAAGTTAATATGAGGTAAAGTTCAAACACTTTATCGAACCATTACAATTTAGCGTCTGCTGACAGACCTAGTATCCTAGATACTAAGCCGCGAGTACTGAGCGATCTCCCCACATACCCGTGGAATCGTGAGTGGTACCTAAATTCAAAACCCGAGTACTGACACCTGCTAGATGCAAAGACCTATTGGCACGAATCACACATCGGCGCTGCTCACAGATTTCGAAAATACGGACGTCAGGACCTGATCGGCTCGCCATCTGCTGATTCAACTCCCTTTGAGCCTCGGTGGCGCGGTTTCATTCGCGTGTCTGAAAATCCTTGGGTTCTGGATCACCAAGTTCAGAACACCATCATTTACCCAGCCGCTGGCATGATGTCGATGGTACTTGAAGCAGCACAGCAGATCCAGGATATCGATCGCAAAGTGGACGGCTATGAGATTGCAAAAATGAACATTCTCAAAGCAATGATTGTCCCTGAGACAATTCATGGTCTCGAGACCGCTATCAACGTCAAGATCCACGAGCCGATATCGAAAATGGTAGCGTCATGGTTCGAGTTTACCATTTATTCGAAACTGCTTGGCGGAACTTGGACCAAGAATGCTGATGGGCTGATGTGTATTCGATACAAGGCTGAAAGTACCGATATCATCTCCAATGATGAGTTCAAGAAGGCTTTCGAAGATTCAAAAGAGAGCTGCAATGAGAGTATGTCGCCCAGACAGCTGTACGAAACACTCGAGAGCATCGGGATGAAATACGGATCGACGTTCCAAAACATTGTTGCAGTTAGCAAGAAGAACAATGTTTCTTGTTCAACTGTTCGAATACCCGACACGAAGAGTCGAATGCCCGCGAAGTACGAATACCCGCACCTGTTACACCCGGCAACACTGGACGCCATGTTCCAAACGGTTTTTGTAACAGGATCAGAACCTATGGTTCCGTCGCTCCTTGAAAGCTTGTTTGTCTCAGCCGAATTTCCTCGTGGCTCAGGGAAAGAGCTTAGTGGGTATTCTACGGCGTTCAGACGAGGCCTCCGTGATGCCACGGGATCTATCGTCATGTCTGATGAATCTTGGCGAAAGCCAATGATTATTGTCAAGGATCTGCATTTTACAGCTTTGTCTTCGTCACCAGAAGATTTTGCAGACAGCGGATATCTTCCCAATCATCATAAACTTTGCGCCGAGCTTGAATGGCAACAGAATATCGATACTGCCTCTGTTGAAAGTCTGTCTGAGTGGATTCGACTACTTACTTTCAAGAATCCGGATCTCAACATTTTGGAGATATGCCATGCTGAAGATCCACTTATTGAGTCTATTTTTGACATTCTGGTCGATAATCCAAGCTCGACTCCTCGTCTATCAAGATATACACTGGCAAGTGAGGATTCAAGCAGTGAAGATGTGCTGCAAAGCAGACTTGGCAAATCATCTGCGTACGTTCTCTGGAAGACTTTACAAGGAACCATTGACCTTGAGAAGTCTGACTTCAAAGCACGGACCTTCGACTTGGTGGTTTCGCATGTTGGAGCCCCAGAGCCTTTGGCGACATTGCAAAGTCTTCTCAAACCGAAAGGAAATCTAGTACTGTTAAAGGACTCCCAAACGAACACCAAAGATCTCAGCACGTACCAAGTTGACCATCAAATGAGCCTTCACAATGGCGACTTCCAAACCCTAATTACGTCGAATGAATTCTTCGAATCCCAGGGTGCAAATAACAGGGCGCTCATCTTGTGCAGCTCTCCTCCCTCATCCCCATCAATTTTAGCTCGTGAAGTTCTACTCGTCATACCGAAAAGTCCTTCGACAGACATACAGATCCTTTCTTCAAGACTCACTGAAGCGCTCCTAATCAACGAAATCAAAACTTCGACAACTGATCTCCTAAGCTCCGTGGAGCAAGTTTCTCAGAAGATCTGCATCGCGCTGTTGGAAATTGAGTCTCCTCTGGTGTTCAACTGGACAAAAGAAGAATTTGATGCATTCCGATCTATTGTGTCGCTTTCTGCGGGATGCTTGTGGGTCACGAGAGGTGGGCATGTTGAGGCTGAATTGCCACTCATGGGTCCGGCTGCGACTTTGCTCAGAACAATTCGATCTGAGGACCCGCAAAAGCTTCTTTTCAGCTTGGATCTGGATCCCTCCCCAGCAATTGACCTAGACGCGGCTGGAGCCGCAATCATGCATGTCTTGTCGGCATCCTTTGACCCAACTTCGACATCTGAAGAAACAGAGTATGCTCAGCGAGGAGGAAAGTTACTGATTTCCCGAGCCGTCTTGCAAGAGAAACTTAGTGGCAAGATTGAGCGCGGCACTTCTCAACGATCTCCAGTTGCTTTACCATTCTTCGATGGAAGTCGACCTTTGCAGTTGGAAGTCAAAAATCTAAGGAATCTTGACTCCCTTTGTTTTGTTGATGATCCTGTACAAGAATTGACACTTGAACCACATGAAGTTGACGTCAAGGTGCTAGCCGTTGGTGTCAGTGCAACTGATGTCAGAACTGCGATGGGGCAAAACTCATACGGTCATTTCGGAACAGATGCTTCTGGTGTTGTAGCGAGAGTTGGCTCAGCTATCACCGAGGTCAAAGTTGGAGACAGAGTGACAGTCATCGTACAGGGAGCGCTTAAGACATTCGTTCGGTGCCCTGAATCGATGGTCCAGCTGATGCCGGATGAGATGACTTACGAAGTAGCTGCTTCTCTCCCAAGTGATCTTGTTTCTGCCTATCATGCAGTCAGCATCGGTAGATTACAGCAAGGAGAGTCAGTACTCATTCATGCAGGCGCAAGCGGGCTCGGCCAGGCTGTCATTCAGATGGCAAACCACATCGGTGCCCAGGTTTATGCTACAGTCGGAGCTTTGAAGGAAAGGAAGCATTTGATGCTCACATATCAAATTCCAGAGGATCACATTCTCGACTTGAACAATACGTCTTTCGGAAAAGTTGTTCGACGTTTGACCAATGGACGTGGCGTTGACCTGATAATCAATACCATAGGTCGGCAGCATTTGGAGGAGACTTGGAAGTGCATCGATGATCGTAAGTTCTCTCAGCTAGGTGTCAAAATTATGCAGCTAATGTTTCTTCACAGTTGGGAGGTTCGTTGATATCCGTAACGGCGATCCAGCCGAAACAACAACTTTGACATCAATTCCTTCTCTCCGCAATGTCACATACTCAGCAATCGACAGCTTCCATATGTTTCAGACCAACTTGGGGACATCAGCCCGTCTATTTCAGTCTGCTTTTGATCTTGTCCGTTCAGGATCTGTGAGAGAATCCAGACCCATCAACGTACTACCAATATCAGACATCTCGGGAGCCTTCCGAGAAGCTCAAGAACGAACGCATGGCAAAGTCGTTCTGCAAATCAATGACGATAATTTAGTACCCATCGTGCCGCGTGATTCTCATCCTCTCCAACTAAGTCCCGATGCCACTTACGTCCTTGTTGGTGGCTTGGGTGGGTTAGGACGAAGTTTAGCTGCTTTCATAGTGAAGCATGGTGCTAAGCATGTTGCGTTTTTCTCTCGTTCAGGAGCCGTTTCTGAGGGACAGCTGGCTTTCATGCACACGCTGAAAGAGCAAGGCATTGATGCAAAAGCCTATGCTTGCGATATATGCGATCGAAACCAGTTGGGAGGAGTCTTGCAAAAGTGTTCGCAGGAGATGCCGAAGATACGTGGAGTGATACAGGGAGCTGCAGTACTTCGTGTAAGAATATTCAACCAGGACAGACACTCAAGTGCTACGCTGACTTTGTAAAGGACGCCATCTTTGAGAATATGACATACGACGATTGGGCCACGGCTACAAGACCAAAGATGCAAGGCAGTTGGAACCTTCACGAGACGATGCCCAAGGACCTCGATTTTTTTATTTTCCTGTCCTCATCAGCTGGAGCAATCGGTGCTCGTGGACAAGCAAATTACAATTCTGGCAATGGATTCCAAGACGCGCTGGCCCATCATCGCAGAAGTAAAGGCCTAGCTGCAGTGTCTTTGGACCTCGGACCAATTCTTGGTGCAGGGGTACGTGACACAATCTAGATATCATCCAGACCATGCTGACTTCTTAAGATGGTTGCAGAAGACGAGGCCACACTAGAGATGCTGCGGGCTGCTGGATTCTTTGGTATTCGTGAAAAGGTCAGCGGCACCAAGTGAAACAACGGCATTTGCTGACAGTGGCAGGACTTCCACATTATCGTCGGTGCTGCCATGACAGGATACACAGAGGATGAACACCATACACCGGCGCAGCTAATAACAGGGATCGGTACCGGGGGTGGCGTGAAGCAAAATAATGTCGGCGATCCATACTGGTACCGTGAAGCACGACTATCCATCATGAGCAAGCTCGACCTCATCCCTTCCTCGACCGATAGCGCGACACTTTCCATGCAAGAGCTTCTCTCATCCTCAGACACACTATCTGAAGCCTCATTCATCATCCTAGAAGGTCTCATTACCCTCTTCGCCAAATCGATGAACATGCTACCAGGCGACCTGGACACGAGAAAGTCTGCAAGTGCATATGGCGTCGACTCGCTTGTCGCTGTTGGGACGAGGAATTGGATATTCAGGGAGACGGGTGTTGATGTTAGTATCTTTGAAATTTTGAGTGAAAGTACAATTGCCGAGATGGCGGAGGATATTGCGAGGAAGTGTAAGTTCCTTTCCAAGGAGGTAAGAGCAGGGGAGGATGATGAATAAGAGGTGGACGGAAGCTAAGAGGTTGTATTTATGTTGGCGATCATTAATGGAGCTCTCCAAGAGTATTTGGTATGTCAAATCGAGGTTCGATAGACGGTGGTGGTGCAACGTCGTGTGGTGATTGTGTTATTTACGTGGCCATGGAACGCAGCCGAGGTTTTACCGCAGATTCAGGGGCAGAATACAGTAAGCGAAAATGAGTGACGTCTTCATTGATCAACATACGCAGTTGTCGTCATCCACATTTTAATTGATTTTATTGGTGTTCAAATATAGCCAAAAGATTATCAATCGTCTATGGACGCGGAATTAAACATCATAGATGTTGTTAGTGGCGAATTTGTTTCAACAGCAGTTGGTCAGATCATCGTTCATGTCTTGTTCACGTGGACTACTTTACTAAGCTCCAATCATTTCCTTCCTTTGTTCAAAAGCTACCCGCTATCCGCTCACTATGAGAGGCTCATTCGTAAAACATCTCTTGACGTCACCTGTTACCCGACCCGGTTGCTTGTCAACCAAAGCTTCAATCGTTGCAGCCCCACCATTCTCTTCTATGTCAACAACCCAAACACTACCAAAGTGGAACCTCTCAAAGTTCACGCGGGAAATTAGCACTACTTCGATAAAGATGTCTCAATCAAACAGGGCTTTCCACCTGAGCTCGGTGTTCAATGTCAAAGGCAGAGTTAGTGGCGACTTCTGACATCTATGAGGTGCTTCATTTATCTTATTCATAGGTTGCCCTTACAACTGGTGGAGGTAGTGGCATTGGATTGATGGCCACACAAGCTTTGTAAGTCTCCTGATTTAGATTCTACACGTGCAGAAATTAATTTGTCTCGTCCACGAAGGGCTGTCAATGGAGCGAAAGTTTACATCGTTGGCCGCACCGAGGAAAAGCTGGAGAATGTCGTTAAGAGCCACGGCCAAGGCATCGAAGGAGAAATCATTCCCATCACAGCAGACGTCACCTCCAAACCTGAGATCGCCAAGCTAGTCAAGGAAATCCAGTCCCGTGAGGAGCACCTTGATATCCTGATAAATAATGCTGGCATTGCAGGCAACACCCAACAAACGGAAGCCAAGACCGCCGAGGAGATGAAGAAGAACTTATTCGATGATGAGAGCTCTACATTTGAGGACTGGGTCAACACATACCGTACCAACGTCCCTCAACTCTTCTTCATGACCGTTGCGTTCCTTCCTCTCCTGCAAAACGCTACAGAGGCTCAACACGGCTACAGCAGTACCGTGATCAATATCTCTTCCATCTCAGGTATCGTGCAATCCTCTCAACACCACTTCAGCTACAATGCCAGCAAGGCAGCAGCTATTCACCTTACCAAGCTTTTGGCATCAGAGATCGCAGAGAACGGACTGAAGACCAGGGTCAATAGCATTGCGCCTGGTGTCTTTCCAAGCGAAATGACCGCTGGAGAGAGTGGTCCTGATCAAAAGAGTCACATTGAGAAGGAGAAATACGAAAAAGTGCCTGCTCATAGACCAGGTAAAGATGAAGATATGGCAGGGGCTGTGCTGTTTGTTGCCACGAACCAGTATCTGAATGGCCAGACTGTTGCGGTCGATGGTGGATATATATTGCATGCTGGAGCTTGAGTGGATTCATGGGAATGGTTAGCAAGAGACGGGAATATCAAAAAGGAATGCCCCAAAAGCGTTGTATCATAGATGCAAAACGATCCCCAATATTTGTAGTGAGAGCGCTGACAATGCAGACAACGAACTTGATCAATCTTGGACCTTAGAATTCACGTAACAATATTTTGAACATATATCTGTGGTATCTCATTATATTCAGCTCTCCACTTGTCCTTATTTTTCAGAGGACAAGTGCAGCCGTACCTGTCTTTATACAAGCCCGTCTTCGCTTTTCCAAAATAGCCATTAAAGACATAACAGCCATCAACTCAAACTCCCTCCCCAACCCATCACCCTCCCTCATGAACATCCTCATCTTCCCCCTCTTCTTCAACGCATAACTCACGTTAGCATAGACCGCTACAACCCTCCCATTCCTCAACCTCACCAACTTCATCCCAGATGAATGACTCAGCTCTCTTACCTCCCTTCCTCCGCTACTTTTCCACTCAAATCGCTCTCTCATACCACAAAGCGGGAGATACAACGAAAAGAAATGTGTGTTATTCCGGAACCCTTCGCTCTCAACCTTCTCTGTAGGAGCAGCTCCAAACTCAAGCGAGCCGAGCGTGACATGCGGCGTTTCGGACGGCCCAGTAAATGAGCCGATGCGATGGCGAGGAACTTTTTATGATTGGGGCGGGGGCTGGCGTAGAGTGTTATGTCTGGCTTTTTCGTATTATGGTTGCTGCTTAGGAGGCTTGAGTCGGAGGTGAATGTGATGTAGTAAAGGTAGGGAGATTTGGAGGATAGGGATATGACGAGGTCTGACAGGCTGGGAGTGTAGAATCCGAATTCAGGTGGGAATATTCTGCTGTGCGGGGATAATCGAATCGATGTGCTGGAGGACGTGCTTGAAGAAGAACAAGATGTTTGCCTAATCGATGTGAATGTCACATTTTGCACTTTCGTGGGGACTGCCTTCTCGATGTATGATGGCGGGGATGGGTTTGAATAGTCCATGGTGTACATTCTTGGGAAATATGCTATATGATGTGAAAAATCCATCAGGAAGCAATGATCTGGAGGCAATAAGCATACTTATTTGTTGCACCGAAGTAAATAGTTGAGATCTGGACCCCGGATTCTTGATCAAATCTCAGTACCTTTGGAGCAACAACATGTCGCTAAGCCCAAGCCAGCTGACCCTGTTACTGCCGAATAACCGCAGAACATATTCGTCTTCTACAACCATACTCGATCAAAACTAGCAGAATCCTAGGTCCCAAAGCCTAAAGTCATGCGGAAGACTAGAAGCACGCTAGAATTACTCCTGCCCAATTGCGTGGCGCTAAGGCGGATAGTCTTGCCGCAGTCAGCCCTACAAGGCTCCCAAGTGGATCGTGAACTATGAGATCATGAGTATGAAGCCCGTATTAGGCAGCACTCAGTAGGGAGAATAGACAGCTCCAAGTATTCCTGACACTGTCTTGGCCTTTCTCTCAAGTTTGGTGCTGCAAAATTCGCGAACAGACGACGAGAAGAAACGGAGGATGATGCAAATTTGACATCGTTGTCAAATGCATTATTAGCTATTCGTAAAGACTGGCTACTGCGAGTCGGTTGTGAGGTCCGAGAGAAGGCTGATACTCGACTTTGCCTAGACTCAATTATACCTAGCAGATAGATTTATCCCATCCATCGCCATTTCATTATTTCCCATTCCCAAGAGCCCCTGTTGTAGCCTTCTCCTTCTAAGCGCGACTCCCATGTGAGCTTGCTTCCCTTGTTGTAACCATCTAAACCAGAACCCCCTTATCCGCAACCTTCTCCGTGCTCTCCCCTGATGACTCGTATCTGCGTCCAAATCTCGACATTTCGATTCCTAATGTCGCTACAGACGCCATCCATACGGTGCAGCTAACGGCTCCGAAAACCGCATCGACTTTGGCAGCTGTGCATATGCTTCCTTGGCAGTACATGAGCTGGCCGAGGAAAACCGAAAGAGCGATGAAGCCGCCTAGGTAGAGTCCTCCGACCAGACACTGGACAAATAATTGAACGTATTGATTTGATACTGCTATACATTAGCCTTGCGAGATCTTTGTTGTTTGGTGACGGACGGTCTGACTTACCTTTTGGTGCGAATCGAGGCGCAAGCTCTAGGAAGAGCAATGATAGAAGTGAGAAGGAAGAAACGAAGATAAGAAAATTGATTTGTGTAGCAGAATGGTATCCTGTTTGGTTTTGTATGAATGCGACTGAGAATTGGTTAGTATTTTCAGAGCATCTCCGAGTAATCCACGTACCATAGCTTGAAAGTGCAAGCACTACGATAGAAAAGACTGCCTGCAGAATGCGCAGCGGTATGTTGTATTTTGGAGTCATTGTCAAGTGTGATGAAAGAGAGCCTGCTCTCGAGAAAGAATCGAATGGTATCAACCAAGAAAAAGAGAAATGGAGAGGGGTATAAGTGTCGAGAAAAGATGAAAACGCAATTGAGAAACCAAACAAGAAGAAGGGAACAAGAATACAAATACAAAAACTTTTCGTCCTGCCAAACCAGCTAGCACAGAACATGAGACGATCGATCCTCCAGTTGCTGCGGAGACTACTGACGAAGACCCGTCGGATTATCTGTTGTGTAAGATGTTTCGAACTGGGCAGGGTGCAGGCTTCAATGGACGACGCCCGGGCCTTTTGTTTCCACTGGAAGGTCTCCTTTAGTGGCCCCGGAGTGAGAATGCTGCTGGGGTGGAGAATTTTATGCATGAGTTTGTCTGGCGCAGTAGCGGGAAGGCTTGATTTTGAGTTTTCGGGGACTTGGAACTGGCGGTACATAAGCGTCTGAGCTTAGGGGGACGAGATTGCCTTTTTGTTGATGCGATCATATCTGTTCATCTGATTGAACATGGTTTGTTTTGATTGGAATATTCCCAGACCTTAAGACAAGGCAATAAGCAGAGACCTGAAGCCTGACAGTGGGGATTTTTTCCTCTGCAAAATCTCAATTGCAGAGGAGTTTAAAGGATTTTACGAGTGGTTCCATTACGATGCGGTGTAAGGCCAGAATTCAGCAATGGTGAAGAAGGACAGCTGGTTTGAGAAATCTAGCTATTCGGGATCATACGTATGGGATCCCTCTTGAGACACCGGTGCTTTTAGAGATAATTGGACACGGCGATGGTGGGCTGATTAGCGAAAAATACTCTGCTGAAGGTCGGCTTCTTCGATCTCAATAAGTAGACCTCCCTTTAAATTATGAAGGATTAGAATATTTATCATAGTGTGAGCTCTCACTTTAGATGTGTAGTCAATGGCCTATTCAATGCGGTCAGGTGCAAGAATACCCTGCCTTGTACTACCTAGGTAGGTAGATCGGTCATAAGAGTAGTATCACGTGACACCACTTAGTGACCTGCTCGGTGTCTCGCCATTATTCTCAAGCAGACAACTAGCTGCCGTACCGTCACATTGGCACCGTTTCCTGTCGCACAGTCCGATGATTTGGAGTTCTTTGTGTGAAGTCAGCCTTCCAACCCATCTCCCATCTACCTATTCCCAATATGTTCATGCAATCCCGCGCTTATCTCTCATTCGCTTATTTGTCAACAGCCCCCTATCAAGAGTGGGAAGTGGATCCGAGATAGTGTTCAGGTGCGCGCCAGCTCATCGCCGCTCATCGGCCCCAAGTCCTCAAAATGAAGATTTCCCATAGTACTGAGGAACGAGTGGTCTATCAATAAATCTCATCTCGAAATACTGGTGGTCTTAGATCAGAGTTGATCCTCACGTGATAGCCGATGGCTCCAGCTCGTCTGCATCTAGCTGTCCTGGACTGCGATACTCCGGTGCCAAATGTCCTCCCAAAACGTGGTCTATATAGTAATATTTTCGGAAATCTATTACGAGATGCTGCTCTCAAGACGCGTAACCTTACGAACCTGAAGCTTGTCTTTAGTAGCTATGATTCAGTGCTAGGAGAACTTCCTAGGTCCAAGGAGCTGCATCATATAGATGGAATAATAATTACTGGATCAGGTGCGTTTCCTGGGTCGCCTGGGAGGATATGCTATCCAAAGGTTCTTGGTTCTAAAACAAAATTTCTCAACTAAAACCAAATACAGCTGCGGCAGCCTATGATGCAGAGCCATGGATTAAGTCGCTTACGGAATTTGTCAAGAGTGAATACATTGTTCACTCCAAGGGCTAAGCAAAAGCACTGACTTGGAGCCAGATATATATACTTCTCATCCTCATATCAAACTCTTCGGGTCCTGCTTCGGCCACCAACTAATTTGCAACGCTCTCTTCTCCACACCCCTCGACCCAGTCGTCTCGCGAGATCCAAAAGGTTACGAACTCGGCGTTCATCCCATAACACTCACCAGCTCCTTCCTGACACGTTTTGGTCCCGTAACATCGAATAATTCCAGCCCAAAGGAACTCCGCCTGCAATTCGTGCATGCTGATCATGTTGTCGTACAATCTCTACCTGAAGGCTTTCACTCTGTCGGAAGGTCGAAGCACTGTGCGTTGCAAGGGATTTGGAAGAAAGGACGGGTGTTGACGTATCAAGGGCATGCGGAATTTGATCGGTTCATAAATGGGGAGACTATCAAGGCGTTCAGGCAGCCGGAGTGGAGTGATCAGTATCTTGCGGATGCCTTGAAGGCTGTTGATTCTGATGATGATGCCATTTGGGCGGCTGGGGTAATGTTGAGATTCTTCCTGGAGAGGATGGAGTCCAGGAGAACTGGATCGAAAGTTAGCCATTAGATCATGGTATTTGAACAAATCCTACACGGGACTTTGAATTTGCATATTTGACGGACCTATCATGAAATATTGCAGAATATCGGTGCAATCACTACTTGATTACCTAGGTAGGCGAGGTTCGACACAGAAGTGTTAAGCGAGGACAGACAAAGATGAGGAACAAGCCTGAGGTATTGAGAAGCATCAAGCCTGTTGCTCTTAGACCCATTCAGCTTGGACTTGAACGATCTTAAGACTTGTTAATCTATTCCGTCTATCGTCCGAGTTCTTCACAAAAATCTGACTCGAAGCACGAGTTTTGGTTCTTGAGAAATTTCATCACAAGTCACTTGACCATCTACCCCTTAGCAACACCGAATTGACGCAGCAATTCCATTGGTCCCCGGTCTATCCAATTTTGTATATCTTCAAGCTTGTTCACCCAAGCCAGGCCGGCCATGGATGCTGCATTTGCTGCTAGATTTCCATGTCGCGCACAAGATCTCGGGATCACTAACATCCACTCTTTCACCAAAATGACATTGTGAGCATTGTTGACTCTCGAACGAATCTTCAGCTTTTCGTACACACTCACAAGCTCTGAAACACTCGGACTGGATGACAATAGCTTCACTGCGTGTCGAAATGGCAGACCTCGAACTTCGCTCTTTTCTGACTCGAGTTAGCTCAATAAGGTACCCAATATGTCCAGTGCTAGACACGTGATATATACCATTATCAATTCCCAAGGCATCAGGGAACATCTCGAACTCCTTCCTTTCCGGTCTAGGCAAAATTTGCAAATGTTTGTGTCCAATCGAGCTTCCAGCCTCAACGCCGCAGTTGTAAATCACCATATTCCTGCTCTCCAATCGGCTCACGACGTTCCAAGCAGCATCGAAGTCAACGGCGTTCAGATGATCAGATTGAGGGGTGAAGGCTGTAGTGTGAAGGACATACTGCGGCCGTACGATGGAGTATTTATTGAGGATGAGTTTGTGAGATGGACCGATAAAATCGATTACGAAGTCGGGATCTGTGTCTGAGAAGACGTTTTGATCAGATGTGCGGCCTGGGTCGTCGGCTTTTTGAATGGGTTTCTTTGTGTAGCTGGGAGTGCTGCGGAATTGGAACTGTTTACATGGTCATTTCTCTGGACTTCTGAAGCATTTTGATGTTTAAGGTGCGGACCTTGAACGGGCCTGTCTGGACTAGAAGTGGGGTGTTGGCTTGCCAGAGCAGTTCCCCTCGTTGGACAAGTGCATCAAACTGCCGCAAGGCTCGCGTTTCTAGAGTCTCTGCGTTCATCATGCGATTGAGAAGTGTTTTGTTTACCTAACTCTTGCTTGCTTCGTAAGTAAACTCTTGCTAGCTTGGTGGGTGGGAATTCAAGGTGGCGAAGTGAAGTCGCAGCTTTGTCAGCAGGTCCACTTTACTGGTATCGGTGTCAATATGAACTCCAGCAAGAACATCCATATTGAAAATGAAATAGATTTAGTTCTCTGATAGCAAATCTTTCACCAGAGTTGCTGATCGTTCTTCCTTCTCAAGTCTCAATTACCTCGTGCCAAGCCCACCTCACCTAGTGTGCCTTGGCGCTGCCAACAAGGACTTTGGCACACTTCAATTTTTCAGTTTCTTCATCATGGTAATCAACAAATCAAACTGACCATGGAATATGATGCAAATGGACCGGTCCTAAATCTGCTCCTAATGCTAGGCGAACAATTGTCTCTTGCAGGTGTTGATGCAGCTTTCTTGCCATTCCCTGACGGCCTTCTCGCGTTTGAGCATGCGCTTCAGACTCTGCATAGTGCTGTTCCCTCAGCAGATACGATCTACATCTCATTGAAAGATGAGGGCCAGAAATCAAAGCTTCAGCTTCGTCTAGACAACCCAAGTCCCTTATTCCCCTCACAAGATCACTCCGACGATAACCATCACAGCCATCATCAGACACCCAAACTCGAAATTATCCCGGAGCAAGCCCGACAAGCCAGATCTGGCGACGTCCATCTCGACGCTCTCTTTGCGGTACATAAGATATGTCCAGATGCCAAATGGTTAGCACTGGGATGCGATTTTCCGTTGCTACCACCCTCAGCTCTACAGCAGCTTGTTCTCGAGTACCGAGATCCGGTCACGTGCTTTATGAAAGAGAATGGAGCTGCGGAGCCGTTTCTTGGGATCTGGGCGAGTGAGGCTTTGGGACACCTGCACACTCATGTAGAAAGCAAGCCGTGCGACGAGAATGTACTGAGAGTTGTGTTTGAAGATCTTCAAGGGAACTTGGTGAAGCCACTGAGACAAAAGTGGATCGTCACGCCGAGACGGAAAACGAATGGGACGGAGCAATGACTACTTGGAAAGAATTGCGGGGAATAAGTTGAGATTCCTTCAAGGTCTGATCCCGTCATGGATGACATAAATCGTTTCTTTTGTGCCAACCAGCGAGGACCTCCAGATCTTTCCAAGGGACGGACTACACTGAATTCTTGGGTACCTAGGTATGAGACAGCACCAAGCAGCCGCCTACGCCGGCCATAGGCGGCACTGAAGACCTCACGCCCGTCAAGAAGTGCTAAGCAACTTCAATCATCTTATGCCATCGATATCCGAGCATAAAGAGTAGCAAGTCTTAGCTCTCCTTATCTCTTACGAAATAGCACCAGCTTTGCCAAGCCAACAATGAGGAGCTGCTAGGCAGGCAAGACTACGGGTAAAACACAGTTTTCTGAAAACCAGTACCCTTATCTGTTAAATTTTGTCTTTGTAGTCTTGGAAGATCATTGGCTGGACTTGGTACACTCAGCCAAGCAGTTGATATATGTGTCGAGTCTATTTGCCAAGTCGCTTGGTCGCTTGACCGGAAGTTGTCTTGGAATCTCACAGCATATCATCAGACAACAGTACCACTGGTCTATACGCATCGTCCCTTGCCAATGACAAGTGCTAATTTGGTGTTTCTACCCAGTGTTACTGTTAGGCTGATCCAACTGCTCAATAATGCTTCAATGGCAAAGCTACAAGCTACTTTGGGAGTACCTCGCGCAGGAAAGTCCACATCCAGCAATGAAGTACGCGAACCACCCAGCGAAATATCTATCAATCGCGGTCTTATGAAATTCGTTGCATTCATGTTGCACTTGGTCATGAACGGCACGCCTGCGAAAATATTGGTCGCTCCGAATTGTTTTCTCCACATTGGTCCGTCTCAGAAGGCACAGCATCTCGAAACTGCCCCGGCAGCCTGCCTACCAGTCTGGCGATATCGAATATGTGCATTCTTTCCGTTTGGCGAAGCAATTGGCACTTGGTATGACCCATTGTTTACTATCAGGGTCCTGAACATACTTCATAAAGAGTTCACATTTCGTGGGGTCCAAGGCTAGGCAATGACGAAGTGCGCCATGGCGAGGTTTGGCACCCGAGGCCAATAACACTTGGCAGCCGTATAGCCGTCCACATAGGTCGAGATACAGATGCTGAGAGTTCTGTGTCTGATTATTCTTCTTGCTCGTCCTATTCAATCTTTCGCCAATTCTCAAGCAGCTGGGGCACAACTCGGCGGCGTCTTGTGACCTTCCTTGTTGAGATGCGAAAGATAACAAACAATGCTGCCAACTCTTTAGATTGCTTGTTCCTTTTCGACTGCCCTTTCTAGCTGCCAAAAATCTCCCAACCTACGTTCAGTGGCGGGGTTATCAGGCATATATACTTGTTCCCAAACCCTCGGGGTTTTTAGGTGCTCTCATGCCTTGAAACGTATCTTCCATATCCCTTTGTCCTATCCAGTGTGGCTTTTCACCTATCAAAAAGGTCGTCAGACATCACCGAGACTTTAAGCATTAGCCATGGAGAAGTCTGGGGATGATGGCTTTCAGGAGACTCGCTCCCAAACTCCACCATCTCAAACTGCTCAGCCTGCTCCTGTGGAAGAGCCTCGTAAGAGACCATGGTGGGCTTCGATCAAAGAACCAGGGTCTGCTCTCCAGATCGTCATTGCAGCTCTTCTGGCTATCGCCATCGGTCTGACAGTCACGAGTACGGTTGATGAAGTTCCTGATGCTGCTCGTGCTATCATTGGCATACCTGGAGTTCTCTGGCTTCGCTCTCTCAGGGCCGTCGGTATGTAGCACCTTTCAATACCCGCCCTACTCGCTAGCTAACAAGCTTTAGTGCTACCTCTGATCATTACTGCTATGATCCTGGCTGTACAAAGACTGAAGGAGATGACCAAGGGTGGCCCGGTCTTAGCTAAATGGACCATTATCTACTTCCTTGCCACCACCTTTGTTGCTATCTTCCACAGCGCGCTCTTGACCGGACTTGTATGGTCTAAGTTGATGACAGTTGCCGATGAGGACAGCTTGTCTGTAGACGGTCTTTCGTCCCAGAGTGAGACGATTGCAGAGACGGGCGAGAAGGCTGCGGTCCACGAGGTCGTCGTTCAAATGTTTGAATCGTTCATTCCGCAAAATGTCGTCTATGCTTTGGCCAACGATTCCCTACTCGCTATCGTCATCACCTCTATTATCGTCGGCTACCTCCTCAAACCCGGTTCATCGATCCTTCGCGCTGTCCAAGAAGTCGAGAACCTTATCGTCATCGTCATCACATTCCTGATCAAGCTGGCACCAATCGGAGTTTTCTTTCTTATTCTCCCTAATCTGTTCAGACTCAACATATCGGATATTGGTTTTAATCTGGCTATTTTGATAGCAGGTGCACTAGCTATGATGGCTCTTCATACATTCATAATCCTCCCGAGCATCTATCTCTTCGTGGTCCGGAAGAACCCCTGGTCATACTGGTTTAAAAACTCAAGAGCGTGGATCACAGCTTGGGGCACTGCAAGCTCCGCCGCAACTCTTCCAGTGACTATCAAATGTTGTCAAGATCGCGGAATTCCAAATACTGTCACCAAGTTCCTGGTTCCTCTTGGTTGCCTTATCAATATGGATGGGTAAGTCTACAAACTTGCAGTTTCAATTTTCAAGCTCAACATGAATGAATACTAACGATCTGTGACCAGTACTGCAATCTATTTCCCCATTTGTGTTGTCTTCTTAGCCGCTACCCAAGGGCACGTATTATCTGCCGTCGATTACATCATTATTTGTCTCCTCTCTACGCTGGCATCCATCGGAACGGCGCCAATTCCGTCGTCTTCGCTCGTCCTCACTGTCATGATTGCGAACAGTATCAATGTGCCCATGAGTGGAATGTTTGCCGTAGTTGTCGCTATCGACTGGTTTCTCGACAGATTCCGTACTGCGTTGAATGTTAGCGGGGATATGTTCGCAGCTGCAGTTGTCACCAAGATCACTGGTATGAAGGATGATGTGGACGACGACACTGAAAGTGAGCAGTACTACGAGCAAAACAATGAGCCAATGTCTCGGGGTCCCAATCATGTGTAATAGGCCTGTCATTTTGTAAGCTCAAGAGTCGTGGTGGATAGAACACATTTCCGTTGGATCTTGAGGGATGGTTATATTATATCGCAATGAAGCATCTTTAACTTCACTGTCTTGGTCATTGATCACCCGTGATGCTAAAAAAAACTCGGTCAGTATTAGATGAATATTCGCGTCGATGCCTGTTCATGTTGCCCTGTCTTGCCTCCGAACAATATAGACTATGGTCTTCGGAATGAGCATCATGTATCAATCTTCATCTAGTGAAATCAAATTCGATGCTACTACATTGACATTCTCCACCAATCTTCATGTGAAATTCCGAGTCTTGTGCAACAGAAGAAGCTGCTGCACGACCACGACCTCTGCTGTGCCCGGATATTTCCATCCGATGGCTCGCTGCAACCAGCTGTCAAGGTTGCTTTGACTTTGTACATATACCTGAAACTGACAGCTGCATCTATCGGATTTAAGATAACATAATTTGGATCTTCGCATCTCATGTGGTAGGAGGCAAATTAGAGTGAGCAACTTCTGAGCTATCAAAATACAATGACTGTTATGTAGAGCCCCAATTTCCCCCAGTTTTTAAGAAGTATGTTCCTGTCAAGACTGAATTAGAGTCACAAAACAGACATAACATACCAATGGATATTAAACTATCTAGGCTTCCTTTCTGGAACTCATGCTTAGAAAAAGACTACTCAGTTCCAGCCATTAGCAGCGAGTGCTTGTCACAAACGCGCTTCATCTCAAGCCTGATATGCCCAGTACTACTATTCCACCCCGCAGTGTAACAATTGCAATGCCGTTAGAAAGACATCTGTCCTAGGGCAAGTGCGTGGAGGGTACTCACATACATGTTCCTGCATGACCACTAACTAATCTAGTAATCTCCCCCTATTCGCCTCTGCTGGTGAAGTGATGATTTCTTTGAAACATGTTCTCGGCTACTCCGAGTACGGTACGGCACATTCACATCCATATTCACATTTAATCCAAATCACGGGCGGAATGACTGTGCGACATCGTGTAGGTAGAGATGAGGGACATTCACTTGATTGATGAGGCCTCGAGGATATATAAAGGACGCCTGTAATTCGATTTTGGAGAAGATTTTCCTGGTCTCTGTGTCCGCACCACATCAACAAACTCTTCCTGCTCACATCCAAATACCACAAGTTGTCCTTTGCACCCGAAACCCCTCAAAAGACGCGAAAGGTAGACAACAATCAGACCGAAAATCTCCAAGCACTATCACAAATATGAAGTTCGAGGTAAGCTCGTCACCGTCACGCATCCTCTCTTCTCCCTTTACCCACGCTCCAAAACCCAGGATCTCACTCAATAACTAACGCCGCTAGCTCCTCACTCTTGTCCTCACCCTCCTCTTCACCCTTACGCTTAGCCTTCCCACCGCTGTCCCCACCACAGAAGACACCTCCGTTTCCCCCGCAACCGACATCAATTCCGAAGCCCAAACAACACTCGTCTGCCACTCTGGTCTCCCCGCCTCAGTCTGCGCATCCGTCTATGGTGCTTCGTGCTCGGACAATGGTGGGTTCTACAGTCATCCAGCGCCGGATGGGAAGAGTTGTACTAGTCGACAGTGCTTCTGTAGGCGCTAGATTTGGGGATGGGTTTGGGATTGGGGAGGTGAGAGGTGGTGGGCTGTGAATGGCGGAGAGGATTGAGATGCGATGATGGGGGCTGAGCCTCTTCCAAAGTACCTGACGGAATGGTTGGTGGCAAATATTTAATACTCTTCTGGAGGCTATTTTGGGTTTGATTCTCAGGTCTATGGGATAGGTGGCGTGGTGATATGGTTTTGCATTGGAGTTGAATGGGACTTCTGCTGGTCAGTGGTTGAGGGCGGGAATCAGATCTTGACGTGCTCAGTAATGGACTTTCAATGCATTAAAATACCACCTTATTGCTTTAATGTTGCTTCTGAAAGTGCATTAACTCTTGTCATTGTGCAAAAGTCTTGGAGTGTTGAAAGGACAACGCTTCTTGACTGTCCAGCGTAGCAGGAATCGTTTCGATGAGATGAAAAGCAATACGAGTAGGTTTCGCTTGCTGAGTATACTTTTGGAAGAATTCATTCATTCTACTTGGTGTATGTTGAGATATTCATGTACCAAAGCCTTGGTTGGAGATAATGGTTAGCAGACGGTCAGTTCATGAAGTTGAGCAAACATACATCTGCAGCCGTTACCCTGTTTCCACTTTCAAAGCACACCAATTTCTTCACTAGATCCCTTGCACTCTCACTAATATCCGGTAGCAACTCTTCCCATGACTTGCCCGGAAACTCTTGGTACCATTTAAAAGGTGGCGTTGAGAAGTTCTTCGCCTCGGGCCAGACCTCCTCCGTTGGCGTCCCAATGATCTTGAAAATACTGAGAATCAGCCCTAGCTGGTTTCCGTCTTCCGAAGTCTCTCTTGACTCAAAGAGACTTGTCGGGGGCTTGCGTAGACATTCTACCAACATCGTTCCTGCAGCCCACATGTCGAGACTGGTATCGTAGGCTCGGTTTCCGAAGAGTGTTTCGGGGGCACGGTAGCAGGTCGTACCTACTTCAAGGACTTTGTGATGAGGCGGCTCATCGGTGGCAGAGAACATCGGATGCCATGTTGTGCCAAAGTCTGATAAGTAGGCTGGTCCTGTTTTTGATGCTAGGAGGAGGTTGGATGGTTTGATATCTCTGTGGATGATGCCGTTTGCGTGGAGGTAAACTAATGCCGAGAAAAGGTCACGAAAACAGTTCTTAGTGACTTCCTCTGGGACTGCACCAGAGCCGATGACTTTAGCGAGAGTGAGAGGGATGAAGGGGAAGACAAGGACAAGTCGACCTTCTTCGTCCTTGAATGTTTCGTTGAGGGTGATGATACGCGGGTGGGACAGAGAGCTCAGGATCTTGACTTCTCGTACTGAATTGTGTGGCTCGACATTGTGGGTTTCGGTGATGACTTTGAGTGCTACAGTTTTGGAATGATATACTTCTGCCACTAGGCCTGAGGCTATATGGTGGCAGTTTTGGTATTTGCCTATTTGGATGCCGGGGCTTGTTGGCTCTGGCTCTGGATGTGAGAGATCTGTTGGAGACTCGTTGATGACAGCATTACAGGCTTCATCGTATGATTCCTATTACTGTCAGACAGCTATTCATAGTTCGACCTGTAAACATGGTGTGGGGGTAGACAGAAAAGGTAATTTTTCATGCACTAATAGCTATGACTGAGAACACTGTAGAACGCAGAAAGAGAATGAAGCAGCTGCATAAGCAAACGACAAGATGAAGTGCTGTCGTCGGTTACTAGCGAAGCTTGGTGGGAAGAAGGAAGCAAACAATCGCTTCTCGATCACAAAAGACCCTCACGTGATTTGATGCTTTTCCAACTTACTCTAGATTGAGAAGTGTTATAGGCTTCTGTTTCTATCGTGAACGCAGATTTGTGTGCTGTACCCGTAGAGCTCAGTCCTTTCGCCTTGATGCTCTTCGTCCTAGAGACCGTTAGCTTGAAACAACGGAGTGGTGCGACTAGTGGCTAGCCATAATTACAGTTTCTCTATATTCTCATAACGATCTGCAGCTGCTAGAGTCGACCTCCAATTGGGCTTTGACTCCATATTTGCTATGTGAAGAGCATTCCGAAGAAGCCGGAGAGAGTGGTAAGCTGATGCTCAAGAGCTTAATTCAGGCGTTGTTTACTATCGTTAACGACGGTTGACCAGGAAGCGTGGAAAACAAGGAACCGAGGCAGCGAGGTTAGATGCAGAGAGCCTTGACACGAACCAAAGGATGGTGAGATGAAAATCAATAGGAAGCCGAAGTTTATACGTTTAAATCAAACACATAGAATCTCTGGACGTTGCATGCGAGGGGGACTTTTAGTTGTGGCATTTTATGCATGATTTCCAGCGGTGCAGGGATGGATGGGCTTGCATCACCGGAATCCGCTCCACAGAGCCGCGACTTCGCCCATGCGACCTTGACCTGACTCGAAATGAGGTGTGGTGTGGAAGCTCGGCGCCGACAACAACTTTGTTCTACAACGCTCCACGTCGCTGGCGCATCACACAGCCTGTATATTATTTATTATTATGCGCAATTGTCGCAGACCTCTCTGAGCGTCCGCCAATACAGTCACAATGGACGACGCTCTGTCTCGGTCGGAGTATCCAGCGGCCCTGGTAAGCGTCATTCAGTTGTCCAGCTTGTAACTTTGCGCCCTGGCTAATTGATGCTCAGGGGCGCCTCTCTCCAGGAACTGCGAATGCCAGGCTTGCAGAGCGAGTGAAGAAGATTGGGAAGATCAATACAGAGATTGCAGGATGGCTACAGGTATATATTGCTGAGGTGGGGCTTTGATGGGCTGCTTGTTCACATATTTCCAGGAACGCCGGAAGGTTGAGGAAGCATATGTCGCAGGTCTGAAGAAGCTTTCAGTTCGTCCATTGGCAGAATTGGAGAGGGACTTAGGGTATGTTTAAGTGATTATAGTCCTGGACGGCTGCTGACAGTTGCTGAAGGATATTTGATGCCCCATGGAAGAAGATTGTTGAATCAGCATCAGAAATGGCAAAGTCACATACCCTATTGGCCGACCGGATAGAAAAAGATGTCGAACAGCCTCTGCGAAACTTTGCTGCAAATAATAGGGAGATGTCAGCAATGACAACTATACAAGGGAATCTAGCTGCTATGGCCAAGGATCTGGAAGACGCCCAGGACAAATCCGACAGACTGAGCAAGAAAGGAGGGAAAGCCAGCGCCCAAAAGGTTGATGTGGCTCAAACGAGACTGCAAACAGCAACATCGTCCTGGGATGCCCAAGCGCCATTCATATTCGAAACTCTCCAGACATTAGATGAAAGACGTCTAAACCACCTTCGAGACGTTCTCACACAGTACCAGACTCTCGAAATGGACAATGTTAACAGAAGTCAGAAAGTCGTGGAAAATACTCTGGGACTTTTACTAGAGGTTGAGACGGCACAAGAGATACAGAACTGGTCGCAGGCTGCGGGAATGGGTGGAAAGCCCGCCACTGAGAGGAGGGCAACGACAAGACAGTCTTCAATTGCTGGTAGCACCAGTGCTGGGACCTCCCCTATGCCTGCTCCGCCGAGACCCGCATCTACGCATGCAGACAATCAGAGTGAACATTCTGAAAAGCGAGAGCAAGGTATGGTCAACAGACTTTCCTCTAGTCGCTTCTTTTTTGGAGCTTATTTTAGCTCCTATTGAAACTCTGTATATACTGACCTCATTATAGAGTCAAAATTGAAAAGCCGTTTCGGTACCATGCTTGGACGACGCCGACAAAGTATACATGGTGGGTTCGGGCGTGCTCCTTCACCCAACAAGTCAGGATTTATACCATTTGGTGGAAGAAATACAGCTAGTCGAGATGGTCGCCCGAGCCCATCCCCACGAGCCTCATCAAATAATCTTCGAGAATCACCAGCACCTGATAATAGGCTTTCGTCGCTAGCTGAGTCACCGCCTGCACGTAGCCCTACCTCTCAAACCAATGGACATGCCAACAATGACCCTGACGCGATAAATTTCATTGCATCTAGTTTTGACGGCCCGTCACCCTCACATGCACTAAATGGTACCACTGCGTCGAATCTCCCAGATTTGTCGGATGTTCAGCCTCCACCTGGCCCCCCGCCGTCTCACATCAAGGCTGCTTCGGAGGCACAGAAAGACGCAGAGGGATTTTCCGTGCCGGCGCCTATGAATGATCCCATTTCACAGGCACAGCAGGATGCGGCTTCAGAAGCAGACCAACCTCAGTTCAAACTCGATATCCGGAAAGATCCCATCCCAGAGCAGGATGCTGATGCCCAGGCAGCCTTGTCCAGTGTTGCCAATACATTGAGGTCGTCTACAACCCCAAGCCGTAAGGCTGGCACCGTCAGAGGTCGGCGAGATGTTCGGAACACCATTTTTGTGCCAGCAATGCCCACAACTTTGGACGTAGCAAGCCCGGAGAATCAATATCCTCCTTCACCTGGAATTGCGCCTGGTAGAGCTGCTGCTCTTGCAGCATTGTCATCTGGCGAGCATGCCGCTGCTGCAAGCGCTTCAGACACAACTTCAATCCGCTCTGGACATTCTTTAACAAACCATGCCTTGGTTAAGCATGCGGAATCTCATGCAGCCGGTCTACATGCTTCCATCATTGAGACTGTGAGTGTAACTTTTGAAGGCGGTGTAGTCAAGACTACCAAAATAAACGGAGAGATTGCTCTAGTTCACAACAAAGAGTCTGATGACTCAACCTTCTCCAGTAAGCTGCTAGTCAGTCCGCTATACGTGAAAATGCTCATGAAATATAGGTACCAATGAGACAATACGGATAAACAACTTTCCAAATATGGAAGCGATTGGCCCTAATCGGACATTCATCCATCCAGTCTCAGAACAAAAGCCTGACGAATTCAAAATCGATTTGTCTCCGCTTTCATCAAAGGCTTCTGTGGCATTCACATATCGCGTTCATGTTGATGAAACAACGATGGCCACTCAAGGCCCCCTTCTCTTGAAACAAACCTGGAAGCAACAAGGAGATAAGCTAGGGCTTGTTATAGAGTACAGCGTTAATCCAGCCTTCAGCTCAGATCCTGTAACATTCCTTAACCTTGTTCTCGTTGGTATCTACCAAGGTGCCCGAGCTACAGCATGTCAAACCAAACCAACTGGGACACACCTGAAGGAGAAATCACTCGTTTACTGGCGCATGGGCGATGTCACTCTGGCACACGGCTGGCATAAAATCATCTGCAGGGTGACAGGCACAGAAGGTGCCATGCCAGAACCTGGACATGTAGAAGCTCGCTGGGAAATCAACAACCCGTCAAATTCACCAATCGGCAGCGGTATCAGCATTTCTAAGTTCGAGGAAGCAAAGGGCAAAGCCAAAGAGGAGAATGATGATCCTTTTGCTGACGCAACAAGCCCGGGTCTACCGCCTACGCCGTTAGGTACTTGGACAGATATCGGGATGCAGAAGAAGCTGGTTAGTGGTAAATATGAGGCGCGTTAAGGGCGTGTAATGTTATGTTGTGAGTTTTGGGTAATTCAATGTGTTGAGGCGAGACTGCATGGGAGGGAGGGAAGGTGACGACGATCGTGTAATTCATTGTACAGCACAATACATTGTATTGTTTGAAAGATATCCTTCACGTTCTTCAAGCTCGCAGCCAGCCTTTTTCCTTTTTTTTTCTCCCCTACCTTCTCTTGTTGCTCTGTCTTCTTTGCAGTAGCAATATTACGTCTCGGCACTATCACATGTGGCGAAACTAGCTTATGCCATCCAACTCCCAGCTTCTCATTCAGCCCCTACATCCACATCAGGAACCGAACAAGATGGGGGTGATTTCATGCTCTCCACGCTAGAAAGCTTGGTCTTGGAGCCAAGTAAACTGGCTTTTCTCCGAATAGTGCTTGCAGAATCTAGAAGAACGTCAATTGAAGTTTAGAGAAGAGGGTGTTGTTGTACGTCATCCATTCCCTGCTGGGCTGGTGGTTCATGCAGGTCTGCATATTTTGTATGCAGCTCTCCTCTTTTTCAAGTATTCGGGTCCTATTTGGGCTATAGAAGTAGTTCTATTGCGGAGTTTGCTCAATTGACTTCCATATGCAACGTGCAGTAACAGATAAGAAACTCCTTCTCGCGGCGAGGGCCATGGTGGGGTGAGTGTGAGGGGAAGGAAAGTGGCGTGTTGTTGTCCAGATTTTGGGTTGCGCCGCCGGATGAAGAGCCGAACGTAGTCGGGTTGTTGGCTGAGAACTTGGTTCTAGATGCTCGATTGAACGTTGAGGGATTATTTGGGAGTTTGAGATCAAGGTTTTTGGAGGTCATATTCTTGATTTGGATGGTAAGGGTGCTGGATATGCCGTTTCATCTCAAGGGAAGTTCGGGATGTCTCGATCTCTCAGCGCAGGAAGGGAGTCGAAGTGCTGCTGGACAGAGTATAGAGTGGATGACGACTGATTAATTTTCGATGATGACTGATTTGCAGCTGTGCCCTAAACGATCCCATTTGCTGCAGATAGCCCGCTCCCCGCTTCTGACATCAGGACATTGGAGTATATATCAAGGACGAAACTGCCCCATCAGTCTGATCTTCAACCTCAATCCGACAGCCATCAACACTAGCTTCAATCCATCTAAATTCAAACCGTCAAACGACTCATTTCATAATCCACCTCAACTCCAAGTAAACCGCAACCATGTTCGGCTCCAACGACAACGAGAACGACCGAAGCTCCTCCAACCAGGAAAGCAGCTATGGAAATTCTGACTCCAATAGCTCTAGTGGCTATGGTGGAAATGATTCCTCAATTTCAAATGAAAATAGCTATGGCTCTTCCGACTCAACTTCGACCAGTGGAGGATATGGAGCAAGCAACAGTAACAACGACAACGATAAAAGTGGAGGGTCATACGGCTCGTCAGATTCCAGTTCGAACTCGAACTCCAACCCGGGTGAAGGGAGATATGGGGGTGGCAATGATGATAATGAGACCTCATCGAAGTCGAACTCGGGTAGTGGTGGATATGGAGGAAGCAACGACAACAATGAGAGATCAGGAGACTCAAACTCCAATTCGAATGAAGAAGGATACGGAGGCAACAGCAATGATTATGGGAGTTCCAACTCGAACTCCTCGAGTGGATTTGGGGGTTCGGGAGGTTCCTCTGGACGATTTGAGAGCAAGATTGAGCAGAAGAGCATGGAAGCAGCTGAGGGATATGCCAAGAAAGAGGGTTGGTAAATGGGGACTTCGGAGGTTTATCTTGTGGTAACTTCTGAGATGATATATCTTGATTTGTACAAGAGACAGGCTGGAGATTCTGCAGTTTGTTTCTTTCTAATTGATATATACTTTGGCTAGAGTTAATTTCTTATGAGAGTTTCCTCGCTTTTCCATTGTGACCGTGGATGTCGTGACAGAAATAAGAAAACAGGCTATGCATCGCAACCAATGTCGGCTCATTGCCACATACCACTGCGGGTCTTGATAGCTGATGGAAGGGATCAAGCTCTACCTAGGTAGTCGAGGTCAATTCACCACGTGATGGCTGCACGCCCCTCTACTAGAGGCTGATAGTATCCCAGTCCAAGCGAATACTACCTCGACCCGATCAACCGGAAATGCTAGGTATGCCTTGCATCATGTATTCTATTTTTAGACCACCCGAATGCTAACGAGAAGGACATGAGTACTTAATCAGCATTGTAGCGAGATTGGCATTCTTTCCGCCAGTCCCGAGTTGTGGTTTTCGACCTCAACGGAGTAGACAGACTTGATTTATAGGAAGCCAAATGAGGACCATTTCTTTTATTTTCATGAATAGATATGTCAAATACCGTTTCCTGCGCAGGGAAAATGAACGATAATGCGGTACATTGGCCTGGATATAACTCTTCCACACCTGACCAACAAAAAGTTCCAATCTCTCATACTAGTCGTAGACTTGGCGAGTCTCGGCTTAAAGCTTGTATTATAGCTGGATCAAACGCTGGAAAACTGAATTCTTCAAGAAAAGGAACTCTCCTGGGCGAGATCGGAGTGACGGACCGGCAGATGTCTTCCGAGGATGGAATGCCTCCGATACATTATAATAATACCTCGAGCTGCCGATGAAGCTTGGAACCGAGTACTCTCGGCCTCTCGGCCATCTTTCAGCTGGTCCTTAATATAGTGTCTAGAGTGACTCGATGCGAAAGTGGAGAGATTGTTGGACAACTCCGAATTGAAAGATTAATTGATGCCAAGAATAGAACAAATGGAGCAAAACAGCGCTGCTATCAAATGATCTGATCACAGCGTGTCGGTTCGAGCTTTGCGAGTATCGATCACTTGCGTGACCTGCTGCTGTGAAGCCTGGGTGACTCCCACTTGGGCGTTCTCGACGATGTAGTGTTTAGGCAAACCCAAGATCTGAAATAGGTGGGTTGCCTGCTGGTGATCCACACGGAGGAGTTCCTCATGCCAGGGCAGCGGCTCCCCTCGGAGCTTTGAAAGCTAGACGAGGTCTTTAAATAGAATACATGCTCTGAGATATAGATTGTAGGCTGAACATGCATTCATCCTGACCTGTCAAGCTATTTTGCCCCGCCTTGTTGGGGTGCCCCCCTGATGGTACCTGGATGTTCTGCCTGGTAGACCAGCATTGGTATCTTGACGAGTTTGCGATCGTAGCAACCGATGCCGAAAAGCTGCTTTGTTTGGCCAGGTGGTTCTAAAGCTTAGGCAAATGTTTATATAAATTGCCGGGAGATTGTCGTTGCAGAGAGTTGGCGCTTAATGTGTGCCCCTGTCGTTCCCCCTCGCTTCCCCACAAACGAGCATGACTTCACACCCACAACCTGCGCCTGCGCCAACCTTAATTGATCCCAGACGACATCCTGTGAAGCTCCACAGAAACGTATTGCCCCTTTCAGCTTGGTCCTGTACAAGCAATCAATGTGTCGGGCTTGTGGCAGACTATCGTGCCTAAACACAACTACCATGTCCTCGTAACTCTCGGCCGGGCAGGCATTGGAGCTGTACACATTTGTGACTCGCCGCTGGGTAGCCGCTGGGCCAGGTATGCTACCTGCCGATGATGCATCCAGCGAGTTGTTTGTCGGTGATCGTTTCCTCACAAAGAGTGACTGACACAAGTACGTAGTTGATTTCCGGAAGAATGTTGAGGCGACTCGGCAATCTGTTTTGATCGACGAGATCCCACCCACGCCCACTTCAGGGCGAGGTCCCCAAATCATTATCTGTGGCATGGGTGTCAATCTTCAAGCAAGCCACACACACCTTGTTTGGTGACTGGAGCGATGCACTCCGGCCGTATGAAGATGTGGGTCTGAATCACTTGACCAACCCGACAGCGAGAGCGGAATGATGGAGACCTCCCGTCGTTATCGAAGCACAGATGTCATAAGACTTATGCATGACATGAATGGGTTGAGTAAATAGAAGACTTCTCAAGAATCAGATGAAACTTGAATTCCCCGATCTAGTTCATCTCAACAAGAACTTTTGCGGATGCACAATATACAGCCTGCCGTTCTGGAAGTGAAAATCATTGGTTCGTATCGCCACACCATTTTAATAAGCTTACTCTAATTCTATACATAGCACAGTTGCAATATACTGCACTATATATTCCATATAACCCATTGTCACAAGCACCCTACGAGCCACGTTTTTCATGCGCTGAGCGCCTCAACTTCTGGGGGGTGTCGGGATTGGAATCTCAATAATGGAACTATCTCAGCTCAACAACACGCAATCGTGACCATTGGGTCTTTTCAAGCTTCGCGTATCTTTATCCGATGCATCTCAAGTCATTGACGTCTCGTATTGGACTCATCAGGCCATAGACCTGCCATTGAGGCGTTCTCCATATTGATGCGGGGCAACGAGCAGGTGTCTTTCCGTAGGAAACTCGGAGGTCGAGATCGGTCGAGGCGCCATTTCGGACGAACAATACCACAGCAACTGAATGGAAATAGCTATGGGACTCAATGTCACGACTGACACGGGCGACAACCGTCCGTGGTCCTACTACAGACACCACTAAGTTCGGACAGCATATATAAAGGGATCGTCGACCCTAAAGGATCTTCTTTCAATTCTCCATCCACAACAGTCTCTTTACAGCTTCGATCTTCAGTATTCGATTAACTCGCCACGAGACACCTTTGCCAAAATGCTTGCACTTATCTCCATCCTTGCTCTCGCCACAACGGCTTTTGCGGCTCCAGTCGCTGATGGGCCAGTCCTGGGTGTTGTTGTGGGAGCTCCTGCCGCCACTACCACCGCCATTGGTCCAAACCCAACTCAAGTATCCATCAACTCGATCTCTTATGGTGGAACTGGCTGCCCGCAAGGCACAGTAGGATCATTCATCTCAGCAGATCGTTCGACGTATGTGGAAATCCCCGGTTCCAGTACTTGGCTAACAGCATGGCAGCTTCACTCTTATCTTTGATGCAATGGTTGCTTCTATCGGAACTGGTGTTCCCGTAACCGAGAATCGGAAGAATTGCCAGCTCAACATCAACCTGCAATACCCATCCGGATTCCAGTACAGCGTTCTGAGCACCGAGTTCCGTGGTTATGCTGATCTCCAAAATGGTATCAATGGAGTTCAACAAGCAACCTACTACTTTTCCGGATGTAGGTCCCCTCCTTCGCAGCTTTTGCTGAAACCAGTTACTGACAATAGAGTAGCGTCTGCTCAAGCATCAATCTCGACGAACTTCAAGGGCCCAACTAACGGCGATTACGCGATCTCTGATCAGATCCCATTCACCTCCACCATTTGGTCGCCTTGCGGAGCTGCAATGCCTCTCAACATCAACTCTCAGGTTCGACTTACTAGCACGAAATCTGGTGCGAGTGGTCTGTTGACCCAGGATTCCATTGATGGAAAGGTCACCTATGTTGTCGGGGTGCAATGGCAGAAGTGTATGTTGAAATGTAGTCCAGAATTCCAACAAAAAAATACTAACATAAACAAAGGCACACCACCGAAGGAGTAGAGAAATCCACGACTCTGACAGCGAGAGATGAGTGCTGAAAATACTGCATGGAGATTGGATTGTCATAGGGATGAGTATGGGCGGATTGACAGCAACGGAGGGTGTTCTTTTCTGCATCATTACTCTATGCATGGATAGGCATTATATCAAACTTTTGATATACCTGATTTTAGTCGGAACTGTGAAATGGCGTGCACTGAAGATACCTTTCGTAATCCTGTTACTTCATCGAGGTTTATTGGAGGTCGAAACAGCTACAAATAATTTCGGGGTACATTTAATAAGAAATCCAACTGGTAGGAACGAATGGAACCTTGAAAAACGAAGATCGATCATACTCGAGTATTGTAATAAACATCGAGGGCAGATGGTCAGAGGTCAAACAATGTCTGGCGGTGAAGACCACAGGCTAAGCTATTTTCGGTGCGGCAATATTTGAACCAACCAGTGACCCGCTCCATCTAAGTAAACAACATCGGACCTGGAGCTGCAACTTACATTTTCGACAGTATTGCTTCAGCATTTCCGACACCTCGACGCGTCAATTGCTACTAACAACAGAATCCTTCTCGATTTATTGCTTCGCCACCTGCCTTCGAATTTCGAGATCACCAACGGCGCGCCGTGCTTCGCCGTTTTCCCCTCCAAACTTGTATCAAAACAAACCCACTGATGTTCAACATCTCCAACACGCTTCGATAAAGTAGCACTTTCAACAAACACTGGAACGCGCGGGCAACAAAATGGCAATCGGCGACGTGGCAGATCAGTACTTCACATATGACTCGCGACTTGTATCATTTCAGAATGGTCAACAGGTTGCAAAGCGGCGAGCATCTAATGCGAGTACAAAGGCTGGAAAGACTTTAAAATGGCCTCACAAATTTCTCTCGGGTGAAGAGGTTAGTAATTCACAACATTCTGTAATTTGATTCATCCTGACACGCGTTTAGCTTGCCAGAGCCGGTTTCTTTTACTATCCCCAAGCAGCCAATCCTGACAACGTCGCGTGTTTCCTCTGCCACAGGTCTCTTGATGGATGGGAAGAGGATGACGACCCTTTGGCGGAACATTTAAAGCATTCTCCGGACTGTGGATGGGCAATTGTGGCGACAATTGAGAAGCAGGATGGTGTTCTGAGTTCGGAATATCCTTCGAGCTCGGCCATGATTGCTGCTCGGAAATCTACTTTTGCTGACAAATGGCCACACGAGGGAAAGAAAGGGTGGAAGTGTAAGGTCAAGCAGGTGTGTTGTGGATATTAGATAGTCATACCAAATGCTAATAGCGAATTTAGATGGTAGATGCAGGGTGGAAGTACACCCCAACTCCAGAATACGATGATATGGCGACCTGCGCGTACTGTAACTTGGCGCTGGATGGATGGGAAAACTCGGACAAGCCAATGTAAGTCGTCTGGTTGCGACTTCTCACGATGTTAATTCTAATTTTGGCAGGGACGAACACTTCAAACGATCCCCGGAATGCCCTTTCTTTGCTCTCATAAATGAACACCTGAAAAGTCCAGCTCCAAAGAAGGCCAAAGCGAAACGAGACAGGACATCAAAAGCTTCTAGATTTTCCACACAGTCAGCGTTTACTGTTGCCTCCGAAGTACCAGAGGATCTGCCAGCAGAAGAGGAGGACAGTATTTTGACAACCGCAACAACCGCTACCACGAAGAAGATGGGAAGAGCAAAGAAAGCACCTGCTGCCAAGGGTAAGAAGACCAGAGCGAAGAAGGGCGAACCTGTGGAGGTCGTGGAAGCTCCCGAGCCGGAAGATGATGATTTTGAAGTGAAGGTGGACGTGGACTCGGCACCGAAACCTAGTCGGGCGAGAAAGCGAAAGAGTGAAGACGAGGTAGAAGTTGCTCCCACTGTTGATATTGCACCCCCGCCAGCAAAACGGAGAGCAACTCGAACTAGAGGAAGCACTGCTATCGATGACTCGATCCTCAATTACGATGACCAACCACAGGAGAAGCCGAAGCCTGCGGTCAGGAAAGGACGACCATCCCGTAAAGTCTCAACCGCATCAGTGGCGCCAACAAAAGCACCATTTCTCGACGACGATGAGATCGACAAAGCACTTGAAGCTGATCTTAATAGACCATTGACCGAGGATGAGGGAGAACCTGTGGCAATCCTTCCCCCCAAGAGAGGAAGAGCTAGCAAAATCATTAAGACCGACCATCACATGTTTGATGCTTCTCCAATCGACATTGACGAAGCTGCCATTGATGCAGAGTTGGAGGCCATGGAGGTCGAAACGAAGCCGCTACCTAAGGCAAAGGGTGCAAAAGCAAAGCAGCCTCGGAAGGTGTCTGCGAAGCAACGGTCTGCCGGGCAAAAGGCTGCTGATGCGGCGGCTGAAGCAGAACGTCAAGCCGAAGATGAAGCTACTCAGCAGATTACGGATGAGCTTGAGCATAGCATATCTGTGCAACACTCGTCGCCTGTCATCCAGCAAAAGAAGCAGCGAGCACCTGTCCGCCAGCCTTCAAAGAAGGCGCCTGGAAGAGCTACTAGAGGTTCTGTTATGTCTGTGAGCGAGCACAGCACTTCAATGGTCGATGATATTCCCAATGAGCAAATTGCTGAATCTGGAAATGACACAGACGATAGCATTGCTAGCCAGTCCACAGTCGTTCGAGGCGGGTCGAAACGACGTGGCAGCACAATGAAGAAAGGGAAGGGCGGAAAGAAGGGTCCTGGCAGAAACATAGAGGAGATCGTGCACAAAGTTCAAGAGCAGGACCTAGAAGTTGAAGAAGAGGCGCCAGTTCCGTCTGAAAAGGGTAAAAGAACACTCCACATCGAAGAGATCACCATGACGGAGGAGACGTATTATTCTACTGCTCCCGAGATGTCTGTAGCCGAGCCAGAGATTGAAAAAGAGGAACCCGCTCCTCAACCAGCCAAGCCAAAAACTACAAAAGCTCGAGGGAGGCCACGGAAAGTCTCCACGCCAGCACCAGCACCTGCAGAGACTGTGCCAGAAGAGGAGGAAATCATTGGACAGGAGGTTTCTGTCCCACCTGAGCCAACGCCTGTTAAGGCTCACTCCCCACTTCGATCTTCGACTCCGCCACCAAGGGAGTTGACGCCATCGCAAAGCCCACAGTCTTCAGATGCAGAAAATCACCCACCTTCATCAAAGCCCTCCGCGCTCGCCCAGAGGTTGGCGACTCCGACTTCTTCCAGGCCACGCGTTCCCCTCTCCGAATCCACGCCGATCATGTCTCCATCCAAGAGAAATATCATTGCAGGACTCCAAAGTAACCAGCCATGGACATCAGTCGACCTAGAGACAATTTTCCCCAAGTCTCCTAGGGCCACAGGGTCCGCTGGTGACGTCTTTGGAAATGCAGTGGACAAAGTCAAGAACGGTGAGTTGACGAGTCCTGAGAAGAGGATGACGGTTGAAGAGTGGATCAAGCACAATGCTGCTATGGCCGAAGAGAAATTGAAAAGCGAGTGTGAAAGAATGGTGAGTGTTTTTGAGAGCGAGGGAAGTCGAGCCATGCAAGCTTTAGAGGGAGTTGAATGTTTGGAATGATGGGATACAAAGGACTAGATGATGATGATTTTTAATGCTTGGGCTTGGGTATGAATACATGACATCTGGCGTCACGGGGTTGTAGACTCTACTATCATCACTCACGGTGTAGCAATTGAGTCATTCAGTTTCGTTCATTGAAATTATCGTATCTGCCAGCACGTGATGTGATATCTTTGGCCAAATAGGAAGCTATCCTCCCAACTCCTGAACGCCAAATCTCTACACGTACAATAATGTAGCAGGCACAATAAGTATATACACTCCATCTCTCATGAGCTACACGTCTACCCTCAGGGTCCCTTCCCTAAGACTCTCCTCATAAAACTCCAAGGTCAGGGCCGCCAAAAAGCAAGGAATACTACCCCTCTCCTTGACCCAGAACCGGATCTGATCTGCGATCTTCACAGCAAACGCACTCTCTGGCCCACCGCTGATCTTCATAGTGCCCTTCTCACCATCAAAGACAATGCTATTCTCATCCTCGCCTTCGCTAGGATAGAAGAAACTCGTAACGCGCATCTTGCCGTCCTTCATAAAGACCACGTCCCAGCCCAGTAGCGAAATGACCAATTGTCTGAACTCGATGGTCTTCGCACTCCAGACTTTCATGCGGCGGTCGCTGCTCTTCTTCTCTGAAGCTAGAGCTTGTTGAGCAGCGACGATTTGCTGCTCGGCTGCTTCGAGGGCTGATTCGGGCACTGACTTTAGTGTTGGTTGTTTGGTGCGGAGTTGAGTAAGGAGGTCTGCGTTCTCCTGACGGAGGGTATTGAGGGTTGAGAGTTTGATGGCTTCGAAGTCTGCGGTAGGATTGGAGCGAAGAGAGAGAACACGCGTTTTGCTTTGCTCTGTTAAGGCTTGTAGGCGTTCTTTGGTGACGGAGAGCTCTTTCTGAAGAAGTTTAATGGTGTTTTGGTGGGTGGAGAGCTCGTCTTGAAGTTTGCGGTTCTTGCGGGACAGTTGACCTAGTTGCTCGCTTTCTTCCGAATCATCGCGGCGGCGCTTCGTGCCTGTTGGTGATTTGGGTGCTGGAGGTACTTCTTTCGTAGCTAATTCAGCATTGACAGCTTCGACTTCCTGTCTGTATTTTTCGACTATGTCCTCGAGCTCTTGAATGCGTTGGACCTTGGCAGCGTCCACGCTTTCGGGTTGGAAAGTGGTGTCTTCGGTATCATAGGTCTTGAGCTGGGCTCGAAGGTATTCAGCCTCCTTGATTGCCAATGCCCGTTGTCTCTCGAGACGAAGCTGGACTTTACTGCTTGCTGGGCCGCTGACAGCAGTTGCTGGGGTTGACTTTAGCTTCTCAATCTGCTCGATCAACTTAGACTTCTCTGATTCTAGGACTTGGATAGTACTGTCCTTCGCAGCAAGTTCTGGTTCTACTCCCCCAAGTCTCTCAACCAAAGTTGCGGTCTGAAGTCGTTCTTCAACGAGAGCTCTGGCAAGTGCTTCCGGAGAATCGAATTCCAGCTGGCCGTCGCCACTTTCTTGACTTTGCAAATACGCAGTCCATGCTAAGCGTTCATCTTCAAGTCTTTGCCTCTGAATTCTGGCCTCTCCAAGGTCATTTTCTAGGCCCTCCATAGCGTCCAAACGTCGTTGTAATGTCCGCTTCTCCTCCTCGACTACTTCGACACTCTTGTGAAGTCTCTTTAAGTGCTTTAGTTCCGCAGCTTGTTCTCGATTGAGAACCTCCAGCTTTCGGATATGTGCAACTTGTTCACCAAGCTCCCTCTTGATTACACCAAGAGTTTCCGCATCGCCAGTCTGTGCTTTCAACCGCAGAACATCTGCTTCCAGAGAACCATATGCTGTCTCCTTGTCTGCCAGCTGCCGCTGCGTCTGCTGCAGCAAATTCTCCCTCCGGTCTGAATCCTGCTGAAGCTCTTCCACCGTCCGCTGCAGGGTTTCATTCCGGGTCTCGAGCTCAGCTGTTTTCCTCTCCATGCCGCGCATATTCTCCTCTCTCTCAAACCGGGATTCCTCGACTTCCTCTTCCATGATGCGCTTGCTCTCTTCAATTTCCCTAACCCGCCTTTCCAGTGCCGCCTTCTCGTTACTTGCAGAATCTCGAATCTCAGTCATCTCCTTCAGCAGCGATTCGTATTGCCGTACAGCTTTATTCCTCTCTCCCTCCGCCGCTTGCATCTTTTTGAAATCTTCCTCTCCCTTTCGCCTTGCATCTCTTAGCTCGCTCTCGTGCCTTAGCTTCGCCAGTTCCTCTTCCTGTTTGTGGTTGTCGATTGTGTATTTCAGGGTCTTGACTTCCATCTTGAGCTCGTCCATCTCTCGGCGTCTCTTCTCACGCTCTTCGTCCGTCTCAGTAGGGCCATCTGGTCTTACATTTTCGCCGGCGGAAGGTGCACGTAGGGATTGTCTGAAAGCTGCTCCGCGTGAGGGTGGACGAGATGTTGATTCTGCTCCAGTGAGAAAGTCGTAGGCAGGTTGTGTGGTCTTTGCGCGTGCTTGAGCAATCTGTAGTAGGCATCGCATCAGTATATATCATAAACTAAAGCCCAGAATAGGCTCCCGAGAAGACAGCTCAGGGGTACTTACTCTCGATGTTCCTAAAGGTATGCTGCTTCTCATGCTCGTCCTATGGCCACCGGTAACTGAGCTGCGCCGTCTAGCGGCATCTTTCAGACCTGAAGGCGTATGCGCCTTCATCATGAGAGGTTGCTGACACGCTTTACGCGCTCTGATGGTTGTCGGTATTGGAGTTGTCGCAAACAGAGAAAGAAGTTCGCGATTGATGCCGTCACTTGGCGTTGACAAACAGCCGTTTCTTTGTTTGGTTGGCGGGGTGAAATGGAGCCAGCCTGCCGGAGCTTTTTCACGCCAACATCACTTTGACGTTACAACCTCGACTGCAAGTGAATATCACACAAAGAATTTCAATGTCCATGCATATGAAGAAGAATCATATTGAAGAATAAAGTCACACTTTTTCTTGGGAATGTCTGCTCCGTTCCTACTTCTTCTGCTGCTTTCTTCGCCGCACTCCAGGTTTGGCTGCCGAACAAATCATTGCCTTATTGAGAGGACTGTCATTTGAATATCATTACTGTCATTGTCGTAATTGTCATAATGTTATGAGCGATCCTCGTAGCTATAGCCTCCCGTTGTCCGTTTGTTGTACCGCGTTCTTTGTTTGCTGAGCAAAACCTCAGTCCCATCCTCATTTGCACATTTCCATTGATTGCCAACAATGCAAGCCACCTCGCAGAGCTCTGCTAACATTCAGAAATGATGCTTACTCTCAATACTGGTCTGAGCCTCAGCTCACAACCGGACGATGAACGTCAAGAGATATTTCTTTGTATTGGCATTGCTGGATCATCAGTCTCATCATCGAGATATGACAACGAGACCAAACCATGCATGTTCTGTACAAATGTAAGAGGTGCAAGTATATTCAAAGCTGAGCAGTTGTGTACAGAAAATTCTGATGTAAAGGCGTCTTAACAGAACACGGCTTCTTCGCCAGGTCGAGTACAATATCTCGGTTCTTTCGGTCCGAGTCCAGAATGGGTGTCCCAGCTCTCATTGTTCAGATTCTGCTTCATTTCTTGTAAAATTTCGCTGTCATCTTGCTTTTCAAAAGGAGACGATGAGGTGCTAGTCGTCTCGTATTGCACATACAAAATCAGCGACATCAGATTCAGAATATCGATTCTCGCCCTCTCGGCTTCTGCACCTCTGCGGCTCAATCCAAGATATAAAATTATTCTGGAACCTTTTGCCTCTATGTTCCACCGTATATAAGCGCAACGGCGTGATTTTTCTCGAGAAACACCAACGGGACGCCATTGGCGAATTGCGCAATTGTACAGCATGATAGCGAATGCTTACTTTAAAAGCCTTGGGTACTTGGCAGGAGGGAATCATCCATATGTGCAGCGCTCTTGGCCACTTGGCCCCACCCAAGAAGGAAGGAGGAAAGCGACGACAGAACTTCTTTGCTGGGTTTCTTTGGTGTTCTTCATTGCACGATCGACGACGTTGTCGCATTGCATTTGATATACCGTTGTCGCGTTGAAGAGCACGGCTAGGCACGGAACTTGGCGAGCTAGATAGGCAGTTGGCATGGGAGGTTGGTGATGGTGATTGGTGAAGACGCTGCTATTTGCGAACTGTGTTGGGTTTCTCTTGTGTTTGAAACATCGAATAGGCAGAATGGATTGGCAGGCATGGTTATTTGGTCACTTACTTGGTGAGAAGTACTCACTGGCCAGGGAAAACCAAGGAATGCAATGGCACAGCAGAGTCCAGGATGGTCAAGGAGCGTTTATAAGGGCCCAGATCACCCTCACTGTTGAGTTCTCACGGTCGATCAACCTCGCGCAGCTCAGTCGCTTGGTATCTGGATTTACGACTCCTCGTCTGTGTAGCGCTGGGCTAGTCGTGCGGACAGTACACAGTACGGTACAACATGTCGTCTTATTGGCAGAAGTTCAGGAAGGGCGAGAAAGCCCAATTGGCGACTCATACAACAGAGTCATCGGAAGAAGTTGTCATTCGCGATGGAGATCTGGAGTTTACACGTGAGGCTGGTGCTGGGAACGACTCGCAACCTTCGTACCAGGAGCCATCTGGAGCACCAGTCGAAAAGGAATCGCCACTAGGATATGATGTCAACTGGTTCACCATCATCTTTCTGAATATCGGACAGATGATTGGGACGGGTGTTTTCTCTACACGTACGTATATACCTTCGCCGGACATTCCTGGGGCCATTTTACTCCACGACCACATGGAATATTGTAGCTAATATAAGCCCGAGACAGCTGGTTCGATCTTGAAAGGTCTCGGATCCGTTGGACTCAGTTTGATCTTCTGGCTCATTGGATTCCTTGTGGCTGCAGCTGGGATGTGCACCTACCTTGAACTGGCAGCGTATTTTCCCAATCGTTCAGGAGCTCAGGTCGTCTACCTGGAGCAAGGATATCCACGGCCGAAGTACTTCTTTCCAACCGCTTATGCTATGTTGAATGTGCTGTTGGCTTTCAGCAGCAGCAACGCCATTGGTAAGCGAGCTTTGACGCTGTGATGCACCGGATCGCTTTCTGATGACTTGAAATTAGTTTTGTCAACTTATACGTTCCGTATTGCGGGACATACCCCGACTGAATGGGAATCGAAGGGAGTAGCTATTGCTGGGTATACTTTGGCTACTGCTGGTCAGTAGCCTGCCCCTCTGGAGAAAGCCCAATTATTTACCTTCAATACAGTTGTTATAATCTCAAATAAGTGGTCCCTCAGGTTCTCGAACTACGTCGGAGTGGTAAAGGTTGGAATTTTGATATTGTATGTCTTATCTTCGACCCCTTGAAAACAAGTCAATCTAACTGTCCTCAGCATCTCAATTACTGGATTTGTCGTTCTCGGAGGAGGCGTCACATCTATCCCTGACCCAGGAGCGAACTTCCGCAATGCATTCGAAGGAACCACTGGTGATGCATCAGGTGTCGTCAGAGCACTTGTCCGAGTCAACTATGCGTACGAAGGATACGCCAACGCCTTCAATGTAGTCAACGAGATCAAGGTAGGACTCACTGCCTTGTTTCCACAGCAGCCGCTAACTCAGTCAGAACCCAATCCGAACGATCAAATGGGCAGGACCTCTTTCTCTCTTCATCGTAGCAGTTCTTTATGTTTTCGTAAACATCGCCTATTTCGCAGCCGTTCCCAAAGAAGGTATCATTGGCTCGCAAACGGCTGCTGCAGCTATTTTCTTCGAGGCGGTCTTCGGCTCAGGAAATGCAGGTCGTGGGCTGAGCTTCTTGATTTTGGTGTCCTCATTTGGAAATCTCGTTTCGAATTTGATTGGTGCTGGTCGTATCATTCGTGAATGTGGACGGTAAGAATCTTTTTTGTTGCCGTGCCCTGGTTTGACCGTGGCTGTGTGACTGACCTGCTTCCAGACAAGGTGTTCTACCATACCCAGCATTCTGGGCATCAACCCAGCCATTCGGAACACCACTCGGACCATACCTCCTCAAATACGTTCTCACTCTTCTGATGATTGTAGCCCCTCCATTTGGAGATGCCTTCGATTTCGTCGTAGATCTGAAGTCTTACCCTGACGCGGTGTTCGTCCTCGTCATGGCCGTGGGACTCTACATCATCCGCCGAAACAGAAAACGCATCAACGCCGAAGCACCAGAATTCAGAGCTTGGGATGTAGTCGTCATATTCTGGATCTTGATCCAGGTTTTGCTTTTAGTTATGCCATGGGTTCCTCCAGCGGGTGGTATTTATGCTGGGAGTGTCAGTTTCTTCTATGCAACTTATTGCTTTACTGGTTTGGGAATGTAAGTTCTACTCACATCGGTTTCACTCTCCCTTACACCTTATACCATTGCTAACAACTTGACAATATAGACTGGCAGCGTGTGCTCTGTACTACTGGGTTTGGGTACACTTCCTTCCCAAGCGCGGAGGTTATGCCATCCGACAAACCGTTCTCGTTCTCGACAGTGGCGCGCAAACGCACGAGCTCGTCAAAGTTCCTCTCAGTGAACTCGAGGAATGGGATGCCAAGCACGATGTTATTGGAAAGCAGGTTGCGGGCTCCGGGTCCAGCTATGAGCCGAAAGAGGGAAGCAGTGATGATGGTGGGGTTGTTCGCGAGCGGGTCTTTGTTGACGGTGACAAGAGGCTGGATGCATAGGAATGTTGACAACTGTGTGCTTGTCTATTGAACGATAATTAATTTCTAGCGGCTGAATGACGGGTTTTGGGTTTTGACCTTGCCTGATTCAGAGCAGCTTAATAAAATTCGAGATCATTGGGTTTCTTGTCTCTTCTCAGACTTATATCCCATCTCTAGTTCAATACCACGATCGACCATTTTTCTTTCTAAGCACTTCCATCTTGGCTGATTGTTCTTTTCGCCATACTGGCAATCTCAGAAACTACAACAGCAAGCACGCAAGATGGACAATCTGTTAGTAAGTCCGTGAGAACTGAATTCCAGGGGGGTTCATCACATCTGGAAGTGTAATGGAATTCGATAACCTGAATGAAAGAGCAGGTGCACAAGTATGAGCCTTGCGTGATAAGAAGGAAGAGTTTGTCATTTGATATAGATCGCATTCGACTTTAGTAAGAGGAGCCTCTACCTGGTCGTGGTAGCACTTTCCAATATTAATGCCAAGACATGATAGGCACTAGCCTGGTTCTGTATCTATGTCTCATAGAGCACAAACAGCAGCAACTCATGAATTCATCACAGCACAACAGTTTTTCCATCACAGCAACAGTATGTTCATCGCTGCATGTTATCGTCGCCCTTCCACACTGCCGGACCAGAACCTCCACCACACGTCAGCACTGAGCCCTAGCCGCGCATGTGCCGTGATCGTGATGCCAGCTGAGCACGGCCGCCGCCCAGGATTGTGAGATGGCTGTGGAGTGTGGATACCTACCAATTTGGCGGTGAGATGGTTGGTTACATGGAGAATTCTTCTCTGGGCCGGAAGATTTCGAAGGTTTGGGATCCATCCAGCCTTTGGGTTTTCGAGCTCCTTGCCAGCCCAACGCTTTGTTCAGTACAGGACGGAAATAGTCAAGGGGTCTTGAACCCTCGCAAAAGCTTCAAATATTGAGACGCGCTTCCAGGGTGCTTTCGAAGGGCTGGGCTTGCACGAAGGGAGAAAGTCAAGGCGAGCCGAATCTGCAGCTTTCCATCATCACTCTACCTACGAAGGGTACTGGATTTTCATAGGTACCACGTCCATATCACGTGTTTAGCTGAATTGACCAGCGAATGGAGCGGGATCTCGGCGTTGTCTTTTTCTCCAAGTAGGCAACACCTGAACTGTTCACCGCGAATCATCAACATGTAATCGTTGAAATACTCGCTGCTTCTCTGGCCAGCTCCCTCAACACATCCCCACGATCGATAACAAAAATGCGGGAGACACGTCCCCAAAGAGGAAGGAGGTTGTGCTCAGGCACGTGCTCCGATGCATGATTTGGCTCATCCAGGGAAGATCCAAGGGCAGCATTGCTCCGCGAGTCCCTCCCCGTCCGTCTGGAAAATTTACGTCTGTGGTTCGTCAAGGGAACTCCTCTCCGCTTGGGTTTGACTGGCGGCAAATACCGAATATCCCACCGAGTCCACAGTCCGGCATACCAGCGACCTGATTCGTGTATGCAGTCAAGCGAGCTGCACCTGTGGGTAAAGGGAAGGTCGGGATGGCTCGCCTCATCCCGAAAGAGGCCAGTAGTCCGAAGCTGTCAGGCCTGTCACGAACGCTCGATGTCCCCGCTGGCTCCTGCGTCCTCGTGGTCGACAGGCAAGCAGGGGGATAGCCAGGGTTGCGATAGAGGACGGGCCATGTCAAGAGCTCGCTGTCCTCTCTCTCGTCGCTTAGCGCTCAAGCTGCTGGATACTGTTGGCTGGCGAGGCTGGTTGAGATTTGAGAGACACTTGGAGAGTCCGGCGCCGCTTTGCCGGGACGATTCCCAAGAGCCACTGAGCCACTCCCCCACGCTCTCAACGGTGCAGCAATGCTGTGCTAGCCAGTCGAGATCCTGGATCGGTGAAAGAATGCTTCATTATTCAAGGGGTGGGAGCAGTCCCACGCTGTGCAGATGGAGCAGTGGAGATATGAGGTGCGGTGAGCTTACTGGTAGTACAGAGCTGACCTCGAAGCGGCCTAAATATTGTTTGGTATCGTGCTGTGTGGATGACCTGACTTGGGTACCATATAACCCTAGAGCAGGAGTCTTCTCCCGCTGTTGCGACCAGCAATCACTCACGTATTCAAGGATGCCTCGCTGCAAGTGCGTGAGCACCGTTGCTGACATTCTATACCATTTCATTTGAGCCGCAGGCGCCCATTCTATCGAGCCTATGTCCGTGATGAGCTCGTCTTCCTTCATATCAGCTTTCAGGTGTGGCGTTTTGCCCACCCTCCGACACCCCTCACTCTTATCACATACTCGCGTCTGACCTTGCCCTTATCAAAATCGACCAGGGGCGGCTCCAGGGTTCTTGGGCTGCCCTGGCCCTGCCCGACGATACTAATACCATTGTCTACCCGCCATCCCAGGAGTCCAGGTCGTGCTCTTCGAAAATACGGAATACAATGCCAAGATAACGCTCTCTGTCGTCGGCCAGGCTTGAGTATGCCTTTACTGTGGTATCAGGAACGCCCAACACGGTACGATCTCGATCAGTCGGCATGACGAACAATACTTCTTGCTCTCCGGTTGGCAACTGTACGATTTTGGGGGGTGCTAAGACCAATGGGACGTTCTACGTAGCTCAATATGACCCAACCTTCCCGGCACCATTTTGGCATCAACGAATGGAATTGGCTACGATATGCGTGTGTAATTCATTAACACGTAAGACGATCCTATGGATGCAGTGCTCGATTTCTCCGACACTTCACCGTTGTTGGTTACGGATCTGGAGCTAACAGTATCTAGTCATTCTGATCGTTGCGAGACTCATTTACCGATGGAGGAAATTCAGGAAGTTAAAGGGCGACGACTTGTGGATGGTAGTGGCAGGTGTATGTGATGCTATTCAGTCGATTTTGGGTTTACTAACCTCGGCCAGGTATTCTTGACAGCTCTTTTTGCCAGTCAGATAGGCACGAACATGTATGGAAGTGGACTTCACATGCAGAATGTTAAGACAGCATGGAGAGCATGGCACTGGCGCGTATGTTTTTACGAATCGTCCAATTGGAAAGTTATTTACAAGAACAGTTCACCATCGGCTTCGCTGCGTACTATATTGTCGTCTCTTGTATCAAATTATCCGTCTGCTTCTGTTTTCTTCAAATCTGTATGCCCTCCCGAACACCAGCCCATGGACCCTGCTAACCACAACTCCAGTAACTTATAACTTAAAAGGCCTGCGTTATTGCGTCTACGGCTTATGTACCATTATTGCGAGTCTGGGAATCGTGTGTACAGTCCCTTGGGTGTTTGGATGCACGCCATTTCTGTCCAACTTTTATTGGAGCGTCACGATGGAGTCTTGCGTGAATTACGACATATTCCGATGGCGTAAGAATCTCAAATCAAATTTTATCACTCCAAGCTGACCCGTTCATTTAGTCTGGATTAGTGTATCCGTTCCAATTGACTTGGTCATCATGAGTGTTCCACTACGAATCCTCAACCGCGTCCGGCTACGAGTTCACGAGAAGAGAATCCTACAAATGGTCTTCTGCGCTACCCTACTGGGTACGATCGCTTGGTATGTATCTCTTTTGCTTTTGTGGATCCTCTCTAACATTGTCTAGTCTCGTGGGCATTTACGGATCATACAGGACTCGTACAGCTGAGAGCAACGACCTTTACTACAACGAAGTATCCTTTATCATGATGAACGATATCGAAGTATTCGCCTACACACTAGGTGCTTCTTTTCCAGGTGCGTCATCTGTGCACCATTCTCCACAATCGATCAGCATCCATCTAACAAAACATAGTTCTCTCCCGCTACATCGTTGCAAAGACTGATCGTGGCCCTGAACCAACCCACGCTAACTTCTCCTCTTGGGCTCGATACATCCCTGATTTCTTCCTCTCCACCTCCCACCGAAACAGCCATCGCAGCCAACGAACCAGCCACCGCAATACCACGCGCCGTACCACCCTTGACGTCCGCAACACCTCTCCAGAACTCCATACGCCCATCAAACACCCCGACGAACATTCACTACCGAGTGGAAGCGAGCACAATTTCGCGCTAGGCGGTTCAACGTCCTTGAACAAGTCGAGGAGCTCACAGACGGGGAGTAGTGAGGGCGATGTTGATCTCGAGAAGGCTGCGGCGCAGGAATCGGCGAGGATAGTACATGTTACGACGGATGTGGTGATTGAGCGGCAAAGCGGCGAGCAGACTCTTCAGGAGTATTTGAGGAGCTCGCAGCATTCTCAGAGTAAAGGCTGGTCATGATGAGTCGACGAGCGACCTATGGATTGATATGATGTGCGATTATATTTGAGCGAAGGTGTTCTCTGGCGTTATTTTGGGCTGCCATTTGACTCGGAAGTCTTGGCTTGGGATTCTTTGATTTGGGGTTGGGTTGGGTGACTGGGTTGGGCTGGAAATGGACCGGACCGGACCGGCTGGGAGACGAGAGGCTTCTCGAGGTGCACGATGGGAGTCAATTTTCACCTTCCTAGGGGGAAGAAATGGGAGGACCGAAGACGAGATGAGAGGATACGGGATGGAAATATCTGAACTGATTTCCTCATCAGGATATGAATATCTACAATGGTCAAGACTCCTTGATCTTCCCTATCTTCAATCATGTCCCTTTAAAAATATGAAAAAATGATACGCACTTCCAACTGCTATTATCACCATTGATTAAAACCCAAAAGAATGGATATCAAATCCTCCCAATAATTTACGAATCCCTTCTCAGGCCCTCAAAAAACAAATATCACCCCTCCTAATCTTATCAAAAGACGTTCGTCCTGGTGGTCCCACAACGCAAAAACAAGCTGAGCGGTAAAGTTCATCCCATCTCCCCCAGCACAATCCCAGACACCATCCGATCCAATACGATCGCATCACATCGCATAATGCCTCTGAAAGTCTCGCGTCTTGAAATCACCGTGCCCGAAGCTGAAAGGTTGGAGGTTATCCGGACTCCGCGGAAAGCATAATCTAAAATAACTTCAGACGAGACGAGGTGTAATAAACCGTGTCTTTGAGGAGGAATAAAGCAAGCTGGTGTGATACTCGATGGTATCGTGTGGTACTACAGTACTGTACGGTATTATCCTCATTAATATTACATGTTGGTCTGGGCTCGACTGGTTGGTTGCTGGTGGGCTGACTTGACATCGGACCTGCAAGTTTGATATACACCACACTACTGCGAATCCTGTCTGTATATTTTGACCAGTACTGTACCCGCATACAGAACTCCCGAGATTGAAACCCGGTATAGCGGATGAAAAGACGGGAGGGAAGCTGGGTAATGTTCACCCGAACTTGGCAATGCCGTTTTCCTTATTTTTCGTCCTTCCGAAAAGCTGTAACCAAGGTCTCCTCCTCCTCCTCTTCAAATCTGCGACTCTGTGGCGCTTCGTTCTACTATTCTGCCCATTCCATCAGAAGCTGAAGCGACCTTCACGTCGCGTCGCATGATGCAGTGCCATTATTGAAATACCAACAATCTCATCTCCTTGGGACCGCGCCCAATCAGTACTTACTCGGTAATGCTACTGTACCTACATAAGTCGGGAGGCGTTCTTCTTGAGCTGGTACCGCTACACTGCAGGTCATTGTGACTGTACCTGGATTTGATTTGGGTATTCTGGTGCAATACTTTGGCGTTCGGGTGGCGCTTCAGGGTCGCAGTATCGTCCGTTTGCGGATGAGGGAGGGCTTGTCTGCGGAGGTCCATCGTCCGCTTGACGGTGATGTGGACTAAATCACGGATTTCTGTGGTACTAGCAGCTACTCCCATCGTGTGCTGGTATTGGGAGAGCTGGAGTCTTCTCTCAGCGTAACATATATACGGATGCCAATACGGCTGTACCGCTTGGTGGGCAAGCAAAAGGAGAGTTGAGATAGGTAAATATGAAGGGAGAAGAATGGTGCAACGCTATTGCCGGAATGAGTACTCCATGAAAAGAGGAAAATTCAACAGCAAGAACAAACCACATCAGTCGTACGAGAACATTCATCAATCTTTCTTTGAATTTTGTTTGTTCGCTTAATCGGATCATATCCAGACCATTTCCCCGCCTATGCTAAGGTACGCCCCGACAAAAGAAAATGCTGTTGGTCTAGCCGTAGCTAGAACGTGTGAGCCTAGACTCGTACAGTATGTACACCCACCAAGGTACAGTACAAGAAAGAAAATCGTCCTCAATCATCAACGCCGTACCAAATCAAGATTCTCATGGCTTCTCCTCGGACTCGCTTTTCTGCTTTTCAGAAGCTTCCTTGGCTTTCTCTGTTGCTGCCTCAGCTGCTTTCCGTTTTCCTTCTCGGTATTTTGACATTTTCTCGCTCATGTATCGCCATGATCTCCCTATTCCGGAGGTCAAGATGCCTTTCAAGCTTTGACTTGTGCTTGGCCAGCCAATTGTCTTCTTAATCACATATCTGACCTCAGCTCGTAAATCCTCTGGAGGCTCGTTGGCAATCCTCCTCTCGAAACCTCCACCTTGCCTTCTGTTGATTCTGGTGGCATCCTCGTCGCTTGAAGATTCAAGCATTTTGTTGAATTCCGCCCTGGGTATTTGGTATTTCTTTTGGTACTGGAAGTACAGCTTTTCCCTGAAAGCTTTCGGTAGTCGACGCACCATATTCCCACGTTTTATAGGGTCCATATCTTGAGCTAAGGAGACATTGGAAGTACTGTCGGCCGCCCAGTCTGGATCGGAGCATTTCGGATCATTGAAGCTGACATTGGGAAGATTGTCGATGAGAGGCGAATATAGCCGTCTGAAATGTGGAAGATTGTGGCCCACGATGTTTGCTACTTTAGATTTGTCCTCTGTTGGGAATGCCATTCGAGGATCTCCCATATAACTGATATTTGCAATCACCCCATACAGCTCCTGCTCTGTAAACTCAGGTGGAAGCAGTAGAAGTGCCGTTCGTAACGCAGAGAGCAAGTTGACCTGGTTGGCGAGTCGCACTCGAGGGTCGTCGCGCAGAATCTTCACCGGCTTTTGCAAGCGTCCAGCAAGGTATAAACTGTTCCATTCGGAAAGATCTGTGCAAAGCGTATCCAAATTTACCACGCCGTACTTGATGAGAGTTCCATTGACCGTCACGAATGGATTGAAATATACTCCAGCTCCCCACTTCTCTTGTACCGCAGATACAGCGCCGGACCCCAAAGATCCCAATGCCGAATAATGATCTCGGTGTTGATGAAGGTTCAATGAGTGCCAATGTTGTGTATATGAAACGCCAAAGATGAAATCAATCATCTTAGGAGTCCCTCCTTGTGCCTTCACGACTGCTGGGGGAGCTTTTGAGTGGATGGAGGTGGTAGAAGACGAGGAACCTGCTGTCTGCGGCGGGTATTAGCATCCGTTCGCGCCGAGCTATGATCCTCATATCTTAAATTTAGAACAGGAGTAAAACATGTACAGCGCAATCTTGAAACACAATAACCGTTGAAAGTCATCTCCCTAGCTTCGCAGGCCAATGGCCTTGAGTTGTGTCCATCCCAAGCACCAAATAGCAGGAACAGATTCATGACAATGAGAGTCCCTAATGCATACCTGCTTCGATTGTGGAAATACTCCGGACCCATAAGCAAACGCATATCGTATAGGTGCCCTGAACTGCCACAGTATCTGCCGTAAAGCCTCCTTGAATTCATCGTTGATCACAATATGTTGATTAACTCCGAAGTTCGTATGCGGCAGCTCCGAGAAGTGCGAGATATCGTAGTTCGGATTGTCTTCCCAGTCTGGAGGCGCCGTACTTGTAGAGCTAGAACTAGATTTTGATGACTCGGAGGGAGCTTTCGATGAGGATTTGGAGGAAGCTGAATCTGAGGCATATTCGCTAATCGATTCGGAGCTTGAAGCTTGGGGAGGCTGCGAGGCAAGGAATCGTCTAGCAACAGCTGTTGCTGGGCGGATGGGACGGTATCCAGTCGTCTGAAGACTGAGACCAGAGTTCCTAGTTCCCAGTGGCCTCAAGGGCATCTGTGGACGGTGTATTAGCTACGGCATGTGACGAACGCGGAGTTGTGTTGTCCTCACAAAGAGGTGTCTGCAAGCCATTGTGGATTTTTGTGGGCGATTGTATCCCAGTGTCTGGTATATCTGAACGTGTGTATGCAGCAGATGCTGCAGGAATGTTACCGCTTGTCGTGAGCCATGGGAATGCTGTGATAGATGCTGATGTTTGGATGAGAAATATCCAGGGTTTTGAAGCTTCGCGCTGCAGCTCAACAACCCCACGCCCACGTCACGCTTGCGCGGGACGGGCCCGTGCCAAGCCAAGACTCTCGAAGCGAGCCCCTGGCCTAAAGAAAACAAACCTTTGGGATGGCCGTCCCATGTGTTCTTTCTCATGGTGCAGTCTGTACAGCCCACTGAAAGAAGTAGCTCTTCATCTCGCCGAAGTTCCCAGATAAATGTCGGATCAGGCAAAATACAAGCTTTTGCATCTAAGCAGATTCTATGTTACCTCAGAGTACTAGTATCTATCCACTTACCTCTCTGTCTGCAGTAAATACCATGTTCATTGTTCCTAGTACTTGAACCGTACTTTGTGCTTCATTCTTCAGCTGTGTTCATTGTTAATTAAGTTCGCCCAAATGTTCAAGCGCTCACTTTTGAAAGATAACGATGGACCTATTGCTCGCGCCCGCTTGGATACAGGAAAGTTTGGGAACTTGGCGTTTACTTTATTTATCTTCTGAGTCTTTGCAAAAGCAAATATTTCCTCACTGAATTGCAGCTGATGGAGATCTCTGGCTTGTGATTTCGACAACAAAACAACTATTCTGAGCTTATGTTTGGTTTACGGCCACGTTTCGTTTTGTTGTTGGTGAAAAGAGCTTAAGAGGCGAGAGCGTCCTTGGTACGTTTGAGAATTTGAGAGGCTCACTCCTGCGAATTTGATGATTTCTGTGAGTAGGACAGATCCCAAAGGACGCCAATAAAGAGACTCCTGGAGCTGGAAGAGTGTGTCTTCGCTGAAACATGTTCGGCAAAACTTTGAAGCCACTTCGGGGTCGCTTATCCCCAAAGTTTTGTACAGTTCTGCTCTTATAACTAACACAATTATATGGATCCGAGAATCAGAGGGAATGGTAATTGGACACAAAATCGAGAGAATTTCCCTGCATTCAGTGGTTAAAATGAATTCGCTGTGAATCGTGCTTTGAAGGGAAGTCTCAACGAGATGAGTATCAAGTTCATGGACATTCACTCTTCTGGAGGGTGGCGAGATGAATAGCATGACCTCCAAGCTTCTTACTTGGCAAGCCTACTTTCATTATGCCAAACAACACTCAAAATTGCGATAACGACCATGACGTGAGATCTGTACGAATAAACGTTACTTTAATGACAATAACAACAGGACGTATCGTTGATGTGAAGAACCTCTGTGCTTGAAAGTAGCCAAGACGCACAGCGTACATTGACGTTATCACAACAAGGGAATGGCGGTGGGAAATTCTGTTCAAAGGGTCCTCGAGCTGCTTCAAGACCTCCTCTTTGGTTTGCGATGACCCCAAAATTCCTGCAGATTTAGCCTTGTGGAACTTGTAGAAAACCATTCTGTTTAGCGCGGAACGTTTGACTGACCACCTGGAATCGTCTGATTCCTGTAGACTGACAAACAACTCATAGAGTGATGTGAAGTTTAGGAGCTAGGACGTAGTTTGGCACTTGCTCCATACCTACGACTGCAACTCTCATGGTTACGAGGACTTCCTTCTGTATGATCCACCGACTACGTCCACTACTAGAATCCTCCCAGGGAACAGTTCTTAAGTTTATTTCTTTTTGCTTTCGTTCATTCATAATTTTGCTCATTACGCTGGCTCGCTTGTAAACGTTATATCCATGTTGATGGATCAGAAGATACGCTCAAAACGGACCAATTTTTCAAGGCCGTTCATCCATCTGCCCCATACCAAGCCCCAATCCCCAAACTCCTGCCTCCCAGCATATGGAACTAGTCCTCTCCAAGACTGTCTCTCACGCCTCTCCGGCAACGTCTCTTGAACTCCTTATTGCCAGTCTTCTCTTCCCGCCACAATCTCGCCGCCTCCACATTCGCCGGACTCTCATCATTCGGGCTATGCAGTAGACTGATCACACTCAGCAATATCGTCTCGGGCGTCTGCACAGGCGACCATCTCTCCGCTGCACTCTCATACCCATATTGGTCGTCCTCCGGTGGGTGTAGGATCGATATGCAGAGCCGGCCGTCTTCGTAGATATTTGGGTGGAAGGGAATTGGTGTCTTGAAAGTAAGGGCGGGTGGGAGGAGCGGGTATTCCTTGGGGAAGGTAAGATGGCACCGGAAATTGCCTCCTGGAAGCATAAAGTTAGTGGTTTGGATGTTATTTTGAGGGATGGGGGAGTTCATAGGGAGATCTTACCTCCATAGTATTTGCAGTCATCAGATATCATAAGCATCACCTCCCACTCGAAGACATTGCTGTTCACTAATCCACAGGAAATTCCTGGGAGGTCCTTCGCTGTTTGCATCTCCTTGAGCTGGCGCCTAAGCAGACCAGCAGCACCAGATTGAGCCATTTTCACGGCGCTCGGTGTATATAACCTCGTTGTGTGTCTGCTAAGTCGTGAAGAGCAGAGTCGGTGGTACGGGGCGACAAGATCGAGGCGGACTTCGAAAGGGGCTGGAGGGGATCACAAGGTATTTTAATTTCCTTCAGCTAGACTAGCGACTGCCGGCGAGCTGAAGAGGATGAATTGCTGCGCGGATTTGATCATGAAAGGAATCCGCAGTCGAGAGAATCTCCATTCACAGACTGGAAGGCGCGGTCAGTGATCTGCTAGTCTCGAGACGCGCCGAGGTTATTTGACTTACCTTATGAGACTAGGACCTGGTATGGTAGGGAGAGAGGCGATTCACGCTATTTAGAGAAGCATAAAGATGTAAGAGGTTGCAGGAAGTCGAAGTCCAAATCGATATCGCGTATTGATGTTGTGTCGTGGTCGTGGAAGGCGAATGTTGAAGTGGAGGCTTCTTGACCGCGGGGTCGCTTCCGCCATCGGCGAGGTTGTCCCGACTGCACGACATCTCCAAATCTCGAACATCGACGGCTTCATATTTTCCTATTTCGATGACGCCGCCATTAATGCCTGGCAAAATGAGATTGAAAGCTGCACTTGGTGTCTAAAAGAAGTTCTTGGTGAGTCCTCGATACCAGAAACTTGATATAGAGAGTGGGTAATCGTGGTAGCGAATCAGAAGCACATTTCCCCCCGGTACCTGTCCCATCCCTGCCAAAATATACATCGTCAATCAACAAATCCTATGGAGCGTTGTTTAGTCTCCCTTATCATAATAATACATCTTACTGGAAACAACCAGCGAGGTTTGTGCACTTCTGCACGTATCATCTTCTGGTTCACACAATAATGTTACCCCGCAATCGACATTCCTGGCAACCGAATATCACGCAATATCTACCTCTTCTTCCGCGACAAACCGAGTGGCTCATTGATCTCATTTCTAAGCATGCTTATCGATCTGTATTTGAAATCAGTTGCTAGCTTTGTACGCAAGTGTACGGAGTATATCATGGGTACCCGCTCCGCGATCATTTATTTCCCCCCACATGGCCACTACACTTTAATAGCGGCAATCAATCACCACTTTCCATATTATATACACAAGTTATTCAAACATGACCTCCCTGATAGAGAACCAAGGCGTTGCTCCGCATCTATTATCCCCAGTACGAAATCAAATCTCAGTCTCTAACCCCATTTCTCAAATTTCCCAACCACAAAAGCCCAGAGACATCTCCGCAGACTTCAACTACTATAAAGACCCTCCTGGAGGAGGTCCTCCGGAACCGACTTACGTGGAACGTCCCCAGACATATGACCGAGTCCCTCTTATAAAACGATTGACTGTCCATGATGTTCGTGGGCGCGAAGAGCAATATACACTGGACACTACCGGCTTCGAGTTCTACAAGCACGTCAGTGTTGAGAAAGACTTTGTCGATGACGAACAAATCAAGTCTATCTACTATCCAGAGACAGAAGAGCTGTTGAAGAAGGCGTAAGAATTCATTATCCTTACCTTGAACTACCTCGCCTGATACGTGTCTCAGCACTGGAGCATCGAAAATCTACATCTTCGACCACACTGTCCGTCGTCAACAACTCGATGCTCGCACAAAGCCTGCCCCAGAACCAGCATCGCAACAGTCAACAGAGGGTCCCATTACTGTTCCCGTTCCATCTTCCCTCCGCGGCCCAGTCCAGCGTGTTCACATCGACCAATCCTACGCTGCTTCGACTGATCGCGTAACCTACCACCTCCCAGATGAAGCCGAGACCCTTCTTAAAGGCCGCTTCCAAATCATCAACGTCTGGCGACCTATCAAAACCATACTCAAGGATCCTCTCAGCGTAGCAGCTGCCAACTCAGTCCTCGACGAGGAACTTGTTCCCATCAAACTCATCTACCCGCATCGCGAAGGCGAGACGCTCGCTGTGCGGCCGGCCAAAGAAGGGAGGACCGATGGAGGGCATCAGTGGCATTATTTATTCCAGCAGACGCCCGGAGAGGTGACGCTGATTAAATGTTTTGATTCGAAGACTGACGGGAGGGCGAGACGAGTTCCACATAGTGCATTTGTGGATGAGGAGTTTGTGGGAGAGGAGCCAAGAGAAAGCATTGAGGTCAGGGCGTTGGTATTCCATCCTGATGATACAGAGTAGGAGTGTGTATTGTCATGGAACGGATAAGGTCTCAGATATCTGGTTTCTGGCTAGTTGTTGGTTCTTATTGTACGAAACGAAATTGTAACACATCATTTATTACACTATTCATTTCAAGTTTCCGCCTTGAAATATATTATGTTGACATTAAGATCCCAAACAAGAAATTCACAAGCGAACCCCAACGGGCCTTGACATCTCGTCACCAAGTGCTCTCCACCTCGTGCTCTCCACCTCGTCCTCTAAGAATTATCGGGTTTCTCGTTCCAGCAATCCGGACAGTTCGCTCGCAATTGAACTTTTCCTGATAAAGTTTAGACATTCCACCACACTACGGGTTGCCGCTGTATCTTAGGCGCTGCGCCGATGAGGTAATTGTGCATTCGATTTGCGGGGGAGTCGTTCCTGACTTGACGGCAGCCAGCCACTAGAGAGGCAAGCCGCAAACATTGTCTGGCCGTACAGTTACAGTATTTCCGATGCCTTTACTTTCCCATCGTTTGTCATTCCATGCTCCAAACTCTCCAACTCTTCTCGGGAATCTGTTTATGGGTGTCCTGCCTATATTATGACGAATATCCACGTAGTCGACGGGACGTAAAAAGAGTTGCAGAGCCTGCCACCTACTATCTGCAGGTCAGTTTCCGACAAATACCGAAGTGATTCTCGGTAGGGTAAATATTTGTCTTTCATATTACAGTGGTTCTGTGGGTTTACATTTCACAAACTTGGTTATTCGTCGAATGAGTTGCCAGATGATGGTGGTGCTGTCGTAGATTAGGAAGCGAGATGTGAGGGAGTTACGTCCTGATTATGAGAACATTGAAGATCCCAATTTTGATGTCACAGGTCTATCTGCTTTCCATCACAAAATCTTCTTCTATTGACAGCTCCTAGATTTTGTATTTCCAGACCGATCTAGATATCATCAAGCCTACAGAACCACCAACAAATGTGCATCTCTCTTTCGGATTTCCTCCTCGCCACGCCTGCTAAAATTGCATGAAAATATACAAAAATCTGTATCGATCGCCAGCCCTTAGTCACGATCTTACCATCCAACTTCTCAGATCAGTATTCAGTGTAATTTTTAGCTGGCCGTCCGCCCCCATCTTACATAGAAGAACTTCCCCACACTCCGGCAACGATCGTCATAAGCTACGACTAGTCTTCCCCATATTCGGCATAACGAGGTTGAGAAACGTCGATGGCTGTATGCCTGTTAAATAATTTAAATGGGCGCCCCTATGTATTCAGAAATCCATCTTGACTTATGAGGCTTTATTCTTGTCAAAATTTAGTCTTTTTACTTTCCTTTAGAGCTGACCTCTTGGTAACCACACGATCGAGTCATTTGCAGTTACTGAACTGGACTGCTTTCTCCTTACTCTTTATTTGAACTCCAATTTATTGTAAAGCCAACTTTATTCCACCATGCTTGGAAAAAGTGGTCAGTTTTTCGGCCTCCGCGGCGTCAAGTTACAGATTGCTGTTGGAATGCTGGCTGGGATGGACTTTTTGCTCTTTGGATACGATCAGTAGGTACCCGAGCAAATACGTCAAAGAAGCTCATTTTTTCTGACAGTTCTCAGAGGTGTCACCGGAGGTCTTCTCACGTTGGAATCTTTCCGAAGCCAGTTCCCGACCATCGACCCTTTGCAAGATGGCATTACGGACACCGAATCCAGTAATCGATCAACATACCAGGGTATTACAGTTGCGAGTTATAACGTCGGGTGTTTCCTTGGTGAGTTATCAGTTCCTTTTGCTCTGTTGACAGTCATTTACTCATGATCAAAGGCGCTGTATCATGTATCTGGATTGGCAACCCTCTCGGTAGAAGGAAGACTATTTTCCTCGGTACGGCAATTATGGTCATCGGTGCTATCCTCCAAGCATCTGCCTTCTCTGTTGCACAATTCATCATTGGTCGTATCATCACTGGTTTCGGAAACGGACTCAACACTTCTACCGTGCCCACATGGCAATCCGAATGCTCAAGGTCGCATCGCCGTGGACAGCTGGTCATGATCGAAGGGGCTTTGATTACAGGAGGCGTCATGATCGCATATTGGCTAGACTTTGGCTTTTACTTCTTGGACCCCAATCCTGTTGCCTGGAGATTTCCACTCGCGTTCCAGATTTTCTTTTGTATCATCATTCTAGGTGAGTGGTAAGCGAAGTCCTTTCCTAAACCTCGCTTACAGTATCAAAATAGCATTCGTCATGAGTCTACCCGAATCTCCTCGATGGCTTATCCTCAAAGGCAAAGACGAGCAAGCAGTGCACGTTCTCGCAGCGCTAAACGACCGCCTGGTAGACAGCGAATACGCCCACGACGAGTATACAGCCATCAAAGACACAGTCCTCGAAATGCAAAAGGGCTCTTTCAAGGACTTGTTTACCATGGGACCAGATCGCCACTTCCATCGCACAGTCCTGGCATACGTGAACCAGATGTTCCAACAAATTTCGGGAATTAATATCATCACTTACTACATCCCAAATGTGTTGGAGAATCAGGTGGGATTGAGTCCTACCTTAGCAAAACTGATCGCTGCTTGTAATGGGACCGAATATTTCCTCGCTTCATGGATTGCTGTTTTTGCCGTCGAAAGACTTGGAAGAAGACAACTTATGCTGTTCGGTGCTGCCGGCATGTCGCTGTCCATGGTCGCACTGGCAATTTGCGACTCCGTTGGAAGCGCGGCTGCAATCGGACAGACTGTGTTCTTATTTGTTTTCAACACATTCTTTGCAATTGGATGGTTGGGCATGACATGGCTCTACCCCGCTGAGATTGTACCATTGAAGATTCGTGCACCTGCGAACGCGCTTTCGACGTCTGGAAACTAGCTCTTCAATTTTATGGCAAGTCTTCCGTTCATCTCGTGTGGCACTGGCTGATACTCATCAGGTTGTCATGATCACTCCCGTTGCATTCGACAGTATTGGCTACAAAACCTATGTCATACTCGCCGTAATGTGAGAAAAAAAACCCCTTCCCAGTTTCTTCGACCCCAAAAACTGACAAATCCCTCCCAGCAACGCGTTCATCTTCCCAGTCGTCTACTTCTTCTACCCCGAAACTGCCTACCGTTCCCTCGAAGAGATGGATAATATCTTCATGAAGACCAAGTCGATTTTCACGACCGTGAAGCAGGCCAAGGGCGAGCCGCGTAGATTCGATAAGCATGGAGAGTTGTTGATTAAGTATGAGGAGACGGATGAGCATAAGAGAAGACATAGCGTCGCAAAGGTTGAGCATGAGCATAGAAATTCGGTGACGCCTTGAAGATCATGGGTGAGGGAAATGGTGGAAGCAAATTGCAACTACTTTGTAAGATAGAGTTAAGTGCAACATCTCTGAACTAACTAAGTCGGCTGGAGGTGAGGTGTGAACGGAATTCATACCATTTGGCATGGGAAATAAGAAATATTCAATGATCCAAAAATCTAATAGATTGCATGTAACGCACGATTTCCTTTTTTCTGGTGAATTCCCCTTACCGACGTCTCTATGCGGACTCACTCTCCTACTACAGTGGCCATTGTGTCTCCCATAAACTGATGTCAACCTGTAAGACTTTCCAGCCTTTCCCAAACTAGACCCAAGCATGACATATGACCTCAATCAGATCTTACTCTCAACCTTGAACGCATTAATACACCCCACTATCAACGCTCCTGGATTAAATCTCGTCGGGTGTTTCTCCATCATCAATCTCGACAACTCTCTCGCATCCTTCGCTTCACCCCGCTCCAAGAACCCTTCAAAACTCTCAATGTACTCCCTCGAGTTCCTCAAATGGAACGCTCCATCCACCTCACTCGCTCTCTTATGGCTCGGTACCACAATCTCCGGCTTCAGAGCCTCTACCTTCCGAATACTGTCTATCCAGCCTTGTCTCTTGGCTTTCGTGTTGCACTCACCCAGCATTTGATGCACATCTCCGTAGACTACATCGCCACAAACGGCGAGTCTGATAGATGGGACCCACAGGACAGTCGAGTCGTGTGTATCGGATTGGCCAACTTCGATGGCTTGCAGGACGTTGCCTTCGAGTTCCATCTTGTTGTTTGGAGGAAGTGGTTGGGCAAGAATGAAGTTTTCTTCGATTTCTCCCGGAAATTGACTTCCAAAGCCCTCTTTGAAAGCTTTCAATTGCCCTTCCATGTGTCTCACGGTCCCAGCTGTAGCGAGTGCTTCGACACCCGGAAAAGCCTCCATGATGGTAGGGATGCCGAACCAGTGGTCGCCGTGGCCGTGCGTGATATATATTTTGGTGAGGCGTTTTGACGGGATGGTATCTTTTATCCAGGTTATGAGATCGTTGGTTTGCGCTATTGTAATGGGTGTGTCAACAAGGATGGCTTCTTTGGTGCCGTGGATCAGAGTGCAGGCTATCGGGGACCATAGCCCTCCATTTTGCCCGTTGGGTTTCTTCCACGGGACTGGAGGTGCGGTGTAGACGTCTGCTCGGAGTGATGACATCTTGTTCACAAATGATGCCAAATCGAAATTCTGGCTATCTAATATGGAAGAAGTTCAAATTTAAAAATTTAGTAAGTCGTCGTTAAGAGAGTAGCGAGGTATTAAATACTACATGTTCTACCATGAGCTTGACTTAATTGATTACTGAAACATCCAGAGACACACACACGTCGGTTAACTTCTCCATACCGAGATGCTTAGATGCGATAAATTGAACGAGGTTACAGTAAATGCTACTCATCAATACATGCGAATCTCACAGCATTGCGGGGTAGAGAGGTACCTAACCAAGACCTGAGCGGGGAGATTAGTAAACAGACATGCACTGTTAACCGAGGTCGCGGGGTACTCATACCGACGACAATTTCTAGATCAGCATGACATTTACGATTCAAGAAGTGGATGAACTCGTTTTCTGACTCTCCAAGTCTGTAGAGATTCGATAGCAACGCCACAACCCAAAATGTATCCCTCCCCAGATTCCATCGATATTCCCACCTCCTATGAGACTCTCGGTACAACCACTGTCAAACTTTCCCACCACCCTGCTGGCTCTTCAACAGCAACTCCCGTCATCGTTGTGACGCTGAACAGACCGAAAAATGGCAATGCTTTCACAGTAGACATGATGCGGGATTTTGAGAAGATCTATCCGATGTTTGATGTGGACGAGCGAGTAAAAGTCGTGGTGCTTACTGGTGCTGGGAAGATGTTCTGTGCTGGTGCGGATCTGGATGTTGGATTCAAAGGGGGAGAGGAGAGGGTTATGGATCATAGAGATGGGTGGGTCATCTTCTTATTTGTAAACCAAGTTGGGAACTCGAACTTAAAAGATCCAAATCATTGGAGGCCGATTAGCTCTCGCAATCTATCGCTGCCGCAAACCTACTATCGTAGCTTTGCAGGGCTCAGCTGTAGGTCTGGGCATGACTATGACTCTACCAGCAGCAATCAGGTACATAGCCCTTCTTCTCTAAGAACCACCTCGGTGCTCAATTCTAGCAGAATTGCCTGCGAAAGTGGCAAATACGGCTTTGTCTTCGCACGGCGTGGCATCACCATGGAATCCATGTCCTCCTACTTCCTTCCTCGCTTAATCGGGCACTCTCGCGCCATCTACCTCCTCACCACAGGCCTAACCTATCCACCCAACTCGCCTCATTTCGGCCACCTCTTCCAAGAAACTCTTCCCAAACCAGAACAGGTTCTCCCTAGAGCGTTAAAGCTCGCTGAAGATATCGCGCAGAATGTGAGTCCGTTGGCGGGGTACCTGAATAGGGAGTTGATCTGGAGAGCGCCTGGAAGTGTGGAGGAGACTCATTTGTTGGATAGCGCGGTGCTTTATCATATGTTTGATAATCCGTAAGTGAATTTTCAGATTTATGTTTGTTTAGGATGAGGTGCTGTGGGGAATATGAAACTGATTTTGAGCTCTTAGTGACCAAAAGGAAGGTGTTGGCGCGTTCTTTGAGAAGAGGAAACCGAATTTCAAGGCGACCTTAGAGGAACATGGCCCTTCCTTTTTCCCTTGGTGGACGGAAGTTGATACTGGAAGTCGACCAAAAGCGAACAGAGAAAAGTCTAAGCTGTGAAGTTGCTACGATCGAAAAGTTCATCTCTCATTTAAAGTTATATGCAACCCCAAGTCTGTCAAGTACACCGTCAAAGGAATCAAGGCGCACATGACGGTGTCCCCAGAATAATCGAGTTTATGCGTCTTTGTGGTCTATTCCAATCCGCTTCCATTGCCCATATCGTTTCACGAGATCTCTGATAACTCCAAGCACTCTGCCACGTCCGTTAACGACGGAAAATTTGACCGCAGCATGCGAAAAGATCACTCACTGTTTGCGAAGAGTTTCTCTCTCTGGGACTAGAGCAGAAACATGGGTGCTGAATCTCCTGCCGAAACGTAAGCCGATGGGTCATCTTCCGGCACCAAGAGACTTCTCACAGCTTGCAAGGATACAAACGCCCATTCTAGCATCATGATACCAAGCTCCTTTGAAGATTCGTCTAGGAGAAGCAAGAGAGCAGCGTAAGGGCACGACGGGTTAATGGCCTGCCAAAGCAACCTCAAGAATACGGTCCTCCATACCCTCAACAAACACAGCCTGTATTTCTGCGTCCTGTAGACGTTGCCGCCCTGCGATGAGAATTCTCTGATCGATAAAATTTTCTGGCTCCTTGATCCCGATGTACACGGCCTTGATACATTCCTTCAATGCCAGTATTCTGTCAACGCATGGTTTGTTTCCACTCAACCTCTCGTTGCATGGCTCCATCGTTGTATACAGGATGGTGTTTCGCGGCAGTACCTCACAGAGTCGCGCTTCCGGAAGGTTGTGTTCCTGTCCTACTTTGATGAAGCAACACTGCTCTGCATGCGTCTTTCCTGGGTCTTCTGGGTTGTTGTCTGGTAGTTCCAGTGACCACCCAGTTGACAGTATCTTGTTCTCATCCGCGTCGACGAGGACAGCTCCTACGCAGAACTTGGTAGGTGCAGGTGGCGAATGTCGAGCCTGCTCCAGAGCATACTCCATGTAACCCTCATGATTACCAGCAGCTATTTTGGGATGAGTTGGTTCGGAAAACATAGTTGCATGAAATTGAACGCAAAACAGGCAGGACCTTCTTCTGACTGCAAGGTCAATCACAGTCGCGTATGGTACCTTGCGGTCAAGGACGGAATAAAGTTAAAGCTTGCCGTGTTCACAAAATAGCAAGATAGGCTATTTCGAGATTTCGAAATACGGATTAGAGTGTGGGCAGTTACTTTGTTTTGTTGTACGGGGACTGTGGGACCACCCACAAGTGGGCGCTTCTGCAACTCGCCTGATTGGCCAGTAATGACAGAACTCACATATGCCAGCCCAAGGCACAGCCAAGTGAGTCGCCTCACCCTATCAATCAAAGAGGATCATCCATTTTTGAAATATAGACTGCATCTACCCACAGATGAGGCTATTTTTTGCGGCATCCTACATAATACCAAGAGCTGCAGGCGTAATTCTGGCAGGAAATCGTTCGGTTCCGGACTACTTCTCCAGCAGTATCCTCGCAGTTGAAGTACTTCAGGAGGTACGGTAACTGGTTAGCACCATAATTGCGCGATGGTTTCAGGCATGAGCTGCAAGCTACAATATCAGCTGTTTGTGTTCTACAGACTCCTTTAACAACAGATGACGATTTTCTACCCACCTCATAAATCAACGAGCAGCATCCATACATGGGTGTGTAAACACTTTCACACGAGCTGATACACAACCCAGCAAATAATTTCCTTGTCATAACTCTCACAATATGATGCGAAGCTGAAAACCGGATCATTATCAACCAGGAGTGGCAAGCTTGGTGTCATCAAATGATTCAAATGCCGAGTCAATGTATGACAGTATTTACCATGCCCTGATAGTCAGTTGAAGGCCAAAAATTGACTTTCACGTGCATGAATAGATACTGACTTCACCAAACATGTCGAGACCGATTTCCTTATGGTCAGCACCCTTCTGTACCTAGCTAAGGGTATTTTTCGCTGACTATTTACAGTGGTGCTAGAGACTCGGCTACAAGATCGCCTATCTTTGAGTCAGACAAGGGCTCCATTTCGAGAATACATTTGACTCCAGAGCTTTCCAGACAGGGTACTGCCCAGGCTACCTCAACAGATCCCAAGGGCCCTCTCGGCCTCAATCTTTTGTATGATCCAAGCGAGCCTCTTGTTGACTTCATTTTCGTTCATGGGCTCGGTGGCGGTTCGAGAAAAACTTGGAGCAAAACTGCTTCGGTGAAGGACTTCTGGCCACAGGAATGGCTTCCACAAGATCCTGCCTTTAGGCATGTCCGCATACATAGCTTCGGATATGACTCTGACTGGATCAAAGGGAGAAAGAACGTCCTGAATATTCATCATTTTGGGAAATCGCTGTTAGGGCAAATAAGTACGTTGCCACGCTTGAGAGATTCGGACACGCCCATTGTTTTGATTGGACACAGCATGGGAGGATTGGTTATCAAAAAAGCTTACAACTTGGCAAGGCAAGTTGCCGCTTACGAGTCTTTGGCACATCGTGTGCATTCAATCGTCTTCCTTGCCACTCCGCATCGTGGTTCCGACTCCGCCAAACTCCTGGGCAATATACTCTGGTTTGCCTCGAGTTCGAAAGAGTACGTGAATGAGCTCAGAGAACACTCTGGCACTATCCAAACCATTAGCGATGAGTTTCGAAATTACGAGCGAGACCTGGACCTGTGGTCCTTCTATGTGACTTCTCCCCTCAAGATAGGAAAGATCGCCAGCCAACTCATTGTTGAGCCGGACTCAGCAGTTATGGGCTGCTACAATGAGAAACAGATGTCGTACCACATAGCGCATTCCGATCCGCGCTCTGACGAACTTTTGGCTCTTCTAGACAAATTTCTCAAGTTGAATGTCTTGTCCTGGATCGAGATCATTGCACAAACACAAGATCTCATCTTCTTCATCCGTGTTGCAAAGCACTTACGGTCCTATCTCAAGGCATGCTCCATTGAGAGGTCCCCTTTGAGTAGAGAGGTGTCTCTTCTCAGAGGCTGGACGACGGATCTTATTCGAATCACTGCAAAATTCGCAGATGCGCTTGTTCTGTCCCCTTCAGCTATTTATTCTCTCATCTTACCATTTTGTCCCACGTCGTCTTCCGTCTACAAGACATCTAATAACGGACGAAGACTGGCGATATTAGGACTCTCCCACTCACAATGGGATGACCGAGTATCCTGCATTGATTTTGTCCATGGGCGGACGAGTGCAGTCGGTGTCGGCGATCATTTCTTAGGAGTTGGCCTTACAACTGGGACAGTCATTGTATAGCATGCATCATCTTACCAGGAGATCAGACGATTAGAGCTTGGCGAAGCTGTCAAATTCCTACAATTCAAGGAGCAGTCCGATCTTATGGCAACGTGTAGTATCAAGAATGTGAGACTATGGGATGCTCGAAGAAGTGTACTAATCCATACCTTTCAGGTAACCCAACGGCCAATAAGTTTGGCATTCGACGGGCACTTGCTGGGGGCTGCTTCTTATCAAAATAGCCTGATGACGTGGGATTTGGACAACAACGGAGTACAAAAGCCAGATGTCTCATGGAACGACCCTGAGTCGCTGACTGGCTCACGCTTTCGTCGACCACCAACCGCTATCTCGATCTCTACGAGCCATCAAATGCTCGCGGTGGCATATAGCGGAAGATCCATATTGCTATGGGACCTGGCCGGAGATAGTTTCTACGGCAATTGTGGCAGGAAACGGTCTGATGGCGAGACCAGCACTCATGTTATCCCCTCTCTCCTTTTCAACCCAAACTAGAGTATTGGGCTTCTGGCTGCGTCCTATCTGGATGGGCAACTTGCGATACTTGATCCATTCAACGACCAGGAACAATGCACTCTCCGCGCTGACTGTCACGTCCTTGCTGCTAGTCTGGATGGTCGTTTGCTCGCAGGAGCTGCTGGCTCTGGAATTATCCAAGTGTACGAGTTCGATACGTTAAAGTTGCTTTACAGGGTGCAATCGTCCAACTTCTACATCAAGCAATTGGCCTTTAGTCCAGATGGGCTTCATTTTGTGGATATTCGTGGTACTCAATGCAATGTGTGGGAGGCTGCAGTCCTCCTGCGAGACATCATTGGTGACGAGATCAGCGAAGACTCGTCAGCGCCCGTTGTGGACGTCATATTATCTGATGCCAAAGAGAAGATAAGCGCTCTGATCCTGCCACCAAACTTGGAGGTTGCGTTTTGTGGAAAGGAAGATGGCTCTGTTGCTGTGTACAGTGTCAAGAGCGGGGTTCAAATGAGTACGCTCTATCGCCATAAATCACTCGTTCGGATCGTAACTTGGTGGCCATTGACTCGCATAATCATGAGCGTTGACACTTCTAACACCATCCTCGCTTGGAAAATGCAACCAGATAAACCTTCGAGTTGGAAAACCGACACGCAATTGTTTCAGTCCCGCCTTGATTGTGGCCATACCATAGTACAGATACTACCAGGCGAAGAGTTTGGGAAGTTTATCATCTCAACTCGTGAATCGGATCACTTCTGGAGCCTTGAAGGCCAGCAAGAAAAGGTTCTCCAAAACTCAGGACAGCCACGAATCCGGTACTGGGTTCAGCATCCAAAATCGTCGCTTCACATCATAGGTATCGATGGTGCATTCGCAAGAATCTATTCATGGCAAGACTGGTCGGAAATTAGATCCGTTTGTCTGGAAATAGTTGTGGACGATCTTCAGCTCAAGTCCGTTTCTTTGTTCATGCTGGACCGCAAACCACAACTTCTACTGGAGCTGTCTGTACTGAATGACCCAGCTGTCACACGAGAGCTATATTCAATAGACGTCACTGCCTTTGACATTAACGCTGGCGATGAAGAAAAGCGAGAGCCAATACATGATTCGACTCATGAAAAAAAGTTTGACCCTTCACTTCAATCGCCCGTTGCAAGCACACTTGTGAGCCCACGGCTACGCTCACAGGTCGACTTCTTGGCTGATTACGTCTCACATATTATTGGAATCAGCGACAGCGGGAAGCTTGTTTTCCTTGACACACGCTCGTGGGTGTGTTCGGCCAGTCTTGAGAGCACATTCGGAAGTTCTGTTTCCTACTCGCGGCATTTTTTCGTGCCGTATGACTGGTTTTCTGGCATTCGAGACATCCTGTGTGGACTGACGAAGCGAGATGTTGTTTTCGCGCGGCACGGTGATGTAGCAATCATTAAGGGCGGTTTGGAATTTGTGGAGAAGGTTGATGTGAAGCATGAACTTCTGAGCCTGAAGAAATATGGGTTTAGACGATAAAGCAAAGGGATTTCAAATGAGATGATTCTCAGCGCTATCGACAAATTCGCTCAGCCTTTTGGTAATATCAAGAGCCTATAGCGTTCAGATTACGTTCAAATTAGTTCCATGAGCTGACAGAGAAGCTATGAGACCAAAGCTGCCAACTTTATGCCAAGAATTCGATATTATAATACAGCCTTCCTTACCATTCTTTGCACCAGGCTTCACCGAATGTTCGTCTGGGGTGTTAACCTCCGTGATTAAGGGATAGCGGAGACGCGTGTCTTCAATACTTCTCTGCCACAATTTTGTCATCGCTAAAAGCATATTATCATGTACTATAGGGAGGAGCTTTATATAGTATGAAAGTCTTGATTTATTAAGGTATTCTAGAGCTCTCCTATAAGAGGAAGCTCTAGGAGTTCTAGTTATATAAGTAGCCTCTAGTTAGCTAGAGCGCCTTAGGGAGTGCCTTAGGTGCGTTAAGTGTATAATATACCCTCTCGCTTAGCTTTATAATAGTAAGTGAAGCGATATAAATAGTGCAGATAATACTACCTGAACTATAATAGGAGTTAATACTAACTAATAGCGTTAGGTCTTAAGCGCCTAGTAGCTCTAAATATATAAACTAAGTAAGTCCCCTAGAACGCTCTTTCCTTAAATAATAACTTTAACGTAATATTAGTAAATATAGCTAAAAGCTCCTACGCTACCCGCGCCTTACGTGCCTTTAACCTTGCTACTACTCGTGTAATAAAGAAGAAGATTATAAGTTATTAATTTAAAGATTCCGATGTAATTAGTATTATAAGGAATCATTAGAACTATACTAATACTTATAAAATAGGCTTATAGCTACCGTAGCTCTCTTACCGCCGCTACTTCACTACTACTACTATTATTATTACTACTACTAGCACTAGTACTAACTCCTACCCGCCGCCCCGCTATAGCAGGAGCTATCTGTACTATACCTTATAGCTACTATATTCGCGGTAGTTTACGAGGTACACTAGGCGACTCTTATCACGATAAAGAGATAGCTTCGCGCTATTTTTATTATTATAAAAATAATAAATCAGGTTATATTACCGCTCTTACTTACGCTACTGAACTCTTCGCTAGCTACTTAGTAGCCCGGGCCCTCCTAGAGGGTATACGCGTAAGTATTTCCTTATATTATAGTATTAGAATAACGAAGTATTAAGGTATTAATATTAAAGTACTAAGCGAGGCTAACTCTATAATATATATAAGCTCTTATAGTCCGCTAGGCCGCTATTTAGAAGGCCTTAGAGGCTAAGGAGAATAAGGATAAGAATAAGGATAAGATCCGTGCCGCTATCTATAAGTCGTAATAATAGTCTTATAGATTTTAGATATTATCTAATTATTAATATTAGCTACTACTCCTACCTTTACCTCTACTCTTCGTAGAGAGACCGCTATTCCCCCCCCTTACCTTATTTTTAGTGCTATAGGAATAAGCTCCGGCTTTATAGGAGCTACTATTATCGCCCCTGCGGCGTGTTTAGCCTTACGTGCCTCTACCTTAGCAGAGGTTAATATTATAGCCGGCGTTACCTAGTAGTTAATTAACCTTCTCTTCCTTCCTTAGTAAGTAGTATAAGCTTTATAACCTTTAAGTAGTAGCTTAGGAATATTACCCCTTTATTATTATAGTTCAAGCTAGCGTATTAGTACAGCTTTATAACCTAGAAGTTATAGCTTAGGATTAAGTCCCTTACTCTTTGTATTATTTTAGCGTAGTTTTATAACCCCGAAGTAGTAGCTTAAGATCAGGTCTTATAATTCTACCTCTTCTTTCCTCTTTAATAGCGTTTAAGAACTATAAATATAAAGTAAAGGAAATATAATAAAAGAAAGTATTTATATAGATTATATAGCTTAAGCGAGCTTCTCGATATCAGCTCAAGAGTCTTAAAGGTTTAAAAGAGCGACGAATACTTTAAACTTCTGCCTTAGTAAGTTTTTAGTTAAGCTATTAGTTAGTATATTATTTATCAGGAGATATATTACCTGAAAACTCCCCTTTTTATACTCCTATTATAGCTATATATTCTGTATATCAATATACTGAAGCTTTATTGAGATTCGCTAGTTCTCTTTAACTATTAGCTAAATTATCTGTTTATTATCATAGAATATATTCCACGGAGCTCTTATATTAAGCCTTAGCTCTTTAAAGAACCTTTAAAGCGCTATTACCTCCTTAGTAGTCCGTTCTATACTAAGAAGCTCTGCCTCGGTTATTAAAGTAGTAATAGTATCTTATTAGGAGGCTTTCTAAATAATAGCTCCTTTAAATAGTATAATCAGGAATCCTTAGGAGGAATAACACGATTTAGTATTATCTATAAAAGATATATCTAAGGTAATAAGAAGGTATATCTCTCTGTCCTTCTAACTATAGATAATAGCTAGGAATCTTAAGCTGAATAGATATTATATAGTCTAATTAACTGCCTCTAAGTATAGCGCGCTTAAGTTAGTAAGGAAGTATAATAGTTAAGAGGCTATAAAGGCGATATCTAGCCGGAGTATAATAGCTATATATAGTACTAACTTAACCTTCTCTTGATATTCCTTAATTTACTTGAAAGTTACTATACTAAGGTTCTTGACTAGCTTATAGTACAGGAGAGGCGTGCTAGGGTACTTCTTATCTACTATATTAAACTTCTAAGTTATCTTCTTAATATAGATATTATATAAGAGAGATACTATCTTCTTTTCCCTATTCTATACTACTTATACTCTTAAGAACTATTCCACGTCTCCTAGGACTATTAGCTTATACGCCTCGTATAGTCTATCTATAATTATCTGGCCCTCTTCAGCGTATCTAATATAATATAAGACCTGAATATTATTAACGTAAAACGCTATAAAGATAGTCTTATACTAGTTTGTAAAGATATATAGCTCCTCCGCGAGTAGAGATAGGTCTAGCTTACTAAGTGTCTTTATAAAGTCGCTATACTAGAGTATAAGTAAGTCTCTTAAGCTATAGAGCGCTTAGTTAATTTCTACTACTATTCCTAGTTTTTTCTAGCTTTCCGGAGGGAAACACAAGACTAAGGCGCTTCTCTTATCTCTTTTTATATTAATAAAAGCGTTAATTATATTAAACTACTTTACTTCTAAGTTAAATTAAGCTACTAATACTATCACGACTCGGAATAACCTCACTACGAGTATAGCTATATAAGTTAAGAATATCATAGAGTCATCTTATATATTACCTCGTACTATAATCTGAGACTTATAACACTTAAGCTATCCTATAGAATCTACCTTATAAGTAAATACCTACTTTAAGGGAATCAGTAAAGTAGCTATATCTTCCCTAGGAATTAGTCTCTAATAGTCTTAAGCTTTCAAGTTTAATATCTCCTTTTCCGTGTTAGCTTTAAACTACTTACTATATAGGTAACTCTCTAGCTCCCTTTAGTTCTTAAGTAGTTTCGAGAGCTTCCTTTAATATTAGTTTTATAAGTTAGAAGCTCTTACTTCTACTCAGATATCTAACACGGCGCTTGAAACTATTACATAAAGTATAATAGTATTATAGCTATTAGCTCGTGTTAGAGTCTTACTATAGAAGGTTATAGTAAACTCTTAAAGGCGCGAGTAGTTATCTTATCTTAGAGCTACTACTATAAAGTAATAGCCGCGTGCGATAAGCTTTTTATATTCTCTCTAAGCTTCCTAAGTTACCTAGATTCGATCACGCTCTATTACTCGCTACTATTAGTAGCTATTTCTAGCTACCTATAGAAACTTAGTCCTTATCGCTTTAAGAGAAGCTTCTAGAAGCTTAATAACCTATTACTTAAGGTCTTATAGCTATTAGCTAAGTAATACAACTTAAGGGTATATTTATTAGCGCGCCTCCTTAATACTTAGACTAGTATTATTACTACTTATAGCGTCCCTCTAGTACTAAGGTAAGAGATAATTAGTCTTTATAGCTTTAGTATCTCTCAGGGTACCTTAACTTAACCTCTCATAAGGAGTTAGATCTCTACTACTATCGGCAAAGTTATTATTATAAAGGACTATATTATTACTCTCTACCCCTAAGGTCTGACTCTTATAGGGGGGTAATTTAGAGGTCTAAGGGAGCTTTAGTAAGTCGACCTCTATTAGCTCTTATACTTTTAGTACTACCCCCGAGCTTCGTAGAAGCTCTGTTAGAGTAATATCTATTAATTCTAGTATCTCTTTAGTAACTAGTATAGTAGTCTTAATACTAACGTTAGCCTTAAATATAGCTTTGTTTAGTTTAGCTATATGTTCTACTATAACTGTGTTAGTAATATTACTAATACTATACTCTACGTCTAGAGCGATAACGTTCTCTTCTAGGTCCTTAATAAGCTCCCTTAGAGTAGAGGTAAGTTAGCTAACCTTCCTCTTTTTCTTAAGGGAATAGAATATTATCTTATTAAACCGGATATTACGCGTGATTACTATACGGCGTAGCTAGGGCACCTAGATCCTATATAAGTTAGAAGTAATATAACTAACTAAGTATCTAACATACGCCCTAGGGCTAACTTTAAAGTCTCTATAATTCCTTCTAGTCTCTCTATTAGTTATAACTAAATATATACGCGCCTTATACGCGTATACTTTACTCTAGTTAAGTCTTAAGTTAGTTAAGAGCTTCTTTACTATTAGTAGATCATACTACTAAAAATAGTTCTAAAACTATTCCTAGAGTACTTAATTTAGACTCCTTATCTCTTAGCGTACAAGAGGACTTATATTATAAAGGTAGATTACTATATAATATACCTCTAAGTAAAGCTTCTCTAGCAGGTTCGCCTAAACGCGTATCTTAATAGATTTAGTAATAATCTCTTATCCTACACGCTCTACGCTACTTATAGGTTCTTTAGTGTATAGCGAGGGATTCTCTACCTCTATCCCTTCTCTTATAGTCTATTCCTTATACCTTAATATGCCTCGAATAGCTATAACTAAGGTATTATTATCGTGCTAAATAATACAGACTAATAGTTTATATTAACGCTTAGTCTAACGCTTAAAGTTCTCTAAGACTAGTATAATATAGCTAGCTGACTTACTTAGTAACATGTAGTTAAAGAGCTTCCTATTATACTCGTCCTTAATAATAAGTAGCTAGCGAGTGCTATTATAACTTATATTAAAGTTAAATAAGTCCTAGAGGATTCGGTAGAATAGCTTAGCTACCTTATTCTCTAACTCCTATCTTAACGTGACGTTTCCGGTGTATATAATAGTATAGTCTTTATACTAGATTCTTGATACTCCGTTGAATTATACACCTCTCCCTGCTTTAAGTAACACTTATAGAGTACTTTCTCTTAAATAGCCGGTATATAAGTACTATAGTTACGGAGTTACGGAACGCTCCTTAAGTAGTTAACTTAATAATTAGAAACCTTACTTATTTAAGCTACGACTTAAAGTCGGGTATATT